GGCAATTCATTTTAACAAATTATTAAAATTGAAATTCTAAACTACTTAAGAAAATTGGTAGGTAAAATAAAATAGAAGATGGATGAATATCAAGCCTAGTATAGTGATTTAGCCTAGGTGGAATAAAATTATTAGGACAAGAGATAGATACAATAAAGTAGGAAAGGGATAGGGGAAGGGAAAAATAGTGAAACGTGTTGGAGGATGGTAAAGTAAAGCACATATAGAAATAACTGTATTTTAATGGGAAGAAATAAGGGATTTGGAAATTGCCGATTAATAATTTCAGAATGTAAATTATATTTGATTACTGCTAATAGAAGGGCTTAATTAACTTTAGGGATATTGGAAATTTACATGAAGATGATGAAACGTAACATATAATTATTATCATATTTTACTTAACGAGGATACAACAATGAACAGGGTTTGAAATTTAGTAAATGGATACACATATCTGAAAGTTTTTATCAGTAATCAAACTAATTCAAATTAATTAAAGTTGATGCTAAATAACTTATGAAGGTGAATAATAAAATGGTATAAAAAATGGAGTTTGGACAATCGATTATCATGAAATAGAAGATAATACAAAAATACAAATGTATAGAAAATTATATAATAATTTTAAAGTGACGGAGGTGTGTATGACGAGAAGGGCTTAAAATAGGGAAATTGGGTTGAGGTGAACGATCATTTTAGTAGGTATGAATCTAATAGAAATTTTATTTTTTGGGGAAATTAAATTTAATTTAGTGAGTCTTATCTGAATGGTCAAAAAATAGGTCAATGGCATATATATTATAAATTTAAAGGTGATCATAAAAGACCTTTTAAGTTGATGTAAAATAGCTTCAAGATATATTAATACTTGAGGTGGAGAAATATTTACCTAATAAGACAAAAAAAATGATTATTGGATTGAATTTGCAGAAAATTATTATTAGTAAACATTAATTTGAACATTTATGAATTAGAGATAGATAGTTTATTTATAAAGGGTAATAAATTACAATTTAAAGACATATGTAGCCATTAAGTTATGTGATAATTCCCAGCATGAAATACATAGATATGTTGATCATCTATATGAACATCGACTCACAAGGGAGGATCATTTTTGAATATGCAGTTCATCATTTTAAAGATGGATAACGACTGAATAAACTGTCTCATCTAGTCGAATCATCGTCATAACTTGAATAGCCTCACTATTTTATAATTTACAGGTAGAATTATAATATTAAAGATGGCTTTATAAGATCATCCTTGTAATTCTATTTTGCTGAGCTAGAGTTTTGATTTTGAACCTTATTTATTGGGTTATCCTTCTGCGAGTATGGTGGGCTTGATCAGCTTTTGAACCCATTACTTTATTTTGCAATGTATAAGGTTGTCTATTTTGATTAATATGACGCATATTTCCTGTATTGTAAATATCAACATGAATTGTGGATGGCAAAAATTAATGCCATCCTTATCTAATGGCCAAAAGGAAGTTACAAGAAGGCAAGCTTAACATGTATCAATTGTCATTGAGACGGAAACCGGCTACATTTTTCTTACATGCAGCGAAATGACTGAGACTAAAGAAAAGGAAATAATACAGGGTAATGGACACTGACATTCTGAGTTCACTTTTTAAAATATGGATATGAATTTGAACATTTAACATAACTTGATACTATTCATAATTTGTCAACATAGTAACTAGTATTATTTTATATCTTGCAAGTTAAACATGTAGTAGCTGATTCATATCAGAATTGCACTATCTTATTTGTAATTATATATACTATCCACTTAAAGACTGAACCTATTTTCATAGCAAAGCCATTTTCTACCAGAGAATGAACATACGGAACTTCCATCAGAGTGGTATTAGGTTAACATAGCAGTAATATTTATATTGTTAGTATCAGTATGTGAGAATAATATTGATGCAAAATAAAATATAGTTAACTGTCTAAAATCTTATCCATCGACTTCTAAATTCGAGATAGTTATTTTGATCTAAATAGAATTGTTTATAAAAATTTGAGTATTTTCAAGGTGCAGCATAATGATTAAAACATATGATAATTTAAGTTCATAGTAGTAAAACCATAATTGGTTGTGTGAAGCTCAAAAAAATCAAATTTTTTCGAAACTGTCAATAACTAAAACTATTAATACATATCGAATCACAACCATAAACTAGAAATACAAATGTTACACCATTGAATAGGAAACACAAAAAGTAAAAAAGAGTTTTGAATGTTAGAGTTTATAGCTGACAACAACAAGTATTAAAGGTAACATTATTCTATAGATATCTGGTTCCATCTTACAGATTAGTAATTAAAAGGGTTTGGAATGATCCTTTAATTATTGATACATTTGGTGGTCATGAAAATATTATTTAAACAGGATTCACATTTTAGAGAGGATCAGAAGTTAATAAATATCTGGAAAGTGTCTCTAACAAGATTGAAGTAAGAAATTACACATAAGTTGCACGAAGAATATGCTGAATAGATGCCTAAATGTAATGAGAAATAAGCACCGATATCATAATATTTTAAGCGATAGATTGAGCATAAGAATCAAATCTATTTTTAAACATCTTGGAAAATAACCCATGCAGTGCTAGTAAATCTCATACACAATAAATCATCATTTAGTAGTTTGTTTCATAAGTGATACTGTAGTAGATAAACATGGTACCCACTCATTACTATATTTAAGAATGGCTACTGCCTCAATAAGATCCCAAGTTTAACCTAGGAAGCACTGCTTCTGTACTGCCTGGTCGTATTGGTTTAATAAGAAGAGCAGAGCTATTCAGGATCACTAGAAAAATAACCTTTATAGTGAAATTATTTAAAATATATGAAGACTTACTTCAAAGGCAACTTGCAATACAAGAAGTACATATAATTTGGTTCTTGGTCCAGAATTACTTTTTTATTCTAATGTAAGGCAGAAGATCAATAGAAACAATGTATTTGGTTTGCTTTTAAGATTAAATTTGGATCCTCATAACATTTCTCTAATGTAGAAAAGAGTAGCTATAAATACATGATCTAAATTCAGCAGGACTATATCTATTAACCTGTAAGGTTAGAGAAGAGCAATTTAGATAAGATTCTTAAAGATACAAGAATGCTGAATAACAAATACTGTTGGATCAGTTTGTAAATTTAACAATTTTTCATGCATCAAAACCATAGTTGGTAGCAGTTTATGTGTACAAGATTCAAAATAGTTAGCATAAAGTATCAGATGCATTGCTGTCTTTTAGGAAGCTCACTAATTAACACCGAGAAACAAGACCTATGTTTATAAATTAAATTCGAAATTCGCAACTCGCAACTGAGAGTTCCAGTAGCTGAAACAGTTAGGAATTCAAAAGTTAAAATTTAATTAATGAACAATTCACCATATATTTATCCTGTTGTCGAGATTTCTGAAGAGAAAACAAACCATAAGATTTCTGTCTCAGCAATAACTTAATTAGCATAGTATATAGTATCAACACTTGCCACACAATAATGCTATTGAGCAATATAAAAATAGTAGTAGAAATCTAATACATATATTCGAACTTTAATCAAATTCAATAATATAAGTAGAGTAATTTTTTTCAGAAATGGACCATTTGCATTCAAACAAAAAGTTGGTTCAATTGGTATTATGTTGTAGTTTTGATTTTCACTTATGGTATACAGTGATTAAAAATATGGATATCTAGCTTAAATCGCTCAAACTTGATATACATTAAGTACTTGATTTATATGAATCCTCAGGTATTACAAGTTCCGCAAGAAATCTTTAAAAAGATGCATCCTATAAGTATTCAATCAGTATAGACAACTATAGTAAACATGATAAGCAACTGATTTTAATGAACACCTAAATTCAGGAAGGGCATATCAAGCAACAGGAAGGCAGAACAATAAAAAGTTAGTTTCTCATATATTAGCTTTAACAATTTTCCATACTAGTTGTACAGCATCTATATACAGAGCTACAAGATGTGTATGATCTGTTTATTCTTAGATATAATTAACTTCCGCAACGTAATAGTGCTGTTATATGCTAATTTTAATCTATACTTTATGTATTTCTTCAAATAAGTCCTTAGTATAGTACACGTTATATAGTAACTAATTTAGTACTATTGGCAACATAGTTTTCCAAGAGCTACTAGATTTGTATTATAATTTTCATAATCTTCCTAGCCAGCCGCACAATACTTAAAATTTTCAGCTGTTTTTACGAAGAAAGTTCATAACTTAGAGCAGCAATTAGGTATTCAAATATACTTTATAATAAATTTGATTCCATCAGAATGATTTTAAAAACATGGGATGCAATAGTCTAAAAGCCTTATAATCTGTTCATCTACTTAATTCATTAAATTCTGATTTAATTCTAGATGAAAACTTAGCAAAAGAGATTAAATAAAGTGATAAATTTAGAAGGAAAAAATTAACAAAAACAACATTAATTAAAGGAAAACATATTGTTTTTTAATAAAAAAATTAATTTTAATAATCACTTGTCAAAGAAATTAAGAAAATTAATTCTTAGACTTTGATAATATTTCATTTGCGATGTTGAAACTATCAGAAATCTTTTTGTGTAAATCTTGAGCATTAAGTATCTTACAAAATATAAAAACTAAATAACTTCATCTTTAATATTTAGTTCATAACAATGATCTTTAGTATTTTTTTTTTAGCCAAGTTAAATCAAACAAATTTATAACACCTTCACTTAAGTATTTTCGAAATCTCCTAAATTCATAAATCAAAAAAAATACTACAAATTCAACTCATAATAAATAAGTATGAGACTTAAATTAATTTAAATAATCATATTCATTATATAAAATAGATATATTAAAAAATTGCTATAATTTTATGATATGAGGTTAAACTTCTGATATGAATTTGATATTGCAACTTATAAGTTTCTTAATATTGGGTAAATCTGAGCATTCGTTAGGCCAATGTTCATTAGCGCGTGTACCTAAAACTACAATAATTAAGAAAGAAACCTTAGGATGAATGGCTTATAAATGAGTCATCAAATAAATAACTCTCCGTTTCCAAAAGTGTATAATTCATTCCCATAATAATTGAGTGATTTTTAATTAATAATTGAATCTAAATAAGGCTGATTGTTTAAAGCATTAAATCCTGAACCTAAACTTAAACCAGTGATTGTGAGGGAAGCATTATATGGAAAATTTGTGGTTAATTAAAGAATAAAAATTTCAATATATACTGATTTAACAAAGCATTATTTTGCTTCTAAGTGATTTTTAGTAGTCGTAATGATAATTTCAGAGTGGTTTTAGGTGTTATAACATTTTCAGCAGAGTAGGAAACAGGCAAATCATCTCTGCCGATTACTAATAACTACGCCCTCCATATTTTATTCAAATATGCTAAATGGTCCTGATAAACAGGCTAAGTATTTTTATGGAATGGGAATTTAGTAATCACTTCTTTAAAGACTTCTGCAGTTTTTTAGCCCTCTAAATATTGTTCTCCAGGAATAATAACTTGAAAATCATCAACTACATCTCCAGTCTATAGATTTTCAATTCTATATAAAAGTTATCTAAAATTCTAAAGGAAATGGAATGCATCAACACTTCATTTAATACTTGAACTGTGACTGTACCAACAACTATTCCTCTCAATGTAGTTGTAACCCATTTTCTATCATAGCTCTCACAACTGGCATCCAAAGCGATCACTAAATCCACTTAACCAATTTTTTCTTTTATTTTTCTAAATAATGATATATATGCTGAGACCCACTCTCTTCATCAGCTTCGAATTCCATTATTATTCTTGGATTTTATAGCCCAAGCTCTTATATTGTCTTAATCCCAATAACGGATGGTAAGTTTTTCATCCATTATTTTTAGATCATAAGCTGATCTTCTCTCTCTCCATCCAGTAAAAGGTGGTTGCTTATTCATGAGTCCATAAAGTAAACAGCATCTATTATATTTCTTATCTCATCAGCATTTGAGGTTTCAAATTTTTAAAATTGAAATTATATAAATTATTTTATCAAATAGCTAAATTAGATTCAAAATCTGAAAATAATTTATTTCAAAAATACTTTTTATTCCAAAAATTCAAATTTAACAGGATTTATTTATAGCATAATATAAATTCGAAAAAACAACTCAATGAAATAAAGAATTATCCCCAGCAGTTGAGTTTGTATATTATTTCTCCCAAATATCAAATACTCCATTTTACCATTTGCTCTATTTTTCAATATTTTTTTTCCAATATAAGTTCCATTTCCATATCATTTTCCATTTTTCCGTTACCCTTTATAAATATATAATAATATTCTAAATAATTACTCTTCCATGGCCGTAATAGAAAGTGCCATATCCATCTCTTAAATCATTAAAGAATTCTCCAACTTATTTAGATTCATCATTCTAATAAAATTCCTTGGAGTAAATTTAAATATTTTTACCCCATATCCGCTTATTTATTTTACTTCCATTACCCTGCATATCTAGTCCCACCTGAGCATTTTATGTTCCATATTCGCAAAAGCGATTATCTGCAAACTCTCCCACATATTAAGAACCATATGCAACTGTGTATATCCCTTAACCGAATTTTATTCCATCAACATAATTTCCCTAAAAATTTGCTCCATCTTGCCATAGTTCTTTGCCTTAACCATTCTATTTGTCATTAATCCATTATCCTACATAATATCCACCACTTGACGTAGTTAACTTGCCATAATGTAGTCAGTAATATACTTACATAGCCATGCACATTGTCATCCTTCCAATCTCCTTCATAAACATCTCCCTCCACGTGGATAAGTCTTCCCTTCCCATTTTATTATTATCTTTCCAATAGCCTTCATAGTAAGAACCATCTGATCAGTATTAGACTCCTTTACCCCATTTTGCACCAAAATAGGCAAGGGTCATACTTATCCTTCCTCATCTCGTTATCAAATCTGGTTCTGATTAGCAAGCATCATAAATAAATTCGGGTAGGCTTTTTCTAAACTAAAAGAGAAATCAAATTTAAAGTATAATTATAATTATTTGGTTAAGTTATCAATTATTTCTGGCACCTTCTTGATAGTTTTTAGATTTTAAGGCACTTTAGTTTCTTTTGAAAAGGAATTAAACTTCTTCAGATCTACCAATTTAATTTCTTATCTGCTTTATTTTTTTTGATGAAACATATTCTTTAGTAGTTGTTATGGCTACACTATTATATTTCAAATAGTTACCTTTCAAAGATGGTTTAAGTAACCTATATGAATGTGTAAAGAAAATAGTAGATTCAGAAGTGTTGGCAAATTACTATCTATAAGACAAATTGATGATGAGCGAATAATATAATCATGACTAATCTCTGGGCTATCCTAAATATTCTTATAGGATTTCACATTCTGAAATTAGTTTCTTTAATAGAGTGATGCCTTTTTATTAAAATAACTTTTATTAATTCATTCAATCTCATGATAACTAAATATTGTTTGTTTAGATAGCCAGGTCTCACTTATTGGTGATTGACTGAAAAAAAAGTATATTTTTTTAATAATAAATATTTAATGCAAAGGAGATAAGATTCAAACAATAACAGAATTCGAATATGTATCGACCGTTCAGTTGAAGTTAGGAATACTAGATAAAATTTGTCGCCGTTATAATCAAATCATTTGATATCTCCTTAAATTTACAAACACCTAAAATTACCCTCAATCAAGCAATCAAGATCTCCAAGTGCCACAAATCAAAAAAATAATGCAAAAAATGTTTCAGTACTCAATTAACAAACAACTGAGCTCATCAAAAAGTTATCCTACAATAGTGTAAAATACAAACATCATAGATTCATCACAGAAAACAAACGTAAAAGCTCATTAAGTTAAAATAAATTGGAACCATAAACCAAGTTAACTTCAAAAGTAATTTTAAATTGAGTATAAGCGAACTCGATCAATTTCCAATATGGTTTCCAAAAATTCATTAATCGTTTCAACATAATTCGAAGAAGAAGAGGAGTTGTCAAACCAAATCAAATTGCATACTAATCTCCCCTAAAATTAAATTAAGATAGAAATTATTGATAAAGTTTAATCGAACTACGAACAATCACAAAATAGATATGCAAAATTCAAGGCTCAACAATAACAACTGCAAAATGAAAGTTATCAAAAGAGTGATAATTAAGAATTAAACAGTCTAAGACAATCCTTATTTTCCATCATCGAAAACAGTAGAGTTTAAAGACATAAATTTTATTAATTTGGTAACACGGATCAATAACTATAATTGTTGGAAAAATTATATTTGTAAAACGAAAAGCTTGTTAAAAATTATGTCTAAATCAGATAAGAAGCTCAGCAACTTGATTAGAAAGTTAAATCCCTCTCAAATCAAAGAAAGCAATTTAGAATATAGTGATTCTCTTTTTGTAAATCGTATTTTCATATATTCAAACAAAATATAAAGGCTTTTCCTTATCCTCTTTCATCTCTTTCAGATCTTATTCCACTACTTACTTCATATAATCAACTCATTTTTAGTAATTTTCATCTTTCATTAATTTTCCATATTTCAAAATTCCCTATCAGCCTCTTACTTCAGACCAACACAATGATTCAACTTTAAAGCACTATTTAATTCTAATCCTAAATTATAGGTAAATTATCAATTTCATTCAAACTATTAAAAATGGTCTAATAGTCTTATTAGAAATATCAATCATACCTTGTGGAGCCTTCCAATCAAAATTCTCGCCCCACAACTGATCCTGCATTATTTCTGCTAAACTTGATCTGTCTAATGGATCCTTTTGCATCATACTCCTAATAAGGCTCCTAAACTATTCATTATCAATTCATCCATCTGGAAATTTGAGTTCTTCTTCAGTTGCTTATTTAAAAATAAGGTATTCACTCTTTCCATCAAAGGGGTACTTACCAAAACTATATAATAGAACAGGATTTCTAAGGAATATATATCTGATTTTTCATTGGAATCTTTATTTCTAATGCATTAAGGAGCCATAAAGTATGGAGTTCACACAAAATGTTTCCTGATTTATTTTCCTATAATTATATTTAACCATTTTGTTACCTTCTCTTCCATTTCCATTCCCTTCGATTGTGGGATGATTCATATCTCTTGCAGTACCAAATAATCAATCAAATTTATTTATTTCTCTTAAGTTAACAGCAAGTTTTCACTTTTTATGTCTCTATGTACAGTCCCAAGCTTATGAATGGAATTTATGGCTATCCTCATTTTCATAATTACCTTTGATTAATTCAGTTATATAGTAAAGACAAAGAGGAAAAGCTTAAGCTCCAAAATTTTTAACTAGTGGCTACAATTCTCCACCTTCAACATACTGCATTTACATGTATAGATTTTCAGCATCCTGAAAGGTTGAATAAAATATTAATAACATAAGGGCAGTCAGCAAGTTTGCCTAAACAATGTTTTTCCATGAATAAATCTTTCTCCTTGTTTACTTAGGTAAACCTTCTTTTATTAATCTACTTTAAAGCAAAAAATTAATTGGCTTCAATATCCCTAACCCGAAAGATTACAGAAAATTTTCCCTGTAGGACAGTCTAAAAATCAGCAAGGTCTTCAATATCTTTCTTCCCTTATACCTTCTTTCTGCTCTTTGTTTTTCTCGTTATAATTGTAATTGTATTTCAGAACAAATAGACTTATGTTGTTTCCAATCCTTACTTTTAGCATTCTTTGAACAGTAATATAATGATTTGAATTGTGAGCATCTCAATAATTCTACAACTTTAATCTAACAAACAAAGCAACAAATTTCAGGTTATTATATATCAATGAGCATTATTTTTGCCATCCAATCTATCAAAAAAAATCGAATAGAAATTTTATTTCTTTAAAAAAAAGAAGTGATTCAATTGCTTAAAGTCTCCAAAATTTGAAATCATTTATTGAATTGTCATCTAATTTTATGTTTGTCGATTTAAGCAGTAAAAATATTATTTTGATTATAAAATCTCTAATTATATTACTTTTAAATGACTTGGCTACAATTTCAAGAATGTTGAAGCTCATTCTATTCATAAAAAATTCTTTAGGGTGAAAATCTTGTGTTTAACATAATTTTTACTTCATAATATTTAATATTGTAATATGAATGCGAAACCTAAAGATGCATTCTCGGCTTCCTTATCAAAATTTCATCGAAAAAGCGTTCACTCTCAAATGGCCAACACAAGTGGATGCAATCAACTCAATGATGGTCAAAACATTCCACTTCCTGAGTTGAAGGTTAGAGGATTGCAGAGTGCAAAAATTAAAGCATCTCCGAAAAGATCTCCTCATATTTTAAAATTTTATGTACATGAGGCTTAGTGTATGCTAAATGATCCTATTAAAAAAGCTAATGTAGTATACAGTTTTATTTATGGATATAGAGGAGATATGAGAACTAATCTGAGTACGTATTCGTGGACACTTACTTGGATGCCTTGCATGTGATTGCACAGGAGGAGAAAAGGTACAAGTAGGCGAATGGACAAACGATTCAATCTGATGAATTTTCAGAACAACAAATTTCAATAAATCCTTAACCTACTTTGCCTAACTTGCCTGCTCAATTGATAAGGGAAAGGATGAGAGTTTATGCATAGAGTTAACAGAAAGAACCTTAATCTAGTAAGTTTTAATAGTCGATAAAAATTAGTAGAATCTCAATTAGCCTAGAGGTAGCCCCAGAAAGTAATAAAAACTGCAACTAGTCTGATGGCCAAAAAAATATTCCCAAACAAACTAACTGTATCTTTATCAGTTCATTAAGCTATTCCCTCTATTAAGCATAAAGTAAGTGCTAAAAGATGGGTCATGTTCACGAAACAAAAGAATGAGAAATGTTTTAATAAATCGGTTGGATGGCAGGAGTTTCAAAAAGGGGAAATGGCCAGTATCACAAAAATCATGACTTGTTACACCACATTAACGTATTTAAAAGAATACAATATTTGAGCCTGAATAAATAAAAATAAAAATTCCAGGCCATGCTGAATGCATTGATGGAACTAGTGCCTTTCTAAATGCAGGAGGCATATTAACAATCAAACAATTGTTATTCGCTCTTATGTTGCCTTCTGGGAATGATGCAGCACTTGTTCTGAGTTTCACTATAGCCTACTTGATGATATTGCAAAAGACCGAGGTTTATCAATATAATAGACACTTGAAAGGCACAATCATCGACATCGAGCCGCAGATTGAAAGAAACAAGAAGTTACTCAAACACACGTTCCTTGATCAAATGAACAAACATGCCAGTTCGATCAAGATGGAGAATACTAATTATTCTTCTGTCCATGGTTTGAATGATGAGAAGAATGTCTCGTGTCCTCATGATATAAGGTACTTGCTTTGTTCTATAAAAACAATAGTAAATTGATAGAGAAGTGCATTTAGTTGGATGTATTCCTCGAGATCATAACGACAAAAATATTTAAGACTCATGCTCTGACTGATAAAGGAGGCAAGTCGACTTTGTACAAATGGAAAAATACGAACAAGTTACTGAAGAAGTCTGGTTGGATGGGAGTGAAGACTGGGGTTACTCCTAATGCTGGACCTTGTTTCACGGGATATTACAAGAATGATAATTTGGAGGCGATAATTGTTGTTTTAAATTGTTCTTCGATGAACTAAAGATTTAGAGATGCAGAAGTATTACTTGCCTCAGCATTGAAATGATAAAATTAATTTATTTATTTATATATTAAAATTATATTAATGAGTGATATATTAGTGATCACTTAAGAATTAATAAATGATGTAGATAGGTAATTCATTGGAATAATGCGTTTAGAACGATAAATTATTTCACCGTGAGCGATCCAAGAAGGAAGAATAAATTCATTTATCAATATTTGTCCGACTTTTATTTGAAGCAAAAAATTCCATTTGACAAAGTAATTCAATTCCTCAGAAATATTCAAGTAATCCTATTTAAATTATTGATTAGTAAAATGAAGCCTCTTTTACTATTCTTTTAGAAAATCTCTATTTGTGTACAATGGTTATTTAATAATCGTCTGATTCAAGAAAACTTTTAATATAGCTAATGCAAAGTTTGGCGGAAAGATTGACTTAAACTTAAAAGTAGGTTTTCTTTGACAACTTCGATGAAGAAGTATTGTGGGAATGTGGATTTGTTTAATAAGATACTTTTTCACAAAGAAAGAGGAAAATAAACACAGATATCAATTTTTGTCAAAATAAGTTTTGGTCAATGAAGGATGAAAATGAAGGATATAGCAAATTGATGGTTGAAATTTTGGATGCAGCAAAACACACTCATATATACGACGAGGAAATTAAATAAAGAATCGAAAACATAATACATCTGATTGGATATTTTGATCTAGACCCTGACAGAGTGGTTGACATCATAATTCAAAGTTGGACTGAATACCCCTACAGTTTATCCTATGTGAAAATTCTTAAATAATTCAAATGCATCTCCGTTTGCCAATTCTTAGGTAAACGATTCGAGTCAATCGTTTAAACCCTCTCCAACAATAACAACATAAGCATATTGATGACTAAAATGGCTAATTCAGCTTAAGTTATGCAAACTGATTAGAAAATTCCAGATCACAAATTGATCATCATCACAGCAACTGCCTTGAAGTACAAACTATTTGAACTTGGAAACATTTGGAAATACTTGTAACCAAATGACCAAGATTTCTCTAAGATTTTTGAAGATCTAGCAGAAGACAGTTATAAATTTTACAAATCGTTTGATTAAGTCATGTAAGTTGAGGAATTGAGAGATTCAAGAAACAACAATGACCAATCAGAAAAATTGAAGAAAGACTTATTTGGACAATAACTATGTATTTTTAATTTATATTTAAATTAGACAATTAAAAATTGTGGTTGATGCAAGGATTAATCCATATCAATGCTTTCAATATATTTCAGGAGCTCTATAAATCTTTTGAAGGAATAGTAGACTTTACAATATTCCTACCAATCAAAAGAACTCTGGCAGATTTGATTGATTGGATGATCGATCCATTACATGAGTAATTATATAACAAAACTCTATTCAAGAGTAGATCTAGAGAACAAAAGAAAGTAATTATACTAATTACTCAACCTAGTTTATATATGATCCAGATTGTACTACAGCCTTCTAAATAAAACAGCTAGAAGTTATTGACGAAGATGCAATATCCATATTGAATGAGATCTTATCAATATTTTCCCCATATATTGGTGAGTATCCTTTAGTATTTCACAAGCTGTCTAAAGTGTTAATATCATCCTAAAATCCTGATGTCCAACCTCTGATTCTTGATCACTTGATTCCAGCTGTCCAAAGTGGAGAATGTTTACCTATTGTAATAGAACTATGGAAATACTTGGGACAATTGGACTTTCGTAAGAGATTTGATTGTTATTCAAAATGGAAAGACATCCATTAATTTTCTACCATCAACCAGACAATCAGAGCTGCTCAACTTACTAAAGAACACATTAGAAGCTTTTTTAATAAGATTGATAAAGATAACAAGGATAAAATGATGGTGAAGTTCGCTAAACTATCTCACAACCAACCAATGATCGTAATGAATGTTTTAAGGAGAAACAGATTAGAAATACCAGATAATAATTCAGTGATTGTTCACACTTTAGGGTTGGCAACTCCTTTATCTTTGGACATATTGTAGTTTATAATGATACAATGGCTTTGTGATTTCAATGATGAATCCAAAGTTCGAGACAAAGACATAGAATGCAGATATTGGTTTAAGAATATTGCATAATTCATAGCAAGTGTACTAAGAAAATATTATACTATTGATATGCAAGGGTTGTTTGCTTATTTGATTGATGTATTTTCTACTGATCAAAGCAATCCCTCAATAAGTAAGAACGAATCCATCATAAAACCAGAAATTCTCATATTGAGGGAATTGATTGAAAAGATGACAGGAATAGTCCACATTGAGGATCTGACACCTTAATAAATATAAGCTTTGGCAGGAGGAAGGTACATTTAGCTTGAAACTACTTCGTAAACTAACGAGTTTAGGAGGTCTAGAAAAAGTTCTAGTGCTTTGGAACAGTTCTTTTGGTCGTAAACCATAAATTCACAGAGAATCCTGAATCAAAATAATCAGGAAGAGGTAGTTTCGCTGGCATTTTTGATGCTGGTGGTTTTGTGTTAATAGAGATCGAGATTCATTTTGAATTATCATAATCAAAATTTGAAACCTTTGGTTGCATTGTATGATAACTTCACTTGCAGCATCAATCAACTCACCAAATGCTTGTTGTTTTAAACTGACAAGCCAACTCATTATGCCTAGCTATTCCCTGAGAATCCACTAGAGAGGATGGTGATCGATTTCAAATTGCCTTTTGAGATTGCATTCCATATTGTGAGATACAGTTACAAAAGTTTGTATAATATGAGTGAGGAGGAGTTTCAGGAGGAGGTGGACAACATCAAGAACATCTACGATAAGATTGATCCTAAGGTGATGTGCATCAATCCGGACATAAACAATCAATAGGTTCAGCAATTGCCATTGATATGTCATACTTATGTGAAGGACATCTTGTGGACGATTATAAATCCCGAGTTGTTTGCGATATTTTGGCTGTTGAGTTTGGATAATATTTATGTGCCATAGGCGATTTATGACTAATAGTTGAAGTGGCTGCAGGAGAACATCAACAAGAATCCGGATACGAAGGACAGGCAGAGCAAACAGCATTAAAAAGCATTTGATAAATTGCAGAATGAGTTGGACAACAACAAAAAACGACAGGAGTAATTCGACAAGTGTTTGAGAGACAAGAAACATGTGTTTAGTTTCAAGGAGGCTGATCAAGCGAAGGAGAATTATCATATCAAATTTGCTTAATGTCTATCATAAGTTTGTTTGTTACCGAGGATTCTGATAGATCCTGCGGAAGCAATATATTGTGCGAAGTTTGTACAAAAAATGTTGAAGATTGGGAAACCTAGATACACTTACACCTTCTATGTACCCAAGGAGATCATCTATTTCACGTTTACATATTTGCAGTGTGCAACTGAAGAGGAGGCCTCGAATCTGAGCATATTTATGTAGTAACTGATCATACCGTATGCGAATTGGAATGACGAGACTAAGTTCAAGAACGACTTGAGAAACTACTTTGACACCTCAATCGATGGTTACGACAGGGAGAAACAGTATATAATTTAAAACATTTTTTTCAAGATGGCCCAGTTCATACGAATTTTGAAAAATAATGAGACTCAGGTATGTAGTAATGGTTATGGGTTAGGTTCGGAATGCCTTGATATTTTTGAAAAGAGTTTAAGATATTTTTCCTCCGACTCAGCAAGTGGCTGAATATATTAAAATATATTTATAAGATGTGGAGAAGGACTACGGTCACATTCAGGACATCAAAACTTAGATCAAGAATTTCCATATTGAAGATAAAATCAACACTCTACCAGTTTATGCTCCCAAGACTAACTTGACTAGCACTGCCCACGACTCAAAAAAGTAGGCGCCAAATTAGGAAAAAATGAAATCAGTGGGGAAAGCAGGCGATGGGGAGCATGAGGAATACAATCACAAGGAACATTCAGAGGAAAGAAGAAATCCAAATAACAAAACAGAAAGTAGACAAGTACCCAAAAAGAAGAAAAGTCACGACAAGGATAGACCCTTGAAGAGGTTAGATAAATCATGAATATTTGATATATATATAAATGTAAAAACGTTGAAAATTGATCACTCGAATTAATTTGGATTATGATAAAACCTTGAAAAATCAATTCAGTAATGAGAATCCTACTAAGTTTGGAGGAAGTGCAAATATTCGCAGGAGGAATACCAATTACATTAATTATTAATTACTGATATGGATTCATTTGATTGAGACTAATCTAGAAAAAAACGAATCTAAATTTATAAAAAATATGATTCGTTGAGTATTTAAGGGATTGATCAACACCATATAATCAATAATTAATTTATTTTACATGTAAAAATATCTTTCTTTAGCATTATTCTTCATTTATTTCGTGGCAGAGAGTAAGAATTACCAAATACATATTTATTAGTTCAAGCCTAAACCAAGACTACAACTAAACCTAAAACCGTAGTTCCTGTGATCATTACAAGCGCATCTTGCCGTCCCACATCAGCTGCCATCCCTCAAGGTTCGTTGGCTGGAGGAACAACCTTATACATCCAAGTAATTTATTTTTAAACTACTATTAGGCATCTGGATTGAGTACTACTGTCTCTAAAAATGCAGTGTTTGTAGGAACATACCCTTGCATAGTGCCTGAAAATGGTGTTTCAGGGTTGTCAATCATTTGTGTTACCTCTCAAGTCAAGCCAGACGACCATAGTCTTGGATCACTCCCAATCGTAATCAAAGTGACAGGATCTGCAGATTCTACATGCACTGCAGGCGTCTATTGTTACTTTACTTATTTGAAATCTTTGACAAGCCAACTTTATTTTGTAAGTCCAAGAGTTAACTACCCCAGTCAATGGACCTTTTTCAGAGGTAAATTCTTGGTTAGCTCTTTGTCAAGTGCACAATTATAGATTTAATTTGACAATTAAATTTGTGATAGAAGCTAATCTTCTTAATCAGACATTGATGCCAATGATGACATTATTAAATGTTAAGTACCCACTGATGGCATAGCTGGCATCTACCCAATCTACATAACTACAGTCAATGGTAATCAACAAAATAGTGTGTCAGTATCATAATAATATACCACAACCACAGACACTTATCAATCAATCATCCTCCCAGTCATTACAGGTTTGAGCACCAAGGTGTTGTCCAAGAAAGGAGGTATGTTGAGTATATATGGTCTTGGATTCGGATATGGTACCTGTTAAGTCAGAGTCTATGTCGGAGGATAACTCCAATTGAAAAACACAGCAGTTGTTGGAAATGACGGATCAACCATCACAGTTAAATTCTTCAACATCACCATCCACGGTTAGGAAGCCTATGCAGATGGAAGCGGTCTTAGATATAAGAGATGGTGGGGAAACACTGTTTATCAGAATGACTTTATTGGTGAACCAGATGTCCAAAATGTTTATGGAAGTTACTACAACGAATAGTTCAAAGGATTCTTCAAGGCTCCAAAGACAGGATCCTATAGATTCTACGTAGCCTCAGACGACAGAGCCACTGTTGAGTTGAATAAAAATCCATCATCAATCGATAATTCGAAATTAGAATTGATTGCCGAAAACAATCTATCAGGATATAGAAACTACTGGCAAAGTGAATTTTCTAGCACCCCAGTGAATTCTATATCAGATTACATCACTCTTGAAGAGGGCCAATACTATCAACTACAAATCAATCATACCAATGGTGCTGGTCCAGGATATGTCACTGTATCAGTAGAAATCGAGGACGAAACATTCACTGAATACTCAGTAGGTGCTCTTTACAGTATTTCAACCTCATACAATCCAATCAAGGAGGAAGTCGAATACAAGGTGTTTAACTCTTTGGCAGACACTAAACTCTCAGGACAATATCAGTTGGTCTTCGCAAGTACAACTGCAAATCCAGCATTCTCTTACAGTACAGGATGGCTTTCAACTCTTGCCACTGCTGAACAAGTTGCATCAGCCATTAATGCTATTGGAGTTTACAGTGTGACAGTTGCCAGCACCAAAGTGGATTCTGCTGGTGAAGAATTACTGGACTAAACAGCCACCACATTTGCTGGTTTCAGATATGTTATCACATTCTAAAGATACAGAAAAGTGTAAGTCAAACCATCATTTGTATTCAACATCACTGCTAATGCTAACAGTGCTATTGGTAAGGCCTCAGCCATTTTGGTAACTCCCTCTACTCCAATAGAAGGTACATTCCAATTAAGTTATGTTGATTATGACAGCATTGAACAATACTTGAAGGTGAGCAATTCAGTTGATTTACCATTTGATTTGAGTGCCTCTGCTTTAGCTGATGCAATTGAAGCAACCACTGGATACAGACCCATAGTTTGGAATGAAGGAACTCCATAGGATGGAAACATCTGGAAAGTCTAAATAAAGGGAGTCCAAGAATTAAGTAACTTTAAAGTTGCCACCAACAACTTGATATCTGGAAATGGAGAAGTCAAGGTCACCATAACAACTCTATAAGAAGCAAGTTCAAACATTCTCTATGAACCTATTCCAAATGAATTATTGTTTACTTATTCAGCAACACCAACCGTTTCCATCACTTTAGATGGCTTATTAAGTGCTTGTGCTCAAGAAGGTGCTTGCAATTTGGATGCTCCAGTTGATTTGAAACTGACCATGACTGATTTCACTTATGATGAAGCTACTACTCTTAGTCTCCACATATCAACAGTTGGTAGTACTACATTAGGAAACAGTTTGGATGACACCCTCTCCACAATTAGTTTCGGAGATTATGATTGCTATGACATTGTAATGGTTTAAACTGATGATTATGAATACGATTTCACTTGCACTGTCGATGGAACAGAATTTGAATATGGAAAGTATTTCCCAGTCTTCCACTATGAGGAATATGGAAATGCAGATATCGACCCTAGTGTACTTCCCTACTAAGCCCCATTGATAATCACCCACATCAATCCAACAAGTGGATCAGAAGATGGTGGCACTGTCGTTACCCTATTTGGCAAGGGATTCCCTAAAGAAATTACCGAAGATTTAAGCGTTTATCTTGGAGGAGTTTAGACTGTCATCAAATCTACCTCAAGTAACTAAGTCGTAATTAAGACTCCAACATACGTAGAGTCAATGCCTGACTCAATCATTGTTTTGCATTTCAAGGATGGACAAGCTCAAAATGCTGATTTCACCTATGATCATACAATTCACATTACGATCACAAGAGTGCAAGAGACCATATTAACTCCCATTTATAAGGGATTCAACACTATCATTGGTACTGGATTTGGATTAGTCACATCTGATATCACAGTAGAATTGGTGAATGCAGATAAAACATATTAATGCCCAGTGGTTAGTGTAAAAGATGACCAAATAGTTGTTTACTTGAGAGGAGGTCTCCCAGGAGAATATAGATTCATTGTGAACAGAGCTGGAGTAGGAGAAGCAACAGCTGCTGGAGATGCCAACAAATTCCAATACAACACAGTGATAACCAGTATTGACAATGCTACAGGAAGTGAAGCAGGAGGAACTAGAATCAAAATTAATGGATTCAATTTTGTGCCTCAAGAGACCATCGTATTTATTGGTGATGAAATCAATTGGATTTGTGATTTAGATGAAGATGCTTCCACTTCAACAGAATTGTACTGTGTCACTCCACCAAAGCATTTCAGATACACAACACCCCAAAGGGTCATAGTTACAACCAGAATTCTGTTTGATTCAGTCTGCCAAGGATCTTGCGAGTTCACTTATGATTCCACCATGACTCTATCCTGTGGTGCTCCATCTGACTCAGTTGCAAGTGCAGGTGCAAGATTATTATCTGAAGATCAACTCGGATTACCAGATTATTAAAAGTATATTGTTCAAAAGAGAGAACATCCAGAACCAAAAAGAACCATGTCTTCTACTGGAATTAGTCACTACTAAACTTATGAGAGCAGTCCAAGAAGAGACTTGTCCTTCTGGAACGATTACATCTTTGATAAGGTTAAGAATTACACAGTTGATCAAGTCGAAAACATACAATGCATAACCACAACTTCATAATCAGTCACTGTAGTGTTCAATGAGAAATACTCAGTAACTGGAACAATTTCAGAGACTGGCTAATTGATCTATACAGTTCCTGATTTACCTTAAGGTGAGTACAAGACAAGAATCCAGACATCCACTGGATATGCCACTGGAATGTGGATTACTAATGTTGAATTGCAAATTACATCAATTTCAACAACCACAGTTGTACAAGGTGGATAGGATATCGAAATTAGTGGTAGTGGATTTGGAGATGACAATGACATTGAAGTGTACATTGGAACATGGAAGTGTTTGAGAGTGAAGAAGACTGGACATAGAAAATTGAAGTGCAGAACTCCAAGAATCACAGCCAATGCTGGATACGGTGTGAAAATACTCTATCGTGACGTTAGAAAGAACTTGTAAACAAAATCATCTTGCTAATTCCCAACCAATCTGTAGGTTACCAATGTTGGTCAACCAGCTATCACTTAGATCAATAATAATGCTGGAATTGTTTATGTGTCTGGAAAGTCAGCTTATACTTACAATGCATCAACTGAGACCTTGACTTTCAATATAGTTGGTACTAATTTGGGTGCTACAACTTTGGATGTCCATTTGGAGAAAGAGGGACTTGATGATATCGTAGGTACCATTGTATCTAGTAATGCCACATTGATTCAAGTTTCCTTCGCCAATGTGCCTTTGGGATAATTTGATGTGGTTGTTTAATGCGATGACAAAGTAGCTTTGTGGACAACATGGTAATACCAGAAGATCATCTTCTAAAATCCAGTTTTGAGTGGATCATTACCCAAGGCATCATGCAAAGGAGGAAAACATTTGGAGATTCATGGTCATGGTTTCCATGAGAGTCACAATGTCAAGGTTTGTGGAAAGAAATGCGACTTGTTGAATGTGAATTATCATAGCATTTTATGCAGAGTACCAGATTTCAACCCAGCTTGGGCTAAGAAGGTGTAGAAGGGATTGAAATCCAAGAATTACAAACTTGATCATGAGGAGTTCTAAGTGACTTCAGATGTCACAGACAAGAGTGTAGTCAAGAAATTCTTTGATTAATCCGAAACTACTTATCATGTTTCAAATTCAGCTACAAATTGTTGGGTGTAAATTGATTTTGGAAAGAACAGGAAAATGAAATTGGACCACCTTAGTTTCTTACCTAGAATCGATGTTGGTGCCTCTTATTTGAAAGGAGCCAAATTCCAATATTCCACTGATGGTGTAACCTTCAAAGATTGGTTCACCATTGATGACGATGTCCACAAAGGATGGAATGTTCAAAGACCCACAAAATGCGACGATTCAAAAGAAAAGAACTCTCACGGTGGCAAAGACAAAGATGATGAACCCGAACATCACAATAAGGAGGCTGATTTGGATAACATCAGAGCCATTAAATTCATAGATCCCAGAGGAACAAGCGGATCCAGATGTTAGATTGCTGACATAGATTTCAGAGGATGGCTTGAAAATGATTCAGACAACGAGACCAGTTCTTCTTGTGATACTGAAGTATTTGTTGACGATGAATCTATGGGAGTAATCAACTCTAGTGTCACCTACGATCCATCTGCCACTCCTGTCATCAGCACTGTATTGCCCAAGGACATTCCCCCTCACACTTAGACTGTCATTACCATCACTGGTACAGGATTCGTCTCAGGATCAACCTCAGTGTTTATTGATGACATCGAATGCCAAATTCAATCTGTGACTGCCACTGAAATCAAATGTTTGAGTGGATTGAAGGATGTGACAACTGCCAGTGTGACCAACAAATTCAAAGTTGTAGTTGATGGAGATGAGGCAGTAAACAATGCTCAAGTCATCTATGGATAGAGATGGTCAGACATCAAGACTTGGGGAGGATACGTATTCCCATCAGATGGAGATTCAGTGATGGTATATTAAGGTGCCACCTTAATTGTCGATGTACATACTCCAAAATTGGTGCAAGTTTTGGTAGAGGGTAATTTGGTATTTGCAGATGATGCTGATACTTCTTTGGATGCACAATACGTTGTTATTAATAGAGGAACATTCCAAATTGGTACTTAGGAAGTCCCACACTAACATAAAGTTGAGATTACCATAAGAGGAGAGGAGAGAGGAGTCTAATATCCAAATATGGGTAACAAAATGATTGGTTGCAACGAATGTCAAATCGATATTCATGGTAGAGATAGAACTCCATCATGGACTCTCTTGTCATAAACTACTACAAATGATGGCACCTTAACTGTAGATGAGCCAGTCAATTGGTTGGTTGGAGATGAAATCATCATTACATCCAGTAATTAAGCTTAAACTGAGGCTGAAGTTCGAAAGATCGTTGCTATTTCTGTTGATAAAAGAACCTTGACTTTGAATTAGACTTTGAATTATGTTCATGAAACAGTATCAGAGTACTTTGATGGAGTTGAGTTCCCAAGAAAAGTGGAAGTGGGATGTTTGACTAGAAGCATTAGAATCTAAGGCGATTTAGTAAATTACCATGGAGTTCACATTTACATCTAAGGAACACAAGATGATGGTACTGAAGTGAGAATTGAGAATGTCGAAATAGTGAATGGTGGTCAATAAAGATATTTGAATAGATTCCCCATCAATTTCAATAACAATGGAGTGGTGTCCAATTCATACATCAGAAGCAATTCAATTCACAATTCAAATGCTCGTTGCATTGGATTACAAAGTGTATCACATTTGGAAGTGTCTGACAACATTTGTTACAGCATCGTTGGTCATGCCATCTACAATCAAAATGGTAATGAAATGTTCAACACCTTCGAACACAATCTAGTGGCTGTCGTCAAGTCCTCTTGGTAATTGTATCAATCAGATGCAACAGCAGCAGCCTTCTGGATTACCAACCCCAAGAATACCTTCTTCAATAATAGAGTAGGTGGAGCAGAATGGTATGGATTCTACTTGGCATTCAAATCAAATCCTTCAGGTGTTGCCTCTACAAGTGATGTGTGTCCAAATGGTGTTCCATTGTTGAACTTCACTAACAATGCTGCCCATTCAACTGGTAGAGTTGGTTTAAGAATCGGAACTCTGATTCCAAAAGTGGCCCCTTGTGTTACTCATAGAAATGATGCATTAGATGATCCATTTAGTGCCAATCCAAGTGTTCAAACTAAATTGTCCGGATTCACCACCTGGGCTAATGCTTAAGTTGGTGTGTTGGCTGATAATTTGGGTAATGTTGTGATTGAGAATGTGTTGATTGCAAGTTCGAAGGTTGCTGGTTATCAGTAACACAAAGCCAACTATTCCGCTGAAGGTACAACCATTAGGAACTTTGTTATTGTTGGTTCACAAACTAGTACTGGTTTGATTGTGCCCAGAACCAACGGATTCTTGGCTGATACAATCAGATTTGCCAACTTCCCAAGTACATCGACCTTGATTGAGTCATGTTCAGCTTGTAGTAGTTACTTGGTGTGGGTGACAGGAGGAAAGAATACACACTTCAAAGGAATTAAGATCCTCAATTCTGCTAGTGCCAGAATCATTCATTGGAACAATTTCAGAAGAGAGATCTTTTGGGATCTAGATGGTACTCTCACCAACATACCCACTGGAGCTTAGATCGTGGCATATAAATTGCATTTGGATGGTTTGAATGGATGCACTCATTAAGATAATGCCTAATGGGATAATTCTTTGATTTGCAACTCACAACAAACCAAATTAAGAGACGTGGTATTGAATTACCCTACTCCTTACGATGCCCATGTCAATCAAGCTTTGAGGATCTATAGAGTTCCCTCTTTGAATGCCCCATTGCCACTCGAATTGACTAAATATCAATATGAATAATACGTTGGAATCTGGAGTGGAGATATTGCCTACAGTTATGCATCTCAATTCGCCTTAGGATACACATACAATGTGAATTGGTACAACAATTGGCTCAGTCTATCCATCATGGCATCGTAATACATGAGTTCTCAAGAACCAGGTCTTGTATTCAGATTCAACTACACTGTTTAGAGAGAGACCTTCGATGTCTACAGAAACAGAAATCACAAATTCCTTTCAAATTACAGTTAAGTTCCAGAAATTCCAAATCCAAACACTTGCAACAACGGAGACTGGTACAACGATAGAGGCACATCCTTCTTCTACATTTGTGTCTCAGGCAAATAACGAGTACAATAAGATACTCTTGCTTTATACGGAATCTTCTGCAGAGAGACTTGTCCTGCCTACACTGATGATGTGGTAGTGAAGATATAAAAGAAGTGGTCAGACGTATCAATTTGGCCAAATGGCAAACTACCAGTGGCAGGAGAAAACGTCACAATCTCTTACGAATACATCATCATCATTGATATCGAACTCCCAGAATTCGATACCATTTTGATTCTAGGAGAATTGTGGTTTGACAATGGAAGACCAGTTACTACCTTAAGAGCCAGAAAGATCTTTGTAAGAAATGGTAGATTGGTTGCAGGAAGTGCTTCCCAAGCATTCACTGGCATCATCAACATCATCCTCACTGGTACTTCAGGTGACTATGAACTTTTAATTGATAATAACATCGAGGCAGGAAACAATGTCTTGGCTGTGACTGGAGGATTAGAATTGTATGGTAAAGTACCTTAAAGCAAGGTTGCCAGATTAACAGCAACTGCATCTGCTGGATCTACTTCAATTAGTGTGACAGACACTACTGATTGGTAAATTGGTGATTGGATTGTCATTTCACCCACTGGTGCCAATCCAGATGAAGCTGAAAAAGTCCAAATCACTTAGATTGCTGGAACCACTGTCATCTTTAGTGTTTCCCTCAAATACAATCACAATGGAGTGTCTGCTGGTACACTCGTAGACACCAGAGCAACAGTTTTACACTTAACTAGAAACATCAGAATCTCAGGAGAAACCTGGGGAGCTCGAGTCTTAGTCTATGCCTTTACTGAAAAGACTAGATTGAGAAGAGGATACGTTTAATTACAAGGAGTTGAATTCATTAATGTCGGATAAGTGAATAAAGAATTTGCAGGTTTAGATTTCTAAAGTGCGGTGGGTGGAGATCCTGCTCCTTCTAGTGATATAGTTGGATGTTCATTCCATGATAGTGATGGTTACTTATTCAAAGTGGAAGATTCAGAATATGTTAATGCTCTCCAAAATGTGTTCTACAATGGATAGAAGGCTTTGGTTCAATTCATCAATTCCAAATACGTCAAGTTCTAATAGAATACTTTGGTTTTGGTATAAAAGAGAGTGATTTCAATCAATTCTGCTATCACAGGCACTTACAATTGGGCTGTCTTGGCTTCCTTCAGATATGCTTCAGGTACCAAAATCACCAGGAATTTCATCCTTGTTTCTAACAATGTTGGTATCGGTTCCACTGATACAGGATTCCACATCATGGCCACTCATTGTGACGATGAATCTTAAGCAGGCTTCTTCTCAAACCAATGTTTCAACACAGTTTAGGCATGTTTCCACATAACCTAATCCAACACCAAATGCAATGTGGTCAAACAACTCCAAGCTTATAACTCAGGTGTTGGTGTTATGGCATCCATTTACACTGAAACCTTTAAATTAAAGGACTTCTAAATTATTGAAGCTGACAGAGGAGTTGTTATCAAACCAGGATCATCCAATAATTACGCCAATGTCGTTTAAGTTTCCAATGGTTACATAGGAGCTGTCTTCGAAGGCTTGAGATGCACCAACACTGTTGCCTTCTAATTGGTTTCTGTGTCATCCAACGCCTATCCACCAGTCAGTAGATCATCCAATAATGCTGACATCATCAACACAATTCAAAGAATGGATACTAGAGTCTATATTGACAATGTCTAATTCGATGGCTACAGATTGGTTTATGAGCAATTCCCCTAGTGCAGTAACAATGCTGTCTTTAGATAAAACGTATACGCCTTGGATGTCGTTGGACAACATTACTTGACTAACACTCTATGTTAAAATTGTGAATTTAATTCATTACTCTATAGTTTGAGAAACCCCAATTACGCTAAATTAGGATGGTATGGAGGTTGCGGTCAAATGGAATGCATCGGTTAGGTGAACTTCTTAGTTGAAGATCAGACTGGTAACTTCTTTGGCGAAAAGGGTCAGGCCATTGGTAATAACTCATATTTCGGTCCAAGTGCAACCTACTGCAGCAGACAAGAATTGTGGAATGGATATTGGTGTCCCCTATTCAATATTGGAGTCTTGAACTTCCTAAGTACAGCCTCAGATCAAAATCTAAGGCTCTATTCACCAACTACTTTGATTGGATCCGGATTCAAGAACGTTTTGAATGCCTTCGCCGAATGGAATTGGAATGGACCTGAACCTCAGAACTCAAGAGAGTCTAAATTCGTTGGGCTTATTCAAATCAATACCACCATCAACATGACCAATAAGGGCGAGAATCCAACCAATTCAGACTATTGGTTGAGTAAGAGAACCATTGCAGGACCAAATAATGAGTGGGTGATCATTGAATTACAATTCGATGTTCCAAACATTGTCTAAGTAAGCGCCGATGGAAAATTAGTTCAACCTGGATTAACAAGGGTATTTTATAATATTCATAATTTTAGATCAATCAACACATGAATCTTTTGGAGTATACTGATGCTTGTGGTTCTAATAACTATTTCTATGAAAATCGTACCATTCACTTTGTTGTGACTGCTGGTTGCAAAGTATCTCTTTCACTCAAAAACACTTTGATGATTTCAACTAGATTGGAAATAACTAGTGAGGAATTCTTCGGAGACAAATTCTTATAATATGCATTTGCCCTTCTTGGAGGTGATCCATACAATTACTTCATTGTCGGAACCTACAAGTCAAAGAACAGAAGATTCTTATCTAACTTTGTTGACGTTCAATGGGCCATTATTGACAATGCAGACATTGGCACTGTTGAAGCACAAAATTCTCAATCAAATCTTGAACAAATAGCTGCCAATCTTCAATCCTTTAATCCTGTTGAATTGGGAACCGTCATCAGCAACACTGCTGAAATACAAACCATCACCTCTCTTAATTTCACTTCAACCGAACAACCTGATCCTTCATCTAACAACTCTGGTTCATCATCTGGCTCCAATGATCCCTATTATGGAAATGAACCTGTCAACCAAGGAGACGAAGATTACGTAGATCCTACCCTCAATGATGATATCCTCCAACAAAATGATTATGTTGGCAATTCGAATGATGATTCAAACGATGAAGATGCGATCCAAAACCAAAACAAAAAAGGTCTCAAATAGCCTCAAGACAATTCAAACGATAATATTTTATTGATTTCAGTCATTTGCGCAGTGGGAGGTGTAGTGTTAATTTCATTAATCATCTCTGGTGCTTTGTGGAACAGAAGACAAAATGTGCTCAAGACCAGAGTCCACCAATAGAGTAGCCCAGATATTCTGTCAAAACCAGAGTAGATAGATGATGACATTGTGCAATACAATATCTGAAAATGATATGATCAATTTTTGTATGTGCCATTTATCTATTATAATATTCATTTTTAAATATTAAAATATACCTATTTGGTAGATACCACATAACTTTGTAAAATTCAAATTGTATTTTTAGTTTCTACATTCTTATTCTTATTCTTATTCTTAATGTTATAATAAACAAAGTGTAAATATTTTTATTGATAAAACTAAATTAAAGCATTATGTCTAATGTCTTATGATTAAATATAATAAAGATTACTATCCAAAAAATTGTAACTATATATAATACAGTTTTGTAGAATCACTTTTAATACCTATATTAAATATTTATTCATTTCGATTAAAATTTTTGTTTCTAAGTTTGAATAATTTAGAAATCCATTTTCAGTTTTTGGATATAGATTATGAGGGTTATTTGATAATTCTATATTGAAAAGATTTTTAACGTTTTTATATTCTTTAAAGTTCTAAAATCACCCACATAGTAATTCTCATTACTCAAATGCCTAATCTCTTTAATTAAACTACCATCCTTAAAGGAAGGAATAAATAAATTCGAAAAACCTTTTTGCTATCTTCTCTTTCAAAAGAAATACAATTTATTATTCAAACTTTTATATTAAATCAAAGTCGACAACAGAAAATGCACCTTACTTTTAATGATTTCTCAAAATAATGTTAGTATTTGTTTAGGACTTAATATCATACTTTATTGTTATAAAATCGTTTCAAAGAAATTATTATAAAAAAATAAATTTATTTTACACCCTTAATCCATAGCAATGGTTATAGTGCGAGATGAATTTCAAATAATTATATATTATTATTATTCATATTGGAGAATCGTGTAATAGCGAGATTAATGATATATGTAAAAGGAGTTATCTTGGAACATTTTCAACATTTCAATTTATGATTTTCCATGTCTAGATATTCTCAAAATTTTCCAATTTTTGTAAAGGATTTGTTTTATGCAGAATTTTTGATATTCCAATAAAATCCATATTGTAATATTGTATTATAAAACACTAATTCACCAGAATATTTAGAATATGGACTTTTTATATATGGAATTACGAAAATGTTATATTGAAAAATAAAATTATGAATTAAGACAACAATCTATAAAATTAGGAAACTCAAGAAGAATTGTCGAATAAAGCCAAAGATCATTTTGAAAAATCTTAAGTAGTTAAACATTTTATGTCCAGACCTTACATTAAAATCAAGTGTTGGATGATGCTCTTAATGAAGTTAATGAGGCCCTCAAAATAAATTCCAACTATTCAGAAGCCTTAAATTTAAAAGGTAAAAAAAACCAATACTTTTATTAGCTGAGATCTTAGTAAAAAAAGGAGATACGAAATAAGCATTAGAAGAAGTAAATAAAGCTATCTAACTGAATCCTCAACTGAAGGAAGCATATTATAACAGAGGTATTTTGCCATGTGAGTTTAGCTCTTATCTTCAGGAAGAATAAAGCTTACAATTTGGCTCTCAATGATGCTGAAATGTATTATCAACTTGATCCTTAGTCAACTAAAACTATTAACTTTAAGGGTATGAATATTTTAAGCCATCGTAGGCATAATTATGAAGGAATCAGGAAGTTAATAAGAAGCTCTTGCTGTATTTTAGAAAACCATAGAGTTAGATTAAATGAATTATCCTGCACACTATTAAAGCGGTAATAGGGAAATCACGAATGATTAGGTTTGATTCTCCGTGCTCTAAAAAAGGAGGAGGATGCTTTGTTAGAATTCAATAAAGCAATTGAGATAAGGCCAACTTCCAGCGATGCCTATTTTGAAAGGGCAGAACTATTAACAGATATGAATAAGAAAGAAGAAGCATTGGTAGATTACAACAAAACAATTGAACTTGATCCGAAAAAAGCTTAAACTTATGAGTGCAGAGGTTTTTTGTTTCGTTATGGAAGGAATACTTCTGAAATAATTGGAGAAATACGAAGAGGCACTTTCAGATTATAATATGGCCATTAAGTTAAATCCAAAAGTTGCTAATTATTATTTGAATAAAGGTTTATAAATGGTTTTACTTCTAAGGATTGCTTTTTAAGGTTTTGAATGAAAAAGAAAAGGCCCTTGAAGAGTACAATTAAGCTATTTCGGTTAACCCTAAATTTGCAAAAGCCTACAAAAACAGAGGTCATTTGAATTCCTATTCTTAGCCATCCTTTATAAAGAAATTGATTAAAATGATAAAGCCTTAAGTGACTACACTAAAATCTTAGAATTGAATCCAAAAGATGAAAAAATTTACTAATTCAGAGGTAAGAAATTGGTTTTAATAAAAGGTAATTTACTAAAATAGCTCGGATAGAATGAATTAGCTCTTTAAGATTATACGAAAACGATTGAAATTAATCCTAACGATACCGAGAATTACGTTAGACGAGGTAAATTAGTAATATATTGAAAAGCTACTTTGTATAAACAGTTAGGCTAGAATGATTTAGCAACGAAAGATTATGATAAAATTTTGGAGATTGAACCAAAAAATTCGAATGTCTATTATAAAAAAGGTATCAAAATTCGTTATGGAAGCCCTTTTCTTGGAAGAATTATAATAGAATGAACTTGCCATTACCCTTTTGAATTAGGCTATCTAATTAAATCCATAAGATGCGAATTTGTATCTCAAAAGAGGTAGATAAATCATATTCTAATGAATTAGGCGATCTTAATAAATTGACTAATCAACTTGATATGGCTGTGAATGATTATTCAAAAGCTATTGAAATCAACCCAAATAATGAAGTTGCGTTATTGAATAGAGGTTTCAAATCCTTTTAATTTATGTAGCATTGCTTTTCAAGTAATTGAACTAAACGGAAAGAGCATTTTAAGATTTTCATAGAATCTTAGAGATTAATCATAACCATCTAAATGCATATCATCATCGAGGTAATTTCATTAATAATTTAAGGAAATTTGTACAAAGAACTAAACTAAGATGAATTAGCCCTTCAAGATTTTAATAAGATAATTTAAATAGATCCAAAAATTGTGATCGTTTATTATAATCGGGGTATAAATGTAATCATATCTCTAAAGCAAAAATTTATTAAAAATAATAAAAGAATGATTTAGCACTTCAAGATTTGAATGTAGCAGTTGAACTTGACCCAAAAATCACATATACTCTTGTTGAAAGAGGTTGAATATTATTCTATATTAGGGATCTTATATTATAATATGAACGAAAAAGATAAGGCATTAAATGATTATAACAAGGCTATTGAAATAAATCCACGATGTTATGATGCTCATGTTAACTTAGGTATTTAATCGGAGTATTTCTTATTTAGGCAATTTACTGAAATCTTTGGATTAAAACTAATAGGCTCTTGACTCTTACAATAAAGCTGCAGAATTAGATCAAAATAATTATTTGGCTTATCATAATAGAGGTATCATATTTTTACACAACTAATAAAGCTATTTTATGGAATAAATTGAATGAAAAAGAGAAAGCACTTGCCGATTTTGATAAAGCGATTTTATTAAATCCTAAAAGTGCGGTTTCATATTCTTCAAGAGCTTCCTTGCTATCAGATATGAATTAGAAGGATAGAGCTATAGATGACTTCACCAAATCTTTACAAATCAATCCAAAATAAAGTCATATTCTGATTTTGAGAGGTAAGGGATACAGTTTATATTTTTAGGAAATTTACATAAATAAAAACAATAAATTTCTTAGGCAATCTAAGATTACACGGAAGCTATTAATATCAATCCAAATTAAGCTGATTATTATGTCAGTCGAGGTATTTAACTATTTTTGATCCTTTTAGGCAACATTTTACAAGATCCAGCCAAGGAGCATGAGAAGGCCTTATAAGATTATAATAAAGCAATTGAAATTGCTCCAAATTCATTTATTTCATATTATTAGAGAGGTATCATCAATTCCTAAAGTAGCATTGCTTTATAGATCCATCGATAAAATCGAGCTTGCTATTGCTGATTGCAATAAATCGATTGAAATAAATCCAAAAAATGAACTTCCTTATATTGTTAAGGGTAATTTTGATTTGCTTATTCTAGGTTTAATATTCAAAGAATTGAATAAGCCATAGGATGCAATAGCAGAATACAATAAGGCTTTGATTATAAATCCAACTTGTACAAGTGCACTCTTGAAAAGAGGTATCATACTTTACAAAATATTAAGGGGACGCCTACGATCTAATGAAAAATCACTAAGAAGCTTTAAATGATTTTACTAAGGTGATAGAAATAATTCCAAACGAATCTGGAGGTTATTCTAGTAGAGGTTTATAAACTTGAAATATTTTTTTAGCCCCTCTATTGATGAAATTGGCTTAAAAGGAAGAAGCTTTACAAGATTATAATAAAGCAATAGAAGTTAATCCTGGAGAAGCGGCCAATTATTATAACAGAGGTAAAAGAGAATATATTTGAAGCTATCTACTACAATCAAGTTTAATAGAAAGAATTGGCACTTTAAGATTACAATAAAACCATCGAACTAAATTCTAACAGCTATTTAGCCTACAATAACAGAGGTTAATGTAACATCTTACAATAGCCCTTTTACTTTAGAGCATTGGTAGGAAAGACGAAGCTCTATAAGATGTATTAAATGCAAATAGACTTTGTCCTGATAATCCTTTATTTTTGGCCAACTTAGGAGATAGATATTATTCAGATCAATAATTTGAAAAAGCAACTCATTATTATAAATAAGCATAATTTTATATAGACACTCTCTCAACCACAAGAATTAGTCAAATGAGATTAACTTAAGGAAATTTGAACTTCATTAAAACAAAAGTAAAATTAATCACCTAGATCGAAAATGAAATTTAAAAAATGAAATAATAAATAGCCTAATTGCCTAAAACAAGCTAAAATAACGAATAAATATAAGAGTACTTAGAAAAAGTAACATGTATTGAAAGATCTGTATCTTATTCTGTTCAACCAATCAATCAAGATCAGTAAGCTGATACACAACAAATGATGATATCATATTTTTAATAGATGGAGAAATAATTAAAAGAACTTTAAGCCAAAGTAAGCTCATAGGATTAAGTTATTAATTAATTGGTTTAATAAGATTCATTTAAAATTGAACAGGAAATGAAGGAAATAAAATAAAATAAAAATAAACATCAATTAACCTATTTCAGATCTTTGTTTTGGCATTTGTATTATTATTTACATGCTATGTCTGAGATCTCTACAAACTTGTTCTAAGTGAATACTAATGCCATGATAGAAAGTACATCTGAAAAAGTAATGAATGTTGTCAAAAAAGCATTTAATGTAGGAGCAAAAGTCTTAGAAACAGTACATATAGCTGAACATGCATTTCATATTATCAATGAGGCATTGAATTTTGTGGTGGATCATAAAAGAGAGGAAAAGTTTAAGAAAAGATTAATGCTATTAACTAACATATTGAAACTGTTTGCTATTACTCCTTCAGAGTTAGAAAGAGAAGTCTAATTTACTGCCATTGAATTAAGTCGAGCTTAGTAACCTGGATTAAAAGAGATACCAAGTTCAAAATTCATAGAATTTATTAAGAAATTATCAGATGAAGAAAATATTTCAGAGGAGAGCAGCAAAGACGTATATTGGAAAAAAGGAATTGAAGATACTTTGATTATTTTAAAATATTTAGAGAAGAGTAATCAGAAAATTATAAAAGAGGATCAAAACAAAAAATTAAGAGAAGTATTTTTGGATGCTATTAAACAAAATATAATTGATCAAAGCAATAAAAAACAAAAAGATAAATCGCAAAAAGATTCAAAATAAAAGAAGCCTAAAAAGGACAATTAAGAGTAATGTAATATTTAATGATTCAATAAAAACATTAAAATAATATATTAAGAATATTAAAATTATAAATTCTTAAATTAAATATTTAATAAATTTCATCATTTAATGATCTCTATAGCAAGATTGTATTTTCAAATATGATGTTCATTTATAGCACAAGCTTTGAATTTGAGTTATTATATATAAAGATACTTACTTGATAATACTAATTTATTTATACCCCTCAAACATTATTTGATATATCTATATATCCAATATTTATTACGGCTTCTTAAAATAAAATAAGTTGTTTCTATTAATATTAGCTAATAATTTGATTTAAATTCTTAATTATAAGGAAATCTGAATATATTTCCTAATCATTTATAATGTATCATCTTTAAACTCAGTTTAACTCTATTTCGCTTTTGAATACATTTGAAAAATAAAAATTACATTAAATTCATCCATAAAAATACCGATAATTTACCTTCATCAAAGTATCACATCTCTAAAATATTAGTTAGAAGACATCTTTCTATTTTCAAAGAAACCCATTTATTATTTAAGCAATGTAAATAAGAATTCGGATTTCAAAAATAAATTTTATTTAGATATAAACATTGGGACAACACTAATTGTGATCATTCACTAGATAATAACATAAAGGATGTGCTATTTGAATATTTGTCACATTGCTTTCGGTATTTTTTTAAATGAAGAGCAGGAAATGAATTGAACTAAGGTAGAAACAAAACACGTTTATTAGTATTCTAAATAAAAAATATTGATATCTTAATTATTATTGATTTCATTAGGTCATAAAGACATTAGAGGAGGAAAGGGATTCGAATCAGCGATCATAAAACTATATGAAATTGATAATATTATAGAAATAGATTTTATCCAAATATGCATCTGAGAAAAAAGAAATATTTAATATCTAATTAATAGATTAATTCTTGAATAACTAATCATTTCTTGGCTTATTTCTTGCTATCCTTTTTGGGAGCCTTCTTTGCGGCTTTTTTAGTTGCTTGCTTTGGTTTAGCTGCTTGTTTTCCTTATTTTTTGGGTGTTGATGCAGCAACTGGTGTTGCGGTGGTAGGTGCAGGTGCTGTAGTTGTCACTGGGGCTGGTGCTGGAGTAGCATCAGTGGTCTTTTTAGTGACTTTCTTAACATTCTTTGTAGCTTCTACAATAAATTAAATAATTCACTTGGTGTTCCAGCCTTCTTGGCTCCCTTGTTTCCCTTTGTTGCTCCTTTTGCCATTTTAATTATGTTTTCTTATTTTATTATTAATTTTTTGTTATAAGCTTTAAATTCGAATTATTAAATTTCGTTAATTTCATTGGTTTATTTGTGATATTTTTGGATAATGATATTGCTAATCTTTAAATTACAAAGATCCAATTCTGCACATCCTCTTCCTGGTAGTTTATTTTAAACATCATTTAAATTCAAAATTTCCCCTACTCGAGGACCTCAAAATGTAAATAATTTTCCTTAATTTGCCACTTCAAAGTATGAAATCATCATGAAAGTCCTTAGCTTAGAGTAATCTTATGTTAATCGTCTAAAATTGATCCATTTCAAATATTGAAACAAAGTTTGAAGTCGAATTTTTAAAAAATTTGTTTATACAAAAAAAGTAATAATAAATTTATTTTTTAATTTTTGAATGAAATTAATTTAATTATTTAATAAATTATTATCAACTTATTTTCGAACTCCTTCTCGTTATTAAGAACCTTTCCACAGCTTCAGCTAAGGTTGGTCCACCACACTCAAGTACAGCATTAATTACATCAGCCATATTCTATTTACCATTTAAAACCGCTTTCTCAAGTTATTAGATTTCTTATTCAAGAGATTGTTGTCTCTATTCACTCAACTTAACAATGTTCTTTCTCTTAATATCATATTGATTACTTTATAGATGCCTAGTTCCTTCTACAAACTCTCAAGCTTGACTTAATCTTTTCTATTTTGATGGACTAAATTTACTTAATTTATAATTTACCCAAAGATTGGTTTTCTTATTTAAGATTTGTGTATAGAGTAGATTATTGATTGATAAGAGATGTCAAGTCTAGATTCTGGTTATCCGGTATTTATAAGTGCGAATTGATTTAAGTTTTTAGAATTTCGATTTCTAAGGTCCTAGTACTAAATTCATTATTTACTTTGACTTTATTTCTTTATTACTTTCAATTAATTTTTATTTTAACTAATTAATTTCTTATTGTAATTGCGAATTAATTTGCTGTCTTTCCTCCAGAAATTCTGATTGCTATTTTCCACATGATTCCTAAATTAGTAGTTTTTATCGTGTTTATATTAATTCCTAATAATAATTATCAATTTCAATTCTATAAATTTACATGCTATTCATCTTTTATTATAAATGATAATTATTTTATTCTTCTGAGTATTCTTATAGTTGTAGATCTTGAGATAATTATTGATTAACTTATTAATTTAGTAATTACTCCTCTAAGGTATTTATTTTGACTTATTTTTCTTAAATATCCTTTAAGAGTTCACTATTTTCAATCTTTTTATTAAAGACCTCCTTCCTAATTTATTCTAGATCTATTTGTAATTGAATATTTTCCCTCTTAGTTATCTCTAATTCTATTTTCCCTAATTCAGTTTCCTTTTAATTGAACTCAATCTGTTTCTGCTTCTACTCCAGTTCTTTCTTAATAAATTCATATTCTTTATTTATTATAAAGGTGTTATTAGAACTATCGTAACTTTTAATCTAGACCTTTTTATATTCATTTCTAAGGTTGGTATAAGTCTCTGATAATAAATTAAACGTTGCTTCACTTTTTATTAATTACTCTTTCAAATCTTGATTCTCTAAAGACAATCTCTCTATCTAGTATTACATCTATTGATTTTCATTTAATAATTGCTGAATTGAGACTTATTTATACTCTTTCAAATCAATTTCTAGTTACCTACTTGTAAAGAACCCAGCCTCTAAATATTTTTAACTATTCTTCCCTTAATCTTCTATTGGTGCTGCGTTTTTATTACAATTTCTTTATTATTTCGCAGTTCCTTTAATTGCATCATTTTCTTCATTTTAATGACTATGAATTCTAATTTTTGCTTTTTAATCAAAAATATTAGGACTTTTCTGTACTATCCTTAATCCTTATTCTCTGGCAGCTTGCTTAGAATCACTATATGTCGATTTTGAATGAATTTATGTTTTATAATGCTCTAATAGTCCGGAAGACTTTTAAATTTTCTGTTTTTTAGCGAGTTTGCTGTCCTTTGGAGTTTAGAATCTTCGAGAGTTTGTTGTTTCGAGATGTGCTTTGGTGATATCTTCTATTTTTTCATCCTCTAATTATTTCTATTATTCTATCGACTTTTTATCTATATATTCTTATTTGCTTTGAAGAATATAGATCTATTCTAAAGAAGGAGCATTGATTAATCTATTTTCGATCTGGTGATCTATCTCATTTGGTACTCTATTAGCTGTTTATTAAGATAATTTTATAAATAATGGTTATTCTCTTATGGGATTAGCCTATTGAATTTCTTTAGTTTGTGTTTACTCAAATTAGTTCCATCCTAAACTCATCTCAACATAAGCTTCTTGATCATACCTACTCTGTATTGTAATGTTGTCGATGATGACAGGTAGGCTGTTTTCAATGTAAAATCCTAAATTGATTGTGGCTTCTCCGAAAATAATTTAGCCATCATATATCTACAGCCTTAACTACAATAATATCAATAACTAAACTTACATTCCCCTTATCAAAGTATTATATGTTTAAATCAATTTTTTCCCTAATTTCTTGGATATCTCTACATCTACATCTCAATAATGACTTCAAAGGAGTTGACGATAAGTCTATTATAAATATCTCATACTATGAATAAATTAGATCGAACAGAATTCTGTCATTGAATTAATATAAAATTAGATTGTCCTCACCTCTAACTATAATTGCAGCATTTTAAATAATAAATGTTAATGTATAGAATTAAGTGCTGTAAATTAAAATTTAAAGGTGTTTTTTCAATCTACCCTAAATCATATCTAATAGTTAGGTTAACAATCATTAATAACTAATTTTTATGGATAAAGTTAAGTTTACAAAAAATAATAGAATATTTTTATGAAAATCTATTTATTTAAGATTCTACTCAATTATATCAATTATTAGAATGCATTCCACTAAATTCTAATTTGTAATTATGTTAATTTCGTAATTTTCTTTTTTGAATGACTCTTATTGTGGAACTTTGTGAATTAGAAAATATTTGTTATCAATTTACATTGAGTGCATTTGGGTTCTGTGATAACTTGGAAATTAAATAGCGAAAATGAGGATATTAACAAAAGGCATTTGATGAAATACAATATTAAAATTTAATTATATATAGTTAAAAAAAATTTAAATTATGAATTCAACAACTCCCAAATCAAGCGGAATCAATTACGCAAGTATAATTTAATTATAAAATGATGGTAGAATTAAGAAAGCAAAGATCTAACTAAGACACTTTACCAAAATCAATGTCAACCAATATAAAAATGAATATTAATTAGACTTAATAATTTGGGGGCATCAAGCATAGAAGCACTTCTTAGCATAATATAAATGAAATGGCATAAATAGAGTTATTTGATTAATGTTTAGAGAAATAAGCAAATAAAAATGAGTTTTTAGTTTTCCTTGATCGACAGATGCAATACTTTAGTCAAAACACTCCTGTATATATTTATCAGATAAGCTTAGCAAAATTATTCATCTTTTCGAGTTACTAATAAGGCAGTTCAGGAAGAGAAGAAAAAATTATAAGTGGAACTCCAAAAATATAATTAAGAAAATGCCTTCTTGATAAAGGAAATAAAGGATTTAAATAAAACTAAGCAAATGCTTGTAAAGAGATATGATGCTTTACAGAGTTTAATTTTAAAAGACCGATTAAACAACTAGCAAAAAGTTCGTTAAATCACCAATCCAAAATTTCAGCATCTGTTCAATCAAATTTCACCAGTTTAAGAGACAATATCTTCCTTGACAGATGAGAGAGTATTCTATTTCATGTAATCCTTTTAGTTTGAGAGTAACACGACATCACTAGATTCTTCTTTATCCTATGAGGATGATCAATCATCTGCATCTTAATTGCTAGATTTATTATAGAAAAATTCTAAACATAGATTTAATTTTCAAAAGCAAATGGTATGATTGCATTTAATTATTTTGTTTTCTTTTTTTTCAATTTTTGTAAAAATCTCATTTGACTCAAAAAAAACTTATGGGTAATCATTTTTAATAACATAAATATATATCATTTATTTATGATGCCACAGGCAATTTCTTTTAAAAATCCTTTATTGTCTGTGACTTCTCTATCGGTTTCCCAATTCTTAAGTCTGCTTTTCATTTTTTTTAACTGTTTTTTCATTTCAACTATTTTTGGCTCAAAATCTGAAGGGAATTTAAATTTTTCATCATTTTGTTCCTGTATGAGATCTTTGATTTTTTTGTTGCTGTCTAAGAACTATTTTATATATTCCTTTTGAATAAGAGATGGTAATTTAAAATTTAGAAAGTGTTAATGTTTCGATGCAGTTTGTTAGATTGATTTTTTGACAAAAATAAGTGAGGGAGATCTTGATTATTTTAATTTTTCAAACGTAGATATTGGAAATAGTTATAAATTTTCAGAGCTTTAATTCTTTCCTGTTGTCTGTTGAGGTGGAGATTAGAGAATTTGTTTCTTTTTATTTAATATATTTTCATAGACTGCCTTTTTATATTCTTCAAATTAAGGTTAGATAGATTGATCTTATGAGAGTAAGAGACTTTATCTTTCAGTAGTTGTCTAAATGACTTTCATTCGCAATTCAGCATTAGATCGACTCCTTTACTTATCTAAATAAGCAGCATTGATTACTCATATGTCGATCTTCTAGGGAAAGTCTTTTGTGTGGTAATTTCAACTTCATGGGGTCATGCTGTATCCATTTTTCTTTTACAGTCTCAGGAACCTATTAGATGTTTTATCTTTTGGGAGTGGAGTATTTGTCTCCTTAAACTAGTCTGTTCATTCTGTCTCTTTCATTAATGAAAGGAATAAAAATCGAGTCTCCTTGCTTTGGTTCATTCTAATACTCTAATAAAAATTATGGTTTTAACTCGTACTATCGTTTTCGCTGTTCTAAAGAGTCATTAGTAAAGGCATAGCACCAGGAACGTTATTAGATTAAGGAACGGAGAGTGCACATTTGGCTCTAATTATGCCTATACTCATGGGAAAAATAATAATTATTAATATTTGTTTAATTTACTAAGTTGGCCAATCATTTTGTTATTATTAAATTGTATGAAGTTTGAAGATAGAATTTAGAATTGTTATATTAAATATTTAATTTGATTATAATTCATTGGTAAAAGTTCTCATACTTTTTTAAGATTTCATCAAACTCAACATAATTAAATTCAATGCCCTAATATGCAAATCTAAATGATATCAATAATTAATAAAACCTCTTGCAAATTACTCTAAATTGATCGTCAGTCAATGGCAATTTGTGAAAGTCCATAATAGATCTAAATCTAGTAAAAGTGATTTTGCCAGATTTTGTTTTATCCTAAACATTCCTCTTTAATTTTATACCTTATCTTGAAAGTGAGGCTTAAGCAAAATCCTATGCTTTCTCACAACTTCGCCAAGTCTTAACATAATCGCATGCAAAGCTTCTTCCTCATCTTGAGTCAAAGCATCCCTAGGATCAAGGAAAGTGGGAATCACATGAACAGGTGGTTTCATTAATGGATCCTTATCTAATCCCTAGAAACATTTTCAATAGATAAATTACTGTTTTAGTGAATACAATTTCCACATCTTCAATAAACTTAGCATAATTCACTCTGATTGGATCTTCTGGTACTACATACATGGTTTCCAATAGATCCAAACTTTCTTAATCTAAATCTATCTTCATCTGACTTAGAACTCCTCTAAACTTATTTGTAGGCATCATTCCTTTTCTCAGAGGATCAAAGTCTTTGAAATAATCCCCCAATCTCAATCTCTTGACCTTGACAGCCACTTTAATCTATTCTAATAACACAGAAGGTTATAACTAATTATAAGAAAAGTCTGTACTTTTTCTTTCTCTTTTGGCTAAACACCAACATATGCCTAAGATGCTCCAGACTCTGTTAGTATTTCTAATGGTGGTTAAGTGTCATTGATAAATTGAACATATCTGATATCACCATCATCTTCTGCAGCATAGATCTTGACAACTGCCTAGAATTCTTCATCAGATAAAATAAAATTAACAGTAGCCAATGTCTATCTAAATTGTTTTGGAGACACCTTATTTCTTCCCAACTTGTCCCAATCTTAAAAGAATTGCTTAATATCAAGTCTAGTAGCCTTACAGAAATATTAGAATTTCTTTTTCACTACTTCAGCCACCTGTCTATCTCTTTCAGTTATAGAGACTCTACCATAATTATATTGAGTAGACATTTATGGTACACTTTCTGATGGACTTACTTTCTCCAGATTTTTAGTAGTGAACACTTAATCTACTTAATCTGTAAACTCTTTCCAAAATACAAATCCCTACTTGTCCTTACATCCGAAATTGTTCAGAATCAATTAGAATTCTGCATCTGACAAGAGGATCTTTGCCATGCTTAATCCTTTTCTCAATTAAGTGATTGTGATTGTACCACTTCTTAATTTATCAAAATCTTTAAGAAATTCAGCAATTCTCTATCTTTATTCTTTGACTATTCTTCTCAATTTAGCCATCAAATCTTCAAAATCATTAGGTTGATCATTTCTAATAAATGCCTAACTCAAATTATCTGATTTGACATAATTTTTAAATGCATCTGCATGTGATTTACTAATAGCAACTCCCTCATCTGATTAATCGACAATCCTACAAAAATCATAGTAATTGACTTCATTTAAATTAGCTTTATCGACAAATCTCTTTAATAAGAGGTTTAATGAAACTGGGTCAGGAAATAAATTGAATTGATTCAGAATTCTTAAAAATTGATTGGTTGTAATATAACCTTATTTAGTCTTATCAAAATCTTCAAAAACGGGTTTTAGTAGAACTCTCTTATTTTAGATTGCTTATTTGTATTTCATAAGTAAGTCATCCAATTAAATTGCCTCCTATTCTGTCATCTATAAATATCTTCTCCTTGCAGGTAGAGTAGTAGAGTCATCTATTTAAGGAACCTAAGCTTATGGCTCCTTATCAATACCCTTAATTGTAAATATCTTATCAACATCCTCACAAAACTTATTATAATCCACTTAACCATTTGGAATCTTATCGATCTTGTATTAATTCAACAACAATTAAATTTCTTTTTCAGAAACTGGAATATTTTGAATATGCAAAATTCTAGCAAACTATATTCATTTATTGATGTCATACTTAAGATTCAGTCACCAAGCCTTTTCTCAAAGGATCAAAATCTTTGAAGAACTCTCTTATTCTGATTCTTTTCATAACTACATCTCCTTAGATCTTTCTCAATACTTGATTCAAAGTATTAATATTGTCTGTCAACTTTTTTGATGTGAATAAAGTGGAAATCAAGTCCAATCCTTCTTTGTCTTCTATGAAGTCATCATCTGGGTGAATCTACAATATTATTTTCTCATTTTACATCTTTTGGATTCTATTTGATTCCTGTGATCACTCCACTCAGCATTTCTTACACATTATCAACATCATCGCAAAACTTTACATAATTAACTTCCTTAGGATTTCCATTGTCAATATATTATCTTATAAGTAACTGTAAATATTGATCTTTTGGCAACAATCCTAATTAATTTAGAACCCTTGAAAATTAATCAATTGTAATATGTGAACATGCAGTCCTATCAAAGTCTTAAAATGGCTATTTCAAGAATATTCTTTTCGTAGCAATCTTTCTTTTTATGGCCTACATTAATCTTTTTACAGTCTCCTCCTCATTTTGATTGAAAATCTAAATATTAACATCTTCATACTTGAGGTGCTTAAAATACCTGAGCCTTTGCTTCATTGTTGAGAAATTGCTCCTCAAGTTTATTACAAAATGTTGTATATTGTATTAGCCCATCATTTAGTTTGTATCTTCGAATGATTTCCTCTATATCCTCCTTTGTAAAATGAAAATTTATCATAGAAAGTGCAGAACGAAACTAGAGATCAATCAAAACTCATTACCTTGTCCTCTGTCACCCAACCCTTTCTTAATCGATCAAAATCAGTAAAGAATTCCCTGACTCTAATTTGCTTTTTATATACATCTTATTGCAATCTTGTCTCTATATCTTATTATACATAAGTTCCAACTAACCCTTTGAATAAGACCATTTTACTTATAGATTGTCCTGCAGAAGCTAATGCTGTGGCCATCCTTCGGTTATTTTTTAGTATATATATTAATTAATTAATAGCCTTTAGAAGCATCAAAATATTTATAATTTCTCAAATTTCAAATCAGCACTGCCATCTATTTTCATTCTTAACATCTACATCAAATACTCAAAATTATTTTCAAAATAATATTAATTAAAATAACTTATCTTTGAGTATAATTATGCTTCCTCAAAGAACAGTGTAGAACAAAAAAATATAGTTTGTCAATTATGTAACACTACCAATTTTGAGACAAATTTAACAGCAAAGCTTACAAAATGGGGAAAAAAAGATTGAAAAAGATAAATGATATTTGATCATTCCTTTTATGTTAATTATAATTATAAAGTATATTCTTAAAAAACTTCATCTCAAATGCGATATTTTAGCTTTTTATAGAAAATTCAATAGCAATAATCTGATATGAATAAAAACTATCTCAAATTAATTAAGCTGTCGTTTACGACAAGGTGTCAACTAATTCAGCCTAAACTTCAATTAACATCATTAATAAATTAATGAATATATATTGATTAAATCTATTCTAGATTTATAAAGCCTTGTTTTCTTTATTCAAATCTTATAAATAAGGTAACATTCACATATCTTTTATTGCTTTGTGTTTTATTAATCATTAGGATATTATATTATTAGCTACATTTAATCAAAGTTTTTTACAATTAAACTAAATAAAAGAATATTGTTAAAGTGTAATCAATTTTTATTTGATTCTCAAACATTTCTTATTCATAACTTTATTTGGAGTAGGAAGTTTAAATTATGAAAATTAACAAATTAAATTTGACCCCATTTTCGGGTATTCAACTCTAAAAAGTGTTAATTAAGTAAGCATTTTGCAATTCGTTTTAGTTCATTGAATTCTATTGATAATAGACTTTGATTCAAATAATTTTATTTTATGGATATGATAATATTTTGTAAAATTCATAAATTTACCTTCTACAAACAGGTTTTTAGAAAATAAGAAAATATTAATTCCAAGATGATGGATGCATAAATAATTCTTTCGATTTTATCACATATTATTAATACTATAATATAATATTTTAAAAAAAGAATTTGAAATTGTAATTAAATAATAAGATATAAATTTTAAATAAAATTATATATATAAGTCATTTCTAATAAGTTTAAGTGAATGGTTGGAATATGTAGTTGGGTTACCCATAGGGTGCGAATTAATTCTTAATTTGTTCACACCATAAAGAAAGCATCATAAAATTATCATTATTTTGATTTTCCTAAATTTCTTTTTATTCATTATCTTCTTTCTAACTCTTAATAGATTTTTCTATGCAATTTTCTGTTTTTTGACTATAAAGGTAAGTGGACATTTAAGGCTGAATAGGATTTAATACAATATCATATATTCGAATTATTTTTTTAAGTTTCCTTACTCGACTCTCTTTTTTACCAACCCTTCCCTCTCTCATATATGTATTAATAATGGATTTACAGGTAGACATTAATATATTATGTTGTTAGGCGACCTATGTTAGATAACTTAGAATTACATCTGCAATTGATTTCTTTTCATCTAAGATCTAATGAATGATTTGCTCTCTTAACTCCTTATTTATTTTGCTGTACTGTTTCTTGAGGTCTTCCATTATTGAATTATATTTTTATTATAAGATGACAAAAATATTTTTAGAACTTAATTATATCGTAATCTTTACAATTTAAAATAAATGATCATAATTTATACTTAAGTTATCTCATACTTCTAATTTTTTCTAATTACATTTCTCATTTTCTATTTTTCAAACCTTCATACTTTTACAAATCCCTTAAATTGGACAGAGTTTTCTTTATTTTATTAATGAGCCTCATAAACTTTTTTTCTCTTGCTTTATAATATTAAAAATTATATTAATTCTTAATATTTAGAATGGAATATCAATATTTATGATGTATTATATTTTCACTTTTTATCCTTCTTTGAATCATCAGATTTACTTCCTAAATTAGTTCCACTCCAGCTAAAATTTATGAAAAATTCTTTTGATAACGCACCAATCAACATTGTTTCTATAAATATCTCAAATATATATTAATTAAAAATAATGAGTGATAAATAAAAATTAAAGTCCTAAAAATAGTATAAGAAATCATAGTTTCATAGAATTTCTACCATTTTATTATCTTAAAAATTTTCTTATACCAAATATATAGTTAGTCAAATGAAAATAACCACTTACTCTTTTGAAGATTCTTGTTGACAAATCATAAAGTAAGAATTATTATTTTATAAACCTTAGCATTTTATTTCAGGATTAAAATAAAAAGCACAATTTAGTATGATTATTTTTTATGTTACAATAATTTATTATTATATAGGCGGGCGCAGTATCTGAATTCATATCTGGTACTTTATTAAATTAGAATACAGCGGAAGCTAGCAAGAACAATTACATCATCATAAGGCTTATGATTTGTTTTTAAACTATTTTTCTTTAATTTATTTTAGAAAATACATACTACAGAATGTCATTTCATTATCTATTCAAAGTCATTCTTATTGGTGAACCAGGTAATGAAAATGAGTTAATTCTCAAGTGATTGAAAAATCGAATCTTTTGCTCTCGTTTGCTGATTAACATTCTAAACAAAATAAAGAGACGACTATTTATTTGGAGCTTGGATCAAAAGTTATCAAATTAGATGGATTAAACATAAAGTTACAAATTTGGAATATTGTATTCATTTTGAGGGTAAAATTAGGCTGAATCCTTTCAATCAATAACTAGATCATTTTTTAGAAATGTAGCAGGAGTTATTGTAGCTTATGATGTTACAAAAAGGGAGAGCTATGAGAATGCGGCTAGATGGATTGATGAAGTGAAATAGAAGGGAGATCCTAAATTATCTATGCTCTTAGTTGGTATTAAAGGAGATTTTGAATAGTAATAAAGAAGCTTAATTTCATATAATGAGGCACTGCAATAAGCCAAGGATTGTGGAATTGAATTTTTTGAAACCAGCTCTAAAGTGAAAAAGAGCGTTGAAGAAATATTTATAAGAATGACTTAAATGATATTGGAAAAAGTCAATCTAGGAGAAATTGACCCTTAATTAGAAAATTTTGGGGTGAAATTAGGAAGAGAAGAAAGCGCACATTCTCATGGGAATAAAAATACTGCTAATTTGATGTAACTACAATAAAATTAACATCTTGGAGAAAATACAATATCAAATACTTGTTGGTGAAAAATTGATATTACATAAGTACTATCATTTTATCGTACAGTTTTAATCTATTTAATCGTTGTATTATTTTAATATAAAGTTTATAATTATGAATAAAGTTGAAAATTCCAAGGAAGAAAAACATGAAATTTCAGAATCGCAAGTTGCTCCAATAGATATTATACAAATAATTTAGAAGAAGTATGCTATAAAATAAAATTAATCTCAAGAGTGTATATTTAAATACAATAATAGAGATCATCATTAATGAAATTCCTGAGTCTTCAAAAATTATTGATTCTACACTTTAAAAATAAGAGAGCAAGCAATAACTAATATATCATAAAGACATTTACGCAAGAAGTTTGTATATATTTAAACTTAGATTCATTTAAGAGTGTAGGTTGTGTTTGTAGAATATGTGAATTTCCAGAATAGAAAGAAAATCCTCTTATTCGTGTATGTAAATGTATAAGATCTCAGAAATACGTCCATGAATATTGTTTGAAAAAGCAAATTATATAAAAATATCGGATTAACTTAAATAAAGCAAAATGTGAAATTTGTTCTGATACTTATTAAATGGAACTTAAAATAGAGAAGATTTTTGATCCTGTAAATTAAAATTTTACATTTTAGTAAACAGCATGGTCTCATAGCAAGGATAAATTACCTTTATTTTGTTTATTGGTCTTCTTAATTGTGTTAGTAGTTGTTGTAATCTTACTTGGAATTCGATTGTATGAACTTTATTGTAATATAGAAAAGAGGCTAATTCAATTACTGATAGGAAGAACTTTCTAGACTCCAAATCTTTTCTCATCATATTTATAGTCTTTGCAATCATTACAATTTTGGTATTACTATGGTTAATTGCAATGATCGTAAAGGGACTTTTAATAATGGAAAAAATTTTGTATTGGAAACTCTTAGAATATAAGCCAATAAAGAAATCAATACTCAACAAAAATATTTAAATCTCAGATATCAAGTAATCATTTCGTAAATCTAAACTTTTTGGTGAATAACTAACTACATAAAATAGGAAAAATAAACATCTAAATACATTTAATATTGAAAAAAACAATTATAATCAAGATGATCAATCAATTGAAGTTGGTGAAATATCTACTTAACGAAATCTACCAAAATCAGTTAATAAAAATGTTCTCACAGTTGAAGCTGATCCTCGAAAAACCAAAAGAGCAAGATTTTCAATTATTTGATTAGTTATCGTTTGTTCATGTATATAATAAATAATCTAAATAGTAATAAAATTTCATACTTATAATTAGATCATTAATGCCCATTTGATAATCGTCTTTATATTTTTAAGACCAGACAATTCCTAAATGGTCTTGATAGAAAGGTTTTGAAGATTATTGTTAGTACTAGTATGAAATTAATTAATAAAAATAGCAAAAATAACTCAAAGATATGTTTTCGACAAGTAAATTTGTAATTTTGGAAATCAAGGTCCAGAAAGAGTTAACTTATAATAGATTTGAGTTATAAGACAAAAGGTGATAGTTCAATTCTCTCAAATGGTGTCCTTTTTTGTTTGTCGTCTTGTTAATAATTAACAGATAATTTAAATATATTTATTTCAAAATGAGCATTCGGCAAAGTCTCATTCAACAATTCATGCACACTCTTCCTAATTAGAGCTCTTAATAGACTATAACTTTATTGGCTCTGATAGGAATAGAAAGTGTTCTTTAGGATAATGACAATAAATTAGTCAGAGAATAAATTACTCTCATCAAAAGACAGATAGAGAATATTTAAACTAAAGAAGAAGAACACACAATAAGAGGAGTAAAATCAAAGGAAAGAGCTCTAACTCCTAAGATTACCGAATCCCAAGCTCCAACTCCGTTAAGCCACCAAAGAAATGCTGTATCTAGACACCATCTAGACGATCAGGCAATGAGAATGGCACTTAGTTAATAATATGAGGAGACAGAACAAATCAGATCTCCAAAATCTGAAATTTCCAATATTAGAACACCGAAATAATCTATCCAATACTTTATAGAGATGAAGAGTTAAAAGTCCAAAAGGGGACCAGAAAACAAATTAAAGGAATTGCAAAATAATTTAACCAGAGAATTGATAGCAGATTACTAGGGTGTGTTGGAGGAAATAAAATAGAACCCAACAAAATACACGGAAACTCCAGAAACAAGCCTCTAGGAGTAATAAATAAAGGAATATATAAAGTTACAATAGTAGGTACAATTATAGTAGCAAAAGTTAGAAATTGAAAAATAACAGCAATAATTAAAATAACAATCTTAAGACTATAATTAATCTTAGAAAGATCTATTAAATTTGAAGAGGAGAATTGAAACCCAGCCTGATTATAAGCTAGAAAAACCGTGGTAGGTTTAGGAGAAAAAGACAAATTAAGGAATATTAAATTAAAAGTCAGAACCTAATTAGATCTAAACTTAAATGGCAACAAAGAAAGTGTAATCTACACCATAATAAAAAGAGAAAAAATCTCCAAATAGATATGAATAATAACAACAATAATAACAATAATAATAATAACAACAATAACAATAATAATCTTAATAATCTGTTTTATAAACAGAGAATACATTTTCATTCTTTTAAAGATAAAAGACTTAAGGAACTCAAATTAATACTCAATAATCTATTAATTATGAAAAGCATAGTGGAGGTTTGAAGTAGATGGCAGATAAGTTGATAAATTCTCCAATTATATAGTAAGTTTCTTTGAAGTCTGCTGAAAATGTTTCATCTCCAGGGAAGGAGGTGTAAGTTTCATAGTTTGAAGAATAAGGTACAAAGTAGTAGTAGTATTTATAGATTCAATGAGTTCAAATTCTAGTGCATTTTCCCTGTTCTAACCTAACGAGGAATTGAAATCATTTTTTAGGAAAGAATTGATTAAGGAGGAGAATGATGAAAGTAAGTACTGTATTTAATTAGATCATGATCCGAATTGCGTAAAGTACTCTAATATATTTTTGAAAGGGAGAATGGGAGGATCGAAAGTGTTTTGAATTAATTAGGTATATAATGCAATTTTGAATTACTTTTACTTATTATTAATAATTAAATGGCAGATTATTATACATATCAAAGGAAACGAAGAGATCTGGGGAAGCCTTGCAATTTTTAGGAGAGTGAAATAAAAATAGCAGGTTACACAAAGACAGTCGCTGTCATTCCAAACTATGTGAAAAGAAATCCCAATCACATTGACTTGGATAATATAGCAGAATACTCAGAGCATTCTGTAAGCATTTGTTTTAAAAAATACAGGTTAACACAGAGAGAGTGTCGACAGGAGACAAAGTGATGTACCATAAAGAAGGAGGGGTATTTTTATTTATGCAACAGTTTTTAGTGGCCTGCAGGCATAGACCCAATGGAGCAGCAAGACCAAAATAAATACAGAAGAAGGTTCGAGAAAGATGCAGCATTTGCAGTTGCAGTTAAAGAGCTTAGCAATACAGTGGAGAAATGCATTCTTTAGAATAACCAGATAGATTTGTTCGAGGAGTATTTCTTAGACGAAGAAAGTGAACATCAAGTTGAGAATCTAAGCACCAAGACTTTGATGTTATTCAAGTATTAGTTGATACAAAAGTAGGGATTAACAAACAGATGGAATTAAAAGATCTGTGTCTGAAATATCTTGGCATCCAGAAGGCCCCATAAAGGCAGCTGTTTCCTATGCAATAAGCAGATTCTAACAAATGCCAGAAGGAATGATGAAATCATCATATGTTTGGGATTTACAAAATCCAAATAGTCCTGAATTCCACTTAGAAACCAATTCCCCAATTACCAATTTGATGTACAATCCAAAATTGTCTGATCAAATTGGTGGTGGATGCTATAACGGTCTAGTCGCTGTTTGGGATGTAAAGAGAGGTAAATAACCGGTAATGACATCACCTGTTGAAAAATCTCATCATGACCCAATCACTCATTTTCAATGGTTGTTTAGCAAGACTGGTACAGAATGTGTGACAACATCAACTGATGGTCGTGTCTTGTGGTGGGATACTAGAAAATTGAATGAAGGTCCTATTGAATCATTAAATGTGACCGAGGGATCTAATCCAAATGATCCTTTGATTGGTGCAACAGTATTGGAATATAACACAGAAGCCGGTCCAACAAAATATTTAATTGGTACAGAGATGGGTTCTCTAATGGTTGCTAACAAAAAACCAAAGAAAGCTGTGGAAATTACAGCTAGATATGGATTGGAGAGTGGAAGACATTTGGGTCCAGTCATGTCGATTAATAGAAGTCCTCCAAATCCAAAATTCTTCTTAACAGTTGGAGATTGGAGTGCTAAGATTTGGGTTGAGGATATCAAGACACCAATAATGAGAACTAAATATCATGGTAGTTATTTAACAGATGGTTGTTGGTCCCCCACTAGAAATGGAGTGTTCTTTTTAACTAGAAAAGATGGTTGGATGGATGTTTGGGATTATTACTATAGATAGAATGAAATTGCATTCAGTCACAAGGTAAGTGAGACAGCCCTTACCTGTATAAAGATAAATTCTAATGGTGGTGCTCATCATAATGCTGGAAAATTGGTAGCTATTGGTGATTAGGATGGTACAGTTACTTTATTAGAATTATGTGATTCATTGTATTAATTACAATTTAGAGAGAAGGATGTGATGAATGAAATGTTCGATAGAGAATCGAGAAAAGAAAAGAACTTGGAAGCCATCAAAAAATAACAAGATTTGATGAAGAAAGTTGTTCCTAAAGATAATAAGGCAGCCTAATAAAAATGGGAACAAAGAAAGGCCGAATTAATTGCTGAGGCTGAGTAATAATTTAGTCAAATTGTTAAAAAGGATGAAGAAGCTAAATTAAATGATTTGTCAGAGTTCAGTCCCAAAACTCAAAAGAAGTAAATAAATTAAATATACTTTTTAGAGAAGAGAAGAAATAATCACCCAAAGATGATGATAAGTAGTAACAATAAGGAGATGGAGGATAACAACAAGATCAATAGGATTAAGGAAAAGGTGAAGGTGAAGGCGAAGGAGAAGGAGATCAAGATGGTGGATAATAAGATGGAGACGATGGTCAATAATAGGGAGACGATGGTTAATAACAAGGAGATGATGGTTAGCAATAAGGTGATGATGGCTAACAATAAGGCGATGATGGAGATGGTTAAAAACAAGGAGATGGAGGAGATGGTTAATAGGAAGGAGATCAAGAATGATGATCAAATAAATATATAATTATTTATCGGAATGCATATACAAATAATTTATCTTTCAAATCTTAAGTAGATGCTCATCTATCTACATTCTTGGTTTCAGATATTCCACAAATCCACCTAAGAGATCCATTTGATGTTAGTTTTTTATTTTTTGATCTACTTACACCACTCCCACTTATTTCAGCTCTTTGAACACTTCCTATAAGTCATCTTTCTTATATGTATAAAGCAACTAAAATAGTTTATGCGAGTTTTCAGCAGCAAGCAAAGCCAAATTCTTATAAATCCAATCTTGAACAAATTCATCTTGTTGTTTTGATCTTAATTGAACTGCTAAGGCTGTAAACACACGTTCAGATAACAATGGATCAGGATGTCTTAGATATAAATATAATGCTTCAGGCACTCGTTTCATTTTTATTAAACAAAATGCTTCCATCCAAATCCTATTAATTACATTCAAATCATACCAATTAGTCTCTTATGCCTTTAACCGTAATTCTTCTAGCAATTTATATTATCCATCAAATTACTTCTCAACTTTCAGCATCACCTTATGCAAGAATTCATTCTTCACTAATTCAGCTGGTAAATCTTTTTAAACTCTGCCTCTCAAAATCCAAGTTATATCGAATAAGGTGGTTTACTATGATCTAAGGGCATCCATATAATTTATAAGGTTAAGCATAATGTGATTAATATTGAAGTAAAATGGACAGATAGCAAAAACATTTGCTGAAAATGCACTAGAATACTGCATATACTCTTCTATCACTTTTGCATTATTTAACTTGACGTAATACTTTTATTCAGCCATTTTAATCAAAACATAAATTTTTGACAAAATCCTTAAGTGATGATCGGTTTATTCAATATCTATTGTTAATTGATATAATACTTAATATTTCAGGCAAGAAGCCATTTACTAAGGTGTTTGATAATTCTATGTTAATTTCCTTACCTTCATTTATGAATTGCTTAAAACTATCTTGAATCCTTTCTGAAAAGACTTACAGAAATACTTCCAATGTTTTGATGTAATCTATTTCAAACAGTTTTTATATGTTTTCAAGATCAAATAGGTATTCGAATAAATCCTTAAACATTGCTTTGAACTAACGATCAGTGAAGAATGACTCAGGATTAGATTGGTTTTGTCCAGTGAAACAGAAAGATAAGAAACTTATTTATTTAATAAGAATACCTAAAGAGACAGATCTTGCATTAATCTAAACTTAAAGTAGTGATGCTCTTGTTTTCTTCTTCGGTCAAAGTATTCTTACTTGATAGAATACTAAGTAGTGTAATAATCCTTAAATAAGGAGTCAGGAAGTCATTAATTTAAGAGCAAATGTACATCATAGGTTCAATCAGATCCTTTTCTAAACAAAAATCTATTAATCCTTTTGGATCATAACGCTATATATTTTAAATTGACATTATTAATTTAGTACAAGTTTCCTTATCATCCATTTCAGTGAACATTTTCAGAACTTTCAATTAGTGCTAATATGGAATGTTAACTTGATGTTATTATAGTAAGTCTCGAAGATAGTCATAAAACACATTTCTATAACCACATCCAACCATGAGATCTTCAATTGATTCAAATAGATATTCCTCATTTTAAGTCCTTATGAGGAAATGCATGATAGTTAAGACTGATTAGCTATTTTTCAATTATTTATTTGGTAATTGTGACAACATATATTACAATCCTAATTTACAGCATGTCTCTTTAATACAGAAATGTCTTTGGACGTCATTCTCAGGAATATTGCATAACAAAGTCAAATAACCTCTGTGTATATCAACTGCAGTCTAAAAACACTTCTCCCATTCATTGTTATCACTCTATTCATATAATAATTCATCCCATTTCTTCAGTCGAATAGATAGCAATTCTGTTCCATTCAAAATATAGCACTGTTCATTTTTATAAATAATTTATACTAAATTTAAGCAGAAATCTTACAATTAGGATGCAATTACTTAAAATTCAAAACTATATCATTTGATTTTTGATAACCGTCATTAATTGAGTCCATCACGTTTTGACTAATAATTACTTCCTGCTTATTTTCTCTAATGAAAGTATAAAACTTTGGATTGTATTGACCACTCTGCAATGTTTAGATGTGTTTCTCCTAATTGAAATGTTTCTCAATTTGTCCAAGAGTGAATGGCACACCAAATTCAAATTGGGAGGTTGTCAATAATTTCATTACTGTCTAATTTTATTTATTATGAAGAACAGAAAAAAACACAGAATTCGTAATGAAATTACATACCATTGGAAATTCTCTCAATTATGTTAAATCAACTGAGTTATAAAAGTGGCCTCCTTGAATGACTTGTATTTTGTAATCACTAGACATCACTTTAAATGCATAATATTCTCTGCATCCCCAATTGATAATTAACAATACATATCTCTTATTGGTTTCCTTAAAACTTCCTAATCCCCAAGCACATGAGCATCTAGTTTGTTATTCTTCGATAGCTTGTGGCTAATTAAAAACGATATTATAGATCTAAGCATCAGGTCTTTAAAAATTCAATAATAACTAGATTTTTGATTGCTCCTCATTTAATTTATTACCAAAAAATATTTTTACTACTTGAATTTTATTTACGAATCCTACAGCCATCAAGTACTGAAATAATATTATTCAATATCTTACAAACTGTGTACTAATTACATATTCGTTTGTCTCTTCTGGTTATTCCTATTTTGAATTAGTACTATTTGAAAATATTTATTTCAAAAAATTGTTTTTCCTCTTTTTGGTTGGAGACTGATCCAATTGACTGCCATATGAAGCAGTACTCTCTCTATCATCCATGCATTAGATAAACTCTTCATAGCACGAGTCCATAATGGATACATCTTGAATTATTGATGATTGAGGTGTCACATAATCGTTTTCAATAACTTTCTAAAAAAATAAGCTAAAGTTATACAGCATGTCTATTCTCCTTTACTTTCTATCTTTCACAAGGTTCGCCAAATTTATAAATAGGAATCCCTATTTTCTGCTCTAATGTATTGATATTTATTTCCAAGGGAACCTTCAATAAATAATTGTTTTCCAAATGAATCATAATTTCATAATACTATTCCTTCCTTAATTAGAGCAAGTGGTCTGAATTAATGGATAAAGGCACCATATAGGCATATTTTAGATGTTAGTATCTGTGTTGTAGGACTTCTTTGAAGGACTTGTGTATAAATTAGATAACGATTTTACTTTCAAACTAAAGATCACAAACTCATTGTTGGAATATGTCACTAATAATAATTAGTTATCATTAGAAATTTATATCATTTTCACTTAACCTCTATATATTTGAGTATCCTTTCCGAGTATTTTATAGCCTTATTTAAAATCATTATCCTAAATGCTCACTCAATAATTACTTATTAGAAAACATAAATGTAAGAGTATTCCATCCCAACAAACACTAAATCATTATTCATTGTGATGTAAGTGGGCAATCCACATAATTCTTTCTTATAATCGAAAAACTCTTAAAAATTACTATGAGTATTATTCACAATGTAATCCTCGATATTCACATTTTAGTTTGGTTATATTTTTATTTTCTCTTTTTTCTATTTCTTTTAATCCGATGACATAATTTATAATTAAATATTCTAAAATAATTGTTCAATAAATATTTGACAATTTAGAACATATTTATGGAATAAAGAGATATATTCACACCCTTAATTGTATTGGCAATTTAAATTACATAATAATAAATATAATTCGTTATTCCAAAAAGATGAGTAATCAATGGATTTCATGAATCTTCAAGAGAATGTAACCCAACTTAAGTTAATTTATTAAATTGATAATTAAAATTACTTATCTTTTTAACAATTTTATTTGGTTTATTACATTAATATGTTTTAAAGATTCCATTCGTTCTAATAATTTAATTCCACCTTAGTGATTATGTATTAAAATTTATAATTTTAAATAAATATAAATTAATAAAGTATTTGTTTATATTAGTAGGTATGGAGACTCTTTCATTTGTTCTTTTTTGTTTTACTCTTCTATTTATCACCCAAATAGTATTCCTTGTTGAATCTTAACTTCTTATAATATCTATTCTTGATCATATTCATCGTTTTCCCTGGGAAATACTTTACTATTTTATTGAAGTTGGGACCTAGTTAAATAACCAATTCTAAAATTCTCTAATCTTCCAGATCTGAGAATCTAGAGAAGATACAAACATATAGTTGTTAATACCTCATATCATTGATCCTCCTTTTCTAAGCTAGATTTTTATTGGAATCATTCTAATCATAAGTTGATTGCCATTACATCATGGAATAGTATAAATGCTCTAAAGATTCCTCTTCATCATGGTGTGATGGCAATCTAAAATGATATTCTTAATTATACTCATCTAATTCCTCATTTAGAATAAACTATTTGATATAGATAGCTTCATCCATTTTATAATTTATATATAAGATTTGTAATTTAAAATTTGCTAGTTTAATTGCATCTAATTAATTGAAGCACTCCTGAGTTGTTGAGATTGTATACAACTCAAATGGATTGTACGACCAATTGAAAACCAACAATAAAATTGAATGATAAATAATCAAAAGGAGACATATTCAAAATAAAATTCAATTCCAAATTTATGATTTAGGAACATTGAATCGTTAGGCATATTTTGTGAACAACCCCTACTCTTTATTTTTAATCTCTTCGACTCTCCATCTGGATTCCAAATTGACTTTATTATATCTATAAAAAGTATTCCTAAACCCAATATGTTATTCAAATTGGGAAGATATAACTGGTGAGCGATGAATATTCTATTTTTTCTTCTGTTTCTCTCCTACAACTCTGATATCTACTTTCTATAGCGGAGGTAACGACCGCTTTTGTTACTGTCTAGAATTCTTTTCTGAATATTAGTCTTCATCTGTTTCGTTGATTGGCATTGGATTAGTTCCTTCCATTTCACCATATAATATGGGCACCCTCTTAAAATTCACTCCATAAATTTGATCAAGTGTTATTGGCATCGATGAAATCATATTGGCTAATTAGAGTTCAATATAAGAATATTTTTTATATAGCAATTATTAAAATTAATTTCAGTAATGATCATTCTTCCGCCATTAAAAACTTGAGTCTTCTTTGAACGGCTCCTAGGATCTATTTTTCATTAATCATATATCTACTCTTTAGTATATTCAAACTTATCCTATCAATCATATTCTATTATTATTGATAAGTATTTAAATTTATGTGAATAATTAATTCAATGTTATGTATGTAGAATAATAATTTTAAGTAGCCAAAACGGTATAAAATAATTCGTTTTATTTCAATTGCATTATATAGCATTGAGTATAATAACAATAAATCTATTGTAATCACCGATATATTGGAAAATTAGCAATAAAGAAAGCAGGTTTGAATGAATGCTTAAAATGAAAATTTTTCTTTAAAATTTTTTATCTCCTCAATTCTATTATGTCGGTTATTCAATTATTGATAGTTCTAGAATATTAATAGATTGTTTTGAAATGAAAAATAAATTAGGATTTTAAGCTTAACTTTTGAAGAGTGTTTAAGGGTTGATAATTTATAATACTGTCTATAAAATACTTTCATGATATACTCAGAGCCTTTTAAATTAGAGATATAGTAGTTTATGGAGCTAATCTTTATCAAGTTAAGCCTATCCATAACCATATCAAGAATTGATTTTTAGTAAAAAGTGAATATCAAATATTTCTTAATTAGAAATTGATAAGCACTGCAGTCATTTAATTTGTAAATTATTTTATTTTCAATTTGAAAGTTTAAATCTTCTTCCGCTTGCTAATTCAATAATCTTTATAAAGACTCATTCCAAAAATCCCTTCCAAATTTAACAAACAATATATTTTAGAAAGTGAATAATTTAAATTCGCTTTTTGGTTTGATTTCCATACTAATTTATGCTTCATTTTTGAATTAATCTAAATTTATTATAAACAGGAGCAGTTCTATCTAGGAATTGATTCATTTGGTATTTAATATATTTTCATTCGATTGTGAATTCTCCTTAAGGTTAATGATTATCCATAGGTATGAATTGTTATATTTTATTTTGGATTTATATCGACATATGCTCCTATTTAGACTGCTAAGGATGAATTGACCATTCTTACTCCTTACAATGAACTACTTGACACTCTTTGGAAAAAAGTTATTTGATTATTTGATTGCAAACCATAAAGACTTTTTTTGATAATTAGAATGAATGATTACTGAAATAAGGTTACTAGGTATAGAGGAACATTAGCAAAAATCATCCAAGGTAATTTCAATACATATTATTTATCTAAGATTCCTATAGTTCTGCAGAATGTTACAAATTCGTTAACAAAAATTAAACCATTATTAATATTTATGTTTTAAAGAATTGCAACAAATTTGTTTAGACAGCCAATCTTTTAGAAATAATTACAGAAATTCTTTATTGCGGCTCCAGTATTGGGAGTGCTAACAAATCACAATCTATTGATTCAAAATCTGTCCTATTTGCAAAGTTAGTTTTATCATATGGAAGAGAGTAATGATGAATTAGAGTTGTTGTAAATGAATTCATTTTATATAAGATAGGAGGAAATTCCAGTCAGCATAATGCAATGAGACGTCCCTTATGAATTCTTAAACATTGTGATATTATAAAATACCAAAAGTATAATAATAATTATTTTGTCTTTTTGATATGTGGATGGTATTTAAAATATATAAATTACAAAATCTAGATGCAATTCTTTATTCTAGATAAGAGAAACATGACTATTCATACATTTGAGATGCAATAATCGCATAATAATTAACTGATTAATTTAATTAAATCACTGTGTATTATAAATGCATCGACCTAAACCCCATATTCGAGTTCAGTAGGAAAAGGACATTTTGGATGGATTCAGCAGATTGTAATAGGTCTAGCCTTTGATACAGATAAATCCTACAGTGGATAAAGTTCCCAATATGAAAAAAATTCGTCTTTTAGAAGACAGATATACATAAATTGAGAAAGATAATAGATTGTTGTTGGAGAAAATTACTAACATTATGAAGAGTGAAACCAGTAGAGTGAGGAGACCAAAGCGTGTTTCCAGTTTTGAATGTAGAAAGAAAAGTGAATAATAACAAATCAGAAGAGAAAACCAAATACTTTTGTCAAAAATAAGTAATAAAAAATCCTATTATTCTAAAAACCATTTTGATAAAGAATGGAATAAAACGAAACAATACTTTATTAATCTAGGAGGTTTGCGTAGTTTAAGTTAAAAATAAAAAGAATTTAACTAATCATTTTTCTATTGATTTTATACTTATTAAAAAGTAATAAAAACATAAGTCTAAACTAAACTGGATTAGGATAATTTATATACTTATATTGCTTTATTCATCATTAAAAATATTTATTTTTGAGTCCTTCAAATCCTAGTTCTCCCACTGTGGACAATTCTTTTTGAATAATTCTAAATTTTCTAAATTAAACTCTTTTCTTTTTTTAAATGTCCTTTGTCAAATTCTTTAGATCCAATCTTTCAGTGTTACAGTAATTAATCACTCCTTTAATATCCTAGGGCTTTTATAATTCTTGATCCAATTTCAATTGAAATTTCTTAAATAGAGAAACTTAAGGTTTTTTAGCAATTGAATCGAAGTTCTAATGTATAGGTTAACTTATTTCTGATTTAATGGGAGATTGACTTTTTGTTCTTTTTATTTGCTTTTGTGGTTTCCTTTGAGTTGGAATTGAGTCAGGAGATATGTTTAGACTTTTTAATCCTAAACGTGCCATTTGCTAGTTTACCTTGCTTTAAATTCTTTCGATTCTTTCACTTGATTGATTTTTGTTATCTTCCTTTAATTGAGATTCAACATTTTGAATGGATTAAGATCTTGGTTGTGATTTTTTGGGAGTGCAAGGTTAAGAATGTACTTGCTTGGGATTAATTGTATTCATCCTATTGGTTCCCTATTCCACAAGTTTAAATCCCATAGTTTCCAATAATTATAAATGTTATTTTGCCTAAAAAAATTATGACTTTTTCTTTTCAAGCTAAGCCACAGGAGTATCACAATGTGATTTTTCAAAAAGTTCTCTTTCCTTCTACAACAAATGCGTCTAGATTTGGTTGATTATTTTATTCAAAATCTCCTTCTTGTTTGGGGTCCTGGACTATTCTCTCGAAGTAGTAACAATAATACCTTATCAAACTTTGTCTCTCCATAGCTACCTTAGTTAACTTATCTTCGAACCTACAGATTTTCCTATCATAATCATCTATCACTGTTGATGGAATTTTATATTATATCTTCTTATACTTATTCTTTTTAGCTTAATAAATTCCCAAATATTCATCATTATACATACCAGGCTTATTAATGATATGAATAGTACAAATAGATACTCAATTTTTTAAGTTGCTTTTTTTTTAGTTTCTTTTTCCTCTTATTGCATATTTTAATTAATGAAAGAAATGTCTCTTACTTTCAAGATAATCCTTCTGGGGGATTCTAATGTTGGAAAAACTAGCATACTCAAAAGATACTCAGAAGACACGTTTTCAGAACAATAGGCTCCCACCATTGGACTGGCCTTTTATAAAAAGGTAGTGGAGAGAAAAAATATTAAAATAACGCTTGAGATTTGGGATACAGCTGGGTAAGAGAAATTCAAAAAGATTGCCCCTATTTACTATCGAAATGCTTAAGCAGTCTTAATTTGTTTTGATGTGTCAAAAAGCGAAACTTTGGAAGGAGCGAAAAGATGGTTGGAAGAAATTGATAAATATCTGAGTTCGGACTGTGTTAAATTTTTGGTTGGAAATAAATAAGATAAGGGTGATTTCGAGGTTGATTAGACATTTCTAGAAAATAATCATATGAAATATATTCAAACTTCAGCTAAGACAGGACATAATGTAGATAAATTATTTCGAAGAGTTGCTAGAACTTTGGCAAAGACTAAAATAAAAAAGATGGAAAGTCTTGATTAGAAGACAATCATAACTCTCCAAGTATAAGGACCAGAAGAAAAATAAAAAAAATCTCTATGTTGTTGATTTATTGTTTTATTTCGCTCAAACTTCAACATAAAATAAAAATCTGCTCAATTTCAAATAATTATATATATATATGCATAATGAGTCTCTTAATTAATGAATATTTTGGATATATCTTAATATATTATTATCCTCAAAATACTCATCTACTATTGTTAGCAGCAGCAACTATGTCTGCAAAGGCTGGCTTTAGGGCCGCACCTCCGACTAAAAATCCATCAACATCTGGTTATTTAATTAAATCAGCAGCATTCTTTTCTGTGACTGATCCCCCATAAATAATTCTGGTAGCTTATTCAGCCTATAATGATACTAATTATTTTACTTGTGTTCCAATCTAAGATTTAAGCCAAGCTCTGATGAAAGCATGGACTTCTTGAGCTTATTCTGGAGATGCTGTTTATCCTGTTCCAATTGCCCAGACTGGCTCATATGCAACTACAACTTTAGCCCATTATTCAATTGTCAATTCCTCTAAAAATATTATTTAATATGAAAATTACTTTTGATTGATTCTAATTATGCTTAGATAACTTGGGTTGTCTATCCAGATTCTCTTTCTGCCTATTTTTCACCTACGCATGCTATAACATTTAATTGGTAATCCAAAGCTATTCTAGTCTTTTTTCCAACAATTTCATTGGTTTCTCCGTTGTATTATCTTCTTTCAGAATGCCCCAAAATAACCCAAGGAATTCCAAGATCTTTGACTTGCTCAACACTGATTTCTCCAGTATAGGCACCCATCTTAGTCGATGATGAGTTTTAAATAGACACTTGCACATTCTTTTAGATATTAGCTTGAACCCATGGAACATGTAAGGATATCGGAGCAACAACAACCTCTACAAAATATAGATTGCTAAATTACCAACTTTATTTATATCAAATACTAGTTTGTTGATGACTGTATTGATCAAACTCTAAGTTTGAGCTATGGTATTATTGCATTTCCAATTACCACCTACAAAGTATCTTCTCATATTTAAAATATTTAATTTGAATATACAAACTTATAAAATTTGAAAACTAATAAAATTGGGATACTTATATTAAGCAATTTTATAATAACCATAATATGATTAATAGAAGTTCAATAAACAGAGATGATTTATTTATAGAATTTACTATTTTGTTTGCAATTAAATATTCATTTCTATTTATAGCCTAATTCTTGAAAATATCAAATTTAATTAATAATACTAATAAAAGTGGAAAGAATACATAAAGAATTTACATTTCTTAGTTTATATTTATTAAATCTAAATAAACATTCTTTTGAATAATTAATTATTAAAAAATGTTGAGTACATCATAGACTAGAAGTACCACTGAAACAATTAGTCGCGTGGTTGTTGACTAGAAATACGTGATATTGAAGAATATTTACAAAGGAAAATAGAATAATCTCTACTTAGGTAATAAATGGTGATGTTAAAAGTTAGTTAGCTATTAAACAAGAAGAGTCAGATGATATCGATACATACGACCACTAGGAGAAATATTATCTGATTAAAATGAAGAGGTAAATTTCACTCCAATATTCTAGATAAACCTAGCAGAATGAGGCAATACCAGAACTTCAATTTCTCATCAGATTGAAAGAATGTAACCAAATCGTAGTAATTTAGTTAATTGTGTTCCCATTCTCATGACTCATGGGGAGTAAGTGATCAAGGGGTTCAATTACCATTACTAAATCATGGAACGACACGGTCCTTCCATTAAACTTATATACAATTATTTATCTAGAAATATACCATTGCCCATTATATGTTTGATTGCCATTTAAACAGTACCTACCCATGTATATTCTTAGCTTACTTGTCTGGAGATTGTCCATAAACATCAGATTGTTCATAGAAATCTAAGGCCCAAGAAATTGCTGCTTTCAACAAATGGAAATTAAATTTTATTAGGTGATTTCAAATATGCTTGCAAATTTAAAAAATTACATGGAGCATTTATGGTAAACGAAGGTTACAAATTAAATTCAAACAAATTATTTCTAAACAAATATTCAAGTGTAAACCAACATCTCAATTAAAGTAATTAATTAATTCATTTTAATAAAATAGTTCCAACTCCAAAAGATGATCTTGAATCCTTAGCCTACATATTACTTATCTATGCTTCCAATTCCGATATATTCAAAATTAAGGCAGAAAATAGAACACTTAAACTTAAAAAATTGGAGAACCTCAAATTGTCAATTATTCCTGAAATTGCTTTTAAATAAGTGCCCCTTGAATTCATTCACTTCTTGCATCTTGTGAGGACCAGTAATGCGAACGATTATCCATAAGATTACGAGAAATTTAAACAGCTTTTTAGAAAAATCATATTAGCCAATGGCTACACTGAAAAGGAACTCTCATATCCCTTGCTTCATATGAATATGCAAGAAAAAAGTCAATTGACACAATTCCAAAGTTAAACTAACAAATTCAAAAAAATGTAACATCAAAAAAGGAGTTCAGAATCCATTAAGGAAGAAGATGCGGATGATGAGATCTCGGTCTATTAAATCGAATAGACCGGAGAGGACAGAACCATAGAACCCTTAATTAAATAATTAGAAACAAAGAAATTTAAACACATTTCCTAATTAAACTAACCTTAAGTTGGATCATAAATTGTAAAACTTAAATTTACTAAAAAATGATTCTTTTTATCAATATTTGTATTTCTCAAATTTTCCTTAAAATACGATTTATATAAAAATTTTATATGGATTATAAAATACATTTAAATTATTATTAGTACATATTAATTTTAATTAGAATTTTATAGAATTATTGTTTAATTGGATTACTCCATTATATATAATGTCATTTCGGTCAATTAATTAAAAGTTCTGTTTCAAACTTAATTATGTGATTAGTTCTGTATATTTAATTAGAAAATAGAAAAATTTCAAATATTCACATAGTTTTTTTGTAGAACTCGTAGGCTTATTCATTCATTACTTGAGTATGAGGCTGAAGCTTTTACAGAAAATTTTTGAGAGAAATTTCACAACATCCAGCATTGACAGAAATTATATTTAAATTTATGCCACCCTTATCACGAAATACAAAATCTCCAGTTGACTTAACTAAAGCGGAAGCGATGACGTGTTCGTGTTCTCCTTACACTAAATTTTGATTCTTTAAGTATGAATAGAAGAATCTACAGAGTGTTTAAAATTTCTGATTAAATCCTATGGCAACACAAATTCTGGTCATGTATTGTAAGGTAAAGGCATCCTGATCGAATGGTTTAATTTGATTGAGTTAGATCAATATTTTGCGAACTTATTTTTCGTCACAATCCAATACTTAAGTTATTTCTTTTATTCTTAAAGGAATTAATAGAAGTCTAAAGGATTAGATAATCAATGCACAAGCTATTGATTGATATTTTTTTGATTTAACTTTTTCAATTACCGAGTTATCCAATAAATCTATGCATTAATGTCTTATGTTCTCAATATTAATTCCATTTAATATATTATTATTGCTTAATTTAGCCAACATTTCATCAACTAATAGATTCACTTATTTTAATCTTCTTTTATCTGATTTTTATAAGGATATTTGAGTTTTTGTATCATCTGATGATGAATGATCATATATGTTCCAATTGAATTTAGGAGGTGGAGGCCTTTAATTTATTTCTTATTTCATTAATTTATTATTAATTCTTATTTCCTATTACAATAATTTCTTCGATATACTTTCTGATAAGAAAGTAACAGTAAATCTTATTTTATAATATTTTAGAATAGGACCAAGACATTTATGTTTTGCAATTATAATTCTTAATATTAGGTAAAGATAATAATTTAAATGAGTTAAGTTTACTAACAGTCAGTCATTAATATTAATTATATAATGGAAAATCAACGGATAGCTAAAAGTCTTAAATCTACCTCTACCTTAAATTCTAAATAATCTCCTTAATACATCTAACGTAAGAAAGTGTAAAATACCTAATAGAACCTAAAGTGCTCATTCAACAGCATCCAACTCAACTAGTCTAGAAATCAGTTTAATAAAACATCCCATTAATACCTCTTAAGTAAGTGAACCGCGTAATGTCAACAAGAGAGACTCCAATTTTTAAGCAGAATCAGGAGGAATCCTATCCATGCACAAAGTAAGCTATCAATAAAATACTGAATTAGAGATGCCACAAGTTTAATGGCTAAATTAGATTCACTAATAGAAATCAAATCCTATGATAGCCCTATTACAAGTCATGTCTCCCCTATACCTTCCACATTATAGAGTGTTGTTGTTCTTAATTAAAACAATCCTGCCAAATCTTAACAGTTATAGCAAGTTGCTTGTTCTAGTTGCGTAGAACCTTTTAAAGTTTGTAGCAAGAGTGTTGCTCAAAGCTAATAACTAATTAAAACACTCCCTCCAAAAAAGAATTATGAAACCATGATAGAAGTATTGATGAAAGAATAAGAACTCTTAGTTTAATAATACAACACTTAAGTCAATCTTTTGGAGAATAAGGCTTAAGAGCTTTCATATGAGAATAATAACCTAGTGGAATAAAATAAATTATTTTTGGAATAAAACTTATAGTTAAATGATGAAGTGACTCAGCTTAAGTCAAAATAACTCCCAGTTGATCCAAGTACTTAATAAGCAGTATAAGTGTTGGAGTATCAATTAGAGTAAAAAAAGGGAGAACTAAATCAGTTGATAGAAAAAATGAATGAAATTCTATCTATTAATTAGAAAACCTAAGAAAAAAATAATGAACTATCATAATAAGTTAATACTATTTTAGAATAAAAGGAAAAGGAAATTAATGCTTATTTCACTTAAATTACTAAATATAAATAAACTATCTAAGAACTTGAATTAAAAATAACACAGTTGCTTTAAAATGACTTATTATAATAGAAAACACTCAAAGAAACATAGAACAAATTGACAGTGGTTGAACAATCAGAGAGACACAAATAAAATCAACTTCCTTAATAATAGTAGTTAAAAGTATAATATATTGTTATTCTTCTTTAGTATAATGTCAAAGAAACATTTGAATACAAACAATTAGTTTTGGAATTGGATAGCAAATGTGTGACAATTACAGAAAAAGAGAACCAAATTGAAACCTTGAAAATAAAAAATCAGATGATGTCATAACAATTAGCACAAACATAAGGAAGCTAAGTTTCTCTTTAAGATCTATAAGAAGCTTTGAGATAAAGGGATAGAGAAAATGAGAATTTGAAGTCTGATTTAATCAATAAAGAGGAGGAAATTGAAAGATTAAACTAATCATTAAAATTAGTGAGAAAAGAAAAGGCTAAATTATCTATTAATCTAATGAATGCTGGAATGGCAAATCTTGTCATGATGTCGCAGAACCAAACTTAATAAGATGAGACTACAAATTGATTTAAATTATATTTGAAAAAATAATAACTATCAAATACCAGTTAAAATATCATCTTCGAATTCGCAATCTATTTGGTCTAAATTACTGTTCGCTATGTAACCTACACCATGTTTCTTGCCATTTTTAAAGCTACCCTTATAATGAATGCCTTCCAAATTATAAAATAATGTTCCTTATCCTTCTGGCTTTCCATCTACTATTTGACCTGTGTAATACAATTTACTATCTTATTATATTTCATTTGCATTAACATTGATGACTTCTCCTTCATACTTTTTGAGCAACTGCAAAATTTCCTCAATAAATGCATTTTTCTTCTCAATTTCTAAATTTTATTGCATTTATTAAATTGGTCTCTGTTTTTGGGATCCTTATTTGATCACTTCCTATAATATTTCAATGTCATCCTCGATTGTTGAATAGACTTGAAGGACTTTGATGACATTTTTTTATGAAATTTGAAGTTCAAAATGCTATCGATGATAAAATGGGACATTGTCATAAGCCTACAAAGTTTTAATTCCTGAGATTCTGCAATTTTATATAGACATTTTGGATATGGCATTTGAACTCTCTAATTTAGAGATTATCTAAGTAAATTCATTTCATACATCTAATTCGCTATTACTATTTTTGATATAGTAGTTTAATTGTGCTAGATTTGATAGGTAATACATTGTGCCATAAGAGTCAACAAAGAAATACGATATTTTGAAGGTCTTGTTGTTTTTTCTTTGTTTCGTAAAAAACCCTGTCATCTAAGTTAAACTTGCCATTTAATTACAAATTGTAATATAAATATTATTATATACTCACTATTGTCATTATTAGATTGTCTATTGTTATGAATTAATTTGTTCTATTCTTTTCTAACTCCAATCATATTGATAATCCATAACAAATCGTTGTTTTTAGAATAAATCTCGAAAGAGCTGTCTACAAAAATCATAATCTGGTTTCTCTGTAAATTATAAATTTCTACAATATTTGAGATATTATTAGAATTCCATTGGTGTTCCTGAACATAATGATTCAATGCTCGTGGCTATTTTGGATTCCATGATTCTTTCATATTTGTCCTTCTTGTTGTTATTTTTTAAATTTTGCCAAGGCAATGTCCCTTTCAGAAAATATATTAAAACATATCCAATACTTTCCAAATCATCCCTTCTGCTCTGTTCTAATCCGAGATGAGTGTTAATTGATGCATACCTAGCAGTACCTGTCAAATTCTTCTTCTCCCTATAAGGAATATGAGACCCATCTCTTGTAATGAATCTCTTTGCCAACCCAAAGTCAATCATAAACAGTATCTATGCTCTTTTCCCCAAACCCATTAAGAAATTATCTGGTTTTATGTCTCTATGCAGAAAATCCTTGGAGTGAATGAATTCTACTCTAGTGATCATCTATTCAACCAGCATTAACACAGTCTTCAATGAGAACTTTCGTTAACATTGTGTGAGCAACTCCTCAAGGGATGGTCCCAATAAATCCATTACCATTATATTGTAATCTCCCTCAGTCGAACAATAATAGACTTGGGGAATCCCCTTTTCTACAGAAGCATTGTCCTAACTAAGATGTTAATAGAGTTTTGCCTCATAGTATAATTGAGGATGCTTGGCACTTATAGGCTCTAATTTAATAGCTACTTCTATGTTATTTTTAAGCTTATATAGACTCTAAATTGCATACATTTATCCCGTGAAATATTTCTCCAAAGGCTCCACTTCCTAATTTTTTTGTTAATTTAAACGTCTTCCCTATTTTGGAATCCATTAATTTTGAAATAATTTAAGGATTAGATATTATAAATTTTACATCTAGGAGTTGGAGATGTTTATTTATTTAAATTATTCAAATAAAATAATGGGCAAAGTTGAACAAAATAATTCTAAATCCAAAATAAGAAGGGCTGATAAAATTTAATAAAATTAATAATTATAAGTTATTGGATTTTTTTTATAAGGTATTTATTTTTATTAACAAGAATAAAAGCAACAACTGCATTCAAATAATTTGAATCCATCTCTTACATAAAATTTTAATGAAATATAGTTTTGATTAAACTATATTTTAGAGTTGATTAAATTAAAAGATTCTAAATTTAGAATTCATCTTTTTTCTCTTAGAATAAAAAGTCTATTGATTGTATTTGCAACCTCAAAAATGATTAAAATTATAGTTTTTATGAGTCTGAATTAGATAGTGAATTGATTGATTATGATAGCCAAAGTTAGATGTTCAAAAAAATTTAATTTTTTCAATTCTAGATCATTTGGTTGTATTTCTATTAATATAGTAATAAATGGATTATGATGTCAATTATTACCAATCCTGAGTAATACTTAGTATTTGTAATATCAAAGTTAACAGTAATGTAATTTTCAAAATTTGAAATCTGTCAAGAATGAACTCTCCGAAAATTCATCAGACTTGATTTTAATTTCAAGTAGATTGTAACCACATGCAATGATTGAGGAATCAATTAGAAATTATTTTGTTTTAAGTAAAATCAATACTTTATATGGAATATACAAAATTAAGTAAAAATAAAAAACATTTTGAGATTCCCCTTTTATGAGATGTAATGCAATTCATATTGAGGACTATGTAAATATTCTCAATAAATAGAAAATCATAACATCAATAATATAATAAGGAGGAAATTAACAACGTATTATTAAATACCATGTTATAAGGGTATCCCAAGACCTCTTATTTTATAATTATAGCGAAAAAAGATAAATTTAATAAATTCAACTTTATATCCTAATAATAACTTGTTTTTTAGAAGTGGAGGTCTATAGTGTAATTGAGGTAAAAGAGTTATATATTAATCCCTCCAAACTTTATTCGGAAAAATTATCAGGATATATGACAGAAAAATTCTTGCTATTTTCAAATGATAAAGAAGAGAAAACAACTAGAAATGAATTTGACTTCGACATTGACCCAATAAAATTCTGACTGACTTTACAAAAGATACAAATTATCGATTTATCTAGACAAATTCTCAACCGTTTTATTTGAATAAATAACAAAGCATAATTTTCATATTTAAGCAATTATATAATATCAGCCAAGAATACATAATTCTGATAAGTTTATACTCCGTTGGTCTTTCAGCTCATGCAAGTACAAAGGGGAACTTTATATTTGGATATAAATTGAAACATTATTTTCATACCCAGAAATTCATTAACACCTTATCCCAGAGTTTTAAATGATTGATAAGATTCGATGATTTAACTGAGAAAGCAAATTGATTTAACAAACAAGGAAGTGAAAGTGTGGAGAAAACTTCATAATTATTTTGAATAAAAACTTCTATTTCACCTTTCAATATAAACTAAACTGAAGATTAGATTGATTAATAATACACAAACAAGTTTTAATAATATGATTTAATTAATTCTATACCATTAATGATTATTAACTTGTTGGTTAATCTTGTAAAATAAATGGACAAAAATATAAGGATCTTAATTTAAAACAATAGAAAGTATCTAATAATTTCTTGAATATAATATCATACAGAAAATTAAAATAATAATTTGATTACATTAAAGGGAACCAAAATTAGAATAAAAAAGAATTAAATAAACAAACTTACTGTTTATAAGCAAACTCTTCAAATACAATCTTAGTGATCAGAAAAAGCAACCTGAAATTCTAAAGAAGTCAAATTAATTAACAGAGGTATCACAAGGGAATTCTAAAAATAGAAGTACTTCTGAGGTGTGAAGCTTCAACAATAATTTTAGAAATAATACAAGTCATTCGGAATCATCAAGAAACATGTTCAGCCGTATCAATAATGATTATAAGCATTATCTTAAGCTTCATTTTTGATTCAATTATTAACTCCATTTTATTTTTTCACAGAATTCAAATAAAATTAACTTATGATAGATAATATGAAAGTATTTATCATTTCTGGGATTAGGTTCTTCTCTTTAGAATGGTATTTTAAGAAATTATTAACTAATTACTTGATTTTCTTTAATCTTAATGGGTGTTCGTTGAATTGCGTTCATCTCCTTAAGTGAGTAGTATAAGTGAATTTGTGGGTTCATTTAGTTAGAGGCTAGAGATTATTTAATTCTATTTTGATTCTTTACAACCCATTTTATAAATAAGGAGCTATCAAGTCAAATAAATGTTAAATATTATAAATAATTGAATTCATTTTTTCCAGATGGAGGATATGGATAAATAATCAAGGAGTAGGGTAGGATAATAAGATTTTAGAGTATCAAAATCAAAATAGCAAACTTATTCATCATTGTCTCTGCATTTAAATACAAGGAGCTTGTTTTGCATAAGATGATGAGAAACAATACATTCTAGTGGAATTTTGCCATCACTTACTTAGCATTTGGAGTTCTTATCATAATATTTCTGATTGAGGAGATTGAACTTTGGCAAATCTGTGTATTGACATTTATAACCAGGAGGTAAGGAAGCCTGTGGTTTATAAATAATGACTTCTTCATCTCTTTTTTTCTTTTACTCTTTCTTTCTAATAACCATGAGCATTTCCTAAATGAACTCTTTTTCCGTTTTATAATGGCCATACTTAAAGCTGCATTCTGTAGTTTACATAGGGTATTGCTTCTGCTAATATTTTGGTGCCTCTACTTTATAGTCATTTTTATAAGAAAGGAATTCCCTATCAGTTTCACTCTTCCTTGGTCTGCCTCTGCCTCTTCTCATATAGAAGTCGTAGTCTTCTTTATCGTCATTTCTATCTATAAAGTGTGATTGAATTGAGTTACTTTCGTAATTTTTGTAATTGTTATTAGGCTCTTATATGAATTTAACACTCTATCCATTGAGTTCAGTTTTGTTGGTTTGGCCTAATAGAGCATATTTGTTTTCGGATGTGTATTTCTTATAGACTTAGCACCCTTTGTTCATAATATGGACTCTAATTTTGATATGGCTATTTGCTTTATAAATTTTGGTATGATAATTTTTATAATTTTGGCATCTTTCAAATCTAGTTATCAATTAATTGGAAATTCCTTCAAAGGCAGTTTCTGGTTCCCAAGTGGATTCTGTTTTGGAATATCCAACCCATTTAATATAGTATTCAATGCTATTGAGATATCGTTTGCCGTGAACAAATTCGACATCGAATTGTTATTATTGAAATTCCATGGTGTAGTTAGTTACTAAATGTTTCCTTTATTTCCATGATTATTTTATAAGGATAATTAATTTATAATATATATATATATATATCACTTAGGTTTTTTATCCTTTTTGGATGGGACTACCACTGAAGGCTTGTCTTCTTATGCTCTTGCCTTGACTTGTTGTCTGACTTCATCCATGTCTTTGCCATCCTCATCCGAGCTGTCCTCTTCCTTGTATACAAACTTAATATTGGTTTCTAGATTATCGTTGATCTCTTAATAGATGTAACTCTTAAATAGAGACCAAGATTACCTTAGGATTGAGACAGATAAAGTCTTCAACTTTACTATATCTGGGATTTGTATTGATGGATTCCTCATTCAGAAATTCCTAAGTCTTTGATAGGACAGTGAGCATTCTTTCTAATCTCAACTGTATAGTAGAGGCAGTGGCAACTAAGGCATGTCTCTTAATTTCGATATTCTTGGGTTTCACTCCTTTCCCGCTTAATTGATACATAATTCTGGATAATGACATAGTAACTTCATCAATAGACTTTTCAACTTTTTTAACTTACTTTTCTTTTTCTTAAAGTAGATCCTATTGTTTAGTGACTTCTCTTTCTTGTTCATCCAAATTGATTTAAGCATCCAAAATAGAGTTCTCTTACTCATATTTCAACTTTCTTGATTTCAGCCCTTCAATTCTTCATTTTGTCTTTCATACCTTTCAATTTCTTTGCCTACATATTCTTATATGTTTTTCAATTCCTACTAATCTAAATCCATATTGAGTTTGTACTTCTGCATATCTTCTTGATTAGCAATGCTGGTGACCACTCTCAATTTTTGAAACATTTATTTCTAAATTATACATATACTTTTACTTTCTTTTCTAATTCCTATTGAATATCATTTTTTTATTTGTTGATGTTTTGAGTGGCATTCTCAATTGCTAATTTAGCTTTATCCTTTTACTCTCCCTTCTTCTTCTTTTTCGTTCTCTTCTTTGATAGCAATGATCTTCTTCTCTCCTTACTAAACAATTTCCAAAGCTTACAAATCACCACATTTCGATAATTCATCTTCCAAGATTTCCTCAAGCATGGGATCAAATCCCCTTTTAAGACTTGCTCCAAAAAAGTTCTATTAATTTTGAAATTCACTCCTATATTTGGCCACTATCTTTGACAACGATTCCAATTGCTTCTTACGACTCATCATACTTTACGAAGAAGCCTCATATTATTGGTATTTGATTTTCAATCCATCATAGGTAATCTAACATTGTTTTTGGACTTCCAACAGCAATTTTCCTTGATTTAATTATTCTAATTACTTCGCTTTCCAAACATGTCTCTGAGTTTAGCTATTTCGTATGTCTGTTTGGCCATCTTCTCCTCTTGCATCTGTTCCTTCTGAAGCAATTCCTCAATTGATTCCTTGACTTCAGTGTCATCATTCTGAATTGTTAAATCGTTCAATAATTCATCCATTCTTCGACTCTTAATTATCATCTGTTTGATTTCATACAACAATCTATCCTTATACAATCGCTATTTATTCAATTATTCCTCTTTTCTTTCCAAGGCGCTCTATATTTTTGGCCTTGATTCTAAATCTTGTAATGCTGTAAAGATTCTTTTATTATATAAATCATGCAAACTTTTTTATTGTTCATTTCCAATATGAGCATATAAATCTTTATAATGATTTTACACCAAATCCTCGTATTCTTTTTTTATCTCTTCTATCTATTACTATTGAGATTCCTGTAAAGGTTTGGGTTTCTGTGCTTTTTCCTTGTCCTTCTTCCCAGGAGCTAAGGATGGAATGTGATCAATGACGTATTAATTTCGTGGTTGCCTACTATAAAGCATCTCGAAACAGTTCCATCTTTTTTACTTTCTAAAGCGACTTTGGAGAATGTTGATGTCCAGAGTGCTAAGCCTTCTGATTCACACTTTTCGAAGCATTCTGATTATTGTTTAATTAGGGAAGCTTTGAGGTTGAATTTTAAGTCTTTTATGGCTGTAACTGATTTATTCAATGCTTCTTACATCTTTCTATCCCTTATTGATTGTTTGTTCTTGTTATTTCTAAACGTTTATTTTTGGCTGCATCAATTACACTGGTGCAGTGAGATCAAAAGTAGAACCGCCCCCATCCATAGTTTTATATAAATTATAAATAATACTAATTGAAATTTCCTCATATATTTCTCACCCATCATTAAAATTGTCATTTAAAGCCGAATTACATTAATAAATTTTCGCTTTATGAATAAATTCACACTCACATTCTACCATAGTGATCTTGAAATCCAATATCAAGCAACCAGGATTTTTATGCGGAAACGAGTCTTTTATGCAATACTGTTTAGTTATCTTATTATGAATACGGTGTCGTATATTCAAAATATCATCGAAACCAACAATCAATTTGTAATGTAATTAGAGCTTCTTTTGAGTTGTCTCCTTGTCACACTATTTGTAATCTATTGTTACAAGAACACCCACTTTAATTATTACTTTTGTATTTTAAACATAGTTGGATGCATGATGCAATTTTAGTTATTAAAAAATTAGAAGGAGCAAAAAATATTCATTTTCGGTGCGAATCTAATGGCTAGTCAAATGATACTCTTACAAAGATCGGATTTCGTCCTATCTGTTACTCAAATATTCATCATAGCCATTACCAGAATAACACTCTTGATTTACTTGGAGGAAATCGACTATCTAACCATTTTTACCACAATTTCAATGTCTATTTTTTTGGCCCTTGTTCAATTTAGGAGTGATTAAAATAGAAGACAATAGTTTTTGTTAACCCTCAAAAACAATCATTGGGGTATATATTAATTTAATATAAGATGACTATTTACCCAGCATGATTAGAAAACCGTTTTTTCATTTTGAATACGACCACACTCAAATTCTCCTCAAAAAGATTCACAGAAAAGAAGAAATACCGATATATAAGTAGGAATTATGTGACGGATGCAACCTAAGGAATCTATTAAGAGAGTACTCCTATCAAAATTAGACTCTTGAGTCTTACATATTGAGGAGAGCCAAAAGCAGAGTGCCTTTGATTCAGGGATTCGAAATGAGTTGTCAGAACAAGAAAAAGGGCGTCTTATTTATCGAATATACAGAGATCTTTAGCGATGCTCATATTTACATTATAAGCATAATCTCGCAGTCCAAAATTAATAATGAACTTATATTAAAGCAAAAGTAGGCGTTTCAATTATATCTTTTCAATTACATGAAAAATCTAAAGAAAATCTTCAATTGCAAAAATTCATTCACAAAAATCGTAAATCTTAACATCAATTACCTATGTCTTCTTTATTAGGATGATTAGACAATCAAAAGATTTTCTCCTAGAACTCTTCTTCTACAGATTGTCAAATTGATTGATCAAAAAAGTAGACACTGCAACATCTAAATAGTCAGCTGCGTAGACTTAGAGATAAATGGATACAAGAGCAAGTTTATAAGTTTTTGGTTATAAATTATAAATATGGCTGCGTAGATAAGTGGGAGAGAGTAAATTCAAATAGTAATTGTAAGAACTGAAAGTCATGTTGAATTTTTGATAAGTTTGAGTCAAATACCTAAGTAATCCATAAGATTCTGGGTTTGTTAGAATAGATTCCTGAAAAATTTGTAAAGGGACTTATTTTTTGATGTGGATGTAAATAATTTAAGATTAAAGATGTTTCAGGATTTAGATATCTCTTATTTAAAGTTTTGATTATAAGAATAAATATAATTATATAAAATGGCTTCGCAATAAATTAAATTGAATCACGGTTAGAAATCTTGTGTTATTGAGTCCAAAGAATACGATAAGCTGTATGTTTTGAAGGACTATTTGAGCCAGGTGTTTAAATTGGCGAAATTCAAATTATAGTAATGAATATAGTATCGATCATTGTGTAGTTATAAGGAGAAGGACACTGAAGTGTATATTGAAAGTGAGAAATAATATATGGATATGGTTAACAGCGGAGATGTGAGAGAGTTATTTTTAGTAGAGGACAATTAGAAGGATAAAAATTATTTCGATTTCTTCATGTAATAGTTATTTGTCAACAATGTTTGTTGCGAGAATGATTAGTCAGGGTGTGTGATTTGTTAAGAGAAGAAACAAGTGAAACCCGAAGAATTTAATCAATTGGTTAAGGAATGTCTTCATGAATTGATAGACAAAGAGGATTTCCAAGCATTGTAATATAGTATGTTTGATATAGTTGCAAAAAGTAGTTCAAGAGAAATATTTAAGACATTGATTTATTCTTGGAACAATTCAGCAAATTGAGCAAGCCAATAAAATCAATCATTGCTATCCAACCTTCTCAATAACAATAGTTACAAATCCAACAGAATCAATAAGTCTCAGCTATCAGACAAACCAACACTCCAGTCCAATCACAATTTTATAAACAGAATATCATGAATAAATCAACCAACATTCATCGCCAATCTGAAGTATAACAATAGATACCTAAATCACAATTGATGCATCCGGGAAGTTCATATATTAGGTCATCTATTATTGCTGGCCATCTTCCAGAATTCTGTGTCAAGTATGAAAAACGAGAAGAGAAAATCTAAGAATTCAATGCTGATACATATGCGAAAATAGACATCTTTATTATTAATAATGGATTGAAACGCTGGCCTGAGAGTGTTTATATTAAGTAGGTTGGACATTATCCACAAAACATTCAATATCTTCCCTAATTAAATCCTGGTGAGAAACGAAGTTTGAGTCTTTAATTTTAATCGCCTATAGTACTTTTTGTCATTAAGTATTTAGAATGCTGGAGCATACACTTACACTTGGGTTATGTTTTACAAAGATGAAAATGATTAAGAGAGGAGGATTGGTTCTAAGTGTGTCACTGAATTCAAAATCAAGGATTTGAGTAGAGAAAGAAAGGCTTAAAAGTGTGTGGAAATGATCTCAAAGAGTCTCTTCTCAGATACCCCCAAAAAAGAAATCAGAAACAAAGTTGATGATTATATGTAGAAGAATCCGGAAATGGGAATCCAATAAATTGTAAACATGGTCAAAGAAGAACTAGAGTTATGATTCATTTTGAATTGGTTGAATAATTATTTTTTAATTTATGCAAAATTTCTTGTTGACTCAATTCATGAGTCAGGATTTAACAGGTAATAAGAGCTGAATTAAATAGACGAATAGATTCTTATGCCTAATTTTCTTAATACTTCTCTGAAGATGTTATCAACAATGTCCTCATTGATGAATCTGACAAAATTAAAGATTTGACTGATCGTCTAAAAGACTCATTGAAGACCAAAACCAATAATACAATTCTGCTCTATGGCTAAGAAGGCTTTGGTCGAAAATCTGCAATCAGAAAGGCTATAGATAATTGCGAATAAGATTTGCAGATGAAATCTAAAAAAATCATAAAAATATTTGTCAATGCCTATGTATAAAATTTAAATCATCTTAGCTTCATAAATCTGAGGGCAACATTCTATCTGCAATCAACAATCAATTATTATAGACAGCACAAATCAAATCCAAAATTAACAAGCTCTCTGTTGATGAATTGATGAAACATTTCAAACAATATGAAAATGCTTTTCATGGTATTGTGCTTGTAATTGAAAGAGTGGAAATCTTAGCAACTGTCAAAAAACAATTCTTCTTATATTCAATACTTGAATGGATAAGAGAATCCAAGTATCCAATCATCTTTGTAGGAATCACTTCAGATTTATTATTTTAAGAAAAACTAGAAAAAAGAGTTAAAAGTAGATTTCAAAATATTCCCTATTTCTTTATGGATCTTGATTTCTAATTTGTGCAAAAGGTTCTATTAACTAGACTAGAATAAATAGATAGGAATCAAGTCATCAACACATACGAAAATTACATTTTATCAAAATCCTTTGAAGAATACTTTGCCAAATTGCAATCCCTTTAAGTGTCAATCAGTAAACTGATCTATTTGTTTCGATCTTCCTTTTTTTTGGCCGGATCACGTTTCAATAGGCCTGATAAAAAATAGGTTGATTCCATTAAATTTGAGAGGAATGTTTCAGCAGAACCAATCAGTCTCTAAGAGTTGATGGAATAAAGCTTGAAATGGATATATCCAAATGTTAAATTGGAAAATGGAAAACGTATGAATTGTTTAATTTTATTAATCTAGTTCTCTCTTAACCAGAGTATGTGATCTTATTTTCCTTCTATAATTTGATCATGCATCAAAAGCCACAAATCATGTTTGATGACATTATCTAGCATTCCAAAAAGGCCATGTAAACATACAAATTACAACATCATAAAACAGCCAGTGAATTTACACCTTTAGTGTTGAATAAAGCTTTAGATAATTTAATTAAATAGAAATTCATTTCCCTTCAATAATAAAGTAAGAATTTAGAAAATAATCAAATTATCCTATGTATGTCCATAGATGATTTGAAAAACTTATTTGAAAATATTAGATACGATTTACCCGATTTTATGAGTTATTTATATAATTTTAATTTTTGAAACTAAACTAAAATAATTTAGATATATATTGATATTTAAAATGTAAACTTAAACTTCATTAAAGTTAATCAAAATAAGCCATAATAATTTCATCTATTCCAGAATCTACCCCATAAAACTGAATAAATTCAATTGCTTTGACTCTTGAAATTTATGCATTTTCCATCAGCTACTATACCTTCTTCTAATCGACATTCTTCTCATTTGGCTAAATTACAACATTTTATAGGGATGTGACTTCGACTAATATTATTTCACCAAAGAACCTACGTTAATTTCCATCATTATAAGCTAGCTATTCTGATAATCTGTATAACATTACTTAAAATTCATTTTTCATATTCTAAATTGGCTGTGAAGGTGAAAAAGCATTGCATTTAAATGTAGCTATTTATCCTGGAGCAGTATCTTCATATAACTGTAAATAGATTATTGATTTACATTAACCGAAATATTTTTATAGTATCCGCTAAGTCCTATAAGTTCTACATCCCTTCTTTTCCAAATGGCTGTGCCAGTATTCATTACTTAAACTTAGAACAAAAATTGTTCATTTACAAATTTTGTTATTTTAAGGTTTCTAGTTTATAATTACATTTAATATTCTGGTACTTTGGGTTTATTCTAATTCTCAATTATTCCATAATACTTTAATCTTTCATCAATTTGATCAATGATAAATTTTTTAAATTCCTCTGATTCATAATCCAATTCTTAAACTTCCTATTTCTGTAATTCATTGATAATTCTAATTTTTATAATAGAATAGAAAATACTATTAAGCTAAAAAGTTTTCAGGTTTTTTCTCATCAAATATCACGATTTATTTCTTAATTTCTATAACTTCTTGTTTAGGTTGTGGTTTTTATTACAAGATATTATTGAATGTAGATAATTATACAGTTGATTGAACAATGACACTCTAATTTAGTATCTATAAATCTTCATTTGTTAGATCAGGATTTATTAAATCCTTAACTAAAAATTTGATTGACTTCCAGTTCAATTAATGATATAATTCTTGAATTCTTAAAAAGCATGAATCATCTAAAATTTTAAAAGGATCCATTTCTATTAAATATTTTAAAAAATTACCGGGATGCAATGTTACATATAATTCCAATCCGTCTGCTAATTGCTTTGGATATAGGATTAATATTGCTTTTTTGATGTCTTCAAGTGTTTGAAGTTTAGGGGCTATTTTGTGGGTTTTGGAGTTATATACTATTTTAATATTCATTATTATTATTAATAATCTATTCCTATAAATTTCTATTTATCTGTATGTAAGTTTAGAAATGAAAAATATAAATATTATTATAAGTATTTCTACCAGAGTAATAAATTCTTTTTGTCTAATATGAACAGGAAATCATTTAATTCCACTCAATATTGAATGCTGTAGTGTACCATTAAATTGTCAAAAAAACATCATTATATGGCAATATTATAATTATAAAAAGAATAGTTTTAAAAGTCTGGTAAAAATCCCATACTTAATTAGAATCTTATCTCATAAATTCCTGAACTATCGAGAAGTGATATTTGTGTGATTAAGGATTTAAGAGATCTTACATTGATCAATTAAAAAAAAAGATTATCGTCTTTTTCTACAAGTTCAAACTTAGAACCTAGCCAAATTTGTGAACTATTATTGGAATTCAGATAATATTGGTAAATTAGAATGATAAAAAAATAAAATCTTATTCTATTAATATGAGACTAGGTACTTCTCAGGTTTATAGAGTTCTTTAATTTCCAACAAGAGATTTAACTTCAAATGAAAACACCTTCTAATCAATAATGCTTTTTCTTGAATTAGTTTATATGACAAAATTCATTTTTATGAATATATATGGTATATCAGAAGAATCGTTTTATTTTAGATCTCAAATTTGTATGATCATTTAAATATGGCATTAAAAATATTGGGGAAATAAGATTGACTTGAAAATATGATCAATGTTGAAGTAAATAATTCTATGATACTTTAGGGAATTCAAGTTCGAAGATAAATATTACATCGCGTATGAAAATTATGGTAGCTATATTAACTCTAAAACAAAAGACATATTAGAAATCATTGCGATAATTTGATGATACTTAGCAGAAATCTCTTTATGAAACTATTATAATTTATTATTTAAAAATAAAATGCAAAAAGTGTATTTTTAAAGCGGATTGAGAAAAGAAAAGTTTGAAGCAGTGCTCCCATCTTAAAGCAGCAAATTAAAAGATTTAAAAAATATCATTAGTTAGAAACTCAGAATAAAGCCTCATTTATTTTCCGTAGAAATGAATGATAAAAATTTTACGGATGAGAATGAAATAATCGATACCAAAGAATTATATTAAGTAAATGTAATGCCTTAAGTTAAATTTTATGAATTTTCAGTCGCCAATGCTGGAGGCAAATTCTTTATCAGCTTTTTAGAGGAAAATGATTTATTAGAAGACTTAATAGAATAAGTCAATTATTTTCTAACTTAAGGTTTAAAAGAACAATTTGACACTTATGATTTATATTTAATTTCTAATAATTAAAGCGTTTTAATAGATTATCAAAACAAAAAAAAATCGGCTATTGGAGAACTCTTTAATGAACCATAAATCAACCTCCAAATTAAATTAATTCATGAAGTTTGGACATTAAAAATAATCGATAATTTTTTAAATAACAAAGATAGAGAAATTGAAATTAACAGAAATAAAACCTTATTAGATTTGAAGGAGGCAATATCGCCCAATTTAAAGAATTTTTCATTTATGATTGATGGGAAATAACAACAATATTATAGTTTTGATGAAAGATAAGTCAAGGAAGTTTTACAAAATTATGATACTATAGTCATGGTTCAAGTTCAAGAATGAGAAAAATGATTCTATTTCGCTCATTAATTTGAGCAATTAATAGCAAAATTTTATTAATTCATTTAGTTTTATTCTTTAATCTTTATTTACTTTGTATTTTTACTAATTAATATCTATTTTATTATTTTTAATATCCTCAATATTTATTCCTGATACTTGTGTTTAGGATTCTAAAGTACAGTAAAGATAATTCCAAAAAAATAAATTACAGATCCAGACAATTTTAAGAGATCAATTTAACTCATGCAAAATTTAGTAATGAATTATAGATTCATTGTAGGATCATCGGAATAAAGTCAAATTGTTTGAAAGTTTCAAAGATTCAGACAATATTTATTTAGGAAGTAGAAATATATAATTAATTATTATAAAGACTCTGTGCAGGAGGAAGCTTGTTTGAAATGGTGACCAAGAAAGATCAATTTACAGAAAAAGAAGATTAAAAATATTTTTATAAATCATGCAAGCCATTTATTGCTGCTGCAACCAAGGGATATATCATCGAGATATTAAACCAGAACACTTGCTATTCCTAGATTAAACCCCCAATTTCACAATAAAAGTCATAGGTTTTGATGCTTGGTATATTTTAAATAATAATCAATAAAAAACATTCGATGGCAAGAAACAAATAAAATCATAGGCAGAAACAGTATGATTATACCATTTAAATTAGCCTCACTATATAGCTCCAGAAGTTTTAGATGGAATATGATGAACTCAGTGATGTTTAGTCAGTTGGGGTGATTTTGTACATTTTATTGGCTGGTACTCTTAATTTCAACTTAACAATTGATTCAGATATCTTAAATGTTGTTAAATCTTGTAAATATAGAGTAGATCTTCCTGAATTCAAAGAAGTTTCAAATGACTGCAATGATATGATATAAAAAAGTCAAACCAAATTTGATCAAAGATTAAAAGCCTAATAAGCATTAAATCATTGTTGGTTGATTCCACTTGAAATTTGATAAATTATTATTATAAATTCGATTTTCTTTAAACATGATTATTTAATTTTTTTTTGATTTTAATTACAGTATTTAGGAATAGAAAAAAGATGCTTAAATTTAATTAAAAAGAAAAGCGTATATACATCATAATATTATACACATTTGAATTATTTGCTATTTTACCTCAATAATTAAGTTTGTGATATCAGTGTTGATATTATAAGATTTGATCTTTGGATTGTTATTAACAAAGGAAGTACTTAGAAAAAAGACTATATTATTATTAAGAGAAAATGTGGAAACAAATCGTTCAAAAGTATTAAGACCATTGGAACCTATTGTAATGAGGTCAATTAGTTATTTAAGATTGAAAAATCCATTCTAGGCTTTTGAAGCAATATTTTAGATTAATGATGTATAGAAATATTCATATATATATTTCCATTTCATATGCTATTATTTTCCCACAATTGCAGAATCCAAATCAATATTAGATCTTCATAGACATTACTATTTCTTTTGTCTAATTCATGTTCGACTATTAATATATAGAATTAAACTAGTTACAATTTAACTCAATTTTATGTGCTATAGAATTTTTTTTTCACCAATGGTAAATAAGATTCCATTTTGAGGACTACATGTAATTTAGAACTTTACTCGAGTTAAAGAGTTTGTCGTAAATAATCTTCAATTGCCCATAATTCAGTACTAGAGTCGAATTTTTCATCAAGAACTTTTCTTATCTTGGGTCCATCAAATAAATGTATTGATACTGGAACTAAAAGATTCGAATTCTACATTCTGTCTCAGATATAAAAAGATTAATTATACAAAGAATAAATTATTACATTTTTATGCAATATATGTTGTATAAATATTCATGAGAAGGAACTAAATTTAAAGATAGATAGAGAAAATTGAAATAGCAAATTTGATTTATTTACACACTGTCTAGCTGAAAACTTGTTTAGAATATTCTTTAAATAAAATATGTTAACATAAATTTTAATTTTTCCAATTTTCATCTCTTTGGCATGCTTTTCTATGAATGAAAAGCTCCTCTATGTAATTACATAGAATGAAACAATAAGATTAAATTTATCTTAAGTGTTTATTGGCAATAACATAGTGTATTCTACAATACAAACAGATTTTGACATAATCTAACCATTCGACGAATATGATAAACTAGAATTACCTGAATAAACATATCCCATTAGTTTTAAACCATTACTTAATACCAACAAAAAATGGCTGAATTAATTTGCATACATGGCAGAAAACTTCATTTCTGTAAATATTACATATTCCAATCCATAAATTAACTTAAATACTCCATAATTTAGAACAGTTTTATATATAGAAAAGCAAGATCTATCTTTGAATTGCTTTGATTTTGATTATTTCAAGGATGATAGTTTTATTATTGTGTGTTAAAAAGAGACCCAAAACTTAGTGTACATCCATAATAAAAATGGAGAATTATTAAATTAGATTGAACTTGAAAACTTTCTCAATGTAAAATCTATTTAAATTACTAATACTTTGAAATATTTTTACAAATTGGAAAGCAATTAATCCCAATCAGTTCTTTCGATTTATAAATGGAATGAAGATTACACTAAATTAGATCTTAAATCACAGATAAACAATTCAACAGTTCATTTGCTATTTCCATAAAAAGAATCTATATCCCTCAAGATAAATCAGTACAAAATATTAAAGAATAATGAAATTTACTTCCTTGATTAAACTTTGGGCCTGTTCAAATATGAAAGTAATCAAGCAACAGCAATTAAGGCAGATAAGATTATATCTTTTGATATAGATGAAGAGAATGGGTTTTTGATTTTCCTTCAAACTTAAAAAATCATAGTATATCAACATTAACATTATATTCAAACTATTTCTTTGGATTTCAATGTGGATGAGAAAGGCAAGGTTCACATCTCAGGACAATATATCATTTTGCATAACACAGGATACTTCTCAAGCTATAGTATTTATTCTGGATATCTACTCCAAAAGATCAATAGCGAAGGTATTATAACTTATTTATGCTCATAACATTATTTACTTACGCTTTCAAACGAGTATTCACATTTTTATCTACTAAATAATGGATACCTACTGTTAAATACAGATGATAGTGAAACAATTAATACATATCAGTAATTTACAATTTAAGGAAAAGATATTCATGGTTCATGCAACACTTCTATTACTTTGCAAACTATATAAGAAAATTAAGAAACACTTATATCTGATCATGAGAATAAATCAATTACTATTGGATCTCCTTTTCATTAATAAGAATTGTAATTGATGATATCAGGGCCAAATTAAAATTATGTATGTATATCAGATTGTTCCATCTAATAAATTTCAAACTATCCTTTTAATATTTAATTCAAAGATTCAATAATCTATTAAGATGTTGTAAAAATCGATAATATTTATTATTATTTACTACAATAATTTTAAAATACTTAACAATTGCATATAAATAAATGCGAAATATAAACTTAATTAATCTGTACAATTTAATCAGCAATGTAAATCAAGATCAATCTTAATGAAGACAACTTTTAATCATAGTTGATAGATAAAATACTTTATTTTGTAGTGTTAGAGACTTAAAAAACGGTTTCCTTATAGACTGCTAATAGTACAATAAAGCAACTTGTTCTTGAGAAATCTGTTAAATAAGTACTATTTGATCATTCATCATTATATCTGGTATTTGATAATTAAATCCGGTTTTATCAAAATATAATAAAAAGTGATGATTATATTTTGATTGATGAATCATTTTTTAATATGTGTTCTTACAATATCAATTTCGAACCTCAAAGATTATACATTAATTCAAAGAGAGACACAATGCTTATAAATAATAAAAACAGCTTATTGATTACAAATTTATTTACTGATTTTTACATCAAATATTACCTAAATCTTGAAATAAGCGAAACTGATTTCCTTGCAATATCAGATTAGACATTTATTTTAATAAAAGATAATATCATATTTGAATATAACTTTTACTAAGAAGTGTATTTGATCCATAAAATTCCTACTTATTCATAACAATTATTTTAACCAATAAATGCCAAATGTATAAATAATTATTTATTGATTCAAACTGAATAGTAGGAGATACTAGTGTATCAGTTCAATACTTAAGCTCATAATTCTTTAAAGTTTCAAATATCAATTAGCACTACGAATATAAAGATCTAAAAATAAAAAATTATAATATCTCCTTTCGTATCAAATAAGCAGTTATTTGTAATTTTATACTAAAATGAATTTATACTAAAACAGATTCATTAAAATCCAATCATATCATATCAATTTGAATAATAAAATAATAGATATATCTAGGAAATGACAGCAATAATATAGGTGCATAACAAAAAGTAGAGCTTAGAAATACATTAATCAATAAAATAGATTAATACATTTACATAAATAGAACTTCTTGAAAAGGAACTCAAAGACAAAAACAAATTACACCTACATAAGTATGAATTGAAAATACCTATGATTCATAAATGGTATGAAGGTCAGGTAATAGATTTCATTGCTGAAAGTGAGATTAAGGATGTAGTAACAATCCAAAATCTAATAGAAAAGACAGATGATTAATTATCAAATGGATTGCAATTTAATAATCTAATATCCCTAAACAATGTAACTCAATTGTTACAAGGAGCTTAATCATTTATGTTATTAGATTCATAATTCGAATTAACTTCGCTCATTAATTTAGATGTTAAGCCCTAATTCACTTGCACATACACATTTTAAGATAACGTTTTCTATTACACGTTGTGCAATAGTTTGACTGAATCCTACCTTCATATTACTAAAGTTGATGATGGTTTCCCTTTAGGATTCCTATATTAATTTGAGGGTTTAACTAAGAAGATTGGATGCATAAATAAAAAGATCGTATTTTTGACTGGAAACACATTAAGAATTGGAGATATTGTAATTGAGAATGGTTAATTTTCTATTAAGAATATAATTTAAATCAATGAAATTTATCTAAAGTTACAAAGTCTATTTCATACAGTAGATTTTGACATTATTTAGAGTGAAGGAGATGAATTCATCGTTTAACTTTTAGATAAAACTGGTCTGGTGGGAATATTGCGGGGAATCTATAAAGAAAACAATTACGTAGTATTTAACATTAAGACTTTTGATACAAAATACCTCATAAAAAAAAATAATTACTCAATTCTAAGTGATACTTCATTCATTTTTATAAAAACTTTGTATCACTCCAAGAATTTTATTCAAAACCTAAGATTTCTCATTCTAACTAATAATGCTGGATCATATGGAATTAGGATTGTATATGATGATGAGAGTAATCCCTTTTTGGAGTTCATGATCATTTAGTATGGATTTTGGGAAACATAGAGGTTTGATATTGGAAATAACATAATTTCAATTTCTTATAAGAATGAAAATAAGGTCTTAATCGGAGTATATAAAATTAATTTCAATATAAAATCAGTTGAATTTGAATAATTAAAAATAGTATCAGGCTTGCAGATTGAATAATCGTAATAGGATCCTGTATTCTTTTTCTTGAAGGGTAATAATCTAATGGTTGATACATAAAATTAGATTTTCTTATAATACTGCATAAATGACTACGTATACTTTGTTGTGAAAGGAGCATAAGATCGACAGCACATAAATATCACTGGTAGAAACGACTTTACTTCAGAATCCTTGAATTATATAATCAATTATCATATAGAGGAAGAATCGTAATTTATGTGTTAACTATTATTAGATCAAACACCTGGTGGATAGTGTTGGTGAGTGTCTGTGGAGGAGCCATATTGATAGCTTTCTTCTTTTACCTATATAAAAGAATGCACCCTGTAAAAAGTGTAAGTTCCATCCTATTGGAATGATTGTTAATAATATTTATAAGAAATTTGTATATTACTATTTATTATACATTACTAAGTTTACAGTAAACGTCATAATTTAAGCGTTACTAAATCTTTAAATTCAATTTTAAATTTCTCACATATCAAATTATATATTAAATATTTCTTAACATTAAATATTATTATAAAATACAATTGATAAACATTAAATTTTGAAGCTAATAAAAGATTTATGAAAGAGAATGAAAGACATAGTGAGACAAGGTAATCTAAGTATTTAAGTACCATTAGAGGATTTTATAAATATAAATTCTTGAGAGTACAAAAGAAAATTCCATATTTGTAACAGTTAAGATGAAAAATATAATATACCTTAAGTTAACTTGTAAGGGATTATTCAATATTTTAATGTTTCTGTTTTCTAAACATATAAATTCCAAATTCTTTTATGGGTTTTAAGGATATGTAGTTTGATTGTGCAACTGCAAATGTCTGCTGAGGATTGAAAAATAAATTATGTTATAAAATAGATTTAATATTTAATGTTAAAAATTATATCTTTGAGCATAATATATGGAATTATTATATTGCTAAGCGCGATAATCATGATTGTTTAGTAGAAAGTCAAACGATTAAGGCATAACCCTGGTTCGATATTGTTTAGCATACTATTATCACAAGCTGTATATGAAAATTGATATAATAGATAATGAGTATGTTTATGATTTTGAGTCAATTTTATGTTGTTGATGGGCCGAAGCAGTAGAGTTTTTAATTGATTATTACTGAGCGAAGTTGTAAGTTGATAGCTGTCCCTTCTTTGATAGCTTCAATGTTATATGCAATATTAAACATTGTATTAATAGCCAATCTATATTGTCAAATTTATGTCAAGAATTATAAGAGTTTTAATTTGAAGGAGGAGGTCATGTTGGGAGTGGTCTTAATAATAATAATATCAATTTTACTGGTTTTGCTGAGTCAAGATCTAGGTGTTAGGTATTTTTTATAAAGTGACAAGCATTTTAGGAGATTGCAATTTAGAATCTTAGAATGTGTTTGCTCAATTTTTGGTCTACCTTAGAGGTGTTTTGATGATAATATTATCGATAATATTGATAAAGTTGTAAAGACATTCCCCTTAAATATTGTAAACTGAAATTTACAAGACTTCGATGGATAAGTTCATACGGAAATACTTGCATACCTACATTAAAGTAAATGTGAGTTACGGTTGGCTATTCGTAATGTCAAGATTGCTAATTGTAATCAACGTTTAATATATACATTAGCCAATAATTCTGAATTACAACCAGAATTATAAAGAACTGATAAACATATTGTCAATCATCCAAGCGATAATGACATTGTCAATGACAATAATTCGACTCCACGAGCCAATCATTCATCGCCATATCAAGTATTTGTTTAGACCCAAGGCCTGTGTTCTCTAGGAGAGACTGCTGGACAAAACCAATCTATAGAGTGAGGATTTATAGAATAGGTCTTATCAGAATATAATGATTTAAACTTCAGGCCAAGACATAATTGGGATTAAGTTGTACCAGTAATAGAAACAAAACTAATTGAATCTCTCTTTAGAACAATATGATGTGGGACCTTTGATGCCTTAGGAATCCACATAGATTCAATAAATTGAGATACAGAATATCATAGAACATAGTGGACACAATGAAATAATATTATTGTTGCAAGCAAGTTACGAGATGTTAGAAGACCATCAGTATTGTTAGAATAGTGAGATGACTTATTATCAATTCAACAAGATTCAATAGCGTTCAATTTAAATTAATTAGACCAAGCACATTTTGGTAACTACCTATGGTCAAGACATATTGAGTTTGAAGGTCAGAGATTACTTTGGTATTAATCTGAAGCAAATCAAGAATTCGCTGGATATATCTCTTAACATAGACAATTTGAGATCATAAGAATTGCCATAGAAGGGCACGTTATTTATTACTCATGACAATTTGATTTCGATTGAGTTCATAACTCGAGATCAGAAAAGACAATTAACAAAAGGTAGTGGATTGTAATTGTTATGGTAAAGATGGGATTAAGAATACACTTGTGCTCTTGGGATATTTCTACCTGTGATATTTGGAGTACATTCATTTTATTTAAATGGAAATTATTTTACTATAGTTTTCAAATTGAATAGGCTCAGACTAAAATATCCTCTATTGGAAGAATTGTGGTCGCATCAGGCAGTGCTAAACAATTTAATTAAGCAAAATATCATAGGCTGGATCACAATTGAAAATGGCGTATACAATAAAAGATTTTTGGCTTAAGAAGTCAAGGACGGGAAATTCAACATCGTTTTCAATAAGAATGATTACTTATTGGATGAGAATGATAAATACTCATTAATGGACATGATTAGACGTGATTATGCCACCATGCAATAAATGAAATGCTCATTCACATTGTAATTTGTTTATACAAAGCACACTTCGGCTAGATTGGATAGCTTGGCAGGAAAAGAGAAATAATTTGATTAAGATTAATCAGTGGCAGTTAAACATCGGAAGAAGACTAAACATTTTATTGGAAACATAGCCTCATTTGAATTAAAGACTAAGTTGGGATTTGTCTAAGTGTTTTGGGACGATTGCTGGAAATACTACTAATCTGACATTGAAAAACTTATATAGATTGTTAATGATAATTTTTGATAATTTGTATAATCATCTTCTCTCTTGCTAACCAAGTAGTTTGTCTAATCCCATAGAAATGAACAAATACTTAATTCAATCGAAGCCCAAGGGTTAAATTATTCTGTTTGTAGTATCTCCTAATAAATTAATCTCGCCTCTTACACTCTATTACTATTTTAGTAAATCTCAGCTATATACATTTATTATTCTATTACCTTTAGCCAACCTCAAAAGCGCACTTTTGGGGTCGACCTTCTAATTTTAATCTACCAATTTCAATGCTTCCTAATAGTTTTGCTTTGACAAGAGTTCATAGCCTAATTCTAAAATTGATTATACCTTAAAACTCTTAACCCTAGGTCAAATCATGGCAGGTAATTCTTATTGATTTCAAGGTGTGCTCAAAAATGTTGTCTATTCTGTCGTTTATAAGTTTTTAAACCTTTTCAAGTTTTAACAGGCAATCTATTTTATTGGTGATTTCCTTATTTCCAAAATTACTTAAAGGCATAGGTCTGTAATATTTCTCCAAAAGCATTTCTAAGTAAGTAATCCCAGTTGAAAACTACTGTTTTAGGGCATTTAATTTATCTGAAATGTCCCTATAATTTATATTGGCCTATTATAGGAAATTTTCTTCTTAATTTGTTTAGATAATAGTATGTTATTGATGTGTCAAATCAGTCATACACTTAAAACAAACTGCTCTATTTTATTTTCGACAATGTTCTGAAATACAATAAGCCATAATGGGTTAGTTTTAATGTTCTGGAACTAAACAATATCTTTCCATATTTTATATTACTTTTATTAATATAATAGGGTCTAAAGAAATTTTAATTAAATTATGGATTTTATATCAATTATTTTAATTAACAATATTATCTAAGATGGTAGATGACAATCCCCTTTATGATTAGATCTCATAAAACACCTCGAAATAGAGAAAGAGAAACTTGGAATCTCTCAATTTATAATATAATCATTATAATATGTTCAATAATTGGTTTTGGAAGCTTATATATAATCTATTCTTCTCAACATTGAACTTACTGTGTGTTCTAACTCTTAAATCTAATGATAATATTGGCCACTTAGGTTTTAGATTTCTTTTGTACTCAACCCTGAAAGTGTTCTGTTAACTTTGATCAAATCAGCTGCATTCAAAGATGGTGTTTACAACTTTCTTTATCTCATACTGTTTTAATCCTCTTTCCAGGTATTGGCATCAAAGGAGACATAACTTTATGATGTAGATCTATCAAATTTCTTCCAATCTGATAATGATGCTAGATGGTGATGTTATGATATGTCATGATCTACATGTAACTTCTTACTTTGTAATGGACTCTAATTTAATGACATCAAATTTTTGTGATCCATATGAAAAGTTTTTGCAATTTATCTTGATTTGTCTTCTGTCCCATCCATCTTAGCTTATGCTGTCTTGCGCACATAGTTTCTAAACTCTTGCAATTCCTATCGGTTTAAACTATTTGTATTGGTGTACGATATATTGGAGTGATTGTACATTTCAAGGATTTTTGTATAAAATAAAAATTTATTTATGAATAAATATCTAAAAATGCTGCTATATTTAATTAATTATATTATATTTCGCAGCATTTTCACTGATACATCTTTTCCAAACTGATTTAAAACAACAATATCTAAATTCTTTTTCCAATTCAGATTTTTTGTTAATTTTTATTAATTTATAAATAAAATAATAGAAATTCAATCTCCAATTAAATATATTCATTTATTTGAATAAATCAATAATAATAACTATTCTTTTTAAAGAAGATGCAAATCAATAATAAAATTGAAAAAATAGGTTTTTTAAGTTAAATCTTAACTATATTTCAACTCAAAGATATCAAAGTTTCCTCATATTATTCTCCTTCCTGATAATATACATATTCAAACCAAAAAATGATTTCAACGGCTTAGCTAATAAAAAGAGAATATAGTTTAAAAGAATTCAGAAATTGAATATCTGGTTATCATGATTATAATTTAAAGAGATCTTAATAAATATAACTATCTTGTATACATTACTTAATGTAAAGAGAATCTAATCATAATGTTAATTTCTATGTAGAATTACAAACAACTCAATGATTCTAGATAATTATGTACTCCTAATTTATTGTAGCTGATTTAATATGTTGTCAGTGTATGTAAATGTACATAATTTGCTTTAGAGTATAATTTTATATTGAGTTTTTGATTTGATAATACGAATTTAATTTAACAAAATTATATAGCATAATCTGAAATGTCTTTGAAGGATTTTTAAGTTCTCTCGAAATTAGGTATTGTAATGTAAAACTAGCAATTTTTAGGAGAAGGAGCATACTCGTCAGTCTACAAAGTAAAAAGATTGGAAGATGGTCACAAATATGCTTTGAAGAAGGTAAAATTGCAGAACCTGAATGATAAAGAGAAGTAGAATGCAATGAACGAGGTTCGCATTTTAGCATCAGTTAAGCACCCTAATATAATTTGTTATAAGGAAGCCTTTATTGATTTATAGAGTAATTCATTATGGTATGCTGACATGCAATTATGTTATTTAGTATAGTGATGGAGTTTGCTGATGGAAGTGATTTGTATCAAAATATTATGAATAGTAAAAAGAGCAACAAACCTATCGAAGAGTAGAGAATTTGGAATATTTTGATCTAAATCGTGAGAGGTTTGAAAGCACTGCATGAATTGAAAATCCTGCATAGAGATTTGAAGGTATTGGAAGTATTGATCTTTAGAGTGCCAACATATTTTTATCTCAAAATGGAGATGTGAAGTTAGGAGATATGAATGTCTCAAAGGTGGCAAAGAAGGGATTGCTTTACACTTAGACTGGAACTCCCTTCTACGCTAGTCCTGAAGTGTGGAAGGATCAACCTTATGATCAAAAGTCAGATATCTGGAGTTTGGGATGCGTAATCTATGAGATGTCAGCATTGAATCCTCCATTCTAAGCATAAGATATGGATGACTTGTATAAGCTAGTAATACGAGGATTCTATCCAAAAATACCTCAGCATTACTCTCAAGATCTCAATAATGTAATAAGATCAATGCTGTAAGTAAAACCAAATCTAAGACCTAATTGTGATAAACTCTTACAATTTCCTTCAATATTATAAAGATAAGAGGAAATATCATAAACAGAAAAAGTAGACAGTGAACCTAATACTTTGTTATCGACAATCAAATTTCCAAAGAACTACCATTACTTTACATCTATATTACCCAAGCCTTGTTATGATTTTATGAATAGGAAACAGATAAAGTCGCTTCATTCACAACAGGCTAGTCCGAATCCTCGATCAATAATGAGTGTGAATGGTAGTTACGAGGATGTTACTAGTTAGAAGTCGATAGAGAAGGGAGGGGTTAATGTAGTTAATCGAAAGCCTTAGCCTGAAGTTCTTATGATACTCGAATACCAGAACAAAGTATGAGAAATTTGAAATTGATTTAGCAAATTCGAAAACCAATAATGAAGATTCGACCGAATAGACATTCTAGTCAAGAGGAGGTGAGTTTATTGGATGTGATCACTCAGCAGTAATCTAAGATCTCATTGGAAAATCAAAAGCTTCCTATACTGGAGGAGTTATCTCCAAATAAACGCAAGATTAGACCGAACAAACATAGGAATCAAAGTTTGCCTAATGCTAATCTACTCCCACTTATTTAAGCTGGTGTTTTAAAATGAAATATTATAATTAACATTATTTATCATATGATTCATAATTCGAATAGAAATCCCATCACAGATCCCTATTCCTTGGAAGATCAACTGGCTAGAGAGTTGTAGAAACGGAAAGTTGAGGAGGAAAAAAAAAGAAGGGAAATCGAAAGAATTTGTGCCGAGAGTGAAGAAATCAAACTACTTAAATAAAAAGTTTAGACTGCATATGTGACCAAGGAGAGAACTTAACAATTGGCTGAGTAGTAATTGAGAAGAATTTAAGAGTTGGTATATATAGTCAGTTATATTTTCAAAAATAGAAATAAGAAAGTGAGATTGAAGCTGCTATTCTAGAAAAACTGAAAAGAGAACAAGAAGAAGAAAGGTCTAAGGAGAAATTTAGACTACAATAGAGATTAGAGGGAAAATATGTATTTGAATCCATCATCATCAATAGACATTATAAAAATAAATGAAAGAACATGAGCAATTGAGAGATGAAGCCAAAGAATAATACATTTACGAGAAGGATCAAGTCAATAGAGTTATTCAACAGTTAATAAGTGAAGATCGCAAATTTATAGAGGATCAGGCAAAAAAGAAGAAGATAGCCTTCTCAGACATGCAGAATGCTTTGAGGGAGAAAGCTGAATTAATCTATAGAATGAAGTAAAGGGAGAGAGAGGAGAATTAGAAATATTTGGATTTTATGAAAGAGAAAGATAGATAGGCTCATGAAATCAAAGTTAAAAAGTAGGAAGAGAATGCAGCCAAGTAAACATTAATCTCAACAATTTAATTAGGGATAAAATATTTCAAAAATTAAAGGAAGAAGAGGAGAGAAGGAGATAAGAGGCAGAATTGTTAACTGAACTCAGATTTCAACTTTATTAAGAATAGTATGATGCATAGTAGAGATAAAAAGATATTGATGAAGCTAATAAGAGGGAATTTTAAAAAAGAGAGATGCAGTAGGCTGAACAGGAGGCACGATTAAGAAAGTAGAGATAGAAGGAGGAGGAATAATAGATGGAAAGAGATTTCAGAGATCAAATGATGAGGAAGTTTGCTGAAGATGATAAATTAGAATAGTTGGGATAATAAAAACGAAGAATGAAGGAAGTGGAACATAAAAGGGAAGTTGAAAGATTGTGGCAATAGAAATTAGAAATGTATTAGATGGAAAAGCAAAAGGAACTTGAATAATTAGAAAGGCAGAGAAGAGAAGAGGCTTATAAATAATTAGTGGTTGAGGAGGAAAAAAATCGTATTCTTCAAGAACATTTGCAATAAGTAGGAGAATTCATTCCAAAAGGTCTCTTATTAAAATAAGGAGATTCTCAATTTATAAGATAGGGATAACCAAATTCAAGTTATTAATCTGGATTTAGAATATGAAATTATTATTTTTAAATATTTAAAAATAAAAATAAACAGGATTTTATTAAAATAATAATTCTATTTTGCTTTTTCCTTCTTTTTTTTTAAATATATGTAACCAATTATCATCATTGACTCAAATTCTGTTTACGATTGCAGAACTCACAGTTTAATTAAATCATGCAAATTCGATATCAATGTCATATTGGGCTCTTTCAGTAAAACAATACCAAAAGATTAATGGTAGACAAAAATTAAAACTATTTCATTGCTCCTTTTAACTAGATTTCCATAAGAAATCCCTAAAATATTTTAGATACTTGAAGTCTAAGGCAGCAAAACAGATTTCATTAAAGAAGTGTATTCCTAAGAAGAAATCCAGAATATTTTGTAATAAATCCTAGAAAATAATGAAAAAAGGTAATTACCATAAAATGATTAAAAAGTTCAAAATGATTCCACTGAATTTGAGAGGAGATTTATAAAAAATAACATCCAAACACAAAACATTCCATAATTATCAGAAGATCTATAAAGAAATATACCCCTGACTATAGGAATCAGTATAAGTAATTTGGTTGAAAATTTGAAAGGATTTTGCATTAAGTACCCTTGGTGGAATCAATTTTATAAGAGAGTTTCATAAACAAACAATGAAACAGATGCTGAAAACGTTCTTTTTGAAATTGCCCCACTTTTAGTCCAAAGATTACATGATTTAAAAAACTAATCCTAATTCTAGAATCAAGATAATTCAATAAATTAATAGAACAGACAGATGGAATTTTCAAAATGCCAAATGGAATAGATATGTCAAAGATTGCTAGAATTAATTAATTGTAATGATTTGGATGTTGAATTTACAGATCTAAATATATTAGAAGCAGCTGATGAGTAATTTTTAGAATTTCTATCCATTCTTTTTTAAGTACTCAAACAAATGATGAAAATAAATGCGACTATTGAAATAAATGATAATGAAGCTACTTTCTCTCTCACAGGAGTCATAAAAAGATTTCATAACTATTCTTAAAATCAATTATTAGCTCAATCACATATGTTTGCAATTTAATTGCTTGAAAATATAAGAAGACAAACTTAAATTAATTAAAGTACTTTTGAAATTGTTGCATCTATTTTAAAGTAATTGATGCCGGATGATAATGAACCATTAATGAGGATGTTAGCTGATCGTATTGAATTTAATAAATAACTAAGGGATAAGAGAAAGATGGCTAAAGATATGAAGCAATAAGTATAATAATAATAAATGAACTATTCAGGAATTAATTCAAATTATAACAAAAAGTAGAAAAATAATCCTTCAAAATAAAAATAATTAGATGACTATTTAAAATTAGAAATAGCAAGAAATCAACAAAAGGAAGAATATTTTCCTAAGAAGAAAGTAAAAAAAGTCACAAAAACAATTACAGTAGATACATCAGATGAATCTTACCAATCATCCTTTTCCTTCAAAGGCGAAGAGAAACCATAATAAGAATAGAAACCTACATATTTCCCAAAATTAGGGCAATCTTACTAATATCCATCTGTAATGTATCCATATTATAATCCTTATTGTTGGTAATATCCTTATCAGTAGCCAGTTCAGCATCAAAATTAATTTAATGAATAATAGTTATCTTAAATTTTCAATATGGGTTTGGAAGCATATAATGATAGAATTCTTAGAGATTGATTTTAAATGTTATATTTATTCTAATCAGTATAAAAAAAATATAATTTTAACTTTCAATTTTCTTAATCTTCATAAATTCGTTTATAGAATATTTTCATTTTAGAATGATTTATCTTTTTAATAAAATTTTGTTTAATCCTAAAGATCATAATAATATCAAATAGATTATGGTGGCTCCTATAATATATCCGTTTTCATATTAATAGTTAAAGTATAGATCAAAGTATTATTCATCCTCTTATTCTCCTGAGCCTGTTTCATTCTCGTCCTCTCCTCCGTCAGAGAAAGGATCGATAATATCACAAAATCCTATTGCATTTAATTTGTATCCTTAATGACATGATTTACACTTATTATAACTTTCACAAATATAGCAATTCTATAAAATAGATTGAATAATTACTCCAGGACATCCAACACAATATTTAATAGAAGCAATAGCATATGAATTTTTTGGACACAATTCAAAACATTCATTTTAGAATCTATAGTTTTAACAATTTTCTGAACAACTTTTGCCTGAATATCCTAATTTACATATGCACTATAGAATTAATAGATAAATTTATATACCATTTAATTTAAACAATATCCATTTTAACTACATTAATCTTCGCAATCATTTTATGATTTACAAAATTCTTCAGGGTTGTTTGGACATATCAATGATCCAAAATAACCTTTATCTAGTTTTTAAGGTTAAGATGATGAGCAATCATATTGTTTTTCATCTATTAGTAACTTTAATTGATTATTTGAATCACAAGAGTATTAGTAACAACTAGATTGTTATGAATTAGCAGCACTTTAATTCTTACTTATTGATCCTTTAACACACATGCTATCAGATCCAAAATATTAAAATGTTTCTTAGTTTTAATCTCCTCCAGCAGATGATTTATCCTTACAATCATATCCCAGTTAGATTTAAAAATATTTGCATTCGTTACTATACTTGTCTGATTGACACTTTGCTTATCCAGTATTTAAATAGGAGCATCCTTACTCATTTTCTACTTAACAAAATTCTTCAAATTCTCCTTTACATTATTTAGTCAGAAAATCGCATTCCTTGTTTTTTCCCCATTGCACTTTATCTGGGTAGTATTCCATAAAATTATAGAAACTAATTATTGAATGATCAATTACCCACTATCTTGAAATAGTGAAAATGTAAAGTCAGATATAACGACTTTTCCTTCCATTATTGAACTAGTTAAAATTTCATTATAAAACACGGCTCTTTCCAAATGAGATAATTGAATACCATTTCCACCTTCATTTTCAAGTTAAGCTCCCTTGATCGAACTGCAATTAAAATGCAATTTCATCTTATTTCTTAATCTAGGTGTCGATAAGTAACTAATTCCATCCTCAGTAATAATAACTTCAGAATACGATTCCTTAGTTGAACTATCGTAATAAGTAGGAAATGTTTAAAAAATGAAACCCATATCATACATAGTAACTGCAATTAAACGTTGGGCATGCTATTCGAAATCAGAGTTAGTGATATTTGTCAAATTGGTGTAAAATGTATTCCATTAAATATAACCTACAGTAGGTCTTTTAGTTTCAGGATCAGTTTTAAAATAACCAGAATTTGCTTTATAGGATTGTGAATCTGAAAATATCACGAAAAAGATGAGCTAAACATTAAATGATTATGATATTTACAAGGTCTGCATCAAACTGTTTGCTGATAAGTGAAGTTGAAATATTTCTTTTTTCAAAGTATTCTGTATCAAGAGTATCAAATGTAATTTACTCAGTCAATCTTTGTACTAAAAAGTATCTTGTGAAGAATGTAGATGCCACAGATAATAAGTTTTAAAAGAACACTTAGTACTCAATTTCATAATTTTCTTAGGCAAACTAATATTAAATTCTAATTGGTTCCCATGTAGTTTAGTTAGTTTCCTCTTGAACCCGTTTGTTTCGAGCTTTGATTCTATCTGCTGAGCTTCCATTGATGATAATAAGTAAGAGAAAGATGGTTCTATACAAATATTTCATTTTTAATAATTAAATCACTTTGATCTTATCACTAAAAAGAAATAAATAATTTCAATAAATATTCTGTTAGTAGAAAAACAACTTTAGAAAAACATAATGTTAATTTTCAAATACTTCTTTGGTTGCATTAAACACTGTTAATTATAAATTAATAATATTCTATAATTAAACAAACTAATTATTGTATCATTATTATTTAAATTATTACATTACATAATTTTTTATAATCTTTATAAAAGTGTAGATCTTGAATGAATTAAGGTATATTTTCATATAAATATGATTTAAAATTAAACACATTTTTTACTTCAACTCAATAAAGTGGGTTATAATCAAATTATTATTTTTTAATTTTGCCAGAGCTTTGTATCTAAAAGTCGATAACTTCTAAGTTGTCTTCATAATCTAACCCACTATTATAAATCATAGTTTTCTAGAGGGCCCTTTTCAACATGTCTATGTAAATATCTAATAAATACTAAAGTTAATATAAAAATGTTCTCTCTTATTTTTCACTAAGGCTATTGACTCATTTAATGGAATTTGCAAGACAGAGGACAAATAAATTACTGCAAGAGAGGGTGCTCTTCCAATGCCAGATGTGCAATGGATATATACAGATTCATGTTGATTGATTAATTTCTTGAGTATTTACACAGCTTTAAGTATTTTCTTTTCGAAATCTTATGGATCCATATCAAAGATTTCAAAGTTCTTCATCTAAATATTATGTTTCTTATAGCTCGATAAAATTTCATCCCAATCAACTCCTCTATGATATACATCCAATCTTGTTTATAAATTCAGAACAGCTTTAACACCAAAATCCTTTAATACCACTATGTCTTATTCATTCTGTGGATAAGGACCGATGATGATGTTTTCATTTATTTGAGTGATGGAGAATTATACAACAAAATTCCAGTCCAATTTATTGAGTCTCCCAAAGGACTCATAATAAAAAAAGGATGGTTCTTTATCCGAAAATGAATATCCCATGCTGATTTATTTCTGTAACTTTTATTGTTTTTCTGAGCAAAATGACCCATTTTTCTTATTATGGAGTCGCTGATGTTGACAGGCAGTTAACATTTAAGTTTTGATTTTAATGGGGGATGTCGAATATTGATCTTGAACTAATCTGAAGGATTTGAGATCACTAGATTTCAAATATCTTCCGTTACCTCTCTCCCATATCATAGAACCATCGTTTCTAATAACATAAAAATATCTGAATGAAAAGTGCATAGAATCAACAATAAAGGAGATCGACCATTATTACACTATCTCTCTACTTACTAGTTTTTACTGAATCAAAATTACTTATGTCAATTTTAGACTATTATTTCATGAGTACTGGGTGAATCCATGAACCTAATTATTCAATACTGCCCACTATCATCATTCTCTACTTATCAGGTAAATTGTAATTTAATTTCAATTTAATTGTTCTGTATCCCCAGTATTCACCTTTAATAATTAATTTATTAAATACAATTAAAATATTCAGATTTAGTTTCATTCTCAATCATATGATTGGTGATGACTCTATTTTCTCCAGGTTCCCATAAAGTATCATTCAAAGTGGGATAATCATAATTATTAACAATGAATTTGTACTCGATCTTCACATATTGAGATCGATCTATTTTAACACAAACTGTCCATTCATCATTCTTACAAAACTATCATTCAAATGATACCTCATTCCATTGTAGACGCACTCCTTTGGTAGAGACCCAATTACCAAGTATGTTACAATCGCCTACTATATAAATTGCCTTTCCTGGTTGAGTATGATAGTGAATTTTGAAGTACACATTAAAGTAAGGCATTGGAAGCGACGCACTTGTAGATACAGATTTCTTTTTCATTTATTTCTTTGAAAATTAATTTATTATATAATCAAATTCGATCCAGATCTTCTTCGTGTAGTCTGGAAAAATTAAGGAATTTTTAAAAAATAACCTGATTTAAGATAGTTAGATATCGAAGAAATTAGAATTAGTTGACTTGCCCTAAAATTGAGACTTTTTAAATTCCGTTAATCTCTAAGTTAAGTTTTTTTAGCATATCATATTTAATTGATTCAAGCTTAATTCAATAAATTACTTACAAGAATTGCATATCCAATCTATTCGTTTACTTATTTTTGCTGGAACTTTAGTAAGTATCCTATTTAAATTCTGTTCTTGAATTTATTATTTCTCTTTAATGTAATTTTAATTAAGTAATTAAAAGGCGATCTCATTTTAAATTAACTCCTGAGTTGGCGATATGTCTTATTTATCGCAGAAATGAATATTTATTATTGATTAATATATTAATTCTAATTTTGGAAATAATAGTCACATCAAGGTATCAAATCTAATAAATATCATATATCATTCAGTTCTCAATCTCTCCTTAGTAGGTTAAAGAAATTCAATTATGGTATGCGGAGCAATCCTTTTGTCTGGATCAATCGTCAGCATTTCTCGAAGTAAGAGCCTAATTTCTAGATCGACTTTGATCCCTACAATAAGTATACCAATAAAAATACCTGAATAATTATTATCTAGGTAATGGTCCAAATTTTTAACAACATGAGCTTGTCTCTGTATAATCTGATCAAATTCTCTATTCTTCACCGCAAATAGGCCTTGTTCAATCACATCCTTGTCATGATGCCTAACAATGATCTTATTGCTCAGCCAGAGGGGAATTCCATAAACTATTTCTAAAATTACACATCCCAATGACCATATGTCAATTACCCAAGGTTTATAATAATTTGATAGGACTTTGAATAATTTGGTATCGTATTCCTTGCCATTTTCGTATTGTATATAATTCAAGATTTCCGGACACATGTACTCAGGAGTAGCCATAGAGAATTAGGATAGATCATCAAACATGAAGCTGCTTCCATAATCTATCAGTTTGGTTTATGTGATAAGGTAGGATCCATTCAGACATTTCGATTTTTTAATGAGGATATTTTCTGTTTTGAGATCACAATGTACAATCCGCTATTCAGTCAATAGTATTAAGGCTTGAGCGACATCTTTAATAATCTTTTTGAGAATATTAAGGTCAGATTTTAAATGTAGATATAAGGGTTTTTAGATCATCTTGAATATTGACATGATTAATTACTTTGAATACAATTTCATTTTTAATTTATTGTCCTTTCAATTCGTAAAGTGTATTTTTTAGACTTTCTCCACATACTTCTGTGAAAATCCAAGTGTCAGTAGATCCTATCTCATATCCCAGATATTGCAATAAGCTCTTAATCCCAACGGAGGATTTGAATTAAGGTTTTGGATTTCCGTTGTCGAAAAAGTGAGATCCAAACCAAATCTCTCTTAGATAGGCTTGATTCGAATTGGATTGTTTGATTTGCTTAATTGCAACTCTCATTTTCGTTGTTTTGTGTTCTCCCAACCAAACCAGAGAGAATCCTCCCTTTCCAAGTAACTTAATCTTTTGAAATTATGTTGGGAAATTATCTGATTGTTAATCCTCATCCAGTGTCTGTTTCTAATTACTACTTTTTTGTCTTTTACTAGCACTATTCAGAATGTTTGATTTTCTATCTGCACTTTTATTTGAAGGAAATGCGTTGCTAAAAGATCTTGATTTAGATTGTTATTTGGTAATGCATGAATCCAAAGTTAAGAAATCATCAATTATATCTATTCCTTGTTCTGTTTTCTAAATTAATCAACACTATTACAAATCTTTTGCTAGCTGATTTCTTTTTTGAATTCACAACACTCAATATGGCTTCCTTTTCAAATTGATCAATTTTGCTAGATAACTGCAATCGCAATCGTTCTTTCTTCGGTTTCTCAAATGAACTCTATCTCATTTGCTATTTCGGTTTGACAGAATAAGGACTCTGATTCTTTGACTTAAAAAAACTATTATAAAGCATAAATTAATTAGAATCAAACCCATATTATTATGAGGAACTTCTTACTCCATAATTATTTATAATCACATCAGTCTCTATAATAATGATGATCTTTAACGCTTCGACATGAATACCATGATATAACAATTCCCGACTGAAATTTATTTTATTTTATAACGAACTTAAGAATATATTTTTATCATAATCCAGTCTATTTCAAACCCCACTAATCCAAACCATCCCCTGTATTCACCACAGCTCGACTATCCACAACATCATGAATGGGTTTCAAATAATCCTGCATCACCTTCGCATTCTAAACCATCTCCCTATCATTACTAGCATTATAAAGTATTTTAGCATTCTAAATCTTGCTTATAATATCATCAATTTATTTTCTGAAAGATTCATCAAATTATTGCCTAATAATAAAAGTGAGAACATCTCTTACTTTTGATTAAAATTCAAATTCTGAATGAATGTATGAATGCTTGTTTTGGCCCATTGATATTTGAATTGATCAATCAACACTTCCAAACAATTAATCACATACTATTGTTGTTATTTTCTTTGTGTCTCTTTGTCATTCTACAATATATCAAAGATATTACAATAAATTGATCGAACTCAGGTAGAATTTCGTATTCATATGCCTCAATCTATGATAGTGAGTTCAATTTGAGAATATCTACTGGTTGTAATGCTTGAAGAGTGTTCAAATCATCTATTATCTTCTTCAATTCCTTAAGCATATTGTTAAATAAGTAGGTGTCATCAGTTTGAAGTTTGATTTTGGTTTGCAATTGAATTCTTAATATATCCATTACCTATGTGTATTGAGGCATTTGACAGAGATCAAAGATTTCGATAACCAATTAATCACATTCGTGTTGCTTGAATTAATACTTAGTTATTGATATGCAATAAAGTATTTACAATAAATGGTAATCATAGAACTTGTTTTTAAATTCCTTAATTAGCAACTTAATTTTATTAAGAGCAGTGAATATCTTATTGTCATTATTTAAATATTTGAGGACTAAGCCCATTGCTTATTAGCAACTCATTTGCTCTTTCTATGAACTTTCCTCGACTTTCACTTTTTTATTCTAATCTCCATAAATCTACTTTTCCATTTAATGCAAGTGTTATCCCTAATTTATAGAGTAAATTACTTTAGTCTTTTTGAATAGTTGTTTGTCCAGAATCCGTTCGGCTTGGGTTTTACAATATTGTTCTCTTAAGAGTTCTTCGCTTCTATTATTTTTATTCATAATATATATATAAATACCAAATTTAAAGTGAAAAAATTAATCAAATTTAATAAAGATATTATTAATTTATTAGAATATCAGATGTCACCATTACCAGAACCGAACAATAATGGAATTTAAACACCCGAGAGTAGAGAAGTAAACTTAACTTTGAGTCTTAGGTTTTCAGATTCATTTACAAGAACAAAGAATATGATGTAACAGAATACGTTCCTAAACACCCTGCAGGAAGAAGCTTCTTGGATAAAATGAAGGATGAGAAACAGGACATCACAGAATATTTTAGGTATATTTATGTATTCATATGGTAGATGCTTACATTCAAAGAAGGCATTGAAAATATTGAAATCTTAAAAGGTTGTACGCACTGATCTCAAGGAATCAGAGGATAGCAAACGATATTCTCATATCAAGAAGTAGGTCAAGGATCTCTTTCACCCAGATTGGACTATCGAAATCGCTCTCTTATTAGCCTTGAGCCTCGGATTATACCTAGGTGTCACAACTGATTGGTACATCGCCATTCCAACAATCGCATTGACTTAGATAATAGCTGGGTATTTAATATATATATTATAACACTTAGATGGTAAGGCCATTCAACAAATCACAATCGAAATCCATTATTGTATAAGTTGTCCATTCCCTACGGTATTATTCACGGATTCTCTGCCGATTGGTGGTAATTCAAACACAACAACCATCACATCTTCACGAATCGAATTGGTAAGGATGATGACATAGATCACACCTATTAAAAGTGGTAATACGGATTCCTCTATTTGAAGTAACTATTTATTTAAATTTTAACAGGTGGAAATTCGATTCAGTCCTTGCATCCTATAACAAAATTGACATCCTCTATGTGTTACTACATCAGATTATTGTATTCTAATAGAAGATTTGGATCTATTTGGTTGCCCAATACATTGCAGGATTCTTCAGTGCATGCATTCTAATTGGAAACCACGAAAGAGAATATAAATTCTACAAAAAGATTGACAAACCATTCATTGAACATTAAATCATCACCTCTAGAAATTACGATTGGACAGGTATTTTAATTAAATCTATATAGATTGGTTATCCAATTTAATAATGGGAGGAATGTAATTCTAAACAGAACATCATCTATTCCCTCAAATCCCATTCTATAGATTGCCCTATGCAGCCAAAATTATTAACAGAGAATTAAACAAATTTGGGTACAAAATCCATGTAGGAAAGATCTTGTGATATATTTTCATTAACATAAATCAATATAATTTAAAAAATAGAAAACTTAAAAAACTTAGTAAATGTTCACATAACTTTTATTCCATATCCGTCTGATTCATTTTTATCACACCCTTCTGATCCTTCAACACTACCTTCACAACAAAGTCATAATCATTCTCTTCCAACCGAATCAACACCTTCCCACACAGAGTCGATTTGTCTAATTACACCAACCAAGGGTGATATATTATTAATTCTTCCAACGACTTCAACGGAAATTCCTCCCCTTGATATCTCATCTTGTATTCATTAAGTTCCTCCGCCGTCCAGTAATTGTATGCGAAGAATCTGTTGACTGGTCTCCCTATTATAAATTGATAGGTTCTCTTAGAATCCCTATCATATGAAGTGTTACCTTACCCTTAAGAGAATTAATTATAATATGAATTATTGTAACCTTGATAACTCACCTATGATCTATACATAAGCTCATTGTTTTAACTCCCCTATTATCCTTGACTCCCATAAAATCTATTATCCATAACTGTGTATATTAAATAGCAATTCAAATATACTTCTAATTGATCATAACATCTAAATCTGATCTCTTACTTTATTGATTCCCCAGGCTTTAAAATTTGATGGGCTATTTTCTATGGATAAGCTTAAAAGCCATTTTTTACTAATATTAAGTAAACTTATACATTTTTTTCCTTCAAAGCAAACAATTAAATTTTAGATCCCTTTGCTCCCCTTATTTTTATAAATTAATGTAGTTTTATATTCTTAATTTGAGCTATCCTTCTTCTCTGAAATTTATGTAACCATCAATTCTTGTGTTTCTAGTAATACTACTTAATCACTCAAACATTGCTTTTTAAATTTCTGTATTTCGTTCAATTACAATCCCTTCAACATTTGTCTTTAGAACACATAATTTGTTTAAAATTTGATTAGGTCTTCCTCTTTGTTATCTTGACTTATTACACTTTCATTTAAAAACTTAGATTATGTTTGGTGTATTAGTTAAAATGGAATGTGAGGTTTCTCCTAAGAATTTTATGGCGTATATGGGTTTGGACTAACTTATAATTAAATATTCTAAATTGGTGATTCTTCAATTTACTCATTTATTTATTTAGATTTCTTTATCTCAATTGAATCAAAACTCATATTACCTGATGATTTCTACCTTTCCTTTTGCTATTCCTCCTTGACCTTGATAATTTACTCCTACAATTAATGAGTCTTATTATCGTATTGCACGATGATATCCTCTATTATCTAAACTTACTAATTTATATATTTCTCTTTCTTCTATCCAATTCTTCTCTTTTCATTTTATAAAATATTGTAAATTCCCTCATATAATACATTTTGCCCTTCTTACTAATAATTGCCTGCAGTGTTCATAAAATCGTTACTCAAAGTTTAAGTAATCTCTGCAATTTTAGGCAATAATAATTCCATAATTTAATCAGCATATGTTTATTCCTTATTATTATCTTCTTTGCTTTCTCTCACACTATGGAAACCCATTTAAACTGATGATGGAAATTCAAATGACTGTGTTTTATTTTAAGATTATTGAATTACCTTTGATTCATCAATAAAGTTCTCCCTTTAATCAAACGAATCAAAATTGATTTTCTGATTATCCTTCTAATCATAAAATCCTTCATCCTAAACAAATCTGAGTTTATTTTCTTTCTCTTGACCTTAATTCCCATAAAGTGTAATCTATTAAGTAGGCGATTCAGAATTATGGACTGATTGTTGTTCATGTTATGAGCCTTCCTAATCATGTGAAGGTTTCCTGTGTTGATCAAAGTTATCCTTATGAAAATAGTCAATCTTCTATTATTAATTCATTTCATCTCCATCCCAATTTGAAAATTGATTATCTTATTAGAAATTTCCCTATTAAATATTATTCCATCCAAACTCAAATTTTTCCTCTGCATCTTTCACTGAAGATTAACTTTCCGATTAAGCCTTAGCTTATTTTTCATTCCAGTATGGAAATTCAAATTAATTTGTTTGTTGATTCTATATTTTTTGATCTGAGTCATCCTCTTTTTAAGGCAAGTCTAATTTCTATTAAAATTACCCCAATACATCATCACTTTCCGATTAGACTGTATTTTGTTGTTTCCACTAAAGGAAATCAAATTAATTGGAACCTTATTAGTTTTATGCCTGAAATTAGGTTTTATTGTCATGTTCATTCAAATTAAATTGATCAAAAGAATTGGAAGATGGAATAGCCTAATGCTCTTTATTGAAAATGTCTTAATTTTATTATAAGTTTAACTCATCATTGAAGATTGCTTATTAAAACAGATTATTATTAAATTATTCATTATTATCTATTTGCCATAAGTTAAACCTTTCCTTATTTTAAACCTATTCAGTTGGCTATTAATTTAATTCTTTATTAATTTCGAAGAAATTAGGTCCTTAAAAAAAATCAAAAGCCTTTTGCTATGCCTAAGATTTTTGTACGTCATCCCAAGGTAGATCAGAATCATCTCTTTAAGAATTGCTTACACTTTTCTGCTGTTTATTACCTTAATCTAAATCTAGGCTAAAATTTAATTGTGAAGGTTATTTGTTTGCTTCTTGATGAGGTATGTTGTTATAAATAGGAAATTATAATGTTTACTATGGCTATTGCTTAATTGATGAGCTATTATTTGAATTGGGAATATGCTTTTCGTTCAATGATTTCTAGGATTGGATTATTTAAGACTAACTGGGTGGAGTATGTAATTTATTGTCAACCTACAATTATAGGTTTGTATCTGATGGTTAATTAAAAATTTCATTAAATTTAAATTAATTTACATCTCTATTTTATTAATTTGTTGTTTAAATCCCTTAAAATTAGTTGGTATTTTAATTAATTTAAAAGGGTGGTAAAGTGTCTTAAAAAAATGGAAAAGAGAACCCATCTAAATCTGTATTCTAAACTTTAGGCTATATTTATTATTATTATTATTATTATTCAAAATTAAATGGCTGTTGATTATTCTATTAAATTTAATGGACTTTTAATCCTTATTCACCTTGTTGAGATACATCCTGAGAACTTTTTTCAAACATTTCATCAAATTCGTCTAGAATTTAATTTTTATTGTTAATATTCGATTTTTACAGTTGTGCTACACCTTAAGTGTTTTGGGCTTAATTCTATTGCTGCAATTTCCCTACATCTTAAGGTGTTTAGGTTTAATAGAAGGGATTTATTCCAAATATTTAATTGTTAGAATTTTATTCAAAATTAAACAAAGAATTTTCAGCATTCTTAGTATTTATTTAAGGTTATCCTTTTTGTGAGTCTTATTCCCAAAAAGGGAAATCTTGATTGGATTTGACTGGGTTATCATCAAATAACTCATCCAAATTAACACCATTTTAGGCTCCGACTTAAACTTAATTGAATATTTAAGATCCACTATTAGAAGTTTCATTATCTTCATCAAATGGTGTCGATCGTTAAACTTGTTATGCTTAAGGCTGCTTGGTAACAGAGTAAGGGCTGAATTATTGAGAAGCGGGGTAAGTGTTCATTTAAGGGATTCTGTTAAATAAAATATAAAATAAACTATATTAAATAGTTGCATCTCAATCTTTTTTAGTTTTCTTAAGATTCTAATATCGAGCTTCGTTATCTTCGTCTTAATCGTTATAAAAAGTAAATGATTGTTTTCTACTTCTTTGTCCTTCAGCCTCTTGCTGTTGATCACATTTTTGTGGATGAGAATCTAATTGGATCTCTTATTCAGATTTAGGTACATTTATTAAATCAGATAAACTCAATTTCCTATTCTTTAAATACTTTGAAATTTTGGCCCTGGATTTTAATGATGTATTGAATACATGATAAAATGAAAAAAGGACTCATCATTTCCTGGCCTAGATTCTTAGTTTTTATCTTGATCCAGGGTGGAGGGTTGCTTCTACTCTTGATGTATTTGTTGATTCTGCAATTCATCATTCAGATTGACTTCTGAGATGGATTGATAGGCATTTTGAATCTGTTAAATAGCCATGATCTGTCCTTTTTCTTTGTGCAAAATGCAAATTTCTTTAAGGAGTTCATCTGGTAGTTGATTCATGTCTTAAACATCTTATAGTTTTTTTTGGATTTTCCTTTATTATTACTAATATTTCGTGACTTATTCTTTAGTAGGATTATGAGTTTGGGAGTCAGGCAGATTGAGGTCAAGTATACCTTATTGCAATTGGGCTTTAATTTATTGCTATTATTGGTTGGATTCCATTTGCATAGACTCCACATTTATCTGGACTTCATCGTCAGATACATCTAAAAATAAATATAAAAATATGATGTCATACCCATGATAGAGTTGTTCTTCTATTTCATTTGCATGTAATCTCCTTCAGAAAATTAATGAAATTTCTTGTTTTCGAAGATTTCCTTGATCTCCGAACTCTTCAGTCCATTAAATTATTAATTAAACTCTTTCTCTAAACGATTGAAAAATTTCTGAGCATGAGATCTGATGAAACTATCGTATACAAAATTACCTGATTTATGCTCCACTTCTTGTACCAACATATTCCTCAACTTTCTTCCAATTCTTTCCATGTAAGCTCAATGCCTCTACGAATCTCTAATGCTCTTCCTTTATCCACCGACCTTACACTGCTTCACCCTATACTATCACTTAATTTGATAATTGCTACTTCACTATCATCCAAAGATTTAGATTGCTTCCTCTTATTAACCTAAGCCATTATAATTAATTTTTTTATTAAAATTCAATTCATTCATGTCCAAATCAAAAATTATTCAATTATAATATTATTATCCTATTCCCCTCTTTGTTATAAATAATATCAAAAATCATAACTTATCGAAAATGATCAATCAGAAAAAACAATAAAACTTTCAAGCCTTTGGTACTCAAATCCTCATACCCCTTGTACCTAAAATAAGTGCATCTAAACCTGAAGTAATTGAGTAGAGAAAGTTTGTTCCTATTAAAAAATAATAAAATAATTTCAGCACATAATTATAATAACAACAGTCATAATCATAGGGAACGATTGAAAAAGTTAAAATAATTGAAGAGAAGAAAACAATCTGTTAAAAGCCTAAGTTAACGAAAAATAAAAAAATAAAAAAACCTTTGCCTTAAATAAAACCAAAAGTAGAGGAATCAATATAAATAAATTAAGAAGTAGCAAAAGTAGAAGTTGAAAAACCCCTCACTTATGTCATCATTAGAACTGTAAAAATAAAAGAAATAAAAGGAGAAATAATAGTGAATTATAAGGATAAAGCTGAGTGTCTTTAAATTAGAAATAGACTCCTGAATTTCGATGATGTTAAATAGAAATTTCCATATATTCAAAATTTAAATGAGAAGATGTTGATTGAAGTAGATAACGATATTGTTTTGAAAAAGAATTAGATAGGTTGGGTAGATTGCAGAGATTGCGAGGAATACAGACTCTAATGAGAAATTTGAATATAAATTACTATAGCAAATATTTGGTATCCTCTTTTTTACAATTTAATTTCCTTTATAGATATCTTCAAAAGTAATTCTTCATTATTTAATTTCATTATGTGATTTGTGTTAGAGTGAAATAATTATAATTATATAAAGAAGTGTTGATTATTTTAAATTCATGCTTTGCTTTCATACTATTCTATATTATTTATATCCAACTTTCTTATTGCAATGTGGACATTTATGCTCTTTGTCTTGACATTCCAAGAAGCAAAATGGCAAAAAGAATAATGGGAAAAAGAGCACTAATAATAAAAATACCACTATCCAGGAGTAAACACCCATTTTATATTGAACATGTGTTTAAATCATTCTTTAGCAATATGGACAAATAATATCAGCTGGAAAATCACAATCATTTGCATTATTCCTATGCATCATTTATGTAAATAATATTGGAGATTATTGTTAGGGGTAAGGTTGGACATATTATTCTCTGTTTTACGAATCAAGTGGATGTTGAATTTATTGATTTTCAAGATTGGGGTAGGGATTCATCAAAATATGAATTTATGGTATTTAAGTTTATAAATTAATTTATTCCTATTTAACAAACATATTTACTATGCATTAAATATAGAGTAATTAAATGTCTCTTTTAAGAATATTAAATTTCCTTAAATTATTTCAAGGATTTCATCGCTGAGCTAAGAATTCTTATTAATTCAACATTACAATTTGGTAATAAAATGTAAAGATCTTAATCTAATTAATTTTATTCACTTATGAATAAATAATTACATAACTTAAAATCATAAAATAATAATCATAACTTCGTTTAATTATCTAAATTAATAATTATTTTCCCTATATTGTCACCTTTGAATAGTCGCTTTAATGCTTTTGGAGTATCATTTAATTAATTATATTCTTCCTAAAAGATTCTTAGTTTTTTTTATTGAAATTGTTAAAATAGATAATCAAATGCAGCTTAAATTCTAGAATATCATAATTATTACTTATTTAATTCTTAATTAAAAGTTATGCCCTTCAGTTTTAATCTCTTATTAATTATTTGATTCATGTTACTCAAGCCTTGTCTTTCATTATAATTTGATGAGCTTCCCATTGATCCACATAAGGCAATCTTTCCATTTTTCCTCATTTTTTCAATCATTTTTTCTAACATATACTCACCAACATTATCAAAATAACAATCGACACTGTTATTTTCGATTTGTTTATCCCAATCATCCAATTTATAATTTATGATTCTTAAAGTTGGAAATTAGTTTTATAAGAACTTTATTTTTTCTATGTCTCCTGTGAACCCTATAACATCACATTGCATGCTTATGGCAAGTTAAATACAAAATAACCCTGTGGCTCCAGCTGCTGCTGATATTACAACTCGTTATCCCTTCTGAATCTTACAGAAATCTACTAATCCATAATATGCTGGTAAACCATTCAATATGATGGTGAGTAAGTTGGAATTCTACAATTCACATTTTTATAGTATTTATAACATCTAGCGTGGGACTTTAATTAGCTGCTTCTTTTTGTTAGTCTTATCATATAAGAAATGAGTTTGTAATCCAGCTGGGCCAAAATAGATGTCATTCTAATTATCCACAGGAGAACTCAAAGTAAACGCATGTATAATGTCGTTTTATTATAATGCAGGCAAGTATCTAAGAATTTAGAATATGAACATTACGTTTTCGCTCCTGATATCCACACCCTCATAATTGGGTCGATGGATATGTATCTTGTTTTCATTAGCAATAATTGCGAACTTGGAGCATCTAATTTCTGATCTATTAATTTAAATGCTTAATCTAGTTCATTAATATTCTTAGGAGCTTTCTATTAAAGAATTAAGGATTATTTGTGCATTTATTAATTATTTATAATTCTGCCAACAAATACTCATAAAACTATAAATTTATCATTCTCTCTAATCATTTTGTACTCTTTGATATTAGAACCGTCAATTCCATATAGAAAAGTTTCATTCTTATTTTAATATCCTTTCAGCAACTTTACTTGAATATTCTTATCTAGCTGTTATAATTGAAGATCTAATTATTCGCCTGATGTCTATATAGTAGCAACTTGATTCTAATAATCATCAGATTTTGAAGATTTAGTATTAATGTAAATGAATTGACTTTCATAAAATGTAGTCATATAAATGATTTGTTTTGGAGAAAAAGGATATTCTTTGAATACAGAAATGAGTTCCCCATTTTATACTAAGATGTAAATAGTTGCTTTATCTGCTACCAACCATCTGTTGCCAAATTAACAAATTTATTTTATTTTTCCATTAAATTTGTATTCTATTTTTGTTTTATTAAAAAACAACGTTTTCTCTGCTCCAATAATGAATTATTGTTCAGATATTGCAAAAAAACAAGTAGGAACTATTTTGGTTCCTTAATCTAATTTATAGTTGTCTACAACATTGAAATTGGGTGTTTCATAGATTTTACAATTTCCATCTCTCCCTAAACATGCAATATGTCTTGGCTGCAATTTTTCTACGAATAACCTTCCTTCTTCATTACTTACTCTAAAGTTGCTTGAACTACAACACATAATATCTATAAATACTTTAATTTATCCTTTGATTCTGAGTTCCATTCCAAAACTTCTATATTTCCATCCTTCTTCCCAACAACAATTACTTATTCAAAATTTGTAACTTAAAGTGAAGTGATTTTAGTATCAACTTATTTAATCCATTATAAGCTTTTAGATATTAAATCGTATATTCCTAATTGGCTTTTAGTTGCAACTAAGATTGAATTGTTTCCGAATTTTTCAATAAATTTAATATTAGTTTATTCTTCATATTACTAGGATTAAATCTATTCTTGTAATTAAGATAGTTATTCCTCTTTATTTTATTTAACTTAGGTAATAGCATTATTCCTTAAAAAATTAAAAGCTTAATTGTATTTATTTTCTAGTTCTTATACTTCAGGGTCTAGTTGTTGATTTGAGATCCTTTAACTTTGATCATCACTAGATTCATCATCGCTAGAGTCTTCATCACTTGATTAGTCATCATCCTAAAATTCAACTTGGCTTATTGCTAATCTAAATTAGTTTGTTGTCAATTCATGGTCAATCTTTTTTTAATTTCTTTGAACGTTGTCGATAGTTTTTTATTATTCTAAATTATGTATATTAAATATACTGGATGATTAATATGTTTTCTCCAACAACTCAAAGTTTAATTGAGTAGTTTTATCTTTGAATTATTACAGTAATTGCTATAATTTATTTTTTTAAACATTCGCGTTATTTAATTCTTTTTTTATTCTTTAGATATAAGCTAAGTGATTACTTATTAAACATTAATGATTTGTCATTCACCTCCTCTTGTAATTTATTGATCTTCTTTAGATATTATTTTAGTTTTTGATCATAACTAATTTTATAATAGGATTATATACATCTTAAAGGTTTCTGATGGGAAAATTTAATCCGTATAATTTTCAATTGACTCTACAAATTCCTTATATGGCAGCACATTGCAATTTTTATGCTTGCTTTGAATATCCCTTGATTTGGTACATCCTCGAAATTTACATTGAGAACTAGTGCAGATGAATTAAAGGTCATTTTCTTGATCCTATTATAAAATGTTTTGGTTAGTTTCCATTAATAATAATAAATATATATATTATGTGTATTTTGAATCTATTTATTGAATGTAAGCCATCTAAGATAAAAATGCCGCCTACTTAGGAGACTTTGATGATCATATAATATTAATTTCACTCAGGTCTAACCAAACCACTAAAATAATATCACTCAAATTAATTTTCATTGAGTATGATGAGTTTGCATTTAGATTTTATAAGGTCAATTGTCCTTAAGTATAACTGCACTGAACTAAAGATCAATTTTCAAATTACTTTTATCCCCTTCTTAAAATGCAATACCTTTGTCTTTTCCTTAAATTTGTCCATTACCAATTTCACTATGATAGACACATTTATCATTAAAATTCATATATACTCCATGACCTGCGACTTACAATTGTTCTCCATTAAGAATCAAGCCATTTTTCTCAATAGATGCTCTTTCCATAGCACCGATCCCTACACTTACATAGTCATTTTAAATCTTAACGATTTCAAACTTAATTTAAGTGCCTTCTTTGAGTAATTGATTGGTCATGACAATGGAAGGATCTAGAGTTGAGATCATAGAACTTACATCCTTCTAAATGCTTAGCCATTTGGTTATTAATTTCGAATTTGGAGAGTTGATCTAACTCTGAAGGCATTTTAAGGAATTCTGGTTTTTGGGTGATTGCAATTAATGTTGATGGTTTCTAATTTTTGGATTGTTATTATTTAGTTGATTAAATTGTTTCTTGTTTTGTATCTGAAGTAATAAAAAGAATAAAATCATCCAATTCTTTTTAAATTTGAATTTGTAAATTAAAATATTGAGCAGTGTGTGACTGTAGAGTTTCAGAGAAGTTATTGGGTAATGACTTGATAATTAAATCTATTGCCTTTTCATTCAATAAGGAATATTCGGAATTGATAAATTTGGATGCTGCCTCAATCAGTTCATATTTATCACATTTCCTTTTCTAATGACATCAATGAGTTATACTTCTAATAGACATTTTATTTCTTCTGTAAGTAGGAGTGAATAATTTGAAATTTTGATTCGATGATTTATTTGATACTTGCAGTAAAGTGGAAATCGGGTAGGACTTCCTTCAATTTCTTGGTTAGTTGGCCCAGACTTGAGGAACTATGACCTTGATGATATTCAAGCTCTTTTATAGATTAAATTAATCGGGATTATGCTTAACAATTTGGTGTTATACAAATTCGAGTAGAGGGAATCATAATTAATTAATAAAAACACACAGAATAATGAATAGCAGCCAAAAAATAAGAAAGGGATCTCGCAATATGAAGTAGGATTATGGACCTAATCATTAGGTACAAGAAGATTAGTCACGATCAAAGAACTCACATAATTAATGAACTCACCAAGAATGCTAAGACTTTGAAAGAAGTACGTAAACCTCAAATTTACCTTAGGTCTCTGAAGAAACTCAATTGAAACCATCAACAGTTAAGGCTATATTGCAAGTCTACTTGAAGGAAGGAAGAATTGGGAAAAAGTCAACCAGGGACAGGAAGGTAAAACTTCTAAATACAACTGTGATTGCATTGATTGACAAAACTAAGTAATATTACATTTTGACTATAATTTCTTATAGAAATAGCGATTATGCTATAGAAAATTTATAATTCCTTCATCCTATGATTCGAATCAATTAGTAATCTTCCGAGATTTCTCATAATGGTTAAACTCTGACAGAGACATAACAAAAGTTAGATTAGTACTCGAAATAGCTCGTGATGATGTAAGTGAAAGATTTCTTGAGGGAAAAGAAATCAGAAATAATGGAATAATTGGCTAATCCTTTAGCTAAACAAAATTTCCTAAATCAACTGGCTTAATTTGAAGTGAGCGAGTAATTGCCATTTCAAGAATTGAAGAAAGAATAATTGTCTGCAGAAGATGAACAATTTGTTGAGAAGATAACATAACACCTAAAATCGAAAGTTAAAATCTGATATAATAAATAAATAACATTTTTAATAAGTTCATAATAGGCTAGTTTATTTAGGTTATTCGTATACTGAAATTACTTATCCGTTCTAAAAGCCAATAATTAATACTCGATATGCCTATGCTAAATTTTCGTATACAAATATATACTTTAATTAAATTATGAATAAGAAATGAGTGCGTTTATGAATTCTACTGATTTTCCACTAATTTCCTTCACTTTTTTTATTTAATTTGTTTCCAATTTCATTTCCATTTCATCTAGTTTATATTGTTTCAAACAATATCCTGTAAAATCAGCATATAATTTCAATAAAATAATTGAAGTAATAAATATACCCCCATCCAAAGTGGTTATCAACTAAGAATATGATAAAATCTTACAAGTTCAGGTGAATATTCATTAATTACATTAACATTGATAATTTGATCCTGCAATTCCCTTTAAATGTAAGGTTCTCCTTAAAGAGTGTAAATACTTATCAAGTTCAAAGATGATAAAAGAATAAATCCAGACGGATGCAACCTGATTGATGAGCAATCTTAAAGAGAAGTCTCTATTAATTTCAGAAACACTCCCTTCATCGTATGTAAAAGGATGTCGCCCTTAACATCATAACTCAAGATGATTTCCAAGATCGAATCAACTTAGATAATAGAGACTTCATTCTGATGTCCATATAAAATGAATTCAGGCTGATGCTGTAAGGTCCATTCCCAAACGGATACTCTTGTGTCCATACTTCCACATAATAAATAATTAGCACTCTAACCCAAACAAGTGACCACTTTGGTATGAAAAGAGACTTAGTATGTCTATTTGAGATCCTTCAGTGAGTATACCTTAACAGAATTATCAACATAACCAGCAACTACTAAAGAATCATCAAATAAGAGGAAAACATTGTTAGAATTGAATGGCATTAGTTTACTTTCTTGATTACTAAAATCTTTTGGTATTTTGTGGCTGATGATTCTATGTTCCATATTATAAACTATGATTTCCTATTCATTCGTAAGAACCACAAAATATTTTTCATTGCAAAAGAATTAATCTATGATATTACTTGATCTGCTGAGAATCTAAGTAATAAATTTAAATTATATAATCGGACCTTAATCATATAATTTCTATTATGTTTTCTAAGGGTGTTCCTTCTTAAATAATTATTATGGTATTTGACCATAAAAATTCACCTAAGTTATGTATTGCTCCTTTTTGACTTCGTCCTCTGTTTTCTCTAGTAACTACTAGACATAACTGCTATATGTCAAACGATGATATAAATTATTATATTTCTACGCATTCAGCCCACTCTTGTATCCAAATATTAAATCAATCCAATTATTTAAACTGGAACTCACAAGTTCTGATTCCAGAGCCTATCTATTCAAAAATATTAGTTCTTCTGGACTTTTCGTATTTATATAACTTGGCAATGTTACATCTCCCACAGTTGTTCCAGATTACAATTACCCTAAGTCAAATTTATTCTTATTTTTCAGAAACTCCCCAAAATAATAGAACTCAGGAATCAATTCCTTAACATCACTACTTGAATTTAGTGCAGAATACCATTACTATTCTAAAGAATGGAACAATCTATCGGCCTTATCAAATTTACCAGATTGTAATTCTTGATGTAAAGATGCAAAGGGTTCCATCCTCATCAACAAACTCATTACAATTGCACTATGGGAATAATGTGTGCCATAGATGAAATACATATTCATATCTTCTGGATCTGCCTCTTTAAATCTTTCTAAAAAGTTCTCCAATCTCTTCTAATTCAATGCTCCTATTGGCAAATCTAATCTTCTGAAATGCTCCTTGTTTTGTATATCAAAATCTACATAGTTGGCTATCACCCATGGGAATATTGGATATTAATTTAAATCATTATAAGTTCTTCCACTATATTTGTTAATCTCAATCAAATATTGGAAATTAGTGATCTCTCCTTTCCTCCATTTCTCCATGATTCCACTCTTCTTAAACTATTCACAAGGATTCGTAATCACATTAACACTTTAACCCAACAATTTGAGTACACTTGATCGATTGTTTAATAAATTGAAGAAGTATGTCTTATTATTGCTTGTAAATAATTCAATTGCAGTTGATTAGGCTAAATACATCCTTGTAAACACTTCCTTAATCTAAGACAAAGGAATTAATTTCTATTTCTCTGCCTTCAACAGACTCTCCTTCTAAAATTTGTATTAAATTTCCAGTTCTTACGACTCCAACCCAAAGTTTTCAAACATCAAATAATCACTAGTTATCCTTATCTTCCCTCGATAAAATCCTCTTTAGGTTATCAATTCAGCCAAAAATTGTTGGTTTTCATTTCCCATACATTTACAGTTCTACTAGATTTGTTATTGAGTGTTGAATAAATCATTAAATACTATTTAGATATTATTAATTAATTAGATATGCTCATATTATTTCTTTTGTTTTGCAAATACTTTCAAAAACATTTTTCTTCTTAGACTATCTTCATAACTATTTATAGAGTATCTTTCCTTTCCTAGCAACTCCAAAAATGTATCATAATTGACTTAATTTAAGTTTTCATAAAGATGAGCATCCCCATAGTTCATATAGTACCATAATCCTCTTTTATGAGTATTTTACTTAAAATGCAACTTAACTTTAAATTAAATTATCAGTTATTAGATAAGCTATTCATTTTCAAACCTTAAAATTGTTTACTTAGAATCTTGTCTATATTAACTGAATAAATTGTAGGCTAACTTTGAGAATTCATTGTTATTTTATTAACATTATTGATTGAGTGATATGACTTGGTTGTTAATCTAATCTTGGTTTTAAATTTAAATTGAGTGCAGATTCAAAAGAATGGCAATCTCTTAACAAAATTGCAATTGTCTATATGCATATAATTTCATATAAGTCAGTGATCTTTTAATTAAGTCAGAATCTTTGAATAATTCTAAGTATTTAAGTGTTGTGTTCGCCTTTTATATCATGTCTATAAATTTTTTAGCGTCATTTCCTATTTTGAGGTTCTCTTTGATGGCTTATGAGATACGTTGATTTTATTGATTAAATTGATTTATTATTATATATGCTTTATTGTTGATGCCTTCTATGGTGATATCAGTAGTAATTTCTTTTAAATTAAATTGATCAATCTGAAATTAAATGTCCATATTTCCCAAAACTCTTTTCTATTCTATAATGTTCCAAAAACATGCGAAATTTATGAAATTATCTGGTTTGAATTGTAATTCACTAAAGATCTCAAACAACTGTTCTGAATGTGAATATTAATGTGATAGCAATTAAAACTTTAATATGTGAATTAAGTGGATATCTTAGAAATACTTATCATATTAGGTTTATTGATAATCACCAAAAATATTTTACTTAACCTTTTATATCAATGACTACTTCTATTGCTTGATCTTAATCTTTTAAATCTTTGTTTAGACATTTGGGATCACTTCATCAACAATTAATGATTGTTATTACAAGGGACGATTCGTAGACTTTTATTTCTGAGTAATGAGTTTCTTCCAAATTATCAGCAGAGATTTGGCTTCTTTTTTGGACATAAGCAATTCTAAGGAATAAAACAATATAAATAAGACAGTTCCCATAATCCCACCATTTGCATATAAATATTTTCGCTATATTTCAATTGATAGTTGAATAAAAAATGGAATTGGAACATATTCATAAAACCCAACAAATTCAGTGTCCATACAAAATGAATATAAAATTTCTTATTTCTCCAAGTATAGAATGTACTGATCAAATACTCTTATAAATAACTCAGGGTCATTCAATATGATATTCTTATTCAATATTAAACTAGTAGGCAGTAACATAAATAAATCGATCATCGCTTAAGCACTTTTTTAATTCTATTTCAAATTTGGATTTTCAATTTATAAATTCAGAATATTTTAAAGCACCTTCATAAATTAATTATTGCTTTGCTCTACTTTTTAGAATAGTCTAACAATTTTGCGAGCCGAAAATGCAATATTTTCTATGTGATGCAATACTATTCGGTTAATTAATGCTTATCCAATCTCTATGGCAATTAGTTCATTTATGAAATATGTTAAATCCTTGTGATCACAAAGTTTGGTCATAAAGACAGTGTAAGTCGAAGTTAATATAAGAAATTCGATTATCAATTCCTTTGTCTAAATATTGAACTTTCTAAAGTGCTATAAGAGCAAATCTAATACCTCTGATTCTAAACCCAACTCTTATTTCAATACTAATTATGATAACTAATCTAATTAATAAATAAAATCATACATTAATCAAAACCTAATATGTATTATGACTGCAAATCATTTCATTGCTATGCTCATATAGAATATATATGATCTTATTGAATAGAGATTTAATCAAAGTGCATTCCTTTGCTTTCTTGAGCTATTGTACATTTTTCGGCTATTGTAATTCAAGTAGTTTGTGTTCGTAGTTAATTTGAAGAATTTAGACTTTAATTAGAATTTCAATCAAGGGTGCAAGGAAATGATCATTAATACTCTTTTGATCGATCATTTCAATAATTACTCCATATATAATTTTGAATATTAGAACTAATAGGGTATCTTCACTTTCATTTTTTTATATGAACTAAGTTTGTATTGTATCTATATTAAACTCTTTTTATGCAGATGAGCTACCACATTTCATTTCGGATAGTAATTCTTGGATTATACAATTCTGTGGTTTCTTTACCATAAAACACAGAATGACTGCCAAATCTTAAACAGATTTTAGTGAAATATAATTGAGTAACAATATGATCTCATTTTTAAATACAATAAGTTTTTCGGTTGAATATTTTTCATTTTTCTTCTCCCTAAATATCATTTAAACTGGAACTATATCATCATTGTTGTATTAAATTTAAAAGAAGGAATTGTACATGAGAAACAAAATGCATTTTATCAATAGCTTTCTTATTTATTAAAATATCTAGAACTCTCCCTTTTATGGTTGGTACTTACTTAATTACACTTGCAATATGTAATATAAGCAGTTGAGTTTGTCTTTATAATATGAGTATAGTTCTTCGTTGTGTTGTAATTATTCAAATAAATAATCATATAAAAAAAGCAATTCATTATATTGACAATACTGCCAATATTCAAATTCATGGTAGATACTCATGCAATCATTTCTTAGTGCTTGTATAATTTAGCAGTGTAATAGAGAATGATACAAATTCAATATGTTCTACAACAATTACTTTGTGCAACCTTGATTTTTCATAAAAACTGTTAAGAGATAACCTAATACTTTAATTCCTTTAAATTCAGAATCAGATCGTAGATAGTTTTAGATTGAAATATCATCTCCAAATTTTTAGATTACAGTATTCAAAAGTTACAATACAGCAATAACAAATTACTGATCGTTAACGAATTGCAAAGGGAAAAACAATATATCTAAATTGCCATAAGATTTCATTACATCTAATAATGTAGTATTCTCTAAAAAGAAGACATTCTTTGAATTTTAATTTACATTTTTAGGAATTAGACTTGTGACTTCAAGAGAGGCCGAACTCTTCCTTTGTTAAAAAAACTTATCCATAAATTTAGATATTGTGTTCTACTTTTACCTTTTGCCTCGTATTATCAAATATTAGCAATTTTCCAATATTATTTAATTTCTTTAATGAAGATTACCATCATATTGAAGATCTTATTTTTATGATTGAGTACTCAAATAACATAGAATTCTGCCCTATAATTACATTTTTAAGAGTTGTTGAAATAGCCTAGAATTGTTTTAGGATTTCTTCTCCAATATATAAATGTCCTCAGCATTAATATTTGAATCAATTATGTAGAGCATTCTCATTTCTCCTCTAAAAGAATTCTAAAATTATTCTTAATCTGAGAATTTGGCTCCAACAGAAATAAAGTTTAGGACTGGTAAAATAAAATTATCAAATTGATCTGATTATGTTGCTAATACGTCAATTCCATTAATATTAACAAAGAACTATTTTGATGTTTAGAAATTGATAACAATGAAGTTATCAAGATATTTTAATACATATTTTGCTACTTTGGTTGTTGATTAATACCTGAATTTGATGATCAAAAATTATGAATCCTCAATAGATATAGAAAAACTGACATCTTGATTGCCCCAATTTAAGAGTGTGGCAGATGCTATCTGAAATTTGAATTGAAGAATGATGGAAAAGGAATTGTTTTGAGTTTCAAGTTATATTTTACCTCTGACTACAATCCCACTCTCATGCCCTGTGAAATAGTAGTACTGATCATTTTAAATTGAAACGATCTCTTTCAGACAATAAAGTAATTGTATTGAATTTTTGATAAATAAGTCTTTATTGTTTATTGATTGATAAAATTGCTCCTGTTGCTCTAAGGATCCACTCTCTATGGCCTATTTTGGAATTCCCAACATTTTAGATATTTTTTTATACGATTCATATTTCTATTAATCATCGAAATATGGCACCATGATTAGTGATTAATAGGGTGACATGAATAATGCAATTGATTATAAATACTGAAGTTAGAATCTTACTTTAATGCAATTGATTAATATTTGGATTATCTTTTCTTGGAATTGATTTTCAATTCTTAAATACACTATCAACCTCTCTATGATTTAGCCTTTCAAAATTATTAGGACATTTTCTAAATTTTGTGTTAAGATGATGAATTAATTTAAGTAAAACTCTTTTAGATTGAGATCAATATTCTGCTCAAATAACAAGATTATGATGAGTTCTAGGAAGTATGGGATTTGTATTTTAAGATAATGAGTTTCATATTGGTTTTCGAAGACTCCACTTGAGATTCCAAAAAGTAATTGGAAAATTTATGAGCAATTTTGAACAGTTATGCATTTTCTAGCTGAAACAAGGAAGAGTTTGGATTCAAAGTCTTCTTATTTGACATCTCTGTCTGTCCAAATGCAGATTGCAATAACTTTTAAGGCTTCAATTAAGTGTTGAAAATCTGAATCATTTTTGAATTTGATAAGGTGGAATATGTTAAGAAATTTAAAATTCTTGATTTTAAAATGTTTTTGATGGTCTGTATTCAAATCAGAATTGGCTCCATCTAAATGTAAAATCCAAAGAGCCTTTAAAGATTATTGAGTATTATCAAGAGCTAATTATTTGATTATTCTCTATAAATTAGTAAAAAGTAATAAATACTTGTTGGCTTTGGATGTTGTTAAAATTATGAATAAGTCCATTTAAAATCCAAATCTCATTAAAAGTGCTCATTTTTTCATAAATAAGAGAATTGTTGAAATAGATAAGTTACTTGAATTCTTCATCGAATTTCTCCAATTCTTCCAAATATTAATAGATTTCCACATCTACAGAGTAGTTATTTTGGATAGCATGTTTAATGAACGAAGTTCTAATTTAATAGATTTATTCAGGAGCCAATTAATTTCGTAAATGTTAAATTACCATTTTAAATAGACCTACATCGATGAGACAAAAGACATATAGATCCAAACATTCTTTATGCGGAGTGGGTATGACTTATTTGAGTATGTTTTCTAATTTGGATGGATACTGAATGGGTATGGTTTGAGGTGAGATTGGACAAGGCACTTTTTCTAAATCCAGCATTCTGACATAGATTGATATTTTGAGAAGTTTATAATAAGGATGATCGATGTCTGTTGGCATCATTTAGTAAAAGGTTCTAAAATCATGCAAAGTCCAAACTAGATCTTCATCATACGATTTTTCATGTTATTCTAGTAATTCTATATTTTGATTAATAAAGTAATTAATAAATATGGAGGGCACTTTTGGATGGATAGATTTTCTCAGATGTAGATGTATTTTATGAGATAGTTGGATCCAGCCACTTAGGTTATATTTATGCAAGAGTTTGATCAATTCAATATTCATGATTTGTTGGCATATTTATGTGAATGCTAATAATTCGTGTTCAGACATCTCCGATAAGTTAGAGTCTTCAATTACTTTGACAAATCGATTGACTGAATTCTGTTCTAAGTCGTGTTTGTACAAAATGAGGTAGATAGAGCTAATCCAAATAGATGGAGACTGCTGTTGATTCAACAATTTCAATGCCTAATCCAATTGCTGTTGTTCAATGGCTTCATGAATTTTGGGTTGGTTGGTCAGAAGATCTTACTTCAAGATCTCCACATAATATTGAGGAACAAATTATAACATTTATTATTAATCTTAAATTATATACAAGCAATCCTAGATTTTTCATTTCATTTTGTAATCTACTTCTCAGATATAGTCTAATGCACAATATTCACACTTAGAATCAGTTTCATCATCCATTTATTAGTATTCCTTAGCTCTAAATTGACTTGAATTGTTGATCAGCATCTATTCCCATATCACGAGTGATTTTTGGTTTTTCTTAAATGGAAGGCTTTTAGGTGGATTTGGTATGTTCTAATCTAAATCAGAATGAATTATTTTTTAATAATTATATACATAAATGTCTACTGTGTTGAAATAATAAGCCAAGAGAGAAATTTAAAGACAAATCGAAGCTAGGAGGTAGGCCTAGAGTCAATAAAGTAATCATCCCTATTTGGGGAGCTTTAAGAATCGATAGGGTGTGTTGTCCCCTAAATATGTTGGATTTGTTAGTAATTATAATTCACTGGATACGTTCAGAAAGGAATTAGTTTGTGGACAATACTCCATATCTAATGACACTTCGAACAAGAAACAATTAGTAGATGAAGTCTTTTCTAAAACTAATACTAATGTAAAAAGAGAATTGTTTGATATTATATAATAGTAATTTGAAACTGAATTATATTAAATGAATACCAAATTAAATCTATAGCATCTAGTTGATAAATACAATAGTTATCAATAGATTATGCAAAAATTTATGAGAAATGTTATAAATAATATTGAAGAATATAAATCAAAAACTGAATTTGCTGAATAATAAGCAAAAGAAAAAGAAATCTAAATCAATGACTTAACTGTGAAATTTGAAGAATTATAGTAAATGTTCAATAAATCCTCACATACAGATAGACCAATTAAATCGAGGAAAGGCGACTACAAGAAATAGAGTGAGTTGTATATGGAAAATTTCAGGTTAAAGAATGAAATTGAAAAAATACAAGAGAGATTATAAATCCTTGAATAACTATCCGATGTTCAAAAACTCTAATAGGACATAATCAACATCAAATAAAATGCCTAATTTAAAATCAATGAATTGCTGAAGGAAAACGAAATCAAAGAGAAATAACTCTAAAAACTCAATCTACATTATCAGAATATTAAGTCTTAGTATACTAAATTGGAAAATGAATCTAAAGCCTATCAAACTGTCTTCGAAGCCAATAAATACCAATTGGATAAGTTAATTTTGGATAATGAGAAGCATACCAATTTAATGAATAGATACAGGGAAATTGCCAATATGCAAAGGGAAGACTTTGAACAAAGACTCTACTACTACAAAGAGGAACTAGCCATTGCTGCCAAGGCAAGAGAAAAGTTATCTTAATTATAGAATAAATTGGATAGATTTTAAATTGAAAAATCCAAGGAAGTTGAACCTTAACCCAACTAATAGCATGAAAAAGAGAAAACTGGACTAGAAAAGTTTGCCAGCTTATTCTCTAATGATAAGACCTTCTTTAGACTGACTCATTCATCACTATTGTAGGATAAAGGTAGAATAGTGTAGAGAACTGGACATAGCATTATTTAAATGGAATCTCACTTCAATTCCTAGGATATTTAATTAGATAAATTCACTATTGGTTACTCACCATTTGTTATTTTTATTGAACATCATAAAAAAACCTTAGAAAGTGAATTTGCAGGTTTGTAATATAAAAGACCAAGTCTATAATTGCTAGTAATAATGAGACATATTTTAGATGCTAAATGGAATGAGATTTAAATGAATCAATAATCTAGATTTCCAGAATTTGTATATTCTTGGTTAATGAACTTTAAAGTGGATTACAATCATAAATGTATTAAAAAGATCGAATATGACAATCAAAGAGTGGATGATTAAATTGTTAAATTTATAGTTGATTTCTCTAATCCTGTTTTAGAAAAGAATTGGGAATGCATAACATTTTAGGAATTTTTGAATGACTTCTCATCTCATGATGAAATTTACTTCTTTTTGTATGCAAGAAGTCTACTGTTTAGAGGTCCTCAATGTTAAAATCATCAAGCCTTCTATGAGCCTCATCATTATATTCCATTGTTGTAAGCTGATTTTGTGGTCACTCATTTATTCTCTTAATATGAAGTCTCTACTATCCAGTAAGTCAAACGAGTGCTTAAGGAAAGAGCTGTCAGAAAAATACAGAATAAAAACATATATATAATTGAAGCTGCTTTTGTTTTGAGAATTTTGCTTGAATTTTACAGAGTGGAAAGAAGAAATAGATACAAAATGTTCAAGATTGCATTTGGAAGTCGTGCAACTAATATCAGTTTCAAATAATTTAGAATTGTATTAATCAGTAATTATCCTAAAATTACAGACTTGGAACTGGCCACTCTTTACAGAGAAGCTTATTCTTTTACAGGAACAGGAGTTTCAATAGACTCTTTCTATACTATTGCAAGTGAAAATGGATTCTTTACTAAAAATTTAAAAATACAAAATCTGACTTAATTGCCTCATTTGGTTGAGGAATAATTTGCATTTGATCCATCCTAATAACCATTCATCCTTGTGTCTGAAGCCTATAAAAGAGTATCATTTACTATCTATATATTAGCTAATCAATTAATAGAAACCAGTAAAAGAACTTTTAGTAGAAATCGGTCTAGAGATATTGTTTAATGATTTCGAAGAGTTAGATAACTTCATAGAAACCAAATTTTCATCTCTCCAAAGTAGTTAATTGAGTTTTGTGTAAATGACTGACAAATATATGAGTATTATTAGGAATGTGAATCACCTTCTCAATTGTAGATTGTACATATAAGACATGTATGAGTTATTAATGATTATAGTATTCCTTAAGGTTCTACATTCTAGAAACTCCATGACGAGAAGCAGAAACAATAGTTATAATAGAATAGAGATGCTGTGATCATTAGTTCAGAGAATTTTAATAGACAATACGTTAAAAAGGATGACTTTACTCATGAGGTTGAATTAATCAAAAGTTAATTGGATTGTCTGTAACATCTGGCAAATTATTTTGACTCTAAAGATCTAATGAGAAAGAAGGTAGAAATGGGATAACAAATTGCAGCCAAAAAAATATAGAAATTTGTTAGGAAAAAGATGAACAAATTTTATAGTTTCATTAGTTCATTACTCAGTGCCAAATTTAAATCAAGTGTCAAAATAAAATGATTATAAATTATTAATATTGATTTATGAATCATCACAAAAGCAATGCATTTATAGTTTACTCTATTTTTTTCATTTGATCTTCTATGTAATTTAAATCCTCCTCATTTATTTCGAACGTGTGAAATTTATAAGTCTTGTTGACAACATCTTTTGACTATTGCACATTTTTACAAGTCATACCTTCAGATTCATTATGCAAACAGGTTTATTAATATTTTTAGCTTTTTTTGAATAGAACTAATTGTTTACTGACCATTGAAACTTTTCAATCTAACATGAATTACATAGATTATTACTTTTTATCCTTGAGTCCTCTTTTTTATATAATAGGACAACACCCTATCTTTTTCGGTTAACCAAGTCTAATGCAATTCTTAGGGAGATATTCCCTAAAATCAAATGGCTATTGGATACATATTGTTCATAGGTTTGCTCTGAATCATTTTAGATCAGATCATCGATCAACTATTGGAAAATGTCTACGTTTTGAGAGAATGTTTCTTCATTGTAATTTCCTTAGTCTTTCAGATACTCCTTTAGTTGATCAAGAGTGACTTCTTCTTAATTATCTGTGTATTTCATAATTAAGACTCCACGAAATATTGGTTTCATTATAATTATAATAACTCAGTTTTTATTAATTAAAACACTTTATCTGCTTAGATTGGGGCTGCTTAATCCAAAATTAATTTTGAATCCACATACACCATCATTTTACCTGTTGTGAGCAATGAGTTTTGCAATTATTGCACCAGGAAAATAGCTCCTATCAACACGAATATCTTCTTTTCCACTATCTTCTCAACAATTCCAGGCACAGGCATGGATAGCATAGCAAATAATTATTTATGGAAAAACATAGCTGCCATCAAACCATATTGACCATAATTAACAAACTACAAAATAATGTTATTTTATAACCTTTGATAACTGTGAATTCATTTCTGGCACTGGATATTCTCCCGGGTTTACAATTAAATTTTTATTTTTTGGGAATGTGAGATAGATATTTCTTTCCAATTCCAAATATTGTGTATGTAATCCAGTACGATTACAATAAAATATTTCTACATTTATTGGTAGTGTTGATTCAATGTATTCAGCATTCTCTAAATCAATATCTTCTTAAAATGTTCTTTCTTTTTAATAATCCTTGTCTTAATTTGTTTATCCTTATTCAGATTAGTTATCTTATTATTATTCTTGAGCCTGTGATTAAGGCTTTGGTTGAGCTCTAAAAATATCGTATGCAATCAAAGCAAAAAAGACGAATGTGATTACTCTTTCTAATTTCATGAAATCTCACAATTAAAATAATAATATAATATATTATTCATCAAATACTTTATCAATTTAAATTATTCGTATATAAATTGGAAAATGAAAAATATCAGAATGAAAGGGAAAGTCTTAGTATCTTGAGAATAATACAATAAATTTCATATTCCAAGTTTTATGAATTTAATATATTTATATCCTTAAACTTCTAATATCCATTATTTCATCGACTTTTCCCAATTATCCGATATTTCATTAAATAAATTTGCAGAATCGAAAATCCTACTTGGATAAAAAACAATATGAATTGAGAAGTGAAATGCTTTAAATTTATAAAGTATAATATTATGAATTTCTATTTGGAACAATGTTGAAATGTGTGAAATGAAATTGCTGAATCATTTTTCATATTTCAAAATTTATATGATCATACTTTCAGCACGATTTCTTATGATATTCAGTTAAATTTTACGTATAAAATGGATGTATTTTTTTATATTTTAGCCTATAATCTACCGAATTTATTTCATTATAATATTCATTTTATAATACCATTTCTCAAATGAAAAAATATTCAATTAACCGTATTATAACAATAAAATTTATATTTAGTGAAATCAGAAGATTTATGATATATATTTGAAAACTACATTAATAAAATAGCAGATAATAAATTAAAATATTACATAAACAATCACAAAAATGATCTTTTGAGATTTAATTTGAGCTTTTTGGGTTACTAACTACTTTCAATTTTACAAGTTTGTTTTAGATCTTATTAATATGGCTATTATTATTCTACAGGCTCAAAAGTTTACACCTTCTATAGATGTGATTTTTGATTTTAACCATTTTCTTAATCATGGATAACGACTTGAGGAGATTTATTTATATCTTCTTCTTCAAAAAGATTTAATAGCTAATTTCAATAAATTTGATACTTCATCTAAGTATTCATCATTCTCTTAACCATTTAACAATAATTCTTCTATCTCTTTTTATTTAGCTAAATGTTATATTTTTGTATTTTACCAATAAGTTCTTAATTTGTAATATCAATCACATCATCATCTTGCTTAATATGCTTTTAAAACTCAAATACTTAATCAATTTATGTTTCAACCTATTAAGCTAGAATAGAAAATATGCTTACGCTTTTCAAATAATAACTTATTAATATCTTCAATATCAACAAAATGAGCAACTTCTTCAATAAAATGCTTCATATATTACAATTTTTTAATTTCTTAGGCTATACAAATAAATGGGTCATTTAATTCACTCATAGAGATCGGAAGTTTCTTGCATAATTCTTCAATATCATCAGTAGATAAAACCAAATCAATATTAATGATTTAATTCGATGCATTATTGGTCATTTCTTTATATATATTCTTACGAACTAACATTAATCTTTCACGTAAATCATTAAATTAGTTTTCTAAACAATAACCATATTATTTATCATATTATAATTTTTTCTTTTCAGTTTCAATTTTGTTTTCATTCTACCAAGTAAAATCTTTTTTTAAAACATTCAAATTAGATCCACTGTTATTTTAATTTTTATAATCTTTCGATAAATACTTTTTAAAAAGATCGTTAGATTTGCAATCCAAAAGAGATAGTTTTTTGTCTTTTTCTTTGGGAAGGGATATTATTACACTATTTATTGATGCTTCATAATTAGGTATTAAATAGACAACTTTAGTTTTGAAATTACCTTTTAGATTGTATTATTATACTTTTTAGCTTAAGGCATTTTATGCTCTTAACTAATCTAATAAAGGATTGATGTAGCGAGGATTATTTTTAAATAGTCCAAAGATCTATTCAAAACTCTTCAATGAATTATGGGATTTCTTTTTGTCTTGTCCACCTTTTAAACATTAAATTAATTGATTTTCTGTCAATTGTAATTTATCCAAACAATCAAGAATTTTAAGAGCTTCTTTAGTTAAATCAATTTTCTCTGTCATCTCATCATCTCTTAGACAATTATCACATTTTTTGTTACATAATGTTTTATCAAAATTTTCACCTAAATAAGATAGTTGTAAAACTCTTCTGCACTAAACTCTATCATAACAGAATTATTGCATTTAATCTAACTTTTTAACATTGTACTTTTTCATTGGAGTAGTCATTTCTGTGTTTAAATCCATTAGACACTATAAAAAGAATAAATGATAAAGAATACTAAATTAGTTTTATAGTCACTATTATTATAAAATAAAAGGCAATGTGCTTGTTTTCCATCTCTTCCTGCTCTCCCACTCTCCTAATAATAATTCTCAATGGATTTTGGCATTTGAAAGTGAATGACGAATCTACAATCCTTTTTATCAATTCCCATGCCAAATGCTACTGTTGCAACTATTACTTGTACTTCATTCATCAGCCAATTCTTATGAATCCTATGTCTTTCATTTTCAGTAAGGCCAGCATGATAGAAATCTGATCCTATTCCATGTTGTATCAGGCTTTATGATAAGGTTTAACATTCAGATTAAGTGAGGCAATAAATGATACCAGATTGCTTTGGATAGGTTAAGTTGATAAATTCTTTAATTTCTTAAACAGTCCTCTTAAATTCTTCTCTTAATTTGACTTCATAGATAAGATTTGGTCTATTGAAGGAAGATTATAAATATAAGCATCCTTTAATTTAAAGCACATCTATAATATCTTCTTTAACCTCTTCTGGAGCAGTGGCGGTCAAAGCAATGATAGGCACCCCCGGAAATTCATTTCTAACATTGCTCAATTTTAGGTAATCTGGTCTAAAATCTCTTCCCCATTTACTTACACAATGTGCTTCATCGATTACAAATCTTTTAATTAACTTTCTATTAAAGAGATCTCCTAATATTGATTTAAAAGCTTCAGATCATCTCAATTTTTTCTAAATTGAAATTAAATAATACCAGGAGTAGTGTAAATTAATTTTATTCTTTAATCCAGAATTTACTATGCTGTTAAAAGTCTGTTTTAGCCACTCATATTGAGAGTTGGAATACCAAGACTTGTGAGATATTGCACTTAATCAAATATCAATGAAATCAATGGCATAACAATAATCGAAACCCCTAAATATCAGGTCGAATTGTACCATTCTCTACAAATGCAGGAATTTAAAAGGTTATACTTTTTCCATATCCAGTCGGCATACAAACAAAAACATCCTCTCCTGCTAATACACAATTTATTATGGCCTTTTAATTTGCTTTAAATTATTCTTTACCAAATGCTCCCTTCAAGGCATCCAGTACTTTTTTATCCCAATCAAATTACGTAATTGTCCAATAGTGAACATCAGCAAATTAATAATGTTTTTGTTTCTTTGAGGCCTATTTTATGACAATTTTTTTGCTGGATTATTTTTGAGTTGGAAGTACTTCAGATTGCTAATTTTTTAGAATTAATTATTCCAACTAAGCCTTGGATATTTAAACTAGTTCATCTTCCTCTGAAATTAGTCTCTAAAAGTCGCCGTATTTCATTTTTTTTAGTTCAGATTATTTATTATATTAATAAGTATGGAAGGGACAAAATTTCATTAATTTCGAAACTCCTAGACTCCAAAACATTCACACCAAAATTCAGAAAGAATAATTTAACTCAAACCCACCAATTTACAGTAATCCCAGAGAATGTAGACGGATACTAATTAACCAAACATTAAACAAAGAATTGAAAAATCCAAAACCATATCATAATCTGTATTCATCTAAATTCATATTAACTCAGTCTTACTATTAATCTCCTATTTTAAAGGATATACAGCTCGATTACATTGATAGATTAAAAAAAATGGATAAAAACGATTTTTTTGCTCAATTGAATAGTTAGGACCCTTACAAATACCCCAAAAAATTAGAAGGCCTTTAATTTATTACCTCCAATAGTAAAGTTTATCTATAGAAAAGGTAGAAATCTCCTAAGCCCAGGTCATTTTGCCAAGTGAACTGACAGATAGAACCATCTAACTAACTAAATTTTCTTCAAATTTAACAAAGAGAGTAGTCAAAGATAAAATCCACAGAGGCATTCCATTAAAGTATTCTATTTTGATAATATCATTCAGACATGATGTAAAAGCACTAGCAGCGTGGACTGATCTCATGCTTGAATAGGCTATTGAGAAAAACCAAGGACAATCAGCAAATATATATGAAGATTTGTAGTAAATATTTTCGCTTTGCTTGAAAGAACTAATTCGTTAGATTTCATTTGATTGTATTGAAAAAAGGTATTAAGTTTAAATTCATTATCCATAGTGTTCTATTAGAAAAAATATGGACATAGTATATTGATATTAATACGTCAGTTTACTAATCAATTTTAAATTAAAATAATATTTTAGAAAAAGACCATCTATCTGAAGTAATGAGAACACATTAATTGTACTAAGCAGAAATAGACAAATACTTGATTATTCAAAAAAAACAAAAGACCGATATGGATTCGGTTTTGGAAAGATTTGTTAAATTAAAGGCTAATGCAAAATATTTGAAAAAAAATAATAGATATTTAAATACTTAAATACGAAATTAAAAAAATGAAATTCAAGAATTGAAAAATGAGAATAAATAATATATAGATCAAATTGAAAAAATTACTGATGAATTACAAGATTACTAAAGGAATGTTCAGTAATAATTTGAACAATTTTCTATATAAGCTCAAAAATAATAAAGAAATGAAACTAATTTTGAACATGAAAATTAATTAAAATCAAAATTAGTAAGAGCTGGTACTGAAAGAAGGATAACAGTCCATCAAATTCCATAATATAAACTACCTGAAATAAAACCTATCTAAAGAGCTAATGGCTTGCAATTTGAGAAAGTTGATTCAGATTAAGATAAGCTTAAAAAAGTATTAAATGATAGTCTATCTGTTGGAGATATTGAAATTCTATTAGAGGAAAAGGCCACAGACACTTGTGATCTCATTTAAATATTATAGTTGACAAGAGAGGCAGAAATTTAAACTATAGAAAGAAAGAAATTATCTATTCAAATTCCCAAGTAGAAATTTCAATTAATTTAATAGATTTGAATTAAAAGACAGGAGATAATAAATCATTTAAACAGAAATCTCGTTTTTAAATAGGATATCAAAGAGCGTTTAGACTGATCTAACTGAAGAATTACAGGAATCTATTAAAATGGAGGAATAACATCTTGAATAACTATAGGTGGCTATTCAAAGGGCAAGAGATCAATACTTAAAAATCTTTAATCAAACTCAAAATTGTGAGCAGCCATAGATTCAAGCCATTTTTGATCTTTTTGAAGAATTTTAAAGCAAATTAAAAGAAAATCTTCATTAATAAAAAGAAACGAGGACTAATTTGATTTTAGTTAATAGTACATTTAAAGATGAGAACACAAGAAAGGAATAGTAGCTGTAGTAATATGTATATATGACGTTAATATCTATAGTAAAAACGAGTGTCGGAACTTGAAAAGAACAACGATTTAGTCAATTAAGAAATGGTTGAGTTAGAAGCACAGTTAGATTTATATGAAAAGGTTAAACTGTTATTTATTGATAGATTAATGAGAAAATAGAAAAAAAATATCAAAGAATAAAATCTGTTAAGTCAAATTTAGTTGATAAAACTAAAACCTTAGTTGTTCAATTAACATAAACACATAAATTTGCTGAGATTATGAAAAAAAAAATATAAGATAAGAGAATGAGTTCAATAACTCCTATGCAAATTACTCCAAAATCTCGGTTTTCAAATGTTTAGCCTTAAATAATACAATAGAATTTATCAATAATCCCACCTCAAATTATAATAAATGAATAAGTGGATTCTTAAAATTAGTAGGAAAACATTAATTAAAATCCAGAAAGGAATCGAAAAAGCGTAATGCCTTAATAATAGTAATAATAATAATAATAACCTTTTTAAAATGAAAAAAATTAAAATTGTTAGTATAATATTTCTATTCTTCCTTTATAAGATAATTAGACTGCTTAATAATTTTCTTAACAACAACAGTCTAACTAATTTTTAAGCGAAGATGTATAATTAAATCAATATTTATTTAGGATACAAATGAATTGTAATAAAATTCAGCAAGGAACAAGAACTTAAATAAACCCAGACCTAGTTAAAGAATGGTAAAATATAATTAAGATATTTAAGCAAACCCCAATAAATTAAGCAAAGAAAAAAGAATTAAAAACGCAGAAAAGAGGATCTATGATGCCATAACAAAACGAATAAGTGTAATATCTCCAGGATACAATATCTAATTTTATTTATTAAAATTTTTCATCATCAGACTCGGATAGTGAAGATTCAGAATATACTTTAAAATTGTAAGAAATTAAATAAAGAAAAAAATAAATTAATCAGACTAAAAAATTCTAATTTTCTTAAGTTCCAAGTAAAAATTTAATAGAGATCTAGAATTTTAAAATAAATAATCACTTGATAGCCCAGGTCTGAGTTATCTAAAGACAAATCTAGTAAAATAGCTTGCTACCAAATTTGCTTCTACTAATTAAAAAGATATTGTAGCAAAGATGAAAAAGGGGGCCGTGTTAAAATTAATACAATAATTTTATGGGGAGAAATTAAAATAAAATTAAAACAAAACATCCTTACATATTTTATGTTATGAATACTTTTTTAACACATATGGATTTAAGAATATTGCTGAATAGAAATTAATTAATTTTTATGAATCAATATTTGTTCATCGAGATAACATGAGAGTTAATTTATTTGGAAGATTCTTACAATTGTTTAGTTCATTAACACTTGATGATTTAGATATATATATCAAGACTCTTAAGCAATTAGATGAAGATAATTAGACACTCAATACAGATAAGGTAAAATAAATTATAATTTTAGGGGTATTTTATACTGGTTGAAAAGGCAATTTTAATTTTGGAGACGATTCATTCTCAGATTCCATAAGAATATAGGAGCAACATAACTTACGATATTAAGTTGAACTACATAGAAAGAAATATGAGACCATATATTGATTATGATTATTATATAAGTAGGATTTTGACAGGTAAAGGAATTGAATAAATAAAAAGGGTATGAAATTATCAAGAAGATGCACATGAAACATTATTAAGAAGTGTTTAATTCAGCAGACATGGATCTTGATAATATGATGGAATATCAAGAATTTAAGAAATTATATTATTATTTTGAGGTTAATCAAGGTAATCAAACTTCAATTAGTGTAATGGAAAGAGAATTCCTGTCTCGATGTGACTTAACAGCCAATAATGAGGGAGAGAAGGCGATGTCATTTGATAGATTCTTAACATTTTCAATAGAGTAGAATTTATTTTCTGAAGAGAAATTTACAAATTTTGCAAATAGTGTAGATGAATAGGATCCTATAAAAACGTTAGAAGATTTGTACAGAAATTGGAATGATGTAAAGCTAAGGTTGGAAAATAGAGTGTAATATGCAGTAGAAGAGGAGATAGAATATTATCTGAGTGTTATAAAAAAGTTAGATAAAGTAAGTATTAGTGCTGAGTATATTTTAGGCTTTAACGTGTGAAGATAAGAGACAGAGCATTTGGATATCTTATAGAATAATCGACAATGATACAAGATTGATTTACATAAATAAATTGGTGGATGAATTGGTTCCATAGGGATTCAACGAGGTGAAGGAAGCACTTAACTATTCTTCAGATGATAACTATTGATTATATATTTGGTGTATGATTAAATTGAAATCCAGAAATAGATAAATAAATCATTTAAGTTTGAGTAGTCTCTGAATGGCTTCATTAGTTTTTGATGTTTCTGATATAATTTTTTGGGTAGTATTTTTGTTGGTTGCATTGATGTTGTTCTGAGAATTAGTATTTCCTGCTTTAGCACTATTTCCTTGGCTTTTGGTTCTTAAGGAAGATCTCAATAATTAGGCATTGCAAATATCGGAGATGACATTAAGAGTGCTCCTCTAATTCTTTTGATTACCAAAGCCACCTTTGATTAAGTACTAACTTGCTTAGATGATTTGAGATCTTTGAGTGATGGATTAGGCATGTTATTTTAGGAGTTGGTTATATTTGGTGAATAAATCTTATTCTTGAGAGTTGCGATGTTGTATCTGAGTATTGAGTTTGCCACCAGACTTATGATGTTGGGACTGTGATTTCAAGGGAGTGGAGTTTCTCATGGAATTTTAGGATTGCAGATTAACACTAGATGTAGGATACTCACTACTATAATCGACCTTCTTTAATCTGTGATCTGAATGACAAAACTAATAAATTTATAACTGTGTACTTTTTGTCTTTGATTCTTCCATTGACTTCTCCTTCAGTGTGGATGATAGCCTTAGGATTGAGGGGATGTTCAGCTGATTCTCTTAATTGTTCATTTTCTTTGATGAGTTATCGATAACTCTGATTAGATTTGCCCAAATCCTTCTTCAATAGATTCATTGATTTCTGCATTTATTCTAAGGCATCTTTGTGTTGTTTCTCCATATCCTCAATCTTTTGTTGTAGACTTTCATTATACAATTTGAGTTGCTATTCAATCTTAGATAAGAATGGAGACTTTTACACTGATATGTCCTCTGATTTCAGCTTCATGTTTTTAGATAATTTACTCTAATTTCTCGTACTCTTCTTCAGGTTGATAACTTCTATAAGAACTATTGTCATTCTGATTCATTTTGAGTTGAGTGATCTTTTTATCAATCTTCTTCATGAGAGTCTTAAACACATTGCCGATTATTTTAACTAGTCCAGACAAGGTGTCATAGTCCTTCAATTAATGTTCGATCATCTTCAAATCATTTTATCCTTCCAGATAGCCTTCCAATTAGAACAATACCTTGGATGATGAGAGATTGTTACATCTTCAAGCAGAGCCTTCAGAGGTGCTTCAATTAGGGATTCATTGATTTCACTCATTCAAAAAAATAAATTCAGTTATTTATTAAATGAAAACAGAATCGAATGCGGCTTCTTTTGGTGATGTACAACAATCAGAATACTTTAAATAATTTTTAGTTGGATAGAATTTAGTTGATTCATCCACATCATTTGCCAGACTCAATAGCAAAACGGTGACTGAAAGAAGTATAAGGGAATCCTTTTTGGAAGAACAAAATTATGAAGTCATTCTTTAATAAGTGATGGCAAGCAATATAAGGTTAATGGACAAGATTACCAAATGTTAAGTAACAGTGATCGCATTCATCAACAGAACCTTGAAACCCAGGTTCAGTAGTTACAACGAAAGAATTCCGAACTAGCCTCTCAAATCCAGCACTTATTAGACGCTAATGCCAAGCTATAACACGAACTAGACACTTGTAAAAAACAGAAACAAAAACTGCAGGAGGAGATCAAGAAAAATGAAAGGGAGAACAGAAAACTTTACTTGCCTGAACCTAAACTTACTAATTTAATGGACATTAATAAAATCTTAATGAACAGAACCGAGTCCTCCTTTCAATTCTACAAAGAACCAACCTTGTCATCCAAATTTGGCAGTGCAAAGGCTCATACTTCCAATCCCTTCATCTATACAACCAGACCCTAAAGTCCTTCCACTAGTGTTAGATAGAGTACGCCAACTTAAACGGAAACCAAGTCTCCTATCTTAATGTTCAATAACACTGTGAATTCTTGGAGAGACAGTAAATACAATAGGAATGCTGCTGAATTTAAGAAATTTTAATAGACGATGGAATAACTGGTCAGAAAATCTAAAAAAAATACTTGAATATCACTTAAACATATTTCAAATTTATTTAACAAAATAAAATGATTATCAAATAAAGTCTTCATCTTCATCTTTCCAATCTTCCTGTTAGACTAAATAATCCATGTCCATTTTAAATCTTAAAAATCCTCCTAATCCACTGAAACCCTTCATAAATTGATTACCTTCAACACTGTGATCTGTAATTAATTGAAAATCTAATCCATAATCCTTAAATTTCTCAGATAGATGTTCAACTAAGTCCTCTTTTACAAGAATGACAAATTATTCTCCATTTTTCTCTTCAATCAATGAACCAGCCTCATATCCCTCATTACCTTTAATGTATTTAATTGCTTTTTCTAAAGAATAACATAGTATATCATACATTCAGTTTATTTGCTCTAACATTCCAAACGTAAATATTAAAGAGTGTCTACACAAACTAAAGTCTTTATTGTTTATGATTCAACTGCTCTCATTGTGTCCTAAACACCGTACACTACCAAACCAGTGTCCTTATCGATATTCTCAAAGAATTGACCAACCAAATTCTTTTCTCTGATGTACTTGACTTCCAACAAAGATTCTTAACTCAATTACACTGCTTAATTCAATCCCTATTCTCCACCATAATTAATATCCACCACTGAAATAATCAAAGGCTATAATCTCTTATCAAAGAATTGACTTCCAGCCAAATCGTTTTTGAAATCAGCTGAACCTGCTAAGACTAAACCCTTGACATTTGGTCTGTCCTCAGCAATGAAACATGTGGTTGCTGTTTCGCATACCTTTCTCAAGTAATTATGTCTTTTTTCCATACGGAGACGTGCAAATCTGACTGAAGATTGACCTCCCTTGTTGTGTTTCTTTGGCAAATCAACATCGAAAGACTTTATAATTTATTTGCTGTTTCCTTGGATTGTGGCGAACAATGATCCATTACCGTCCATAATAATGAATCCAAAAGGTGGATCTATGTTTAGGAGGGCTCTCAGTTCTTCCACGTGGAACTGGGGATCACAAAAATACAGAGATAGATCCAAGGGTCTATAAGGTTCAATGACAACTGAAATTTTCTTCTCTCCTTTGCCATCTGCCTACTACACAATACCGCAAAAAACCACCAATCCATTGTTTGGAGCCTTGTTGTATGGTCTTAGTCCTTGGATAAATTCACTTAAATACTTAGGATAGCTGCTTAAATAGCTTCTTGCACAGATATTCTGTTTCCCTTGTCCTTAATAGAGGCTGCTTCTGCATACTAGGTATTGAGTCTGTTTGTGATATCGGAAATGATCCTTTTGGGAGGAATATAAACAGACACAACACTTGTGCCAGCAGTTCTTTCCTGGCTCAAAGTTTTAATGAGTTTCTTCAGTCTGAATTGTTCAAGTGCTATTTCAGCATCATTAAGTTTCTAATCCATAATTAAATAAATTATTCAAATAAATTGCACTTAGATTTTCCGACTTAATTACCATTTATGACACTATATTTAATAATATAATTAATATGGATAACAATTCAATCTCCTCCCATTGCCTATTCTAAAACCACAAACTTGATACAAATGCTATGGCCACCAAAAAGATTATGTACTTCTCCCATTTATATTGAGCAATTGAAAACTCTTCTGTCAATGTCTCCATTGTGGAAATGTAAATAAATGTCCCCACTGATATTGATACAAATATCCCTGTATACAACGGCCCTTTATCGGCCATAATCCACCCAATTCCTATTCCAATTGGATTCATTATTTACTAAATCAATATCATATAGGTAGAGGTTGTCTTATTGACTCCTGCCTTCCTAAATGCAAGACCCAACGTCATCCCTTCAGCCTATATTTAATATATAGTTTATTACCCATTTATGACAACACACCACTAATGCTATCCCTACGCACAAAGAAACCTCCTCCTGAATACCAATTGACAATCCCTCAAAAACAGCATGGATCCCAACAGCTATCTGCAAGATGTAAGGAGCCCATGTGTTTACGTCCTAATAAACAATTGAGTTTTTTGGATCCTGCGCTGTTTATTTTTTGACCATTTATACAAATGATGCTTTCTTTGCTACTATTAACTACATAGTTAACCAGTTTAATACTTAAGTATTTAGAGCATCTTTAAAAGTTTCTTCAGTATTGTGTTTCTCCAAAAGTGCTTCTGTATCGACACTACCATTCACAAAAAGCTGATTTTAATCTTAAACCTAAGTATTTTTGGAATTGCTTTCATGATAGTGATGGTCCTCATCATGTCCATGATCGTGATGATGATCTGTTATTATTTTTTGAATAAAAAGTATTAGCGCAAAACTCAATATTGATATTGCATAAGCGAATGGAAAATGCTCATCATCATCCTTAAAAGACGAATCAAAATTATCCGCTGCCTCTGGTAACAAATGAACTAAGCCCACTGCAAGAAATAGACCTCCAGAAAATGCTCCCATGTCTGCCAATAGTTTCTGCCCTTTTCATAGGTTATTTGTACCTTATTGGATTTGAATGCTTTGAGTCTAATTGGCAGACAACCTACGATGAGGATCAACAAGAAAAATGCAATCATACATCCAACTTTAGTGATAGCTAGAATAACTTGATCGGAATCGTCATCACTCATTGATTTAATTAAATGGCAACATTAAACTAAATTTATCAATTCTTCAAATAACTCTTCATTAAAATATGAGTCCCTTTTGTATCCAAAATTTATATTATTGGATATCAACTAATTTTGGAGTTTCAAGTTTACCCTAAGTCTCCAAATCACCCCATATATTAGAATACAGTTAATATTTCGATTATGTCAGTGACAACTTTTAGGACTTAGAGATTTTAACTTGATTTTACATTCATGAACTTAGACTATGTATTTAACATGGATGATCTGATTATAAGGTAAAGCTTAATAAGTCAACTAGTAAATTATGAATTATTTTGTTAATCAAAATAAAAAATATTTAATTTTTAAATCATAATCTATTGATTTCCTTTGTTTTACAAGCCAGCCTACTCTAAAAATGAAATTGATTTTTATCCACATATATAAAAACTAACCTAAAATTTGTGTAATATTTTTGTTATTGCAAATAAATTTTCGTTTCTATTTCTTTATTTTTATGCAAATTATCAATATAATAGTTTAATTTTATAGTAATAAGCATAAATCATTAAAACAAAGTTGGATATACATATGAATTCCAATCTTTTGGACTTATGTCTTTATTTTACTCTGATTAGTCAACCCATTTAATCCTTTTTCCATCTTCCCAAAGGCCCAATTAACTCTTGCCATTTTGTAGTACATACCTACCTTTTCCAGATTATTTACCATTATTCCAATACCCCTCGTATTTCTAGAATTAAATACTAGCTATACCCTTCCATCAGGCCATATGTAAATTCCATAGCCATGCTTTTTGTCATTCAAATAAAAACCCTCATATTTTCGCCCATCCTTCCATAAGTATATGCCTCTTCCATTCATTTGATTATTTGCCCACTCCCCTAAATATTTCTAAAATAAGTTATATATATACTCTTCCATCAGGCCATGTATATACACCAAATCCAAATAACTTATTTTCACTCCAATTCCCTACATAAGAAGAACCATCTGCCCAGAAGTATTTTCCTAATCCTTCCTTTTTTCCATTTTAATATTATCCTTCAAACTTGGCATTGTCAGCCCATATCTCTACTCCAAATCCATGTTGAAGATCATCCATCCAATCACCTTCATATTTTGCTCCATTGAGGTGAGTATAAACGCCTTTTCCACAAGCCTTATCATCTTTCCATTCGCCGTCAAAGAAGTCCCCATCAACATGCCAAAATTAACCTCTACCATTAGCTCTATTATTCTTCCATTCACCTTCATACTTTGCTCCATCATTCCAGATTTAAATTCCATACCCATCTCTGCTTTAACCAATCCATTCACCATCATAGTAAGCTCCACTCTAATATTTTTATGAAAGAACCATAATACTTTAAATATATGTCTAGGTCTCCTCTCTCTAACTGAATTTTCCGATTTGCTTATGTAAGTTTCATGCATGTCTTCCTAATTTCTCAACATCATTTCATTTTTTCTTTTTTTACTATCTTAGTTTGATTCTAATGATGTACAAATTTCATTTACCATTTGTTATGACAATTTATGCTTGTGGAATTTCTATGATTTAGGCAGGAACCGATTAAATTGGTGCAACTTCTTTTTTTGGTTTTAAATCCAAGTTCAAATATTTTTGTACAATTTGACTTGAACCATCTAGGTTTTTATCTTCAAGATCTAAGGGTTTATGGTAAAAGAGATACGATCATTATCATCATCTTCCTCATTTGGCTATTATGAATATTCATGCATTTATCTCGATGATTGCTATTCTTCCTGACTCATTATAACTTCTTCTTTTTTCTAACAACTCTAACATGTTGCACAATTGCTTCCCATCTTGATAAATAAATTAATTGAAATAAAAGGAAACTTAAACTACACTAATCATTATTTCAATCTTTATATTGGAAAATCTGTTATTAATTCACCGATGTATCATTAATTAGACTGATATATTTTAAGAATAATGACAAAAAATAATTTAATATGTCTTAATGAATAAAATTATAACTACAAAATAATATATTGAATTTAAAATATTGTTGAAATGAAATACATTCTGATTCAATACTTTTTATATTATAATTTTTTGAGTTTTCTTTGAAAGGCTTATTGAGCCTATGAGAATTCCAAATCCTTAATGATCTGTGAATTGAACCCAACTTAACTTAACTAAGAAACCTTCTTTTTGCTGTCTGCCATGGGACTAATTTTTGATTCCAAGAATTTAAAATAGATTCTGCTATCACTCGTTTTGATGTCAACGATATTGATAGGTGGTGACAATTCTTTGGTTTTCAGTTCTGGCAATCTCAATCTCAGATCAAATCCCTTTTTATTCTACTTCTCAATCTTGATATTTCGAATGAGTTTCCTCTTATAATGATTCCACCTCTCCTTCTCCTCAAATAAATACTAAATATCTTCATCGTCAGGATAACGTTTAAGTTACGATTTGTAAATTTACACAATGTCCATAGGGAGAAGCTTCCTCACATTGAATGAACTTATTGATATAATTTAACAAGGAATAGCTGTTATGTAAGAACATTCAGATTCCACTTCATTTAAAATTGCATAATCTCCAAAAACATCGTGATCACTAAGTTCATCGATGTCATAAAATAAGTCCTACTTTTTTTGACTCAATTCCTCTCTTGTAGTCATACTACCATAATTTAATTTAATTTTTCTAATCACTTTAACGCTCCCCTACTTAATTATGTACATATTGGATGGTTCAGTTCCTTGCTTAATCAAAATCTATTGGGAGGGGAAATGTTCCATTGTACATTTGGTACAAATTTATACTAATAAGGATTTTGAGAACATTTTAAAAATTGGAACTTTTTCTAAGAATTGAATTAATTTATTTAAATTCGCTGTTTACATTTCTTATTTGTTATCATTCTTTAAATATTCCTCAAAGCTTTCTTTAGTCAAAATAATCAAGTCACTTTTTTCTGCAGCCATCACAGCAGCTGTTCTCTTGGAATTGTAAAGCAAAGAAATTTCTCCAAATGCATCTCCTTTTTATAAAATTGCAATTTCTTTCTATATCATAATGTATACGTTACCAACTACATAAAATTCCTGAATTCTGTCGGCTCTTCAATAAAGACCTTCACACTTCCACTTAAAATAACATAAAAAGCATCACCTGTTTCACCTTATTAAAAAATATAATCTCTTTTATTATAAGTCTTTAGAAACAGATGCTTGCATAAATCTAAGAAATTTGGTTTATCCCTATACTGTTTCAGAAATTGAATTTCCTTAAATACTCATAACATCACTTACTCCTGCGATTTAAGCGATATCCTAACATATTGTTTTATTTCGCTTTTCTATAGGTACTTCGAGTAATAGTCTCATTTTTTCAGTTTAATAAATGAACTTCTTTTTGAGATCCTCCTATTGATCCTCATTCTCTTGACTATCCTCAGTAGATAACCTCATATTTTGTATTTTTAATTTATATAAACTTAATCATAAATTCATTCGATTATTTAAATTGACAAACATGAAGTAGTACTGACAGAGAGATAAGGTGATTATAAGAACAGAAAGTATTTTTCAAATATCGAAATAGACTCTGTTTACAGACTCAAGATAATTCCTTAGTTATTGGTCGATTCTTAATATTAACATAAGCTAATTAAATATTATTTTAAATAATGAATTATATTATAAACTTAGTTGCTAGTTTGGCATTTATTTGGATTACCTATTTGGTTTATTCGATAAAGTAGTTTAAGCATGAATAGATATCAGATTAGATCTTAATCTTTGCCAGAAGACTGCTTTTTTATTCATCCATTCTGATAATTTTCCCCTTGCTGATTCCTAATGGATTAGAATTACAGCATAATTTATTTTTAGATGACCACTAATATTTGCGAGTAGTTCATTTAATAGATTAACTTTCGACTGCCCAACGAGAAACACTTTCTGCTTATGTAAATCAGGAATTTTCGGTGAAATACAAACTGATGTTGTTAGTTCCTATAGTTTTATTGTTCAAAGAAATTTATCTGATTGCACAGATCAATTGCAAAGAGTCTTAGGGAAAGGAAATCAATAATAATTTGGCTGTTTCCAATGAATACCCTACCAATCCTATTATTTTTCAAGCAAAAAATGTCTCAGAATACATACCTGATAGAAGCGAGGAGATTCTGAGAATTGAAAGTTATATTCGCAACAATAACATAGAAAAAAGGAAGTCTATTGATGAAATTAAGAACAGCTATTTAAATAATTAATCAGATCTTCTAAATAAATTATAATTTGTATCATAATCTTTTAATTTAGACAATCGATAGTAAAAAGCCTGAAAAAATATTGTATTCATAGTATAGCAATAAATAATTAGCAAATGCAAGACACTTGGGAGTAATTGAAGAATCAGAATAAAAACCAGCTAATTTGAAAACAATTCATTCTCAAGTCTTAAATGAAAATTCATTCTCTCTTGACAATCAAAGCAAACCAGACACTCATATTTAAACGAGAATTAAATTAATAATTGGCGAATTGATCGTCCTACAGATCATACTTGGATATACTGCAGGCGTTTAAGAAAAGACAATCCTTTCAGTTTTGTTCATTATGCTATCCCAATGCCTAATTATAGATCTGTTTGATGACTTAATGCAATTCAGTAATTATCATTCAATATTTCAGTTGCAAAAACCACAATGGGAACATGCTTACTTGTATTTTACCTAACTTTTATAGCTTCAATGTTTTTGGGAATGTACTTTAATCAGTACCTTATTCAGATATGTTATTGTATAATTATAGCATATTGTCTAAAGCCCTTTGTGAATTTTTTTGGCCATTAAACAATGAAACAAACCTTAATTTTCTCTGGGGCCTCTCTGCTATTATTGATTGTTATTAAATTGTTATTATTAATTTATTGAAATTTTAATGTAATTTCCATAAACATCAGGCAAGATTATTATGGATACATCCCATGGAGAATTAGAAATTGAATTATGGTGTAAGGAAGTGCCTAAGGGATGCAGAAACTTCATTCAATTGTGTTTGAATGGATATTATGATAATTGTCGCTTTCATAGATTGTTTCCTAATTTCATGATTCAAGGAGGTGATCCCACAGGAACAGGAGAGGGAGGAAAATCAATGTATGGCTAACCATTTGAAGATGAATTTCATTCCAGACTCACTTTTTGCACAAGGGGAATTCTAGCATATAGTAATGAAGGTCCTAATACCAATGAGTCATAGTTTTTTATAACATTGGATTCTTGTCCTTGGTTGTAAAAGAGACATACGATATTTGGCATGGTAGTAGGAAAGACCATTTTCAATTTGATGGCTATGAATGGAGTCGACACCGATGAAAATGATTAGCCAGTGACACCAATCTTTATAAAAAGTGCATAAGTAGTTATAGATCCATTTAATTTGACAATCACCGAGGGGGTTAAGCCAAAATCTCCTGAAAAAGAAATTAACTAAGTCTAAGAAAAAATAAACTAGAAACCAATTTAAAAACCTAAATAGAAGTAAAAAAATATCAATGTCTTGTCCTTTGGTGACGAAGAAGATAATGAGGAACAATAACCAAATAAGATCTTCAATAGTCATGATGTACTTAATGATCCTAAATTGAAAAAGGAATTTGCTGTATCCCAAGAAGAATTAGAGTATTTATTTCTCATTATTTACATAGGATTAAAAAACAGAAGAAATTAGAAGAAGAAAATAAGATTCTCTAACTCAAATAAAAGATTACTCAATAAAGTAACACTTAAATCAACAAAGAATAGATTGCTTAGTATGCTAATAAAAATATATCAATGAATGAAAAGTATTTAGAAAATATCCCAGCTGAAGATAAACAATTATTAAATTACAAAATTAAAAAGAATGCAAAAGGAGAAGTTCAATACATTTTCAATGAATCAGAATCAGAATCTTCTGAGTCTGAATCCTCAGAAATCGAAGATGAAGAATAAAGATAATAAAGAGAGAAATAGTTGGAGGAATATGAAAAATTAAAAGCAGACTTCCTGTAATTTAAAGAGAATAAATTTGGATCAAATAATCCCATGATTAGAGATAGGTTACAACATGAAAAAATGCTATAATCTACTGTGGAATAAAGGAGAGCAAGGTTTATCCAAAATATGAAAGAACAATCCCATAATGAGGCATTTGAGGAAAAAGTAAGAAAGTTTCAAGAGAGACTCAAGGATGAGAAAATTTAAAATGATAAATATCATTGGCTGAATCATAAACTAAAATTTCATGTTGATTCAGCAAATGCCTATAAAGTTGTTGAAACAAAACAATAAGTTTCAGACTATCATGCATCAGAGATTGTTCATGAGGATACATATAAGGTGAAAAAGGAAAAGAAAAATATAGACAAACTTTTAAAATTAAGTGAATTATGATTATATCTAATATATATTAATATATAATAAGAAAAATGTAAAGTTATTTTACAACTTTAGATATCTTTCCCTTCGCATTATTTATTTATATAGAGTGTTACTTTGATATTATAATATTTGTCACAGCTTTCTAAACAAAACTTAGTTTATGGTTTATCTGAATTAATAGACTAAATAATGAAATGAACTTAATTTCTGACAATGATGACCTTTCGTCAAAGAATGACGATTATACACCTCTTTTAAACGGGAGTCAATCAAGTTTAAATCATCTAATTATACCTTCATTATTTTAAATAGGTTTTTCTTGGATTTGTAAATACAAATGATTTTGTAGAAATAATTTAATTATGAAATCATGGTTTGTCACTTAACAATTATATTTTCGCAAATTGATAAAGGACGCTAGCTTAATAATAATTTTAAGTTGGTATATAATTTGTAAATGTAACAGTTTTAATGAATGTATTTTATGCAGTTTTACAAAATACTGGTGTAATATTAATTATTTAAGAAATTTTTTTCTTTTTTTAAAGTGAACTCCACATGTTCCTTTGATTTTGATTATTATCTACTAAAATTTAAAGAGTATTAATTACATTATAGTTCTGAGAATAATCAATTATTAAATAATCATCCTTTAGTCATTGTATTTACTGATTGCTTGTCCAAATGATTAAATAGTAATGTTGTATGCATACAATTTACTCTAATAGGACAGTACAACTAATTATAGTGTATTTATTGGATAGTTTTAGTTCTATCATAATAATTTTATTAAGTAAAACTTTGATTTATGGCTATAAAAAGGCAATTCTTGAATTTAAACTTTTTTAGATATAATATATAATAATACCAAAAACCTAAGTAGATAAATTATTGATTAGTTTCCTAGAAGGTAACTCTTCAACAATATTAGAAATAGAAGCTCACTTCACATTTGATTATTGAAATATTTATGTTTTATAAACACTATGTATGTAGATGTAACGAGAAGATTGAACTTACAATTAAGACTATATTCTATTATGTATATTAATTTAATTATTACTTTGATATAATATAATAAATTAAGTAAGTATGTAAAATGAGACAGATTAATTACACAGTCCCTTATTAAAACTCCATCGAGAATCGGAACAAAGAGCTTAAATGATAGAGATGCAAGTTCTTAGAAGTTTAGATTTGAATGATTTTGAGAAGCATTAAAAAAAGGATGAAATCTTAGAGATAGAATCCAATAAATGTAATAGATATTGGAAGCAAAAGGTTAATGGAAGACACTTCTAAAAGGATGGAAGAAAAATGAAAATAAATAATAGCAAAATGATGATCATTATTTTGGATTTTAATATGAGAAATTATTAGAAATATTTGATATGAATTAAATACTAAAAGAAGCTCAAAGCACTTTAACAAAACATGATAAAGAGAAGGATTTGAAAGAGAAAAAATTAAAAATCTAATTAGAAAAACTCAATCAACTAGGAGGCATTTATGGTTTATAGAACTTTTTAAAGACTTGCATAAAGTAAGGCTTGGATGACACCAACGATTAAGACTTGAAAATGAGAGAAAAGTACTTTGGAAAGAATGAAAAGCCTTAGATAGCAATTAAAAGTGTACTGTAAATTATAATTGAGCAATTTCAAAAAGAAAGATTATTTTAATTATTATTGATAATAACAACTATCAATATCATAATATATTTCCATGAAAACATGTAGATCTACTTGTTTTATATAATAATGTTGATAATAATGGTTGTCTATAAGGGAGTGATCAAATAATAATACAACAAAGAGATAGTGTAACACTAGAATGATATAAAAGAGAGGAGTAAGCATTTAGTAAAGCGTTGTAATGTATTAAGAAATGGAGATGACACAATTTAAATTCATAATAGTTAATTGGTTGTTGGAGACATACTGATTTTCAAGCAGGGAGATTTTATATAATGTGATGGTATAATAACTAAATTATCTAAATGTAATGGAATTGAGGTGTTGTAACCATTTCCTAATCTTTTTAACACTCATGAAGTCAAAAACATAGATGAAGTCAAAGAATCGAATGGTTCACATGATGAGTAATTACAATCCAACTTAAGTTTGGTTGACAACTTCATTTTTGCTGGTTCTCAAATAATAAAGGGATCTGGATAATTGCTTGTTTGTAGTGTTGGATAACAATCATCTGATTACATTTAATACAAACAGTCATTTTTAGAAGACACAAAGACAGAAAAATAAAGAACAACCTATTTGAAATAGAATTCTATGTATAATCCTTTTGCTTTTAAGATTGAATCCCTTATGAATAAGATTGGAATACAATGTATCATTAGCTTACTTATTTTATTAATAATATTACTTTTCAGGAATACTTATTTGATCAACATTACTCAAATCCTATTATATTTATCATAATTATCAATTATTACTATTCCATCTTAATTGCTTTCATTGATCAATTTGTTTATGATTTATGTGATAAAGAAATGCAGACACAGAAGTATTTATATATAGGATTATCTTTCATTATATTGGTTGGGGTAAGTAAACGAAATGATTATTGATAAGATAGATAATAAAGTGACTATGTTTAGTAAATCATAAATAAATATTAGATACTTCACTCAATTATAATTGGAAGAGGCTTAAAAAACAGCAATTCAAACAGGTCTTGTGAAAGAAGATGAAATTGAGGATAGATATGTCGAAGGTACATTGCTTAGCAGTAGTTTTGAATAGAAGAATAAATTTGTATTTTTGAGTAGAAGACTTGCTTGTCCCACTTTGGATCATTTGAAACTAGAAAAGATTTAATCGAGCAAGACTTTGGAATGGTTGGAATAATAAAAGTAGAAATTCCAATTCTAAGGAATTATTGATTAATAAAAGCTATATGAGGAAATCAAAAATAAAAACATTATCATTGGAGGGAATGCTGATAGAAAAGAGCAATTGATAAATTTGCTTAAACTCTATGACAAGATAATATTTATCAAAGGAGAGGAAAATGATGGAAAAGCTATGGAAATGGCTCATGTTAGTATTGGACCACATGAGTCTAGATCCTGCATCAAACTATTTAATCATCTCGAGTAAACTGATTACAGTTACATATCCTCCATGTACGAGTGTATAAGTTAAGGAAGGGCGGTGTATTTCTATATTTTGTCATACTCCTATGCCTAGGCTTGTACTTCATAAACTATAATGATATTTGCAATTGCCTCTGCCATTTTATCTGATAACATTTTCATTATGCCAATTCCAACCTTCATCATCTTCTATTTAGCTTTGAATCATTTTTCACATTAAGTACAAAAATAATGCAATTCAGATGTGCAAACCTATGTGATGCACAGAGGTCCATATATGAAACAAGGTAGAATCATTGATAGGAATACCACTAGGAAACTATATAAATTGCATTCTATTTTAATTGTTGAATTGCTGGTTGCCTATTACTATGGATATTTTAAGTCTGTTTAAGATGTCTATATAGGATTGCTATTTAGCAAACATGTTTTTATTATGGTTAAACCTATTAAATAGGTGTTATAATAAATTGAAGGTATTATATATGGTCTGATAATTAATTTAATCAATTAATTCATTAATTAGTCAAATTAAGATTATCACAGTATCTCAGTACTTTTGAGAAATTATTCGATTGGTTTAATTGTTGTAGCATTTAATTTATTTGTTGGATATAAATGATTGTAATAATTTATAAATTTAATTTTGTTTAAAAATGAATATAAAATCATTATTATTCTTCCTATTAATCATCATCATTTTAGTTTTCATCCTCTTCTTCTTCATCTCCATTTTAATCTTATTATTCATCCTCCTCATATTCTTCATCTTGTTCATCTACTTATTCATTTTTCTTAATTTTATTCCCTTTTCCCAATTTATCCAAAAAATCAACTTTAATTCCATACTAAGGCAAACTTTTCTTACATAAGGCCTTTATGGATTCTAATTATGCCAGTATTTTTTGATTTTCTTATTTTATAAGATCTCTTTCAGCTTATTACTAAGATAATAAATCTTTAAACTGATTGATCAATTTCTCCTTCTATGCAATTTCTTTTAAACAAATCTTCTCAGCTTCAATCATGTCTTAGAGTAGATTTTCTTTATCTTATAGTGCAGCTTTCCTCTCATTCAGCTCTTTCCAAGCTTATCTATTTATAAAATATAAATATTTACTGCTGTTATGCTTCCATTGATTATTTTATGTCAGCAATTGTAAAAGTTGTATTTCCACTAGACTAATAATTCTTAAATTAATTTTCATTGTTTTCAATTTCTTTTTCAAAATCTAATAATTTCTTTTCATATTAGGTTTCAAGAGAACTGATTTATGTGCTCCACTTCTACTCTTACTTGCTTAGGAATGATTATTTGGCCTCGATCATAGCTTCTAATTCATTAAGTTCTTATTGCAATTCTAATGATACATTAGAGTGGTCTTTGATGCCACTAATTATAAATTAGGCTGATTTAATCTATTTCATCTCTTTTTTAATATATATTGTACATGAATACGGGATTATATCAGTTTTGTGTTATTTCAATTTTGTATGTACCTTCTGATCACAAGTATAGCACATTTTTTCTTCGCAATCAATGCACTAGATTGTGGCAGGACTTGCTTAGCATTTTGGGCAGAGTCTTAATATGTTAGACATTATTAGATTTAATTATTAAATAATAATAATTTATTAAATCAAATAGTGATAATATGAAACTTAATAAAATAGAAATACTTAATGATACAAACATCTAAAATCAGAGTTTTTCAGGATCTCTTATTTTTGGTAATCTTTCTTTTGAATAACAAAACGTATGGTTCCTTCTCAAAAATGGCATAATGTAACCATCCTCGACGTTAATACACTCTCAGTCGTCTCCATTCTTCTTCTTTGAGAAGCTTTTCTAGAAAAGAATAATTAAATATGATACTCTCCCATTTAAACTCCTGCATAAGTCTCACAGATTCCCTTCCCAGTCTTATTATTCGGTATATGTGTGTATCGTCTTCAAAATCCTAAGATATCTAATTCGTGAGTGGAAATTTATCTTTTTATTTTTGATCTATGGCATACATCTTTTCATCTAAATTTTGTTCCATTTTTTAATTATTTAAATTAACTGAATGGGTTGTTGCACATCTTAGTCTGTTAATTAAAGAGAATTGGTGTTGCATGAGACTTATTTAAATTTGCATCACCTCTATAGAACAGAAGAGGATGATGAGCAAACATAGAGAGATTGGATTATAGTGGAGGGCGGACGATATCATGGTTAAATGGAGGATAATAGAATGCATGGCTGGGGTATTTTGGTTATGGATGATGGCAGGAGATATGAGGGTTTCTTTGAGAATAGCCTTTTTCATGGATAAGGAAAACTATCGGCTGAAAACTATCTCTATATTGGCACCTTTTAACAGGGGGAATGCCATGGACAGGGCTAATTGAAGACCAATACGTCAATTTATGAAGGCAAATGGGAACATAATTTGTAAAATGGCAGTGGTTCTGAACGATTTTCTGATGAGGCTGTGTATAAGGGGAATTATAAAGATGGCAAGCGACACGGCAAAGGCTACATTGAATTTGTGGACTCATCTTATTATAGAGGAGACTTTTTTGAGGGGGATATTCATGGATAAGGCATTTTTAAATGGGCTGATGGGAGTGAATTTAGAGGAGAGTGGGTAAAGAATCAGTTTGTTAATGGAATTATGAAATGGCCAGATGGTCGTCTATATGATGGACCCTATGAAGATGAATTAAAAGAGGGAATAGGAAGATTTGTTTGGCCAGATGGTAGAGTATATGTTGGATTTTGGCATCAGGGGAAGCAACATGGTTATGGCTTATTTACTAAAGATGGAATTACTAAGAGAGGGGAATGGAATATGGGGAAAAGGGTTAGATGGATAGAGGAGGATGAAAATATTGAAGAATTTTAGCAATTATATATATAAAAATAATGATTATGCAAAACAAAGAAGTTTTACGCAGAGTTTTTGACTTCTATTGCAAACAGTAGTATGTTCCAGGATAATTTGCCACCTTTGATAGATAATAATATGAAGCCACTGTATTTACTGTTGGTAACTGGATGCATTTTTGTAGGGATTTTTAAGTGAAAATAAATACTTCGAAACTATTGGAGTTATTCAAAAGGCAAGCTAAAAATTCAAAGGAGCTAAATTTTGATTAGTTTGTTTAATTGTTAAATATCTTGGCAGGCGAAGAAGGGACAAATTGTGGACAATATTTAACAAGTTTAGGATTGGACAACTGGAAAGCTTGTGTTTAAAAAATGAAAACATTTCAAAGACCATTTTAAATGTAAGATTAAGCTGAAAGAATTAAAGATATCAAATATCAATTTAAAATATATCATCCAGAGGTCAAAAATGATGAATAAATCAAATAAATTTTATTATAAAGGAAACAATAAAATGAATAATTGAAACTCATAGAAAGAAAAAAGAAAGCCTTTTATAAGTTGTAATTTGAACTGAAACACTTTACTAAATCATAACTGTTAATTAAATACCCAGCCTTAAAAGAACTGATTGAGAAATTACCTGATCCTTCCAAACCCAAAACCTTTTCTATAAAGGAATAGGATTAGAGTTTTAATGTCTCTTCACAATAAAGACATACTGGTCTGACATGGGAAAGCTTAAATCAATTACCTATGGTTACAGATTTCCTTTAGGATTTGATGGAAGAATAAGAATAGGAAGAAGATGATTTATATTTAAAAGAATATTAGGAGCAAAGGCTGTTGAATAATTCCCCCTTGAAAATTGTCAAAAGTAATAGGTATCACAGTGTGCAGGGATATCAAAATGAGAAATAAAAGAGATCCGTTTCTGATCACAAACAAATAACACAAGTTCCAAGATATAAATAACATTCAATTGAAAGAATAAACGATTTTGAAATTCAAGGCAAAATACTCAAATTTAAATCAACAACCAACAATCCAGAATCTAATGAGAATAATAATTTCATCTCCTTGTAACAACTTAACTCAAATTAAATCAAATAAAAATTGTTAAGACAATAAAAACAACAATTGCAGCATCTTAATCACTCAGTTGAATTGCCAAGATAACTTCTATCACAAGAATATAATAACCCTCAAGTAGCCAAGGATAAACCTACTGCCAATAAACTGAATATTTCAATGCTCAAGAGAGTTCAACAACTGTCTGGATTGGAAGCTATCAAAGAATAGAACTTGTTAAATCAGATAATTTCGTAGTAAAGAGAGAAGACAAAAATTGCTTAGAAGTGATTTTAGAAACTTATTCATAAATTTTCCATTTTGTTTTATATAATATTATAATAAATCATCATTTGAGAATGATGTTTAACTTCTAATTCTTAAATTCATAATCTGAAAACACTGCCATTATCTTAAGCGTATCTGCAATGGAACACATTGATAGTTAAAGACTATTTACATGAATTTTGATGTCTATGAGTTATTTTTATATAGTTTACCTTTAATTTTGGCAAACATTTTGATTAATTCCGAGATTTCCGTAGGATCTTAGACTCCTGTGATTAAGAGATTAGGTGAGAGTGGCATAATTTTCTATGTACAGTTTTCATTGTAATAAATCATGTATTCATCTTACAACGAAGTTGGCTATAACGGCTATAGGGGTTCAAAATAGATGCGCAACTACATGTAATATTGGGGATAGTTACAATTGAATCAAAGAATTGAGCGTTATTGAGATATTCTTTAGCTATGGTTGCCTAATTAATGGTCTGGAATTTCACATATGCCTTCTGCAATTATTTCTAATACAGAATCTCCTCAATATTCCCAAATTTGGTAAAGACGTTGTAAATCATCTTTGCAGTTACTTTAGTGTCTATTGATGCAATTCTGAGCAATTTAGATTGTTTCTATCTTAGTAGGGTTTGTATTTCTGGATGCATGTCAGTCAAATTAAGTTGAATTTCTTGTTTCCAAATATCAAAATCATCATCATCATAATCGAGTAACCGATTGATCTCCTCATTTCTAACAGGACTTGAGTTCGCTCTTGAAGACGAGCTTTGACTAATATGATTAGTTAAGTTGACTCGGATGTTGTCGTCTGTTTTAGAATGAAGTATAGAATCTGAATTTTGACTATTGCTGCTAGCTTAAGTATAATCCGTTCCTCTTGAATTATCCACGATTTCGAGATTAAGATTTTTAAGTCGAGAGTAATGGATTATCATTCTACATACAAATTAAGTTAATACTTTCCCCCTTGAATGTTCAACCCATTCAGTTGTTTTCTGGCTGCTATTGCACTCTTTAAATTATGAAATTCCACAAAAGCCTTGTTTGTCTTTCCTCTTTCGAAAATAAGTATTTTCTTAAGGTCTCCAAACTCATTAAACTTCTTGTGCAAGTACTCATTCGTCAATGGGAAAGAAGGAGGCAATTAAGTTAGAATAAGTAGAAGAATTTAACTTGGAGGATCTCTGGAATTATTGAACATTAAATTTAATTAAAAATTAAACCTCAGCAAATACTAAAATATGCCCTATATCTTATTATAACTAATCAGCAATTAAATCTTAATCCTCCTAATCTTCAATTCTTCTTTTATTTTTAAAACTTAATTTATTTCCAATGACGTAATTATTAAATTTTCTTAATTTTTCTAAAATATCAATTTATCACTTTTCCAAAATGAAGTAATTGTAAACATTTATTAAAACTATTATATACTTATGAAAAAACCAATGTATGAAAACCTTTCAAATTGGCTCATAATCTTCGGTCTCCTCCATTTTTTAGGCAGTCCTATAATTTAGTTACTTTAAATTATTATGTATTTAATTTATACTTTAATAATTAAATAATAATTATATCAATAATTTAATATAACCAATAAAATATATATATATAAATATAAATATTCCTTCATTCAACTTTGTAATTTGTGAGCATACCATCCACGAATTCAGCACAGGTCTTAGCATTCTCAACCAAACTTATATTTTGTGATTTTAGATAATCATAGGTTTCATTCCAAATTTTCAATGAAACCTCAATTTAACATTATCTTTATAATAAATTGGACTTCTCCTCCTCCGTGGCTTTCTTTTATATCAACTTTTCCAATTATTTTGAATATGAAGCATTGCTTATCAACCTTATTTCATTGCTAAGACAAAACATAAGCAATGTGAAATATTAATCATCTTCCAAATTAGATGGTTTGTGAGTACCTAAAAATTTCTCATCAATTTATAATTTTTGTAATGCATACTATTTGTATCTTACTGCTCCATTTTGCCTAATCAGTCTGCTTGCCTTGTTCATCATCTCGACAATATTATCCATATAATAAGGAATCAAAAACTTTTAATACAAACCCATGCCTACACCACCAAGAAGACCTCCAAAAAAGGCTCCCCAAAAGGCTATTGGAAACATGATGCTACCTGCTATCGTCATGCCTACACCAATAGTAATAATAAGACCCAAATGCCCAAGATTTTTTGCGGTTTAAGAATCATTAATGACCTTATTGGCTAGAATAGATTTGACAGCCATAGCAAAAATGACTTGTTATATGATAATACCTACAATTGGTAATCTGGATGCAAGAATGCCAAGAACACCAAAAGAAATAGCTGTAAATCCAGCATTTTTTAATTTATCATCCCAAGGAATATCTTCATCAAGACAATCAACAATAAGTACACCAATACCCATTCCAAGTGCTTTACCACCTATAACTCTATTGGATGTTCCATATCTAATTGGTTTTTTAGGAGCACTAATTTTTTTGAATTTAATGACAGCATTTTTGAATCCAGAAACATCATCAGTAGTTCTATCAATAGACTTTTCACTAGCAACTCTCTTTTTAAATTCAGGATGTCCACAATGAAGATAATCAAATTATTCATTGAGAAACTTGGCTAGTATGATGTTTAATTCTCTTTCTTCATCGAATGGCTCCCAACCTTCTTCAAATTTATGAAACATCAAATAATGATATGATAGACTCAAAATAAATTATTGAACTTTATTTGTTTTCTCCTATTTAACAACAATTTTTAATCCTTTCAAATCATTTTTTTGTACTTTCACTGATTTGATTACTTTGATTTCTTTACATAATTCCATTAAGGGAAGGTCATCTGAATCCTGAATAATTTGAATATTTTAAGGAAGAGGTTTGATGATATTAAATTGAGCATTATTAATCAATTCATCAAAATTCTTATGTTGTTTGGCTGTAAAATAATGTTTGCATTCATCCATTACATAGTAGAAATGTTTGATTGTTTGTCTGACAATAACAGAGTGTTTCTCTGGATTCACTTAAAATGATTGGCCTACTAATGAGATATCACCATAATCAATGATATTTTATGAAATTTCCTTCTACATATATTTGTAATTCTCTTGATTTGCTAAGCTTCCATAAACCTTGAGTAGTTTATCTAATTGTTGCATTTTATAGTTGGCATGACAAGCAACATCAATGAGATAGTTGAAGAAATCAGTTACCAAATCAATAAACAATTTTTGCAGGGTGTCCAAAAATTCATTAGTAATTTGGGTATCAAGATAGGCAAACTCAAAAAGATCAAATGCAACCCTTTTTAATTGAGATTCCAAAATTTCATTTAATAGCACATTTATTTATGCACTATTTAAGAAATCATCACAAAGTTCGGCAATTAAAGTATCACACAATCTATTTAATGACCAACATAAATTACTCGAATGCGTTTTCTTAAAATGTCTTATAATATGCTTTTAATTGTACTCTGATTTCTGGGAGTCTTTGCACAAAAAAGAGCGGTTCTACCCAGTCCTCAGTACTTTTATCAATGAATTCATATACTATGTCCTATTTTTAGAATTGTAAATACCTCAATAAATTAAGGGCTAGCATTCCACCCTATGAACATATACTTTCGGAGAATTTTAATACACTCTATCAACAAGTTAATTGTTCGTCCATTAACCTTATCGATCAAGTCCTAGTTTAAGACATAGTCTTCAATTTATAAAAACTATTTTTCGTTAGAAATTTCACATAGGGCTTCTTTGAGATATCTACAGTCCAAGGTGATGGGAACTAAGATTTACGTTTTCAGAGCCAATAGAAGAGAATCATGATAAATCTAATTCATGAATAATAATATTTATTTTCATTTATTTAACTAACTCATTATTAAATTGGCCTCGTCTCTCTCTGGCCCATTGAAATCATATAATCTTTTAGCCATCTGCATAGCCCTCTCCTTATCTCCCCTCCTCAAGAAAGCCCTTGCCAAATACACTAAAGATTCTGACAACTCTTTGTCGACTATTTATTCCTCATCTTTCCTCCTCAAACTCTCCTCAAAGGCTGACAAAGCCTTCTCTGTTTTACCCTAATCCATAAGAAATGCATAGGCTTACCACTGCATCATACAACTTTGCCAGTTGATGAATAGCAATGCCCTCCTTATCTTTACATTGATTAGCCCTTTCGTAACACTTCATTGATTCATTTTTCTTATCCATCTTGTCATAACATTCTGCCATGGCATTCCACATTCTTGCATCCTTCGGTCTACTAATCACAGCCCTACTAAAGTAATACAGAGCATATTGATTCATTCCTTATAAAGCATATGTTTAACCCAATCCATACCAGGCTCTGAAATCCTTAGGATCAATTTCAACAGCATTTCTATATGATTAAATGGCAGAAGCAACGTTTTTCATTTCTAAATACTCATGTCCCATCAGAGTCCAGGCTGCCAGACAATCTTTGTCTAATTTGAGTGCTCTTTGGAAATAATTAATTGCCTTAGCATGTTCATTCATTAGAGAATAATAATTTCCGACTACACAACAAGTTTCTGGTACATACTTGTTATTAGTAAAGGATTATAATGCTAAATTAGCTAATTCACCTTAATTTTCTTTTATATACAATATATTCGAATATGTATCTAAACTCTCAAATCTGTAAGGATCAATACTCAACAATCTTTCAAACCATTCAAGTGATAATTCAAATTCTTGATTATTATAATAAGCATTAGCAATTTAGTTTATTATAAAATTTGAATTTCTAAAGTAGTATAGTAATGTCTAAAATTATTCAACGCAATTTGCATTTTTAAACTTTTCCAAATTAAAGTTGGAACTCCAAAAGGATTTCATCCAATGATTAGGTAATTCGTCTAAAGTGTCTTCTTCTGTTAATAATTTACATAATTCTAACCAAACACTCCAAAAACATGGTAATTAATGCAAAACCTAAATGAAAACTTCTCTTGCTTCTCTTAATCGCATTGTATCCTTTAGTATTAGTCCATACAAATACAGATTCAATGAATTTAAATGCTTTTGATTATATAGTTTTGATAATTCCCTTTCCAATAATTTAAGCTCTGGATTTGTGGCTGTTTTTGAGTTTTCATTCTCAAACATTTCTTCCTCCTTTCTCAACTCTCCATACATATATTGAGAGTAATAATAGAGGAACATTGCTGATTCATTTTTATGAATTAGATTTTATAATAATGATGCACATTTCTTGAACTCTCTTAAATCAAATAGATTTCTAGCTACCAAAATGATATCATTGTATTCAGGAACGAACTCTCTTATGAAATGATAATTGTAATCTGTATTGTTTTGGATAAATTGCATTGCAAATTAAGATTATTATAAATCTTCTTCTTGAGTCAATCCCAATAGTAACTCACCTGTCCACTTGCTAGAATTATAGAGCTTGTTTTCTTAGAAGAATCTAGTGTAAAATTGCAATTCTTTTTGAATTTCTGACAATTTAGGCATCGATTCCATTTTTCAAATTTCAAAATTTATTACTAATTAAAAAAATAATGATAATTGGAGCAATTAAAGTGAAGGATGGTCTATTCATAGGAGACGAATTAGCCTCTAAAGTAGCATATCATCATAACTTAAAAGGATCTTGAATTTGTCATCCAGAACAAAGTAACTCGAATTATTAACTGTGCAGCCAAACAACTACCATGCGTATTCGAAAACTACGGTGTTATCTATCTAAAATTTAATTGGCTAGAGAATGAACAAGTACATCCTTTATATCATGAATAAGTAAATACTATTTCCAAATGAAACTGCTAATGAAATCTATCAATTTATTGAATAAGCGCATAACAATGGAGAATCTGTTCTGGTTCACTCAGTAAGAGGACAATCTCGTTCTTGTTGTGCACTTACTGCCTACTTTATGAGAAAATATAAATGGAAACTGTATAAGACTTTGGAATTCCTCAACTCTAGAAGACCAGATCTTGAAATTAGGGCGAATTTCTATCATTAATTATCTTAATTGGAATCCAAATTATGTAAGAAGGGACTCGGAGGTCTATCTAGTTCATGGTAACCTAATGAAGAGCAGGATCTACCTCTAGAAGAGGATGAACAACTTCTCAGGAATACATTTATGAATGCAAAGTCTAGTCCAGCTGATTCTTGCTGGTTAGATAGAAGAATATTCAATTAATATCTCAATGAAAATAGAATAAGAGCTATTTCTTGGGCAGATGAATCTATTGCTAAAAAATCATTTAAAAAAATGAAATAGACAAATCCAAAACATGCTGTTAAATTAAATAGCCAAAATAATATCAATGGAAATATCTATCATGTTACAGTTAATAATTATGTCACTCTAAAAGAAGAACTAGAAAAATGTAATTCCATTCTGAATTCCAGGGAAAATCATCAATTAATCAAGCCTAATAATAGTATTATCAAAAGACAATAAAATGATAGTCTAAAAAAACATTAAGAACAAAAACTTAAACAATCAGGAAAATCTCAATCTCTGAAGTAACAAAAAAGAGATCCTACAGACAGACCTAGATCTGCATATGTGTATAAATACTCCCTATTCTAGATAGCCTGAATTTCAACCTCCCATAAATATACCTAAACCAGTACCCTTTCCATATCGTCAATTCTCACCTGTTGTAAAAGGTACTTTCATTTAATTCTATTCCTCAGGTAACAATCCTCCTAAATTGACCTAATTAATGCAAACCAACAAAGCCAAAGGATTTAGATATCCATCCCCAGGATAATTGAAAACTGATGAGACTTTCATACAATCAATCATCAACAGTAAACCTGTATGGAAGTGATACATTTAATACTACATTTATTTATAAATTTTAGTATTAATCCTAATATTATCTAGATTAAATTTTCTTCTAAATCTTATATTTATAAAATGCCACTTTTTAAATAAATACTGTCACCATTATTAGTATTTAACATTTTTAAATTCTATTTAAAATATATAAAATTGATATTAGAGCTGCAATTCCGATTTATAGATTATTTTTTTAGTGTCTTAATTAATCTGTTCATATTTGATTTTATGGATGGACATCATGAGTATTCCAATTATTATAGCTGTTTAAGATGAATCAATATTTTTGAGATTAATAATTTTTTCTAAAAGAGGAATAAAATCAATCAGATTATTTTAGATAAGAAAAATAACTTCAGATTAAGAATCTCTCTAAATTCAAAATATGTTTGATTTAGATTTAAAATGACCCTCAAATATAATAAACTGATAGAGCCAATTATTTAATAAATATAAAGAAAAAAAATAAAATTAATTATTTTTTAAATTCTACAAAAGTAAATCATTTTTTCATAGTTTTATTTTTAGTTTTGATTTTTTAGACATATAACTATTAAACGGAGATTTAGGTTTTTTTCTAAGAACTCGAACTCTTTTGAGCACTAGTAATCCGTTGAGTTTCAAAGTTAGATTGTGTTTTTTATTTAGTATTCATTTTGGGACTGTCAAGCATGGCTTTGTATTGTTAAAAGGGAGTCTTAAGATTTAAATTGTTCATATTAAGTTGATTAATATTGATATTAATGTTTGCTGATAAAGGTACAGAAGATTGGGTAGTATATATTTTAAAAAGTTTTTCAGGAGATTTTGTGTGAGTTAATTATTATTTAAGATCCTATCCCATATTTGTATGCATTTTGATAGAGGCTTATTTCTAATGCTTATTAGGTGAATTTATTTCAGTGTAATGAGTTTATGTCTAGCTCTTCTTGTGTGATGGAATAACTAAATTAGGACTATTGCTTTGTTTCAATGGTTATTAAGATTGTATTAATTTTAATTACTCTGAAGATATACTTCGAGTGCTAGTAATGTAATGAATGCTATTTTGTTTAGATTAATAATTGGATATGTGATTTGCTTTAGCTGATGATTATTTTGAACTAGATATACATGGATTTGCATGATTGAAACCTAAAATCTGTTGCTTTAAGAATTTCTATAAGTCTGTATCTCCATTACTATTGTTAATTATTTTATTGGAGGAAAGTAAGGATTTTTGGGATGTCTCTTTACTTAAAGTCTTGAGATGCCCTTTTTGTTAAGGTGAATTTTGAATGGCCTTCTTACTTATTCCAGCAACATAAATATTTTATTTGTCTTTGTAATATTGAGTATTTTTGGAGATTAGTTATTTAAGCAATTTTAAATTAGGGGGATGTTAACACTTTTACTGCTGTTACTAATTCATAGTCATCCATGTGGCATCGATATTCTAAGGATATTTTAGATACGATTACAATTATTTCATCGCTGGCCTTAGATTTCAAGATTTCTCTTAATAGGGAAAGACTAGAAACTTAAGTCTGCTGAGTTATGCTATTTAATACTTTGATATCTTCTTTCAATTTCTCATATTCTAATTATTTCTATATGATTACAGGTACAATTACTAGCATCTTCAACAGGAATGCCCAACATGAATTTTATCTTTCTATACTCTATCTATCTAAAGTGCTAATCTAAGAATATGTTACTTCTTCTTCTCGTAAAAATAGATTGCCAAATCAGAAACCCTTGTTAAAAACATCCTAGGAACATCCTTGTGATACTTGTAGTATTCTAACAATTAATCAAATTTAGATTAATGATCGCTCTTCGGATAAAACCTAATAAACACACACATATTTTTTCTTTATACCTTTTGAGAAATTCATCAAGATCTTCAAATGTTAATTGATCCTTGAATTGAATGACCCATGATACTGGCTTCGTAGAAAATAAATCTTCATATTTTTTTCCATTCCATTAAGATTAAGAATATTTCGTGTACAAAGCCTAATTGCTATTTGATTGCTTCTTACTCGATTGAGAAGAGGTGCAAAATTAATCTTATCTGTTGTTACTCTTCCATATTTCTAACAAAATAGACAATCCTCCTATTTAGTATATTTCTTCAAAACTATTAGAGCATCCTCCTTTTTCATAACTGAATATAAATAATATTTTTTATAAAGTATCAACTACAATTACAAATTCAAACTATTCAAATTAGAGTAAGACTACTACCCCAATACAACCTATAATTAAGGAATCAAATTGTATTGTGTTGTATTCTACTACTTTGAATTAAACTAGTTTTCATTTATTTTAAATAAAATGAATTGGATTAGCAAAAATCAAAATATGGCTATAACATTAAATAGATTTTGTGATAAATTTTTCTTTAAAAATATATGAATGCAATATAAGTCATTCTTTCTTTCCATTTTTATTCAATCTTCCAAAAAAATAAGATAGCTACATTCAAAATATAACAAAAATATTAAGATATTAAAGAAATATTAGAATATTTAATAAATTCAATTTTCAAATAGCTTTATGATGTAGCTAATGTTGAATTCTGGATAAAAATATGCATACTCTTTTAGAGAATCAATGTCATCAACAGCTAATATCTCTTAAAATTTATATTAGGAGGATTGTAAAGGAATGCTTCGAAAATCAGATCGAATCATTTCTCCCATATATTAACTTGAGTGATTAGATGCCTATTGTTAAGTGTGGCAATTCCGAAATTTTTCATAAAGTTTATTAAAATCTGCAAATCCATCCTTTTTAAATAACAGAAAAATTATACATTTCCTTTACTTGTTACTGAGTTTTTATCTGTAAATTTTTGACTTGTGCTGCCATCTTCAGGATGTATTTCAAATTAATCACAACTATCATTTGCGCTGCTCTCACTCCAATCTATAGTTGCATCGCCATTCTATTTGTGAATCGCCTAAATGTTATTCAAATTGAATTTTACATAAGTCTTAAAGGCTCTTTGTCTCTTTTTCATCAATCTATTTTTAAACTTCATTCGAATGTTAAGTTCATTAAGCAAATTAAGATTTACTTCTAATTTTATAACTTTACATCTTCCTTCTAAATGAAATTGATTACAAATCAAACATCTATAATCTAATAGACTTGTTTCTCCTTCAAAAATGATTTTATTTTTTATCAGATGATATGATTCCTAAGCTTAGATGAATATTATACAATATCTTATTCGAGAGTTAGACTTGAGTAAAAATCTTCTTGCTTAATGTATAGCAATAAAAAATGATCATCCAATTCTAATTCAACTTCAGAAATGTTTTTCTAGAAGCAATTAATTAGTCCATAATAACGTTTTTCTGATTCTATTTATTTTTAGCATTTAAAAATTCTTCTGAGATTCTGGTATCCCTTCCCTTTCAAAATTAGATACAATCCATTTTTATCCTTTTTTAGTTTTTCTTTGTTTCTTCGAATTGATTACACTTTTGAAGACAAACATATCTTAAATTATTTCGAAAATAATTCTAAAACCTTCAAATTGTCTTTCAAAATTTACAAATATATTTTTTTAATTATTGCTTTTTATGCCAACTTATATAAAAATAAAAAAATACTTATTCCTTATTAATTTCTCTATTTGAAATTTCTGAGTAAAGTCGTAATTTTTTTAAGATTTATCCTTTATGGTGCCAAAAGTAAAATTGTAGTACATGAATATCAAATTTAATTTAATTTTGAATACAACCCTGATAAGATTAAATCTAAATTAAATTATTTATTGCATAAAACATTAGAAGTAACGCCGTAATCTAATTAATTATTACATCAAAATTCTATGTCGAATCTTAGACAGTATAATTAGCCTAGAAGGTCAAAAAGTTAATGTTGATAATTAAGGATTCTTGATATTTAAGTAAAAAATCTCCATCTCCTTTAGAGTTTTGAAAAAAACTTGTAAACAGATGAAGAAAGTAAATATAATAAACGATTGCTTTCTAAATACCCAGAGTTCTATAAAATTTTTCTAATCTATTTAATATTCATATTTTACTTCTTTAAATAATTAAACAAATAGTAAATATTTCAACCATTTTATATCCCAAATTAAAATAATACAGTGAAATTATTTCAAGCACCAAATCGACTTTTTCTAAAAGGTAAATTAACATCAAAATTATAATTGCTAGATTTTTTAGAGTAATTTCATTTAAAAAACAGAACTTTTATTCACAAAATGGTTGTTTTGTTTTGATAAGTTATAAGTAGGAGAATTGATTTTAAATTATTATGGTGAAAAAATGAAAAGATATTAGAAAATATAGGGTATTTCTAATATTTTCATAGTCTTCTATGAGATTAAGGAAAGGGATACATATTCCACAAAAAATATTGAGCAAAATGCTAAAAAAATCTATCAGATACTTTAGAAAAATGAGTATCTTAATAAGTTGAGAAAACGGTGAAAATTTTTCTTTGATAAATTTTTATTTAAGAGATGCTGGTTATTAAGGGGATTCTTAAGTTTCGATCCATTTTTCACAATTCTCAATCAGGTATTGATTAATTTATTATTATTCCTTATTTTCTTTGAAATTTAGATCTAGTAAGTTGGATTTAACTAACAAATAGCTTTCGTCTAAAGATGGAGGATTTATGCATTCTTCAAAATTGGTTTTAGGAGAATTTTTAATAATTTTCTTGAATTCAAGTTTGTGTAACACTAATCGTAGATAAATAGTTACCATCTTCATTATGAGATCTCATTTTATTAAAGACTTAGATAATGAATATTATTTCAAATACAAATTAATGTTACTTATTTAAGTTTTTATAATTCTGTTTATACATGCGTAATTTAGGGTAAAGACAAGATAGTGCAACTCAATATATGATGAATTCAGTAATTTAAAACAAAAACATCATGAAAGAATATTGCTAATGCTATTAGTAAGTTATTCGAAAAGACTAACATAAAAAGAATGAATCAAATTTCCAGGTTGATAAAAGCAGCTTTGCATTTTTCATTCAGCATTTATGATAAATTTTTATGATATTTTGTTGATAATTCAGAATTAAAAATATTAATTAACTTATTACTTCATAAAATTATATAGACAATTTCTTAATATAAATATTGATCTTAGAATTATATTTACTAATTATCACTAATTTATCAATTAAATAGAAAAATATAAAATTATTGTGAATTTGAGGGAAAGTAGTCATTCTATTAATTTAAGCCATTATAAGTAGAATTGACTTACTTTTATACTTAATGTTTATATTTAAGTTCATTTGTTATAATAAAATAATTATAATTTGATCAGAATATGCTACCACCTCTTTTAATTTCTAAGAGCTTTCTTTAATAATCTTAGCTTTATTTTGATAAATGTTCCTGTAATGCTTTAAGCTACTCTTCAGCCATTGTGGCTCTAACAATTAGTTCAGATCTCTCTTTTTCTAATTGTTTGAGTGATCTTTCGTACATTTGTAACTAGAATTTATAAGGAATATATTATACCCTTTATTAAGCACCCTTTGCTTCTCCAGACATAGGTCCAACTGAATTTAATCCTACTTCTTATTCTTTCATTTATCTCATTAGCCTTTCATTTTCTCTTTATAAAATGTAAACATCCCACTTTTTATTATCTTTCAATAAAGTCACTAATCTTCTATTTTCTTCTTGTAAGTCGTTTCTTTCTTTTCTCAACTGATCAATCTAAAAGTCTCCATCTATGGATTATTTATTTCTATTTTATTTTAACATATCCATTTCATTAGATATTCTTTTACTTAAATCCATACTACCTCCTCCAACTCCATTCATGATGTTTTCCTATAGAATTCTAACTTCATTTTCCAGCTTTTTATTCCTCATTCTCAATCTTTCAATCTCAGCCATATGATCTCCTTATAAAGTACCATAGGTTTCATCATCTAAGAAGGTAACATCTTTTGTGAGTATATCTGGTAAAGGAATTCCGACTGGAGCCCAATCTTCACAAAGATATTTTAAATTCCTTGCATAGCTTTTAAGTTATCGGACTTGTAATGAAACTTATTTAGAGTTTTTCTTTTCTCTTTCCAATCTTTCATTTAATTCAATTTCTTTTTCAGTATATGTTCTAATGAGATCTTCTCTGGCATTGAAATCATATCCAATTCTACTTGCTTTATCTGGTTTACCATCTGTAGCAAATTGCATAAGTTTATTTCTATAGAGTGATCTCATTTCATTCATTTGTAGATCCATTTTTTAGTTTTCTGATAGTAATTCTTGCACTTATCTTTCTAGTTCCTTAACTCTTTCTTCTTCATCATTGACTCTTCTTTGCATGCTTTTGATTTTATGGGTTAATTCCATTTTTTGACTTTCCCATAGTAATTTTTCATCTCTCATTTTTTTGACAGCATCATCTTATTCTCTATTCATTTTATATACTTCATTCTGTTTTTCTCTGTTTGCTTCAAGAAATCCTTTTTCAATTTCCAACTTCTTGTTATCTAGATCAATTCTATGTTGTTAATCTAGGATTTCGTATTTAAGCATTTCAGTTTTCAATCTCTCAATTTCAGCCTTGGTATAAATGAGAGCTTCTCTCTGTTCTCGGTTTTCTTGCTCTAATTTTTCAATTCTAAACTAAATGATAAGTATACTTCTTCATAAATCTAGCATTTTCTTCGTTTGTATTTCCAGATTTCTTGTAGATATCATTCAATTCTTAATGAAGAGATTTGTTTTCATTAACTACATTAATTAATTCTAATCCTATGTTCTCGCTTTTGGCTTTCTCAGTTTCTAAAGCAGTAGAGATATTGATGTAATTCTTTTTGAGAGCAACAAATTCAATCTCCAAGGCTCTCTTGTCATCCTTGGTTTCTTTTAAATTATCTTACAACTCTTAAATAGACTTCAAGGCTTTCTCCTCCCTTATATTCAAGGACAATAGATCTGATTCTGCATTCAACAATTTATTATTCATATCATACTTCTCATTCTATATAATTTCCATCAACCTTGTATTCTCAATTTGTAACTCCACCAAAGCCTTAGAGACTTCTAATTTCTCCTCCTCACTCCTAATCAACTCCTACTACAATTCTGCCTTCTATCTCACAATTTCATTATACTTCTCCCTCATCGTTGATAATTTCTAAGCCATTCTTTGTTTTTCATCTGCATTCCTCATTTTATCCAAATTATCCTCTATCAATTTCTTCTCCAACTCCAACATCTTATTGTTTCCAGTATCTCCATAACCACCTCTCCCAGACAATCTAGCTGCTTGGCATTCCAATCGAAATTTGTGCAATAGACCTAGGACCTTACTGTCATTGACTATTGGGAAGTTTTTGATATTCTTGCAATATTTGTATATGTTTAGAGTCAAACTGGTTCCTTTCGGATCTCCATGCTATACACAAAAGATGCCAATCGAAAGTGAATTACTACCAACTAGTTCTTTCACTATAGAAGTTAGAGCAGAAGTATCATAAGCAGCATGATCTGCAGTTTATGGCTATCCCAATTCCTTGAGTAATTGAGTAAATGAAATTATGGATTTGTTCAAAGTAGATCCTTGTTTAATCCTTATGGTTTCTGGGTCATCAATCAGAACCTCAGATCCTGCTAAATCAAAGAAACATAGTCTGGATAACATAATCAAAGGTTCATTGGTGTCTTTTTAGAGTGAACTTTGTAGTAGTTCGAGGGTAAAGAAGGATGTGGACTTGTTAGACACTTTACCAAATTCATTTGTAGTTTGATTACGGTTTCTTTATCCACTGTTAAGGGCTTCCTATAATTGGATTTCATTGTTGACAGTCACCCAAGTGGCATTGGCAATTGTGGGTCCTTCCCATGCATGATCTAAGATTTATAATTGATCATTCAATCGTTTATTGGGAGGGGCAAATAGATCAGACACTTCCTCATCTATGATTTCAACGTATCTGGCTCTGAGTCCATATGAATAATTGACAAGTTAGGATGCCTAAGATTGATTGGTATGAAATTTCTTGTTTTCTAATAAAGAGAATATTGAGGATGCATAGTTCAATATAAGTCCATGTTCTTTCTTGTTCCCTTCAATAGTTTACGTTTTGCCTGCTCCTGTAGATCTAAGTTTTATTTTTAATTTCACTACCCATATGCGAATATGTTTACGTTCAATCCTTGGATGAAGGGACCCGTAAATTATTGCAAGAACTGCTCGTAGATTTGATGCATGGAGAATTCAGGCCCATAAGCTTCAGGACATTCGAATTCTTCCAAAACTAGAGGATTAATAATCAACGATGAGCAATACTTCTATTGTTGTCAGTAAGTAGTATTTGTTAATTGTTGATTCGCACGTCCTCCTTCTGAAAGTTGGAAGGGGGCTTAATTCGGACAATGCAACGCAGCGGTTCTCCCAGGACTTGCTTTGCAAAATCAACAGATTACATTAATTATTAATATTATGCAATTATATAAAAAGTGAGGATTGAAAACAAGGATATGTAACTTATAACTATTTTGATATTTATAACAATAAATAGTCTTAGTCAAAATCACTTTTTTAGATTCTGTAAATATAACTATTTTTGTTTCAGTGCTCCGTATCCTGCCTAAATAAAAGGATTTGCATTCTGAATTGGATTCGCATTCTTCAACTATCTTGAATAGCTGTTATTCGAGTGAGTTTTCATCAGCTGCTAACTCTGAGCCACATTTGAATTCGGCATGTAACCCATTCCCTTATTCATGAGTGGAACAAAGGAGTGAGTCATTGAATATTTCTCACCTTCCAAAGCCTTTTTAGGAATTGCAACAATCTCATATTCATCCATATTCAATTTTTGGAAGTCATGTCTAAATTTATAAGATGGATAATCAGATCTCGTTGAGGGTGTTAAATCGATATCCGTATCCGATTATAACACTTTCTGAGCATTCCTTTGGAACTTCTGAAAATAGTATGATGGAGGATTTTAATACGTATTCACGTTGGTTGTGATGAGGGGTGCCTCGCTTTACTTATTGATTGGCTATGAAGCCCTTGATACTATCCCAATAACACCATTTTTATCCATCGTAGTAGTTCTCCCTTAGAATCGAGTTTTAAAATCCATTCACTTATTATATTAATTATATGTCAGTGTATTCACTTCACATTTCTGGTTTGAAACACATCACTGATAGTGTTTATTGCAACCATTAACCTTAAGAATCCAGCAAGTCAATCAAAGGACATCATAAAATAAATAGCTCACAACTATTGAATTAAAAAGTTCTTGTTAATAACAATGCATTGATTGGAAATCAATCTCAACACAAAACTTCTCTCAAAAAAACTATCTATAGTTATATCGATACTATCAGTGATCCTAAAAGGAATATCCATAGCTCAAGAGGACCATAAAACTACGAAACTATGATGCACAGAAATGATTTCCATTTGAAAAAGTATTAACCAAGAGGAGAATCAATTGAAAAAGAATGGAAATCATCTATTCGCACCTATCATACAGAAATCACCCAAAAATCAGTCTCACCCCCTACGAATTAGAAACCCAAAATTTGCTAACAATCAAGAAATCCAATATTATCACCCTCTTCTGGTAAAAAATACAGACCTGTAATAATCATTTTTTAAATTTAGACAAAGAAAACTTAATTTGATAAGGTACCAAAAAAGTAAAATAAAAATGGCATAAAAATATTTAAATAGGCTAATTCATCACAAGGGTTTGTGAATACTTTGGATTAGAACAGTCCCAGGAATAAACCAATCACTATAATCTCTCCTAGATTTGGAGAAGGAGTTTAGATGAAATAAATATTCTCTGAATTCTTCGTTAACGTATAAATCCAAATTTATTATTAATTTAGTAACAAACCAAGAAATGAAGAAAAAATGAATTATAAATCATATCATATTGTATTTTCTACTTCCTCTTTACATTCTTTTATTCCCAAAACATCTAGATTTGAAATAAATTGATTTTATTTATTGTTTGATCCAAATTCTTACTCAACCAAATTAATGTCGATACTGCATTCGATCTTGCTACCTATTTCGTTTGCAAATTAGTTGATTGATGATTATTTCTTCTTCTCCTCATTTTGAATATTGTTTCCTGTATTTCCTGTAATACCAAGATCGACACTAGATTACATATTACAAAGATCTCCAAAACAATCTTAAGTATAATTTTCAGTTGATACTAATTTAATAAGATATTTCAATACATATGCTTTATGAAGAGCCTATCTCTAAATTGCATTGTCCACTACTATTCTAGACTTCTGTTTGATTGTTGCCAGAACTATTACTAAGAGAATTAATTAATTAAATCAGACCTGAATAATGTTCTCCATTCCTTTTTTAAACTACATGAATATTCCCAAGTTCCTAAATTAAGTCTTCTATAACTATGTCTTAATATTCTATTCCAAGATGCAAAGTCTTTAATGCTCGATGCAGATTCTATTTCTGATTAATCGATAAACTGGTCTATAACGACTTGCACTTATTTGCAAATCCATCATCGTCCTCAAATAACTTTGTTGATGACAACATAGCCAACGTTGTATAAATGTGATTTTTTTCAATGAATGGATGCGTTAATGCGTCAATTGGAGTAATCCGTTTTTTTGGATCTGCTGATAAAAGTCTAAATAATAGATTTTAAGCACTAAGGGATTCATCCTTGACCTTATTCTTAAAATTCCATAATTCTGGGGTTTTTAACAATTGAATTTAATCGCTCATTGTATTTTCATGCAATGGCAATTGACCTGTCATACATTAAAACATAACGACTCCAATACTCCAAATATCAATTTCTTTTGAGTAGTGTGGTTGATGATAAATTTCCGGAGCAGAGTAATAGATGTGGCCTGTTTTGGTTAGCATTTCGATGTGATTATTTTTAGATAAAAAGCGTCTTGAAACTCCAAAATCGAGTAATTTTAATTCGCAATCACCCTCTAAATTTACTAAAATATTATCAGGTTTAATGTCTCTATGACTAATTCCCTTATTGTGAATGTATTGGATAGTGATTAATAGCTGCTTGATGATTTATCTAGTTTCATCCTCTCTCAAAGTTCCTCTCTCTATTAGGATTTATTACAATGTTGGAAATGGACAATATTCCATAACCAAACATGCCCTGCAATATTTTTCATTTATAAATAATTCAATTTCCTGAATAATGTTTTGATGTCTCAAACAGCGAGCATTATAAAATGTTCTCTTCACATTATTATATATTTCTTCATTATTCATTCTTGTTATTTTCACTGCATACAACTCATTGGTTTCTTTCCTCCTTGCCAATTTTACTATGGCATGTGCTCCCTCGCCTGAAGATAAATCACATTATTACCCAGTACTTATAAAATATCATATCTATCCTCAAATTTTATCACATCATCTACTAGACTCAGACTAGGTATTTCTGGCTTCTCTTCCTCTTAATCAAACTCTATTTTGCATTTCAGTCTATCTTTTAAAGAGTTACTTTGGAGCATAATAATTATTTAAATTTATTATAATATACATGTAACATCATATCTCAATCTATAATAATGATTTGAATATAAATTTATTAATACATGATAATACCTCACATTGATTGACGAGAAGAATTTACATTAAAATTAATTTATTTTAAATTCAATTTTTATTATTCATCAATTCTTCTGCAAATTAATCATTGAATCTTAAACTTAATTTTTTGGTTACCAAATATATTTACATAGAGATAATTTATTCATTTCCAACTTCAACTTTTAAATATTACTAATAACATCATCATTTTAACAAAAATCAAATTAATTTCCTGTTCTTATATCGTATCGAAATATTCTAAATCTTGAAAGTCCTACTTTTTCACATAGTACAATCATTCTCTTATCAACAACATGGTAAAATTCACACAACCTCATATTCAATTATCTCAATATTTTTTGATGCTTCATAATTTACAATTTAAACACTTTAGAATAGCTATTGAAAGAGAACATACAATCTACGCCTTGTAATGTATAAATTTTGCTATCAACAAAATGATTATTAAAGGTGTTAATTATCTGAGTCTTTACTATCTTTTTATTGATTATGTGTTTGATAAATATTACATAATCCTGGATAAGATGTTGCTCCATAGTAACTGAAATCATATTATTTAGATCTATCTTTTAAAGAGAGAGACGTTCTAAGTTCCAATCCGAACATAAACTATAGACTTACAACAATACTTTTGAATTCTAGATACTTCTTAATTCTATTTGAATATCCTTTTTTACTTTGCTTCTTGAAAGTAAAATCATGATTGACTAATTATTGGCAAGCTTTAATCCTTCAAATAGATAGTCTTATCTGGCTTTAATCTCAATTTCTTCATTATTGGGAATGTTGAAATGAATTAAACTTGAATTTGAGTTAATTATTAAGAAAAAATCTTCCAACTTTTTCGATATTTTACAATATTGGTATTTTCCTTCATATTTGCAAAACTTTTAATAAATTTTTTTATCTAAATCAAAATGTGATGTAATTTTATAGAGTCCTATCTCAAGGTCCTAATTATCTAATAATATTAATATAATCTACTTATCTATTATAGGGCAATTAGACTAAAATCTTTTCCGGACTTAATTTTATAGTGTTCTATCCACAAACCTGTATTTATAGTTTAAGATTCCTTCTAAAAACCTTTTACAAAGTCATCCTATTTGTAATTGATTGAAAGAAAATTAAACATAATTTAATCGATTTTTAAATATGTTATATTTTAAGAATAAAATAAAAATTGCTCATTCTCCTAAGGAGTATTTAAATCTTTGGAGGAATCCCAAATCATCGCCTATCAATATAGTTTGATCATCCATGAAAATAGCGGTGGGGTGTTGACTTACAATATTAGATAATATTTATTTTGTGTTGTGAAAATAGATTTTTGATTAATAGACACTTCCGCTATTTGCAATCAGGAACAAGTATGGAATTGCAGGACTAGGAATGATCAAGCAATTTGGTTGTTCGAAGGTGAATTTTTTCACTATAGATTTCTTCTCAATTGATACCATATACAACTGAGTCATACCAATCAATACTAAATAATCATTGCTATTCTATTTGATTTCTTAAATATTCTCATTGATATTTAAATGCCATTCGATTTAGGTTAAATTATTAAGACTATAGACATTAAATGATTTTTGGTAGAATAAGGCTAATTTATTTTGAAATATAAAATTAATCGTCTTAATATTCGAATTCCATTAAAGTATTTGAACTTCTTCATTGATTTGGAGTGATTTTTTATAAAAATGCAAATTAGAACTTTGGTAAATCAAATCAAATTATCTTAACTTGAACCAAATGGCATCTAAGACTTACAAATCTCTAACTTCAACAAGCATCTTCTTTGTAGGCTCAAAGAGATAGAATTGAAGCAGATTATTATTTTAGATTACAACTTTTTTGTCAAAGTAATCAAATTTTTTGCATTGTATTTCTTACCTAATGCACTGTGATTTTAAATTGAAATTAAGCAACAAATTGTTTTCAAATAAAATCAGAGCTGAATCTGATTATATTTATTCGAGTTAGATGATTGTATTTTCTGATGCATTTCTAACAGAAATTATTTCTTGCAATTTAGCCTTAACTTCAATAGATTTGATTTCCTCTTCTATTGTTTGGGATTAAGTTGGAGTATTGATTTTGATTTTCAGTCTGATATCAGATTTTTTTGTTCCTGTATTTTGATTATAAAAATTTTAGCATAATTTCGATAGATTTCCAATCTTAAAGAGTATCTCTGCACACTCAATCTTTAATTTCAGTCCATTTGCTCCCATTTCCAATTTCTAAGCTAATACTTTCCAATTTGGATTGTGCTTATGATATTCATTATACAATAAATTATATTCTTATTATTGAATCTACAGTTTATCATAGAACATAGTTTTTATGTGATCAATTCGCTGCGTTTGAGTAGTTATATTTGAGAAATATAAAAGTTAAGATCCAAAATGATATTAGAACTAAAGAATTCATTGTAATAGCAATCTAAATTGTGTACATCGAAACAAGTGTGATCAGAATGATAAGTTTGTAGATTGCATTAAGGTTCTTAGCATATATATATTGGATTCATTTTTTATTTTATTATCAAATAAAAATGTGATTTAAATGACAAAATAATAGAAATAAAAAAGTATAATTTCTAAGTTTATGTAAAATAGTTATTATCAATAGTTATGATAATAATCATTTAGGTCTTTCAACTCCTAAAGCTATCAAAAATGAAGTCCAACAAGAAGTAGTTTTTTTGGAGGAATCACCCTAATAATATGTCGCATCAATTCTATACCGATTTCCTTTGTTATTCAAATACATCTACTACTTAATGAGGTTATGGCTTATCTCCTAATTCTTTCAATTACTGCTATTACAGCAATTTCAATTCCATTTATTTCTTTTTTAATCTATATTATAAGTGATATATATTACTCGTTTTCTTTCTCAATTCTTTTCCTTTTTCTTTCTTCTTATTTCTATCTTTGTCTTTCCTTCCTGGCTATTTCATCATAATCTTTGATGATTGGCAATTTCCCGTTTCCAATTTACTAGCATTATAACAAATAATACAATAGCTTCTAGAGTGATGATTGCCACTTCAGTTTGATTCTGTTCTTTCAATATAGTTTTGATCCACAATTCACATTCTTCTTTAGTTTGTGTTTTAAACTTATATATCTTAGAATCTTCTAACTAGATCTTAAAATTGGTAGACTTTTTAGGGTTGGGAATGACCTCATCTACACTTTGAAGATTGATTTTGTTCTATGCTTCTCTTGAATTTGAGTTGATATACCAATACATAAACCCTTTTCTAATTCTAACAAATCTATAATCCCATGCCTTTGATTTCGGTTTCTTCTTATATAAATAACCCTCATCTATGAATTCTTCTTTTTCAATTGAAGTTCGCTTTTACTACTGTTAAGGGATCTACAATATTAATTGATATATATACTGATTAAATTTCATTGTCATTAAAATCTAATCGGATATCTGCTCTTCTCTAAACTTGTTCTTGCTATTGCATTTGGGTGCTATTTTACTCTTCATCCTCTTAACCCAAGAAATCCATTATTCTAACAGTGTCTTCTTCGATAGGTTAGGTTTTGTTGATATCCTCTATTAGATTCTTACAGATTTCGATAGTATCTTTCTTTTGTTCCTTGTCCAAATCAAACCTTAGAGTCATAATAGACTTGATAGTTTTTTCAGAAAATGCCCTACCAAAATACTACCTTAAGCTTTTGCATGGGTCTAAAATACTTAGAGATTCTTCATTCAAGAATGATATCATATCATCAAAAGGCTTTAGAGTTGCTTATAATTACTTCTCAAATATAAATGTTTCTAGTTCTTAGTATAAGATTTCTTTATCATTTTCTAATTTTCTAATGAATTCATTTTATTATTCCTTTTTTGCCTTGCTGCAAGAAATAATGAACTAATTAAAATAGTAGAGTATAATGGAATCAGTGAGTTACTTCCAGAGTTTTCTACTAAAACTGTCGTGCAATTGTGATAAAGCTTCTGTGGCTGGTTCTATTATGGATTTTAGAGTGTCTATGATCTTAATTTCGAGATAAGGCTTTTTAAAATGAGTACCAACGCGACTGAAATAAAATATGAAGATTCTTTCTCTGCAATTGCTGGCAATTTAAACAAAATTCTTAGTGATTTTTTGTCCATCAAATACTTTTTCAACCTCTTCATCACTTAAATTGCCAAAAGATTAGAGTCGTTTTGAATATTGTTTTGTATTATCATGCAGAGCCAATGTATTGTTACATATGGCAACAAACTTAGCAACGGAGAGTTAATATTCATCAATGATTTCTTGAATCCCTCCTTAATACTATTATAGGATAACTTTGCCAAAACCTCCGAATCTAATTACAGTTTCTTTGCATGAACATAATTTATATGCCATATCGAAGCCTTCGTTTATAATCTTGAACAAATCAACTGGAGTTTAAGTAACTAGTTATTCTTGATCATTCAAGAATGGTTCTTGAATTCTTTCCTGTTCAATTATTTAATAGATGACTGATTCCATACTTTCAAGAGATCGATTCACATAGATGTTCAGAAGCACTCCAACTCCCAAGAGAATGCGATCATCATTAAAGAAATCCTTCATCTGTAATAAATAATCATGTAACCATTATCCTATGAGTAATAATTCTGGAGACTATGAAAGTTAGAATTAAATAGTACTTGTAATTTCATGTAATTCTGATCCCAAAACTTAGTAATCCTTTCGCATATCTTTTCATGATAAATGTCGGTGTATTCCTTTACAATGTCCTTTCTTTAGGGGTCTTTCACAATGCTTGCTTACATCGACTCCAACATGTCTTATCTCAAATCAGTCAATTAACTAATCAGCTTATTTAGATCAACGTCCTCCTCTTTCAAGATGGCTGCAATATCCTACTCTAATTTCTGTCTAATCTTTTCTCTTCTTGCTATCAATTGAGTTTCTTCGTCATATAATTGGATTAAGGGGTCAATGTTCTTTTTAATTTTAATTTTTAAAGGGTTATTAATTTCTTTGGTTATCCTGATAGATGCACTCAAGGCAGTTTGCCACTTAGTACGTTCTAATTCAGAATCAGCCATCAGATGATATAATCTGTCTCCCATGTTTAATTTGAAGGTGTAGCCACTTTCCTTTGATTTGGACATATTCTTGATTATAATTTCTTGGCAATCCAACATTTTCACGTCACCCTTAGCTTTTGGAGGTTTCCCTTCTTCCTTCTGTTTGAAATAAGTAATAGTATCTAATTCTAGCCAGGGGGGTAGTTGGGATTCCTGCAATATCTTTTCATCATTGTAATCTGAATACTAGGAATCTAAATAATAAATACCAAAGGTTTGGCTGATACAAGAATAAACCATCTTTTTTAAAAGTACTTTACTTTTCCTTTGCTTCTTTTACCCAAATAGCCGTAGATCATTCTTTGATAGACAAATTGCTCATTCATATTTTTGATGAATTCTTTCAAACCAATTAGTTCAAGCATCTTCTCATTTGATAATTGTTGGGTGTTTTGCTTCTCCTTAATCTTCTTATCTCCCTTGGACAAGTCGATGAGCAGAGAATTGCGTTGCCTCTCCTTATAGACTTGTGCCTATTGGGCTGTATACGTATCCACAATCTTGTGGTTTTATACTACAAGATGAGAAAATTCATACACTTGGTGGGACTTTCATCTGCCATCTTAACTACTGAATCCATGCTGACTTATCTCTTTGTTCTCTGAGGGGAAGTTGCTGTTCTGAGACCGTTAAGAGTGGCAATCCATTATTGACACAATTCAGGAGTTTTAACTTTTAATTCTAGATTTCGGCCAGGGAATTAAATGGTGAATTCTTTTTTGGAGATCTAATTGATGGAGGTAATGGATGATAAATCAAAAGCACCATTAGGCTTAGTGTCGGTTTTCTACATTCAAGTTATTGACTTACATCATTATCAAAATACACCAATTTCCAGGGGCCTTCCTGCATGTTCTCAATGAGCATGAAGTAACGCTTTTGCCAACCCTTGAGGAGAGCAGGGCTTTTCTTCTTCATCCATCCTTTCATGGGTTGTACATCATTTTTGTTTTCGATCCTTTTCAACTCATCAGAATATGCATCGATAGACGCTGTGGACACTGTTAGGGCAGACCTCTTTTTTTCATAATCATTAGACATGGCTATTAGAATAATAATTATTAAAAAATATTTAGCAATAAATTAGCCAATATCAACACCTAATTTAGAGTTGAGTGCTTTCCTGAATTCACATCAAATGAATGACATACAAATATGATCATCATCTATTCACATATAATTTAACCAATTAATTAATTTAAAATGTTCCCCTCCATCAACTCAATCAAGAAGCCCAACAAGAGTTTCAATCTGCTGCATCTGGAGACACAAGAGTAATATTTCCTCTCCCTCAAAGTGGCACTAATACCCAGTGCAAGAAGCGATGAGTAACATAATTTGTATATGTCGATTCCAAATTCAGAATTCGAGGCAAATTGCATCTCTGTTCACGTTCATTGGTTTTCGAGCCCAAATCATCGTAGTTGCCACTAATGAAAATGAAGTACAGCAATGGGCTCTTTATGAAAGTCATCAAAAATTTCGAACCCAAATCACTTGGTCTTCTACTCAGCATTCGTTGGGGCCCTCAGTTAATGCAGGAGGATATCGATCAACTCGATTTAGCATCAATTTTAAATCAATAGAAGGGAGAATAAGTTTCTACTATTATTGATTACTAAATTAGAAATCGAATGAACTCTTAGATAAACTTTACAATAGAAACCGCAAGAACACTATATAACTCTCATGCAACTGCTTCTTCATAAAGGTCGACAAACTGTTCATCGTTAATCGCAATCCCATTAGTCCATACATCACCGAAACTGTAAAACAATATCTAATTCTCTCTATTTAGTGCGACGACAACATTTTATTTACTATCTCCAAATCCAATTCCAAACAGATCCTTATCCGATTCCTCAAATTGTACCAGGGAATCAATTAGGCGGAAGACGAATTCACATTCATTAACCAAACAATCCAACAAACCTTGAATGATAGTCTAGTAGAACACAAACAAAATGTTGGATCTGAAGGCCACAAAATAGAATTCGTTCATAAAGGTAAGTATGTATTCAAATGATTAGTCAAACTTATCAAACCTGAAGGATCAATCTTTGGATTATTCAGTATTCAAAGAGAAGAAATCTTGCAATTCATCCCATTGATTAATTCACCATCAGGCAAGACCCTATAATTCATGTTCACTGATATCAAATATTTTCTCAAGTATAGGTATATGTTTAAAAACAATGGAATCGAATTCTGGATGTACAATAAAAAAAGATCCTACCTTTTTGTCTTTGATGACCAAACTACGTAAGAATCTGTGTTTAAATACTTCCAGAAAAAAGCATCGAAGCATTGTCTTTCAGCCTTGACTAAAGAAAAAATCGCCGAAGAATGGACTAATGGTAACATGTCTAATTTTGATTATTTGATGGCCTTAAACACTCTCGCCAATAGAAGCTTTAATGACCTCTCTGCCTATCCAGTATTCCCATGGGTCATTGCTGAATACAATGAGAAAGACTTTAATGTTAATTCTCCCACTTTTTTTCGGGATCTGTCTAAGCCCATGGGTGCCCTCAATAAGCATAGACTCTAAAAATATAAAGTAATCTCATCATCATAATCGTGTAGGCATTCTACAAAGATCAATTGAAGGATAAGAAGTAAGATCCCAAACCTTATCTATACCCTACACATTATTCCAGTCCTGGAACTGTTGTTTACTATATGATCAGAAAAATCCCTGAATTTGTAATTAAATTATAAAATGGAGTCTTTGGACCCACTGACAGAATATTCAGAGGCATCGATTCTACTTGGTTCACCACTCTCAATCTCCATGCTGATTCTAAAGAACTTATACCAGAGTATTTGATTATTGATATCTAAGATTTTATGGATTGGATAGTGACTTTTTAGTTAATTGTGATAAATTAGAATTGGGCATAACATAAGATGGGGAGGTGATTGATGATGCAGTCATTCCTCCATGGGCAGATAATGCTCCAGACTTCTTAGCCAAAATGAGGATTGCTTTGGAGAGTCCATATGTTCAAGCCAATCTCCCTTTGTGGATTGATTTGATTTTTGGAAATAAGGCATCTGGAAATGAAGCAATTTAAAATGATAATTTATTCTATCCTTACACTTATGCAGAGAATGTGAATTGGGACAAATGCAAAACTGATATTGAAAGGTAGGCTCTAGAGATCTAAGTGACAGAGTTTGGTTAAGTGCCTTTGTAATTGTTCTAATCAGCACATCCTCAAAGAAAGTTGAAAATTTAAGGGAATCTAAAGTAATCGGAAGATGAAAAGAGAGAGCTAAAATAATAAAATTAGAATTTATAAAACAAAATTTAAAAATTAACTCAGTAAATTTAAGAGAGTTAAGACAATGACTAGGTTTTACAATTGCAAGCCTAATTGGGTGCTCTCTAATGGGAAAATGAGAAATTGAAATTCAATCTTGAAACATTTAAATAAGAAATGTTGACTAATAAGGAGGTTATTTAAACATTTAATTCACAATTCGATTAAGAGGAGTTTGATAAGAATGGATTTGATTTTCTTAATGACGATAGCCTCTTAGATAGTTCTAAAAAACCCATTTCATGAATGATTCTAAGATACATATAAATTTATAATACTTTCTAATGTATATATATGTTTTTGAGTACATTTAATTTATAAAATTATATAATCATCATTATTTTTCATACAAAGCTATTTCTTATTGTAAAAGAGTGAGTTACTTCTCCTTCTCATTAATTTTAGCCTTTATCTCCTAATTCTCTTTGATTAGACTTACCATCATCTAAGGATTATAAGAAAATGATTGAGATTGAGAAACCTACACTCCTTATTAAGGCATTTTGATATGAGGTCTCTTTGTGATCATGTGCTAAGGTGTCTCCTCATTCATTTTATTGGTATAAGCGCTTTGTTAAATTGACTAGGCATTTCTTAATCTTTGGTAATCAATTTATTAAGAAGTGGGAGAGGCAAGTCGTTATCCCTGTGAAAACCTTTGACTTGGAGATGCAAAAGAAACATATTAGGTGGGACCTTGTAATTGTTGTACTACAGGATGGTAAAATGGTTAACGAATTTTCATTATTGAAATTAATTAATGTAAAATAAGGGGAATTTTATTTGGATACAGATTATTTTTTTTTGATAAGTATGCAAAGATTTACAAGAAGTGTTGCAAGTTTTGGCTCGAATGGGAAATTTATTAATTGTTTAGAAACTTATTTTGAAAACCTAAAATTATTGAGGAGATGGTCTCTGAGAGATAAGTGGTAAAGTACAAAATAGATTCTATTAACTGGAATTAATAAATAAAGATAGATTGATTAGATTATTGAATTAAATTGAATTGAATAAAAATAAAAGAAATAGTACTCCTAGCATGAGGAAGGCTTAAAAAAGAAAAATCTTCAGATAAATAAGAATAAGAAAATGAATAAAATAGAATTAATAATGTAAATTGTTAGAAACATTTGATAGGTTATAAACTGAATGACTACATTTAAGTAATAAAGGAGAGAACAATAATAATAAAGGGTGATGATCTTTTAATACAATAGAGTAAGGTCAAAAAGATTTAGGTTATCTTATAAAAGGAGGAATTCCGATTGGTGGAGATTTGCTCTTTAAAATGAAATATATCAACTGAAATAAAATTAATTAAAGTTATATGGGTTCTTGCTGTTAAAGTAGTCAAGTACCTCGGGATTAGTATTTATTCCCAGATGGAGGCGTGTATACTGGAGAGCTGAAGGATGGATTACCAGTATGAATGATGATCAATTTTAGCATGGTGTTGGAGCTATTTCTTTTGATAATGGATCATCCTTTGAAGGACACTTCGAGAATGGGGTGAAAAGTGGCAAAGGTGTTTACAGATGGAGTGATAATTCTTATTATGATGGGGAATTTTTGAATGATGCATTTAATGGTTATGGCGAATTTTATTGGAGCAATGGCAAATGGTACAAAGGATAATGGGTGGATGGGTTTATGAAAGGAGAGGGGCAATTCTTTTCTGATGGTAAGACGTATAAGGGTGAGATATATGATTTTAATTTAAGGTGAATTTGAAAATGATAAGAGAAATGGGAAGGGAGAGTAAATTTGGCCCAACAGATAAAAATACGTTGGAGAATGGAAGAACAATAAGATGCACGGGAAAGGATAACTCACAGAGCCCAGTGGGAGGGTCATTGAAGGAGAATGGGTAAAGGGAAAAAAGAAATGATAATTTCTTATATTTAATTTTTATAACATATTATTTTATGGGTACTGTGTGCTAGACAATTCACAGAACTTAAGTTGTGGAGACAGGTGGTTTTGAATTCGAACAACCAGTAGAAACCAAACCTTACGAAATCAAAAGCAATCTTCCAGAAGTGCAAGAAATGTGTGCTACTAAAATCTAAGCTTTATATCGAGGCCATTCAGTTCGAAAACAAGTAATATGTTAATGATAACATGACAGAAAAGAGAAGTCGAAGAATCCTTCCCTCCTTTGTAAAGTGTGGCTGTCCCAATTGAGCAAGTTCCTGAGATCTTTCATCATGCTGTTTCAAAAGTACTCTTGCAATTAGGTCCTTTCGATTACTCCAAATGTTCGACTATGGTTGGAGCTAAAACTCTCCCCCCTTATTAATTCCTAGACAAAGGCGGTATTTACGTAGGCTAATGGAAAAGTCACCAAAGAAATGGCAGAGGGAAATACATATTTCCTGATGGGTCACTTTATGAAGGCTTTTGGGTCGATGATAAAGCTAATGGGCACGGGAGACTCATAGTTAATAGTGGGGATTACTATTAAGGAGAATGGAAGAATGATAAAAATGATGGATACGGAGTTTATGTGCATTCTGATAAGTCTAAATATGAAGGGTTTTGGAAGGATGATAACAGACATGGATAAGGAACGGAAACATGGGCTGATAATTCTGCTGTTTATGATGGTAGCTTTTATATGGGAGTGAAAGAAGGATATGGAATTTATAAGTGGGGTGATGGGTCGAATTATGCAGGAGGATTTAGAAATAATCAATTCTAGGGTTAAGGAGTTTATGTTTGGCCTGATGGCAGCAAATATGAAGGATATTGGCAGAACAACAAGATGAACGGCCAAGGGGAGATGACCTGGGTGGATGGCAGGAAATATATAGGTATCTTCTCTATTTCATTAGGGGAGTTATAAGGATAACAAAAAGGATGGTTACGGAGAATTCTATTGGTCTGATGGTAGAATATATAAAGGATTATGGCAAAATGGATTGCAACATGGAGAAGGAATTTACATCGATAAAAATGGCAAATAAATCTCAGGAGAGTGGTTTGAAGGACAAAGGAGATGATTTATTATTACTTAATCAAGTTTAGCATTTACTCATTAAATATATATAAATGAAACTTAAAGCACTAAATATAAACAGTTAGTATATGCTTCAATCCTGCATTGATTTCTCTAATAAATTCAAATGTTATATATTCATTACAATAATTGAAATAACGAGCCAAGCAAAATTACATTAAGACATTCTATTAATATCAAAGCAAAGTACTTTAGGTCGTTAAAATAATAGAATAATAAATATGTAATGATAATATAATCAAATTTTTAATACAGTACTTCATTGAATCTATGATTCTTTATTTGAGATCAAATAAGAACTATCTCATTTTTTAGAAATTATTATTAAATAACAATAGAAAGGAGTATTAACAAAGATATAAACTGAGAAGATACCCTAAAACCTAAATTAAATCATAGTTATTTAATTAGCATATATGATTGAACTATGATAAATAGTTAGTTTTATTAGTTATGGTCTAAAAGAAAGGAAATTAGAAAATTGTAAATTTAAGTTGTAAAGATAATGAATTAGGAAAATGTAAATTTAAGTTTAAATGTAATAATTATTTAATTAAGGAAATAGGATGGATAATATATGTGTATATAAATTTAGTAACCTAATAATTATATTTAATGGATCATATAGCAAAAATTAAGGAAATATTGTTTTGGTTTAAATTTGAAATTTCTTGGGAGGATCGAACCAAAATAGGATTTATTTGATTATACAATTCTAATACAATCATATATTATATAATTACCAAGTTAAATGTAAGACGATCGAGTTCTGGAGCGTAGTCCATAAGATACATTAAGAATCCCACCACGATTATCAATGATGGATAGGAAATGTAGTGGTCGTTTTACATTTGTGAAGACTTAGGCTGAGGAACAGAAGGAATCAGTTCAAAACAATATGAATCGAATAAAATAGCAATTTAGATGTAAATAATAGGTTTTGAGCCTAGGTTAACTTAACTCCATAATAAACAAACCCATCTAACCTCTCTAGATAAGGGAGGAACAACTATTTGAGTTGGGTAAGAAATTGGACATTGAAATAACACCCAGTGATGTTGAAAACATTGTACCAAATACAAAGGAGTTTTTTGAAGAATATGAGATGCATGAAAGACTGGGTGAAGGATGTTTGGGATTGGTGAAGAGAGTTGTGTAAAAGAAGACAGGACAAGAATTCGCAGTAAAAATTGTGGCTACCTAAGATGATGAGATTATAAGGAATGTAAATGTTATTTGAAAATGATTAGATGATCAATGAGTTTAAGAGATTGATAAAATTATCACATGCCAACATAGTTAAAGCATACAAAATGTTTTTGGATTTTGATAATGGATTCTAATCTGAAAGTCAAGCCTACGTGATATTGGAGCTCATAAAAGGGAAAGAAATGTTCGAAGTAATAAATGAGGCTGGACATTACAGCGAGCATGATGCAAAGGAACTATTCAAACAGTTGCTAAGTGCAATTGAATACATGCATAGAAATGGGATTTGTCATAGGGATTTGAAACCTAATAATATCCTCTGTCTCTCAGGTAATATGCTAGTTAATCATTTCCATAGACAAGAAGTTGATAAAGGTCACAGATTTTAATGTTAGTAAATTCAGCGATTCATACAAGGAATTTGGTAATCTTTAGGACACCGAGAAAATTGAGATGTGGACCTATACAGGGACTGTGGCATTCTCAGCGCCAGAGATCTTCACTGGGGAAGGATACAAGTAAAGTAATCAAATTATTATTAGTCAAATGGTTGATATGTGGAGTGCTGGATGCATATTGTACTCAATGTTGTCTGGTTAATTGCCATTCAATGCAGACTAGTATATATTTTGATTCAATATCTTTAAGTTTGAACGATCTAATTGAATCTATTAAATTGGCCAAATATGAGTTCCCTGAAGAAATCTTTTAGGAAGTCTCAAGTGAAGCCAAAGATCTAATTTAGTAATTGCTTCAAAAGGATCCAGCTATGAGACCACATCCTGATGAGGCTCTCAATCATCCTTGGTTTTCAGAAACCTTTGTGAGAAAAAGTTTAAGACATCTGACTATAAATAAAAACATCTCTCATCTTTCATCTAGGAATTCTAATAAATTGAAATAAAGGACCATTCTCTTAAAGAGAGGACATTATGCAGGTTCTAGTGATGGAGAGGAAGGATATACAACTGAGGAGATGAAAATTAAGGGTGCTGCTCGAAAAAGTCTGTTCAATACTGCCATGGCTCCAATAGAGTTGCAATCAGATAATAAATGCTTGAAAGTGTAAAATGCAGTGCTTCGCAAGTCACATACAACTCATATACATGATTTTACATAATGTGATGAATAGTGATATATAAATTAATTATATAAATAATTTTGGTTATCCAAAAATATCTTATTTTATTTTATTTCGCTATTTTTAAGCGAACACATTTTGTTTTCTAATCATTAATTAAATTTAGCAATGCAAAATAAATCAGTCTTTGACAAATTAGGAGGATAAGCCAACATTGATGCCGCAGTCGTCAAGTTTTATGAAAAAGTTCTCTCTGATCCATCTGTCAGCCACTATTTCAAAAACACAGACATGAAGAAATAAACAGAAATGCAATAAAAGTTCCTTGGTATGGCCTTCGGAGGACCAAATCATTATACAGGAAAAGTAATCAATTCATATTTATGTTATCTAGGATATGAAGGCTGGCCATGCTGGACTTGGAATTACTTCCGCAGCCTTTGATACCATCGTTAATCATCTTGGAAACACTTTGAAAGAGATGGGCGTCCCAGCTGAGGTAATTGCTGAAGCTGCAGCTGTTGCTGAAAGTACTAGAGCAGACATTGTTGAAGTCAAATGATTTATCATTCATATTTGCATTATCCATCAACATTTATTAACTATATTCGTACCTTTTAACAAGTTTTCAAATATAGCAATGTATTGACTAAATGCCAATCTATTCAAAAATACTAGGTTTCAAATACCAATCTAATATTCATCGGGCATTGTAATTGAAGACTTATTACATAGAGATTGCAGCTTATAATACTCAGATTCATAATTTTAAGCAGATTATATGTTAATTATCAGTAATTGCTTAATATATATTGTTAGATAAATTTGCCAGTATTAAATTATTCAAAAAGTAGATGAGTTAAAACTAAAAAAAGCAAAGGGACATAAATTAAATAGAAGTAGATGCATTATAACACAAATTTGAGAAGTGATCAATCTTTTTATTTATTCTTTATAGAAAAATAACAATTATCAAGCATTTAATATTATAATTAATATATAAATTAACATATTTTTTATAATTCTTATGTTCCAATATTAATTTTCTTTATAATATTATTTATTAGAATTACAATTTATTATTAGTATTCATTTAACATTATAATCTTCCATATAGAAAAATAGCTAATAAATTTTGCAATTTTTTGATAAAATGTAAAAGTTAAAACATTATATTTCATTGAGAAAAGTTGTGTGTAGCTAATCTCAACTTTTTATTAAGAGTATTATAAATATGAAATATCAATTGGAAAGTAAGAAAGTAATTAATCAAATAAAATCATGCTTTCAATAGATTCTATTAAGAAATAATATCCAGTTTAATTATCCATTTAATTATAATCAGTCATAGCTCAAATAAACTTGAATAAGATAAAAGACTCATGACATTTACATAAAAACTATATTGTTTTTGTTTGATGACTCATCAGCTAAGAATTAATCCAATCAAATTGTTAATTAACTTAAATTAAGCAAGATCAAGAGGTTTTTAACTTCGTAATTGTAAAATCTTGCTAGCTTAGGTTCTGTTGATTCTTAAATTTTTTAAAGAAGAAATAGAATTGAGTTAAAAGTTATTCAATTGACTTTGAATGAAATAATTATGAGGTGACATATCTGATTTAAACAGAATGTATATATATGATTCTTAATGATTATCTTTTTGATTGTTTAAAGCTCTAGCATACTGGAGAGTGGAAAGAATTGTTGAGTTTTTGGGAAGGTTTAAATGGCCACGTTTCGTAATGTGAATTCTAGAAAGAGAATGAAGTATGTAGGAATGTATTTATAATTGTTTGTGTGAACATAACTACTCAATATCCGGAATCAGCAAGGTACTTTGCCATATCTAAGACTCGCTTGTTGCAATCGCTAGCATTCTAAGGAGCTCCATTTTCAGCATTGATGGTTTGGGAGAATGAAGCAAAGACAGCAACTGTATTAGACCAAGCAACACAAGCTCCACCTTTATTCTAAGATAATGAATGTTTGAAATACCTTCTTTAAGTACCAAGACTTTTATTCTCCATCGAATGAAATTGAATAATACTTTTGATTGTTGATTCTAATTCCAGCAACATTTCCTGGCTCTCCTTTGTGAGTAAGAGCGTGAACAAAAGTAGTCTTTTCATCATAAGCCACTTTGGTTATGATGTCTGGATTTTTCTCATCTGGGACATCGGCTTAATAGGATGGGAGAGCAGCAACACCAAAATTGCTAGCCCAGATGTTTCCGTCTATTCCAATGATGGCAGCATACTCAAGTACGCCATTGGCTGTCAAATTTGATACATAAGCATCCCAAGACATTGTATATTAATATAATTATTAAAAACATATCTTCTTGTATTGAAGTATATATAATGAATTAATTCAAGATACTAACACTTATAGAGTTTTAATTATAGAATTTACACATTTGCAGGGCTATATTAAATAGATATTTATTTGCTATATCGAAGGGTTTCTTTCTCAATTAAATAATCAATCGACCAATTTGTAGAAATTAAGAAGGTTCAGAGCATAATTCCTTTGTAGTTTGTCTAATAAGTCTCAATCTAGTAGTCTCATCTAAGTAAATTTGATTAAATGGATCATTCTGATGTTTGGACTGTAAAATGCAGAAAATTATAATCTAATTAAAAATATAATTGATATTAACAATTTGTTGATATTTTCTACATGTGTAAATTAGAATTAATAATTAATTATACTATCCAACAACAATATGTTATGAATACAAATTTATATCAGATTATAATTAATATTTAATGCGTATTATTTCTAAATTGAAATGGTATGAAAGTACTCTCACATGCCAACTTAAACTATGAAATAAGATTAACAGAAATACTAAGGGCTGTATAGTACATTACAGAATTTTTTAAAACATTGATTCAATGATACAAAAACTATGATATATTGTCCTTTAATTAGAAATCAGAGGAGACTGAAGTTATGGGGGTTTAGAAGTATTTCTTTCGGTGGTTGTTGGATCAGGTCAGAGATTCGAATATATTGAGAGAACTTCTAAATATATTAGAATGTCTTTTACAATAAAAATGAGTTGTGATTTGATGAGTGATATTAAAATTAGTTTATTTATATTTCAAGCATAGGAATGAAAACCACAAACTACAAGCATTAAGTCATCTTCGATTCTCATGAAAAGCCCATCAAATTAGATATGAAGTCATACCACAAATATAAAACAAATATTATGCTTCAACCAAGAATATCGCCTCGAAAAACTGATAAAGTGATCTACAATCAGAAGATGGTCAATGATTATGTTGACATTATCAATCATCGTTTGAAATTAGAGGGGGCAGATATGGATTCGAGGAAACTACCATAGAAGCATAATTCAATGTATAAGTCAATAAGTTCTCAACACACCAAACAAATATCAATGGTGGAACCTGCAACTGCAGAAAAACCGTATAGTAGGACGAATCTCGATAATCACTCCTCGTTTTTTCATAGTCGTAAGTCTCTAACGAGAGAGGACAAATTGTATTTACTTTCTGATCCACTTCAAGAAATGCTAAAGACCAGATAATCTATAACAGATTTGAGGGCAATAGAAATAGAGGGAGACGAATTTACTCAACAATACAAAAATAAAATTAATGAAGAATACGAGAAGGAGATCTTTCGTAAAGACATGATCTAGAGGAGAATATTTGATAGTCAATTGAAATATCAAGGCAACAACTCAATCAAATAATTTATATTCCAACAAAATATGAAGGCATCTCAAAAATTCCACACTGAACCTATAGATAAAAATATTCACATTATTAAAGAATTTACTGTGGAAGACAAATTAGACAGGCCCAGGCAATCCAAACTCATTAGCAATAACAAAATCAATCTTATTACTCTTAAATCTACAGGCTTAAAGTCCTTTTAGGATTCTGAAAACAATAACAATTCTAGTGCTTAGAGATTTGAGGACTTGTATAAGACATGCAACAATTTCTATAAGGAATCTCGATAAATTAAAACTAAAATCATGAGACTCAAAAGACAAACTTGGAGAAAATATTAAAAAATCTTATAAATAGGATCATCCTAAAAGGAAATTAAAATTGATTGAACGTAAATTACTATTGAAATTATACACATCAAATACATAACTAATTTCTCGACTTTTATTTCATTATAAATTGAACTCTCTCTCACTCGTCTCCAATAATAAATCCTTCTTTATCAGAGAATTCTTGATTCTTTTATTATTATTAAATTTTGTTCAGTGAATTTAGTACATTATCTTACAAAAAGATATGTAAATACCTATATTAAGTTGAAATTTAGATTGATGAGAATGAGCTATTCTATTAGAGACAATAACAATAATCAAATGTTCAGTGAGTAGATCCATTTATATTGGAATATTATGTTAAATATAATGTATCATTACAATTATAGGAAAATAACGAGATAACCATTGCATTAAAATGGAAAAGTGAACTTTAATTATAATTTAGTGATAATTGATCGCTCTGTAGACATAATAAAATATTATATAATTACAATATATGTTATCTGATCAAATAAAATAGGTGTTGTCAACAAAAACTTCATCTTTTCTCGCTCCTAAGTTCTCTCGAAAAACTACATTGCTTAAGAAGAGAAATAAAGCTCTTTCCATTTGTAGCATAGAAGACATAGCAACATTGACATAATAGAAAAGCTTATAATAACCTTAATCTAAGTAGCAAATAGCTAGATCTGAATCATAACACAATCCACCAACTCCGATAGCAACTCCACAGTAAAGCAATTCAGTTAGTTGTCAAACAAACACATCTCTATTTGATGAACAACTTCCTGACATTCCTGCATCTGATCCAATTTGGCTTGAGATAATTCCTCAGGAAGTGTTGTAAGGATCATCAGTAGAGTAACTTCTCGAAGACAACAAAGATTACTTCTATTATTTGCTGGGATTGTATCTCCAGGAATAAATGCATGGAGATTTTAACATGAACAAATTTATATTGCCAACCAAATGGTAAAGTTAATATGGACGTGATTTTCCTCTCAAATAGAAAGAAAGATAAGAAATTATCAAAAATACAATCTACCAAGATTATAAGTCTCCTCAAACTTCAGAGTTTTCGAAGACAAGTTATTAAAGTCACTTCTCTGCATATCCATAAAATGACTACAATCCAAGGTTGGAGAGGAGAAAGTATGAGAAAAGTGAGTTACAATTTGCAACATTGACAACATATAAGGTATAACAATCACGTTGATTAGGCCAATCATTATGATTTCTAAACAAACTACAGACCAGAGAAGGTAACTGCATCTAAGCATTTGACAACTGGCGGACTATCACTGTCTAGTTAAACTCTTTATAAAGCTGAATATCAATGGCCTTAATCAATAGAACAGCCTGCTAATTGTAAAAACAATCATTCAAAATTGTAATATTGTCGTTATTTTGAAATAGAAATCCAATTCAATCTTCTGGTATCTTCTTCGATAAATAACGAGAAGTCTACACAAAATTCCCTGTTGATCCAATCTGTAGAACTGCTCCCTATTCTTAAACTCCTACATATCAGAATCAGTACGTCTCTACTACTAAAAAGTATTATTTTTTGTGAATTTAAATCAGTGATTTTTAGAGAACGAAACTCGGAGAAGTGACCTAAATGAAAAATTGGAAACAAAGCGTCATTAGGAGAATGAATTAATTGAGAAAACAATCGCAAATATGATCTTTAATTGTCAATATTCATCTAATTTCTTATGAACTTTTGAGAAACCAGTGCTAGTGTTCAATCCATCAAATTTGTAGGTGTCTCCCAAGAAGGCTTAAGTGAATCGAGCATCTCTAGGATAATATTTCTCAATCAACTCAAATGAAGTTGGATTCAATTGTCCATATTACATATTAGATGTCTCATAAATTGGTAATCCTATTATCAACCATTTATCTATACCAACATTAATTCCTTAAGGAGGAGCCTTGTATTCCTATTCAGTGACATGAAACTTCTTTGAAGGGACCTTGTTATCTAATTTCCTGCGTTGTTTTTCTTCTTCAGAAATGGGTTAAGACAACTCAAGTCCGATAGTTTGAGCAACCAGTTTATTTTTGAGTAATTTCTCTGCTCTTCTAAAGTCCTAATCTAGTTAATAATAGAATCATCACTTGCATTTGACGTACTATTTCAGCGTAGGTAGGTACAGGACATGATGTCATATCCACTTATTGTTACCCACTGTGTAATAGCCAACCATCACCATACGATTAGTTATTTGTAATATAATGTGCTGATTGATTTTTATTCATTTTAATTATGAAACACCACGAAAAATTACTTATCGTATGTTCATTCGATTCTGTAGGAACTTAGATGCTAGACCAGAAATTAGAAGAGTACCTTTAAACTAATCAAGAAGAAATAATTCTTTATCTAAAAAGAACACCAATTACGCATCTTAAAGTTTATGAACGCATTTTATTCCATCTTTATGAGAAAGCACAAAATTATCCAACTAAATTTAATGTGATCTTTGATTTATTTAATACTTAATTCAAAAACACATACCAGTTCACAGTCAACTTAGATTACGGAGAAGAAATAAACATACAAACAAAACAAAATCAATAAATTTAAAAAATCTAATTTTCTTAAGAAGGACCACTAGCAAATTAATTTAAAAGAGGTGCTAATGGTGGGACTTTTGATCATTTACACATTGGACACAAAATACTTTTAAGTTTAAGTTTGTTGGCTGTCAATGAACACTTGACCATAGGAATAACTGGAGAAGTATTATTATAAAAAAAGAAATTAACAGGTTTCTTATAATCCTATGAGACTCGTTGTAAATGTGTAAAAGAGTTTTGTTAGCTCTTCAGACCTGATATTGAATTGAATTTCTCTGAATTAATCGACCCTGCAGGACCAACAAAAAATGGACAATTTGAAGTACTAATTGCCACCCAAGAGACTCAAAATTCTTTAGACTACATTAATAACCTCAGGAAAGAGGGAGGCTTAAATGAATTAGAAGGATATATAATTGGCATTATAGAAAATTCGAATAATCAAGGAGATGTTAAACTATCTTCCTCATAAATTAGAGGACAAATATAAGAAAAAAATAGATTAAGTGAATAAGAGTATTTGGAACTTAAATCTGAATGGTTGTCAGTTAGTGATAATCTATATTGGTTTGAATCTATTCTAGTTGATTATTATTCCTAACCTTAAAGGTATTATCACACTTTAAGACACATTTATGATATGTTATAATAATTAAAAGGAGCTAAAAATATGAAGAATGCAAAATTGGCAACCTTCTTTCACGATGCCATCTATTATCCTAGAAATAATGATAATGAAGAAAAAAGTATCTTGTTGTTTTAATAATATGCTAAAGATTGCAATATAGATTCATAACTTATATCAACTTTTATCTTGCAAACAAAAAGTCATCAAACTGACGTGTCATTCCTACCAGAAGATGATTTATAGGATTTGATGGTATTTTTAGATGCTGATATGTCTATTTTGGAGTCTGATGCATATACTGTCTATGCTAATGATATAAGAAAGGAATATTCGCACTTTCCAGATAAGGATTATAAATCAGGGAGAATTGCTGTTCTATAAAAGTTTTTAAAGTCTAAAATATTCAACCTAAGAAGCGAAGAAAAGGCAAGAAAAAACATATAAGAAGAGATTGAAATGCTATAAAATTGGGTTGTAGCTCAATGACAAAATAAAATTGAGTACATAGTCAAATATAAATATTATATTAAACATATACCAAAAAGTTTAGGAGTTTTCTCTTCTCAATAATTGTTGATCTAAAAGATTATCAAATAATTATTTTTAAAATTGTTTGATGGAGGAATACAATTGCAAAAAAAGAGATTCTTTAGAAAATACATACATAAACTAAGAAAAATGATTTTATAACTTAGAATTATGATAAGAAAATGATAATAAATAAAAGACTATTGAAAATTTGAAAGGATATATATATGATAAAATTGAATTTATAAGTTTCATGCTTTGAGAATTTTCTTTGCTTCTTATTATGTTGTTTTGATGACTGAACTTTACTAATTATGATGTGATACTTTGTAAAATGTTACTAAATCACTAGTTAAGCTGATGAGTTCAGGTCTAAATGTAATAATAATGTATTGAGATTCTTTTGACAAATTCAAGATAATTTGAGCTACTTGATTTCTGTAATTGTCATCAAGAGCAGCATCGAATTCATCTAAAATGTAAAATGGAGCTGGATCGCATTTTTACAAGGATATTAGAATGACAAAGGCAACTATTGTTTTCTCTCCACTTGAAAATGATGTCCAATTCTAAACTTCCTTATTTTTGAATGAAACTTTAATGTCGATTCCCCAATTTTTCTTATTGTTCTTCCTTAAACCTTTAATCAACTTAATTTGACAATCTCCAGTAGTTACAATTTATAAAAAGTAATGTCTAAAGTATTCAGCAAATCTTTTATACAATTAATCCTATAATAGACTTTCTGCCTTCTTGTCCATAATTTCACAAAGATTATCAAAATCTTATTAAATTTACTTTAGATTTTATAGTTTCTATTAGTAATCTGAGAATCTTGTTTCAATTTCATTTAATTTTTCAAATAAACTTTAATGTTTTTGAGTAAATTTATGGTTAAATTTAGTCTTAAGTTCTTTAATCTTCTTAATGATTTAGTTTTTAGATTATTGCTCATCTAATTCACTGAACGCATCAATCAACCTTTTATCCTTTTCGATGGTTTCTAATTAATTGACACACTATTGAGCTTGCATCTCAAACTCAGTCTGTTGATTTTTTATAGAATCAATTTTTAAATCTATTTTACTCTTTTCTAACTTAGCATTATCTCTTTCTTTTAAGGCTTGAGCCAAATTCTTTTTGTTTTCATTCTAAACTTCGATTATTTCTTAGTGATACTTCTGCTTTCCTTTTAATTACATATTCAATTAGTCTGTTTATTACTTTAGTTCAGATTATTATTACTCCAATTATTGAATCTTATTTACATCAACCTTCTTTTACTATTTCATCTTAATTTCATTCTTCTTATTCATCAAAGTTGTAATTTATTAGGATAATTGTTATTTCTCTTTTACCAACTACTATAAGGTATTAATATCATCATCAGTCAATCCTTTCTTAATCTGTTTTGGATTTTTTAATTTTTATTGAATATCCTTGATCCTATTACTTGTGTCTTAAATAGGAATATCCAATTATTTTGCAAGTTATTCAAGTGCGTCCAGTTCTCTTTGTTTTTTCTCTATAGCAGATGTATCTTAAGATTATAATTATTAGATTAAATTGTTTAAGTTATTCTTACTGTTTTGTATTTCTCTTTAAATTTCTAATAATTTATTTTAATCCTCTTCCATCTATTGTTCCATCTCTTAATCCTACTTAGTCAACATCTTAATTTCTTAATGCATTGCTAATATTTTTTGTAATGAAATAGTCTTGCTTTATTAAACTCTTGTTGCTCCTACCTTAGTTAAGAAACTATCTGCATAGACTACTTCATTATCCTAAGTGATGCAGTTGATCTCGTGCTTTGATGAAATGTCTAAGGCAGTCTGATAATCCTTAACAGCAATCCATTTTCCAATGACCTTAGCAATCAAAGACTTTTTTTTGCCGAAATCCCCATTTAAGGTGACTTGATCTTACAAATTGATAGTATCTTTTGGAGCATCGAATTGAGTTACTCTATCATCTATTAAATCAAGAGGGTATATTCTCAAGACTGATCCTTATTAGTCTTTATTAAAATCAATAATTTATTTAGCAGTTTATGTATCTGGTACAATTAGACTAAATAAACGAGGACCACTGGCAGTTTCTATGAGAGGCAATAACCTTTTCTATTTGACATTCATTAATTAAGCGAACACTCCATAAACAGTCAACCCTTTTTCTTCAGCGAACTCCATAATTTTAATAATAGATGCAGTGAAGATATCTCTCAATTATTTATCAAGTTGATTACACTCAATATCTTATTCATTCTAAAGTTTACATAACTTCTGTTGTTAATGTGTTTTAGTTTTTTACAATTCCATATTATCTAGTTGAGTAGACTCCAGTTTTTTTCTCAATTGCAATAGATTATCCTCTGTTTTTTTGATGTTGCCTTATACTTCTCCAACATTAATTTGATTCTATTTCTATTATTTCAATTAATTCAAATCCTTGTTAATTTGAGATACTTTGAATTCAACATTCTTAAATTCTTTCTGATACCCTTCTAGCTGTTTTGTAAGAGATTGCATTTCATCTTTGAAACATTTAACTGGATCATCAGTTTACAGGATTTAAAAATATTGAATTTATTTATCCACTTTGACTTGTTATTCTTAGATTTTCAGCATTTCCTTGTCAAGATTTTATTCAGTTGTTTTGAACTCCTCTTCAATAGCTGATTTGTTGACACTCTTTAAAGCGTGTAATCTTTCCCTAACTTCATTCAATTGAATGGATAAATCTGAATATTGTTTTAACATATTCTACTCCTCCTTTTCAAATTCTTATATTTTCTATTTATTTTCATTAAAAAACTAATCAAACAATTCTATCTCCTTATTTGCCTTGAATTAAGCATTGCTGTAATCCTATTACTATTACATCAGACTTTGCAATTGATTATGCAATCTGCTTTGCTCTGTGTTTAGATCCAACAATTAATGTTAAAAGCTTTTAGCTGAAATTAGTGAAAGCTAAACTTCATGTAATTAAATTTGTTTCTAAATGTCCTTCAATTAATTAAAGGCCTCCTTCTCATCATGCAACTATTTAATTTAAGCACCCAACTCATTCAAAATTTTAACTATCTCCTCTTTCTCTTATTAAGCTTACTTTATATTATTCATTGTCTCTTGCTTCTTTTCCTCATACAATGCCACACCACTCACTTCTTCTAAAAGCTCAAACACTTCAACATCACGCATTTAAGAAATCTTACTTATCTTACCTTGTCTGACAATATTGTAATAATTTTAGCGGGAGAGATTAATACATTGCAGTAAATTACTAAACTGAGAGACTGTAGCAGCTTTTCCATTCAAAAAGAACTCATCCTTTGTAGTCATTTGTCTCATTATGGTCACTTCCTCAGTGCTGTAAGGCAATCTCTAATTTGCATTGTCTAAAGTGATGGAAACCTAAATTGGCAGCTATTCATCTGAAATAAGATTCTTTAATATATTTTCGTTTATAAATACATACATTTTCAATCATCTTCCTGTCAAAACTCCCAAACTTATCTGTTAATGCAAATAGCAATGCATTCACAAAATTAGACTTTCCACTGCCATTCTTACCCACAAATATATTTAAATTGCCTCCTAACTCTAAATCGATTGCTTTGTATGACAATAGGTTTCGTATTGATATTTTTTTTATGCTCATTGTTTAGTTAAATTAATAATTATATTATAAATTCTCAATTTTCTGAAACCTATTTGTAAGATTAATCACAATTAATACTTAATACTGTTTTAACTCATCTAGAATATTAATATAAAACTCAATCTATTCCCCATAAGGTTCCATCTAGTCTATAAGTAGTCATTCCTTACTTTATGTTCAACTCCTAATATATATTTTACTGAGTTTGTAGTTCGCTTTTAAATTGAACTAATTTTTGAGTTCAAAAAATGATATTTTAACAAATCCTCTTTTATTAATATGTTAATTCTTCATTCAAAAATAAGTAAATTGATTGATCAGTTCTAACTTTTACTCTTCCAAAGAATTTGATAGATCAATTTTTGTATCTTGTAATTCAAACTAAATTTAATCAAGATTTTTTTCTTATATTTTGATTCTTAGCTATTCTATTTCAACTTCTATAATTATGTTAATGTATAATGTTTATGTTTTGTACTCCTCATCAGATTGTATTTAATTCTCTGGTTATATAACTTATGCAGGATTTTCAATATACAATCAACCTTTAACTTACCGAATTCTTATTCAGGAATTTATGTTTACGCCAAGTTTTACATTTTAGAAATTGTATTTATTTTTATTATGTGATATTCAATTTTGTCTCAAACTGTTCCTTTTAATTTACTTCTTAATATATCCTTTTCATTAGAATTTAATTTTAAAATACCATTCTTCTAAACTAATTATCTCAAAGTTTGTCCATTTTAAATATAATTTAATAACAGAATAGATTCTATTTCTTTTAGATATCTATTCTTTACTGCTCATTAATTTCTAACTCATTTTCTAATACTTGTAACTTTTACATATAGTTTATTCACATCGTAGTTAAGCACTTGATTCTAACAATGAAATAAGTCATATTACTATTATTTATATTTTTTCTAATATCTGCCATAATTTTCAAGATATGGACTTTAACTCTTAATTAAATTAATGTGGATCCATATTTGATCTATTCTCTTTGAATTTTTGAAGCCAAGGATTTTCTAATTATTTGAAATATTATAGTAATTCTATTGTTATTATTGTTTAATAATTCGAATTTATTTATTTGCCACCCTAATAATTTATTCAGCTCAAGTCAAACTATTTTATTAGTTTTTTTCTATTTCATTCTACTTAGATATTCCTTATGAATAATTAGAAATATATGCTTTGCTTAATTTATATAATATCATTATTCTTACAAATTTAATAATTGTGCGAATAGAGGACAATGAATAATTTTAAATAATTAAATGAATATAACATATTTATATATATAATCTGATTTACTCCTAGTTTTGAGAAGATAATAAAATCTAATTCTGTCACACAATTCAATATATATCTAATTTAAATTAAATAAGTGTTATAAGCTATAATGAAATATTTTATTATCAATTTTATGACTTTTATATATTAAAATAATTACTATTCTTAGATCAATAGTAATCGCTTCAATTGATGAATCTTATGAGATGGTTTAACTGCTTTGCTATGAATTGATTCTGAATAACCAAGGACATTAAAATAATAAAGAAATATAGTTAGTATAATATCTAGGTGAGACGAAAAAAACATTTGAAATCTGTTTTATTGATTATGAATTTTCAATCCTCTATGATTTTTTTGCACTTTCTAATTTTTTAATGGACCTTTCTTTTCTTTCTGTATACTTCTTTCTCATTCATTGGAGCTGGTATAGGCTTAAGGATAATCCTTCTCTTTTTTACAATTTTCTTAACTTTCATCCTCTCATTTGCTTCATTTTCAAGGTTTCCACTACTTTATATTTTTTGTTAATGTTCAACCATATCATCTTGATCTTATTATAATAGTCGGGTTTTATACTAATTTTATGCCAATGACTTTGAATTGACAAGCTGCTTCTTCTAATATCGTTATTTTATCGTCTAGTCAAAAGATTATCCTTAACAATTTATCATTATCATCATGATCAGAAAAACGATAAAAAGCTTCATGAAATAAATTAATTAAATCTGAAATCTGGATCCTACTTCTTATCATTCATTTGGAGTTAGAATATCATATTAATATTTGAAAATTAAGAGCACTTAGGTAATATATTGAGAGTGCTTGACGTTAATAATTGAATACTAGCATTTAATCTATCACTAAATAGAGTTAAAGTTGTTCAAAACAAGTAAAAATACGATAAATTTAGATTGAAATGGATTTTTTATTAAGCCATCAATATTAGTTTATGAATCGATGAGGGATCATTCCAATGAAGAAGGGATGCAATTATGACAATCTATGTGATTAATGTCATAAGCTTTGTGTGCTTTTTGAAAATTTTGTTTTAAATTTTGATTCTATAATGGAATTACTAATAAAAGAAGTCATAACTTTGTTATTAAGTTTTAAGTTTATTTGCCTATGATGTAATTGTAATATAGGGAGAGATGAAATATTTGCATAAATTTTAATTATTTAATGGGAATCCCTTGTGCTAAACAGCACCCTTAATAGCCTGCCTAAGCAGTGTAAAATTAACACGATTTCCAAAATCTGTTGGATAAGAAACAAAGAAACTCTTTAGAAGTGGAGGAAGAAAACAAGGAACAAAAATATACTAAAATTGATGTTGCTCAAAATTCAATCGATTTGAATAAGAAACGTTATTCAAGTAGAGATATGTCCATCATATCAAAATACATTGAAAATGAACTAAGTATTAGGACCTTATTAGGTAGAAAACCAATCTGTTAAACTTGAGAGACTTACTATCGACATGAGAGATCCATCAATGAGTGTTAAGGGTGGAACAGTAGTATAACGCAAAGAAATCTCGCAAGATCTGTATGAAGAGGATGATAGTCACGTGTGTTACACAATCTACACCAATCCGAAATATAAACGCTTGAAAAGTATAAATGAACACACTATGATTCTGTTGCATCTGAACGAAAACAAGGAATATTTGGATTTGTTATACCGAGTTACTAATGATTATCATTTCACTATTGAACATTTAGATGAATTCAAGGATATATTAACTAGATCATAGGATAGTTTCCTCTAAAATTTATTAATCTCTGAAAAATATATAAATGAATATGGAATCTTTCATATAATTAGAGAAGCAATAAAATTTAGCAAACTAGAATTAATTCTTTAGAATGATTATACTCTAAATTCAACATAATTGCATTACAATAAATGTAACAACTAGATCAATTTTATTAGTGTTTGTTGATATAAGTTTATTCCCAATAATTTTGGCCACTCAACACATTTAGATTTTTTCTATTGAGTTCACACAATCAATTGTTTAATACAAGAAATTGACGAATTCAAATCAAGATTTACTGAGATTTCTAAACGAAATAAAATAAACTATAGGAAATGATGTAATTAATAATTTAATCTAGATCTAATTTTTATCAATTTCTCAGTAAAACTAAAATTTGGTGTTATCCTTCATTATCAAAAAGATGCAATCGCATAAAAGTGTCATGATTTCACACATCAATACGGTTCTGAATGGAAGACTTGGATTTGTCGGTTGTAATTCGTAGCCATTGATAAAGTATGTTGGATGTGAATTAAGTGATATTGACCCTTGGAATAATAGAGAATTCAAAGAGGAGACAAGAGCAGACAGTTAGTACTCATTGCAATATGGATGGAAGTATGAATACTCATTAATATTAGACTATTTGGTTTGAATTTCAAGTAGTACAATATTTCTAATATAGGATTTATCTACTATAATCCAAATCATATGTACAAACAGAATATAAGAATCTATTCATTGAGTGACATCAACAAATATTCTAGCCAATTCGAGTTGATCGATATCAAGGTCTATTGTGAAAAGAAGCAATACAAAATATTGTTTCAAGTAACATATTAAGATGACGATTTAATTATCATAGATAACATGGTAAATAGTAAACTTATATTCTTAAGGCATATCTCAATACTTTGATGAATTCAAGATTGACAGGGATTTTAGTATACGATGCTGAAAAGCATATGAAATATTGACTTTGAACTCTTGATGATATTTATAATAATTATTAATGAATTATATATAGGTTCAATTATTCTCTTGTTTCTTCACCTTATGTAAATTGCTCTTCTTTAGATTGATTTCCAATTGAACAAAAGGAGAATCGCTTCTTTCCTCATGTTTCTCCAATTTTACTTTTTTTTATTTTTGATTGCCTTTGCTCAAATTATTGTGATCCTCTTGCCCTAGATCTTGTTGAGCCTATATTTCAGCATCAGTCTTATTTAAACAATGTTCACATTTACAAAGTTCATTGCATCTGATATTTTGACTGTAGCATTCACAATACTTTTTTTTGCATCCAGACTTTTTGCAATTACATCCTTTCCGAATGACACTGGAGTTGTCCTTCGATGGTTCTTTAAGTGGTTTATCTGAGATGAGAGATTAACATACCTTATTGAACAAATTGGGCACCTCCCTTGGTTGAAAAACATTGCACAAAAGCATCAGTGTTTCTTAACAAGGCTTCTTCGATTGCTTTTGATCTCTCTTGAGGATTATCTATTCTATTTTTACAATCTTGGCAATTACAACTCTGTGAACACACCTTGTTGTAAAAATTTAGGAAGTTATATCATACCCCATTATTGGCAAAACACTCACAATAAAGTTTGAGGCATTTACTTTTTTTGCAATTACACTGAAAATCAGAAACCTTTTGATACGAGACTAATTGAAAGACTTTAGATTGAAGTTCCTTTGAAACAGTATTCTGACATTGAAGACCATCATACATAGGAGGATAGTAACAATAAGGAGGCATCATTTATTAAGGAGGTCTGGGTGGATACCACGGTGAGACCATAAACTGTTGACCAGGGGGGTATTTCATCATCATAGGTTATGGAGGGTATTTCATTGGATAGTAGCCGAAAGCATACGGGTTTCGATGTGGGTCGTCGTCCATATGATCAATTTGCGGAACTTCTCCCAATGAATGTTTTCGAAATGCATAGCTGCTTTAGCCCTTTTTGTCGCTATTGAGATATTTCTAGGGATCATAGTCATTGAAACCTCATTAAATTCCCGAAATACCTTTGTTTTCAAGATCCAAGGGAGGAGGAATATGAGGAAACAATTACGAATATTGCATAGGAGTAAATCTTGGCGACGGATTCATAGGCCAATCCTCTGGATACTCGTGAACTTTCTTGTTGTTCTCCTATTTCCTCGGGGGCTCATTTGAATTATCCCTTTAAATTATGATATTTAAATTCCTTTACCTATTATGTTCCTCCGAAAATGCACTCATAATTTAATTTATTTAATCGCTCAAGATATTAAAATTAATGATTAATTAAAAAGTGCTTGTTCAACTCAAAGACAATTATCAACCTGGCATCCTTGTAGCCAAAGACAAGGTCCAATTGGATGATGGTTAAATTGTTTTGACCAATTCAATCATTGACAATACCATACCTAACACCAACATACATCAGATTATACACTAATTGCTAAACAACAAATCAGTCAATATCAACGACTGCTTATTCCTAATGGTAAACAATTCAGCCATTTAATTTTAATTTAATTGCAATGAAAGTTACTGCTTTCAAATTTCAAATTCAAATATTCTCTCATTTAATCATCTAATAGAATAAATCGATCATAAATAATCTAAATTATTATAGAGTTTAATTATTTTGAATGAACTTTTCAAATTTAATTCAAATGATAACAACTTAATTACCATTTTTAATAACAACTGTTTTCAGTATAAATATTTTAATATTTCAAATCGAATTTTTGCTAAAAATTTTAAATTTCCTATTTTGAATTTATTTTATAATTAACTTACAAATGAAAATAATAACTATATAACCAATTCAAATACCTAAACTTAATATTAATATCCCTTTTAGTAAATTGAAGAATACAACAATTACATTTTATAGGATCTTTTAAAATCAATTAATCAGATTTCAACCTTCTAACTTCTATCCAAATTATTCTCCTCTATATTACTGCTTCAAATGATTAAATTCGATCAACTCCAACAGCAATCAGAATTAATCAATAAAATTGAATCCAACCTTGATTTAGGTGCTTAATCATTATGCACAGAATTGACTATCAAAAAGAGAAAAATGGGGAACAAATTTATTGAATAATAAATGAATCAATAAGAAATGGAAATAATCAAAGATTAAATTTCTACCTTCTTATATTATCTAGCCAGGCAGATCACCTTTAATACGAACTAAGTGAATAATAATGATACTTAAACCTTTATTAGTTTATTGTTTTATTCTTCATTCAATACAATTCAAACTAACTTAGAAGCATTAATTGAAAATTATTCCATTGAAAAACTCAATTACTAATTTTATAATCGAATTAAAATCGAAAGGGAACGAGATTTGAAGGAAGTCTAAATTCAATTTGCTCAAATTACTCTAACGACAAATCTGTAAATCATAGAGCTTTTTGATAAAAAGACTGTTGGTTTAATTGGAATGATTGAGGAGCATACTCTGACTAATACAGAGGAAGGGAAACTTATCGAAAAGATTAAATCTCTTTAGAGAACATATGTTAAATAGATGAAAATTTAACCATAGAATCCACAACTGTTTACAATCAACCATTCATATGGCTAGATTAATTATAGTGTTGCTGAGTTTAAAGTATAAAATAAATTTGAATCTTTATCAAAAGTTGCAGAATTCATTTAAAGTTCAAAAGATTAAGTAATTTCTTCAAATGCTCAAACATTAAATGTGTAATATAAAACCAACATTGAATAATATCAGAATTACATGACCAAAATTAATGAGGAATAAGAAAAGTGTAATCAGATTATGGTTCATCAAATGAAAAATTAAAATTATTAAGATATTCTCAAATAACTAGAATAGTACAATATTCAAAACTATCTAAATTATTATTATTAAATCTACCCTTATAGATATGAAGTATAAGATTTTGTAGATACAATAAATTAAATCTATTTTGTTCCTCCTTAATTTACTTTATAAGAAAAGTTATCCTATTGCTAAAAGAAGATTTATTAAATTGATCATCTTGTTAGTGCTAATAATCTGCTCTTTCTTACATTGGAGTAATAATTAAAAATTGAGACTATCAACGACAATTGTGTTACCAAATTTATCAATTTCAAGAAATTATTGAAGAAAAACTATCGTTCATACATTTTAAGAAAAAAATTAAAACCCAAGATTAGAAAAATAAAGATTATGAATGCTATCGTTTAATTATAATAAGCTATAACAAAAACTGGGGCGATTTTATAATGGAATCATGTGATTTAAGATATATAATTCATCTAATACTCAGTGAGGAAATATTTATAAAAGCAGGCATTTAAGAAATAGATGTTTGCAAGGTCGATTTTGAGATCTGTAATTGATTCAGTATGGGTTAAAGTTGAAAATTTGATGGCAATTAAATTATAAAAGATTTTTAGAGGCAATAAAATTAGATCTTAAAATAATGAAATAATAAGTCAAGTCAAACAAAAAATGATTGAATTCATAAAATTAAAAAAAACAATTTTTATCTAAAAAAACATTAGGAAATATTTGTGTCAAAAATATTATAACTAATAATTAAATAAGATCATATCGGTTTAAAGTTAATGGAGAATGTTAAAAACTAGAAAAAACTACTTGAAGGTCAAGAATTAAATTATATTTATTTAAAGACAATTTAAACCAATTATTCTTAAGTCCTTAGTGAAACATAAAGAATTTTTAAACTTTGAGAAAAAGGAGACAATCTAACTCAATGAATTCTTAAAAAATAATAATAAAAATTTATTAGATTACGAAAAATTACTAAATTAATAGTTTGATGATTAAAAGATTAGGATATTTTAAATAATTCTTAATCTAGAATTTTTGGTTGATTTGACAGACGTTTGCTTTGGTTGGCTATAAAATTACAGTTTATATTGGTCATAATGTTTTCATAAAAATAAACCAATATAATTCTTGGAGGTTTCTGAGACCTAGACCTTTGCGGTTGATGCAGTAGGCAAAGTGTATCAATGGGGATTGATTGATGATGTATTAATTTAGAGCAATGTAAAGTATTTTTAATCAGGTGAGAATTTAGCAATTTATTAAAATGATAAATGGAATTGTTTAAGCCTTGATGAGAAATAAGCTAAGCAAAATATGGCTTCTAATTATTCATCTATGTATATTAAGAGTAATCACATGTTTGGATATAAAGATAATAGTATTGATAGTTTTATATATTCAACAAATTAAGCATTAAGAAATAGTACTTTAGAATTTAAAAAGCCAATTGATTAAATATCCTGTGGACATAATTTTATCCTCTATCTTACAAAGGGGTAATTGTGGTCAGTCGGTTCTAATAAGTATGGGTAATTGGGTTTGGGAGATTACAATGTAAATATGAAAATTAACTCAGGATAGGAATACACCAAGTTAAGCATAAATTGAAAACGTGATTTGGATAGAATGTGGTTAGACACATGCAGTACTAAAAACTTTTAAAAAGTGCTTTGGAGTCGGAAATAATAAATACGGATAGTTAGGGTTACATAAAAAATGTTATAATTCTCCTTAATGCCTAATCAGTCCTATGAATGAAAATGTCTTATCTATATCAGCATCTTATAGAGGCACATTATTTATATCAGAGTCTAATAAAATCTTTATGACAGGACAATGTAATAATTTTAAGTCCAATAAGTTTATACAATATATTGATGTAACAGTCCTCATTTATATCTAGTATAATTTTTTAAATAAATAACATTACATTCCGATTAAAATTTAATGCAGTTGGAGTAAAACAGTATCAATCATAAACTGTAGATTCATATTTGAAAATCTGTATAAAATATTGTATTTAATTTAGATATAATGTAAACACTGTAAAAAAGAATAAGAGCATACATCAATTTATATAATTATATTAAAATCATTCACCAAACTTAGTAGATCCCCCTAAGTGTGAATTTGTTTAATAATACTGTTTATAGATTTATAGCAAGATATAATAACATGTAGATTAAAAAGTATCTGGGAAGAACGGCTAAGAATAGAAATCTGTCAAATTTGAACGGAAAAACATAGACTAAATAAAGTAACAAATATTGGCTTTGCAGAACAAACCTAAAAACAAATGGAATATTGAGGATCACAGATTCTTGGAAACTGTTAATATGTTGAACATATTGAATTAAATCATTTGAATATCACCAGTCATCTCTCTGTATAAGATTTCCTTCATTTTAATCTTAAATTTCTAGAATTCTCACAACAGGTACGACGAAAGATTCGATTACAGTTAATATTTCTAAAGATTATAATATAACTTACGTTCTTCTGTTAAAGTATTATAGTTATCAGGAATGTTAGTTTATCTCCATTTTTAATATTATAGGATGGAATCATCATATTCTGAGCAGGCTTAAATCAAGTATTTTAATTAAGTTTCAGTCAATGTAATTTTTTATAAAGGCAACCTCCCCTTATTGAAAACAGGTTTTTCTGAGTTTTGTTCTATTGTTTGAATTGGTAATGCTGTATCATCAAGTTAATCATTAGAGATAATTTTAAAAGAATGTTAAACAAAACTATCATCTTTTTATCTATTCTAAACTTTTGACTACAGCTTCTTAAGCTTGTATTTTAGTTCTTCAACTCTATTAAGAGTGACCAATATAAAATGACTTGATTTAAATTTGGATAAATGTTTGCCTTCTTCTATTTGTTACATAAATCTAATGTACTTTAAGTAAATATATTAAGACTATTAGTTTAATTATAATATATACTATAATCTATTTGGAAGAGTTTCTTTAGTCAAAATAACTGTGTTATTTCTTTGGTTTCAATTACTCTTAATATTTTTCAATTAGATCTCTAAAATAACTTAATTTTATACTCTTCATTTAATTCTCTATCTTTAAGAGGCTTATGCAAATGAAATATGCGATAAATCAAAAACTAACGAAATATTAATCTGACGTTATAAGACCAATGAATGAAAAATTTGATTGCTAGGTTTTCAAATATCATGTCAGTTAATTCTTTCTTGAGATCCACTAAAGATATTTTTGATTAAAATATACCTGGAAATAATATGTAGTTGGTGTAGATCAATTCTAAGCATTTTGCTATGCTTTATGCGTGCTCACACTAAGTAAGGATAACTTTAATTCCATTTAAAAAGTATTTTTGATCCAAGAATGATGGCATACATAAGTTGAATTGGCTTATCTTTTAAAAACATTTATTTAATAGATCTAAACAATGAATTACATCATCAGAGTTGTATAAACTAACTTTGTTGAATAAGATTATTATTATTGTATTTAACAAATTGGTGTTTTTAAGCAAAGAACATAAAGCTATTTTAAGTGCTTCTGGGTAATTGCATATTTCTCTTGACTTTAATTCTGAGAAAAATGCCTTTATCAGTTGAAAATATCCAGGTAATTAGTGATATGGAACATTTTTACTATTAACTATATAAGTATTTAACAAATCACACCATTCTTTTATAAATAAAAAGAAAACGCTTCCTCTTTTTCCTAATTGTTTTTACCACAATGGTTAATTGATAATTTCATTCATTTTATGATTATTGCCATAATATTTAGGTTCTTTCATTAGATACTCATAAAAATGCTTATTCCAATCAAAAATATCATTAAATTCTTAATTAGAAATCCCTCCACTTGACTTAGTTAAAGATCTCCATTCTGGAATTTATTCATCATTTGGTCTTGAAACACTAACAATTATTGTATTTCTTAATTCTGGTATTCTAAAATATGCATTTGCTAAGAAGTTTTCAACAAAGAATCTTTCATTTTGTGCCAATGACCTTTATTTCAACTTTTCTAATGTTATTGATAAACCTTTTTATAAAAAGATCTAATAATTTAAACCAATTTCCATTTTGAACTTTATTAACTTGTCATTTGTTTTTTGTGTTTAATCCGAAAATCCTAGCTAAGCCAAACTGAGTTCTCCTCTATTCAATATTAATTTAAGTATTGTATAGTATTATTCCCTTAATAGCTCTTATTATTAATCTGCAGTTTCCAATAATTTAATTGCTAAATCAATTAATAGTTTTTAAGAATTAAAGAGATCCTATTGAGTTTTGTATTCAAAACAGATCATAGATTGTTTGTGACTTAACTTTAAGTTTTCAATGATCTGAATGATAAAATCATTCTATTATTGTATCAATTCTGAGTCAGGCTCAGCCTATTAAAACAATTAATAATTTATTTACTTTACTAAAAATAATGTATTAAGTATCTAATAAACCTTATCCAGCAGAACTTAATTGTTGAATCTCCCTTATACTTGCTTTGGCTTAATTGATCACTCTAGTTCCTTAGGATACTCCTTTATCAGTACGAACTCCAACGATTTGCTATTTTAGATGAAATGGCAGAATGATTTCTAGATGATAATTAAGCACTCCTTCTAAGACCCCATGGTTCCATACTCTTCTATTGTTTTGTTTCCAGTCTATCTTATAACATTTAATGCCCTTATCCACAATCTAAAATATATGTTAATAATTACGCATTCAGCTTTTTAATTTAATGCGTAATTTAAATTAACGTATGCCTCACATTCTATTTCTTTTTTGCCATCCTTTGTAATATGACACAAAGCAATTTGAATAGAGGAAGATGTTATTTCAATTAAAGGTACTTCCACTTCCATTTCAACTTTTGAATCTTTCCATAATATTTATTTATTGGATTATATTTATTGTGATTTATAGAATAATTGATTTTGAAAGACAGGTGAGTATTCAGAATGAAATTGTAATTGTGATGTCAGCATCCTCAATTAGAAACAATACTCGTGTTTATTTAAGAGTTCCTCCATGTTGAAATCAATGAGTTTTGGAATAAATCTAACAATAAGAATTTGTGCCATTCTAAAATCAAAACTCACTTTTCCGAGTTTTTTATTTCCTTATTAAGAGAATTCGTAATCAAAATGAAATGGACCTGTAGCGATCTAATACAAGTTCAGATTAAACGATGAAATCTACTCATCCTTGTCACTCTTAAGTTCCACAATAACAAATTGTTATTTTAGTTATTCCTCAGTAGTTTTCAATTAAACCTTGTGAATATGTTTAAACTAAAGTTTATCAATAAATTACATAAAATTATCCTGAAATTTCAGTCTCAATTTCAGTCTCAAAGGTTGAATAATTCGAAATAATCACTTTCACTTTGCAACTTTACTTAAAATGATTAATGAAAATTATACTATATCATCCATTTTTACTTTTATATTTTCGACAATTATATCAAATCCAAGTTCACCTCTCGTTAACAAAGGAATGTTATCAAAGTCTGTATGTAAATTTTCTTTCTGTCGATTAGAACAGATACCCATTGAAGATAAAATATAATATTAAAAAAATAAATATCAATAATTGAGTCAATCAATAAATATAAACTAAATAAATTGTTATTGATATTTTAAAATATCTTAAGTGCTACTCGAAATTTAGATAAATCAAGCAGCACCTAATAATAATTTTATTGATTTCATTTCAATTTCATCAATAATAAATGCCACCAGCAAACATGGACACTATGTATAATACTAGTATTAGTCCAAAGAAGTTGATTATCGTGTAGATAATGTGGTATCTCATCCAAGCAACCAGGGCAATAAGTAAACAAATTGGTAAGGATATCACCATGCTCACTCCCAGGAAAATAAAAAACAATAATGCGGCTGTGAACTGACCAATCCAGGGCAATAGTGAAAATAACCAAATCACTGGGTAAAACATGAATAGTAGTCCCGTTACCTTGTTTATTAAAATAATTGAATACCATCAATACATAGCCTAAGAATCTTGTTTTATATGTTAAAGCAGCATTTTTACTAAGTTCCATTAGGAAAACCTTCTTCATAGACCATTATTTTTCTCTTATCCAATCAATTTATTTTAAAGGTTCTTCAGCTGCCTTTGCTAATTCAGCCACCTTTTAACAACAATCTCCACAGCATCCCTCATCTTCATCCATTTCGTCTGGATGGACACTCTTTTCAGATAGCCATTTATCTTATATTACAAATGGAATAAAAGTATTATTCATTTATTTTGAAACAACTGTTGCGTTACCACATAAGACATATTCAAAGCAAACTCTTAAGTCTCCGACAGTTTTTTGATAAGGATGTTGTTATAAATAAAGATCACGCTCATTAATTGTTCTAGGTTATTAAAATTAAAGAAATACATATGAGGAAATTCTTTTCCACATAATTTTGCTGCAGCTTATAATTAAGCATCATCAGGAACCAAAAATTAAAAGTTCTAACACCCTTACTTTAATGATTAAGATAAGGTGAATGCTCCTAAACGTACATCTGGATTTAGTTAATCCTAAGATTTGACTATCCACAACTACGGTTTATTTTAATATTCAGAGGGATATCCAGCGCTGCACACCATATCAGGCTTCCATTTTAATTCATATGTATATGTTGTAGCACTTTTTTTATGCTTATGCTCAATTCTGACAAATTGAAGCTATTCAACATGCCGTTTTAATTTAATGCAAGAGGATAAAGTTATTCCAAATTCAGTATCTTCAATGATTACATCTGTAGTTGTTTGTCCTATTCAAAATTCTCAATTCTTTTACCTTGCATATGAACTAGTTCTCCATTCAATTAATGATTGATTTCATTACAATCTCCAAGTTTACATATATCTCTCATATTGACTAATCGATATTCGGTTATTGCTTCCCTTCTTTCATTGTACCATAATAAAGCTGCTGAGAAAATTATCAGAAAAAACCCAAAAACAAAGAGAAAGAAAATTGATACTGTATTGTCATCATCATCATCTTCATATCCATCATCTGTTAAGAATTATTAATTCTTATTTTAGATTTCCTTACAAGCTATTGCCACCAATAAAAGGTGTAAATATTGCATTAAAAATATGATATTAATGATTGAACAAACACACGATTTTTTTTCAAAATCATATAATAGTATAATCTCATTTTTATAAGTGATAATTCTAATTAATTTATTTTAGTTAGTAATGCAATTTTTACTAAAGTTTCATAGTTTGAATCTTGAATGAAAGATAAAACTTTCTCTTTGGATTTTTTTATCAAAATTTCGATTATTTATTTGAAATATTTTTACTGCTTTTGGATAATCAAATTATTGTCTATTATGAGTTTAACAAATTCATTTTTGTTAAGCAATTCACCCTAATCTTAGGAATACTAGATTACTGGAATGTAATAAAGTAAGTTATCAGATATTTTTGCTAAATTCAAATGAATAACTTATGTAAAGATATGATTCACTGCAATTTACTAAAAATATGATTTATTATAATAGATAAAATAAATATGAAGGATTCATTTATGGTAGGAAGTATATTAATAACATAAAATGTAATAAGCTCTTATGATTCATTTTAAGTCTGCTTTATTTTAACCATATAAACTTGTAGTATCTAGAAATAATCAGAAGCCATTCTATAATAATTAATAAGTAGATATATTATATTGCTAATTAATAGAAGAGAATAAAATAAAAGCTCAATAGTATTATTCAATATATCATGAAATATTAATCATAAATTATCTTATTTTGTGTTTTATTCAAATAGATTAATAAAACAATAGATAAAATGTTGATATGCTAATTTGTGATAACTTCGTCTAATTAGAAAGAATAATTAATTTTTTTAATTTGATGATGAGCATTAATTTTCAGAATTTGGAATAATTAAAGTATAATATGAATGTGATAGATATATAATTAGTTATAATCAAGCTGGAATGACTATGGGGTTGATTTTAATTAAATCTTAATCATATCTAATTTGATCAAATTATTATTTCTCGACAATAGTTCTACAATTGAATAGACTCTAGGTTCTTTCGCATTTTCTACTGGTAGAACTCTTTTTTTCCAAATTTTTGAGTTGTTCCTTAGTAGTTTTCCCAGTGATCATGAGAAAGATATGAAATACAAGCAGCCCAAATACTAGGAGCGTGCAAATTCCAAAAGGTATCATGAGAACAATGATCAATATTTGCTGAACTTTTTCATCAGTTGTAGCAATAAGTATAACGAAGGATAAGAATTCAATTCCAAAGGAAATGGCAGCCATAGTAAGTGTCGATATGAAGGAAATGAAGTATGCATAATTACGTTTTCCGATGCAATTGTTAACGAACGGACAATGATGATCAAATACATCTACACAATTATCACATTCTGCACAATGATTTGAACGAGGAGGCCTCTTAATCATACAGGTGACACAAATTCTAACTTGATAATCGGCATTATCAGCTTCAGTTGGTATGAGTCGCAATAGATTCTCATCCTTCATTTTCTCAATGATTTCCTTCCTAGGTATGATACCCTAAATATAGAAAGTGGTTGTTACTGGATCGGTAAACTAAGTTAAGCAGAGGAAAAACACGCAGCTGAGGTACATGACATATGAGATGATTGGTAGAGAGGGATGCAGGACAATCCAAATCTGAGGGGAGATGTAGAAATTAAATGGAGCACCGATGAGGAGTATCAATAACCATGTAATCAAATTGGTGGTATTGTCTGAACTTGGTCCAGTCATCAAACGACCACGACAAAAGAATCTATTGTTCGATGGCCATAGTTGATATAAGTGAACTAGTTATTAATTATTTTAATTCATGAGGGAATTTGAGTATTTTAAAATTGCAATTTAAGATCATTAATTCATCTTCTATTTAGGGGAGAAGGGTCTGTTATATTCCTGAAATTTCCTATCTGAATTTTTGACAGACAGCGGTTCTCTGACCTCGTGTGGGCCTGATTTGATAGAAGGCTGTTTAATGAGAGGTTTCTCTTCAACAGTTGCGTTTAGAACCGAGGCTTTGATCTGAATGGAATGGGGAGGCATGATCTGATTGAAATGAGGAAAGAATCTATTGAATTTGTAAAAACTCAGCATTTTGGATTACAAGGATTGGCACTAATTTTGTAGTTTTATTTTACTTCCTTATACAACTCTAATAGTTGTTGTCTGTTGCCTATCAGAGTGGGATTCTTTTCGATTAGATACTTAACATCTTTAAGTATAAAAATATAAATATCCTGAATGTCAAAATATAAGAACTTAACTAAATGAGCCATCACAGGATTGGGTTCATGATCTTGATTGATTTTCTCAATCACTGATTGCATATTCATCCCGATGTAGCATTAATTCGACAATGTAAAGTAGATCATTAGATCATCTTAAGGTTTATTGAATTCTTCGTTGATTAAAGTTGTTTAAGCAGCCAATTTGTAAATATAACAATAATAGGATTGGCATAATTAGCCATATACATTATCGACGTCAACCTTACTCTTGATGTTTATGCTAAGTCGTGTGTTGATAATCATCTTTGAGAATTCAGCTCTAGCCACTTAAGAACTAATGATAATATGAACTAACAAAAGCATTTTTAACTTAATCCAGAAATTGTTCTCTTATTGCAATTAGTCTCCCACTACTACCAATAATTATTTTAAGAACTAAGTCTATTGCATAGTGTTTATTCATTTACTTTTGATTGCTAATTGGCAAAAAAATGTTTTAATCTCTTGCTTATCTCTGCTTATTATGTAAATTGAGTGTCATTGCTGTTCAATTTCAAGTCTCGCAAAGCTGTCAGAACTGGGTTATTTGTCTATCCAGCAGTGTTATCTTGAATCAATTGTTTTAATTTTGTAATCATATGATTATTTATATTTTCTGTTAAAGTACATTTATATAATCAATTGACAAACTGCAGGTATTTGCTCATTAATTTATGATTTAAAGCATTTGCTATATATTCGATATTATATGAAGGATAATAATACTCATAATTGCACACTTGATCCAAATCGTCCTCATAAACATCCTATTATGGAATTATTGAACCTACTTAAGATATTCCTGACCCTCCCAATCCCGATTTCTTGTTTAAAGAACAACTTGAATTCGATTTTTTAACCTTCTGAGTTCGCTTGACCTACAATTCATTTGAATTCGATGACTTAACCAAATTCGCCTTAATCGAATTATTTGTAGCACTATAATCCACATGTTTATGTATATATCTCCGACTATTCTGAGATGCTTCCCTCTCCTCCACTTTCAAAACTGGAATGCTGCTCTAAAAGTAAGTCTGACTGCTATAACTATCTCCCTAATTATAGCTTTTATGAACATCAAAAGTTCCAATTTTCTATTACATTGACTACCGAGATGACTTATCCTCCTAATAGTCATTCAATATAGAATCTTCAAAATTATTTAGAGTTCCTTGGAATCTTCCCATTACTTCATTTGTTAAATCAACTTCCAAAGCTATCTAATTGATTATGGCAAAACTAATCGCGGTGATACAAATAAGATTTTTGTTCATCAGAGCATTAATCCTATTTCTACCATTGTCTCTACAAAAACCCATTCTATTATTGGGTTCAGAAGTGTTGTTTAACAGTATGAGTTCTTTAAAATTTGGTACATAAAATACGTGATTGCATCGATGGAAAGTGTGATTTCTATAGCCACAACAATGACAAGCAATCTTGTAGTTATCTTTCAACATGCAATACTTTTGAAAATCAGAATTAAACAATTTAATCAACTGTAAAAATTCATTTAAATCTATGTATGCTATCAAGGATTCACTCAAACATTTTAATTGAATTGGACATTACATCTGGCAATAAAAATATTGAATTGGTATTTAATTATTGGCTAATACTTTATTACCTATACATTAAGCCACATTCCCTTTCATTAGAAATATTAATCTATCCATCATTTGATTTTACATTTACAAAATTGTTCCATTTGAATAAACATCACTTTTGAGTTTCTAACATAGATTTTATAAAAATTATTTAGAAAAAGGTAATTTATTCAATAATGGCATGAAGAGTTCTTCTCGTAGTTCTTGTTTCAATTCTTGTTAGAATTCATGAATGTTGATTAATTCAATTTTATCTCGATGAAGATATCTTTATACATTCTCATTCAGTTCAGCACTCACTTTGTATTTATGAGACTGTTTTCCAAAATTAATCACATTTGTTATCAAATAGATTGTAATAAGGTAACCAAAAATGGTAGTTAAAATAGATAAAATCTATAATTGTATTGACTAATCAGAACCTTCAATTTCAATGGTATTGCCACTATTTGTGATCTAATATATTGTCCATTGTAAGGAAATTATATATTTAGATAGATAGTTATCATCTAAGAATCTAATTATCTATTAAAATTTACTAATCTTCAAAGAACTTTGTATGAATCGTTGTAATTACATGTATTATCAAAATTGGAATCGTGTAATTCAAAATATTAGTTTTAATAACATATAACCTTTATATTCTAAGTAATAGAAATATGACTAGTATAAATAATAAAGTTACTGAAATATTATGAGTAAAAGAGTGTAAGAAGACAAATTATGATATGAAAAATGTCATAGATTAAATATTACTTTGCTATTTGCCATCTATTTTCTGTGTAAAGTTCTTGGATGTAAACTCCTATAAAGTAATTGCTCAGCGTTTCTATAATTGTGAATCCAACTTGATTAAATTATAAATATACAAAAAATAATAAAGATACTATTGGTCGCAGCAAAAGCGAATTCTAAGTAGACAAGTGCAAATCCCAAGATGTATAATATTAGAATAATATAGCGACTCCAAACGATGAATGGAGAAAATGGGTTAAAAAGAAATATCTTATGATTTATGACAAAAGCCTTATCATCAATTAGCATTAAATGAGATTGTTTAAGGATTTTTGGTTAAACGGACATCAACTTACTTAAAAACTTAATGATGTAGAACCATCTTTTAGGCCATTTAGCCACAGTAAATTATTCATATAAGGGACACTCTTGGATTCTAATAGTTGGTGATGATGGTTTTCTGATTTATTCAGTTTGCTTTTGAATTCCAATTTCACTTTGATCACTAATTTTTCTGGTATTTATCATGAGCTTCCTGCCGCTGACATTTTACATTTCGATTTGAAATAGTTTTAATGATTTATAATTTTATTCGACTTCATCAATCCTATTGATTTCACGTTTCTCGATGGAGATTTTCGATCCTAAAATATCGCCTTCTTCAAGACTTTCCCTATGTTCGCTTTTTTACAATGAATTGGGATCTTCGAAATCTATTTATTTATGGGCTCCAATAAGATAAGCTGGAGATTCCTATTGAATGAGACGAGGAACTGTCAAAAAGGTCTATGATTATTATGAAGAATTTTGAGAGTTTGATTAATCTAATTACTGTGAAAACATTAATTAATAAATTAAATATAACTAATAATTACTATTCACATTTATCCAAAGTTATGAGTAATATTAAATTGGTCGTTTTCTTGGAATCCTAATTCCTCAATGTAAAACTACTGGCTCTAGTACTGTTCCTGCAGATAGTTGTTGTCATTGATGAGGTCTTGCAACTTCTTTGTCAAAATATTAATTTGGTCTTGAAATTGATCCATATTGACTTAGAATTGTATGGCCTGCTCAATTTTCTAGCTTTGCAATTGCTAGTATAATATTGAATCGAGTACATCTAATTATTATTCCATAAGATTGCTTTTTCGAATAGCCTCTTAAAGTGTGTATTGCATGCTGTCTCTTTATTTGGTCAGTTCTTGGATTTATATTTAGAGTTCCTTTGAAGATGAACTAAGGGAAAATGAATTGCCAGGAATCCTGGTAAGATTCTCCTTGTGCTAATTGACGAGAATCTGAGGACGATCATTTGGTTATCTTATTGGTAATTTGTCATCTATTCTTTGTGTCATATCTAACTTCTACCTGTTGGGAGTCGAATCCAAGCAAACATACCTCACATTGGTTGGAGTGATGGCGAAACGAGTTCTGGGAATGGAAGCTTAAATAAACATTCCTTTTTAATAAAATAACAGTCACTAAATTAAATATCATTATTCTTATTCATCTTTTATTTCTATCAATCTATTTTGTTGTCTTTCTTGCAATGACTGATTGTAGTTATCCCTGCTATTCTTGAATTTGTAGGTCGAACTCATATCTTAGTATGTAGATTTGGTCTTCCTCGACAAGTAATCAGCCGTAGAAGGCACTTCAATAGAATATTTAATGGGAGTGATTGATTTGCAATTAGTCAATCTAAGACTAACGTACTTTTGAATGGTATTTTGTTTAGGAGTGGGTGTCTCTGAACACACCTACTTCATTTATAAGTTCTTCACAGATTTTATCTGTTTGCTCAATTGAGTTGAGTTGAGAAATTGATTAAGACTCTGTTCTTTTCTTTGAAATTGCTTAGATTTCACTCTTGGCATACTGCTCTTCTCTTTATTCGTGACTTCTTGCATGGCAATTTTTTCTTGGTTTTCAACTAGAGATAGTGCATATCTGTATACCCATGATGAAGTAGCAATCTAAGCAAACTGCTATTGTTTTATACTTGAATCCTTGAGACTGTTTGAACTCTTTGTAGTTTTGGATGTTTAATTGTTCATGTATTTTCTGAAAGGTCAAGGGGATTTAAGAGACTGTGTTGACATATGCCACCTTTTCTTGGTTGGCTCCACTGAGTTTGACTTGTTTGGCTTGTTTCTTAACTTCGAGAGGCCACTGTTCGACAGGGAGTGGACTTTCAGGTAAATCGATCAAGAAATGATAGGGGACTTCCACGAAGTTTGATCCCTTTTCCAATTGACCACATCTGATACATTTGTGCTCCCTATTCAATTGCAGAGGTCTTGAATTGTAGACTGACATCAAATTATCAATTGATTTAGGAATCTTTTAATGATGGGATTGAATTATACTTTGATTTGAGACTAGGTATATAGGTCTTTGGGTAGATTCTTAAGTTGTTTGTCGTCTTCAAATTTGAGATTACCGCAAAAGAGGAACCAGCACCTAGCTTTTTTATCTACTTTGAAATAGAAAGTTCCTTGCGAAATATTCAGTTTGCCATAGGAGATGGCATCTAGATGAGAGATCATTTTATCGATTTGTTCAGAGATTCTTTGGGATTAGAAATCTTTCACCTAAGCTTGAGTGAACTATGAAGGAGATAATGATACTTGCTTCACTGAAATACTCAGGTCCTTCGAAAGTACAATGTCGTTCGTAGATGTTCATGGACTTATTGGTGAAAGATTTCTTGCACACTCTTTTGGTGAAGAGAGTGACTGATTTACTCCAGAAGGCTTGGATTTGGGCTATGAAATAATGATTTGTTAGCTTACAATTGCGATCATCGGCTGGTTCGATGAATTGTTATAGAATACCAAATGGCAATTCAAAGTGCCCATCCATAAATTTATTGAATCCTTCAACATCAAAGTATATCACTTGGATTTAGCCACTGATTTGAAGCTTTTCTGGAGGGTAATTGAGATCTAAGTTATCACTTGCAAATTAGTAGGGAACAACGCATACATAAAATGTAAAAGGTATGCTACAACACCACCTCTGCCCACTTGCTGATTCCAAGTTTGCTTGATATTTTGTTTGGTGACATTCTTTCTCATCTTCTTTTTGATTTCTCCAGTTTCTTTGTCTGTGTAATACCAATAGATTGGCATAGAACGAATAAGAATGACAGTGTCAGGAATGAGAATGGCAGGAGGGTTGGCAGTTTCCGATTTAACCCATAGGTATTAATAGATTTTGTCATACAAAATATGCTCTTACATACTTTCACTGCTAAACATTGTTAATAATATAAAATTATATTTATTTAATCTCTAATGTTTATTGCTATTATTAACAATCATAATTGGTGGATAATAATACTGAGGAATTTTATAATAAAAACCAAATATTTCAACTAAATTTTTAGCCTTCTCACTTTAATAATATTTTTATGATTCATTCACACAGCAGAAGTCGCAGTCGAAGCAAGGAGAAGTAACTGAGACCCTAAGAGACATGCCAACATAATTTGCAACAAATCAAGAAGGTTTTTATGGATGTAAGAATGCAATCGAATATCCTCTTAGGGTAGACCAAATACCAACCCAGAAGATGTTCGACAATATCGCCAAACCAATAGGATCTTCATCAAATCAACCCATTCCTTTGTTCCGGATCCCATACTTAGATTCGAGGACGTATACTGTTTCCCAAGACCACTGTAAGAATTAATAGTGAAGGCTGGATTTCCAAGTCCAACTCCTATCCAAGCCTAAAGTTGGTCCATTGGTTTGACAGGCCATGATCTAATAGGAATTGCTCAAACGGGATCTGGCAAAACTTTGGCATTTCTCTTGCCAGCCATAATCCACATTTTGGCTTAGTTGAAACAAAATTCAGACCCATAATGTTTGATTATGGCTCCGACAAGGGAACTTACCCACTAGATTTATGAGCAATTTATCAAGTTCTCAGTTGGTTCTGGATTGAAAGCAGCATGTTTATTTGGAGGTTAAGAGAAATATATATAAAAAAATTAATTGAATTAACATCCTCATATATTGATTGCTTGTCCAGGCAGATTGATAGATTTAGTTGAATCGGGATGCACTACATTGAAGGGAATTACCTTTTTGGTATTGGATGAAGCTGATAGAATGTTGGATATGGGATTTGAACCATCAATAAGAAAAATAGTGGCTTAAACTAGAGCTGAAAGATAAACTATGTTATTTTCAGCCACTTGGCCAAAGGAAGTCCAATCATTGGCCTTAGACTTCTGTACTCAATAGCCAATTCATATCCAGATTGGGAGTCTGGATCTGACTAGCAATAGACAAATTTAATAGAAGGTGCTCATATTGACTAAGGAATAAAAGGAAGAAAAGCTAAGAGAAATCCTCAAATCTTTGGGGCCTAAAAAGATCCTAATCTTTTGTTAGACTAAGATGAAATGTGATTAGTTATAACTTTACTTGATTTAAGAAGGTATGCGATGCAAATCGTTGCATGGAGACAAGAGACAATCAGAGAGAGACTTCGTGATGAATAGTTTCAAAAGAGGAGATACCACAGTGTTGGTGGCAACTGATGTAGCATCGAGAGGGTTAGATATTAAGGATATTGAATTTGTGATTAATTTTGACATGCCCAAGTTGATTGAGGATTATGTTCATAGAATTGGCAGGACAGGTATTCATATTGATTAATAATTATTATAGGCAGAGCAGGAGCTCAAGGAGTATCGATTTCATTGTTTGATTCCTATGAAGATGCGAAACTAGCAGGAGACTTGGTTGGAGTGTTAAGAGAATCTTAAAATGAAGTGCCTAGTGAATTATCTCGTCTAGCTAATGTTAATAATCAAGGGTACTCCAATTATCGGAAGTGGAATGCTCCCTCAGGTAAGATTTAGTATTGCAGTTGACTTACGTATATATATTTTAAGATTAATTGTTCTATTTTTTGGTTTAATATATCTTCACATCAATATATAGAGAGATATTTAATTTAGAGATTAGAATATATATTATTATAAATATGAATAGATATAAATTGAAATATAAATTACCCCCTAGGTTGAAAACGCAACCCATCGATCCTCGGGTGTCATATTATGAGGTGAAATTGGAAGAGCTGAGTTCAGAGCCTTCACAAAAATACAAGGTGCAATAAAGCACATCGCTTACTCATGAGGGTTTTGTTCGTCAACGGAAAACCATCAGTGATTACAATAAACTACCTGCTCCTCTCCCCAAAATTCAGACTGCTCGAAAATACAATGAGGAATACAGAAATATATTTAGTTAAAGGAATCTGACTAGACTAGTTGGTGGATTACAATAATTGTTGTGATTGTTTATTAAAAATTAATGAGAAGAATTTTGCATCTCTTTCCAGGCCAAGGCATCTAAAAAGTGGGTATGCATGCATCTCTTGATTCTCATCAATATCTGAATCTAGTTAAATATGTGCCAGGCTTATAAAAATGCATTGAGGAAGGACCTCAAGCAATTCTCAATTAAACTGAATTCACACAACCAGCCATCTTCATCTGTTCATACCTTCGATATTAATAGATCCCTGATGCTGAAATATAATACGCTATCGGACATTCAGTCGGAGAATACGCAGCCTTGACAATAGCAGGTCATCTGGATCCATAGGAGACTGTCCAATTACTATACAAAAGAGGCTGTATAATGAGAGATTGCAGTAAAGGAAGATAAATGGGTATGTTGGCAGTGGCAAGCACCTAGGATTTCACTCAAATCGTATAGAAGGTCTTGGTGAAAAATCAGATTATCGAACCTGCTTTATACAATTCCTAAAATTAATTGGTCTATTCTGGAGACAAGGAATCTTTGAAATTGATGCAAGCAGAATTGAAAAAACAGAAGGTCAATTCCTTATTCTTAGAAGTATCAGCAGCCTTCCATTGTTCTCTGTTGTCCTAAGGCAAACTAGAATTTGAGAAAGAACTATAAAAATATGTTAAGTTCAATCCAAAAAGTGAAATCAAAGTAATAAGGAATATTGATGCCACTGTCTATGAAAATAGAGATTAAGTAATTGAAGGTCTGAGAGATCAATTAGATCATCCAGTGATGTTTTAATAGAGTTATCAGAAAATTAAAGATCTAAATTTGCAATGCATTGAATATGGAAGCAACATTTTAACTAAGTTTTTAAGTTGAGTAGTGTTATATAATTTATTATTATTATTAATAAACAATAATTCTTTTGTTGTCAAGGCAAGTCCTATTAGTGTAAAGGTAACACGTGAGATTCCGGCTCTCGAGTTCGAGGTTCAATTCCTCGGTGGGACGATTTTTTTACTATAATATTCGAGATTAGGTGATGATTGATTATTATTTTAATACTACTCATCATTCCTTCACTCTTAGTGACTCGGCCAGACTTATAATTCTGGTCCAGACCTCTTACATAACTTAATTGCTCTCTATTTCCAATTATGCTAAATCTCTAACGATTCTCCTGTATGATTCATGTTTGTCCTTCTTGAACTTGTCAATGGCTTTGGTTGTCAAAACATGGGTTACCATTTGATAATAATATTTGTACGAGTCTACATCGTTTTAACTCTTATACATAAATATAATTGCATACTTCAATTATCTGTAATTCAATCTTCTAACGTTGTTCCTCCTAGGTTTTACCAAAACTGCCTCCTTTTGCAATCATCACTTTTGTTAATTGTTCCTGTTAATCTCTTAACTTGTTCTCGACCTTTGACTTTGTGAGCAACAATGATTCTCTCGATTAAAAGCCTTATAAAAATGCTTCCATATCCCTTTATTCTGTTGATATCAAGTCTTAAATTTTATCCAAAGATATCTGATTTTGGTCTTTCTAAAATTAGTATACATCATTGAATTACTAAATAATCCAAAGTGGATTTCAACTCCTAAGCATCAGGATTTGTTAAAATGAGTTGCTTCTCATTCTCTAAACAAGGTCGCAATACTTGTTATTCGAATTCCTGCAATCCATATCCGAAAAATGAATGGAACAGTTCCTTCAAACACCTTTTACTTCCACTCAATCCTTTGGCTTAATCAAATAATTTGATCAACAATTGTTGAGATTATTTACAAAACCTTTGCATCTGATTAATCTTATTAATCGAATTGGCATCTGGTTCTTGAACTTAGTCCAACTCAAAAATATGCTTGAATTTCTCAATCTGTGATCTGATGTTAGGCTTAGGTAAACTTTGAATTTACTAGATATATATTATATGCTGTACTTTACAAACATCCGCTTATGATGATCTCAGAAATACTTACACAAATTCCTCCGAATAATATAAATACTTTATCTGTGCCATCTTCATCACAAAGATATTCAATAATCTGACTCTCTCTAATAATTGATCCCCTGTTGGATTTACTAATTTATCTGGCAAGGGTGGTATGTACAAACCTGGCCAAATTTGCAATAATGATTCTCTCAATGTGTAGAACTCATTGAATCTCCTCTGAACTTCAAAATTTCCCAAGGCATCTTTGCCCTTCACTGTGTAAACGAGGAATTTATTCATCGAAGAAGACTTAACTTCCGAAGGGTTGCTCACTAGGATGAATATCTATATCATATATTTGTGATACAGGTTCATCATCGTCCATTTGTTTCAGGAGAATTTCATTTGATTCCTAATATTATTCAAGACTCTGTTGTTCAATAACCTCTTGCTAATTGTCTTGCTGGTTATTCTCTGCCTCCTTCTACTATTATTGCACATCGTTATCAATCATCTGTGTTACCGTATCATTAGTTTCGTCAATTTGCATATTTATTATATAGAATTTATTGAATGAATATACGTATAAGATTCATATGTAGAAAAATGATTGGAGATGATATCATCTTAATAGAACAGACTTGAATTGTATATGGAAATCCTCAGAAACTTTGATTAATAATAATGCAATGCTAATTTGAATAGAAATTTAAATTAAAAATATGTAAGAATTATTTTAAATTATATTATTTAAGCGATGGAAAACTTCCCTCAACTATATTCTAAAGAGAGATTGCACTCATTCATTACAAAATACAAGGATTTGATCCAATTGGATCCCCACAAAGAATTACATTGCGGAATTATTCACTTGGATGAATTACATATAGCAGGTATAAGCAAATTGTATAATCTCAGCCTAACTTCTCCATTAAGGCGAATTGGTAGCATTTCCAACCGAAACCGTGTATGGATTAGGGGCGAATGCTAAAAATGCCTAGGCTATATTGAACATCTTCAAAGCCAAAAAAAGACCATTGAGTGATCCACTCATTGTACATGTGCACGATAAGAACAACATCTATACAGATAAGCCAGATTTCTTGGATTCCTTTGCGGAACTATTCTGGCCAGGACCCTTCACAATAGTTTTGAAGTAAAAGATTAATGTTATTCAGATCAACTCAATTAGAGACAACTGAAATTTTATCAGCAGGCACTGGATCAATAGGAATAAGGTTTAGAATTGATAATATTCTCGTAGGATTCCAAATCATAAAGTGGCCCTGGAATTGCTAGAGAAGGCAAATCTTCCTGTTGCTGCCCCTTCTGCAAATCTCTTTACTCACATATCACCTACAAGTGCTGCTCATGTCTTCAACGATTTCTATGATCAAAGAGTCCACATCATTGACGCTGGTCGAAGTGACAATGGCATTGAGAGTACAGTGATTAAGCCCTTGGGAAATGAGTTGCATATATTGAGATTAGGCAGTTTGGCAAAGGAAACCATAATGAAGAAGATTGGTTAGAGTGATAAATTGAAGCACTTTGCAATTAAATATGAAAACAAATACATGCAGATAGAAGAAACAGAGGAGGATATTGAGAAGGAGTTGGAAGAATTGAATGTTTTGGAACGTAAGAATTCAATGGAAGCACCTGGTTAATTTTTGAAGCATTATTCTGCCAGAATCAATTCATTTATTGTTACTTTCTAATCGAATACTATAGGACAATAGATTGATTTGGATTTAAAAGAATCAGTGATCATTGATTTTGGCTCAGAGTTGAAAAATAGAATTGCTGATTTGGATGGTATGTCTTGTTTGTGATCATTGTAGAAATCAAGTATAAGAGTTTATCAGAGAATTATGATGCCAAGGAGGCCATGTTCAATTTGTATGATTCTTTGAGATGGGCTGAATTGCAACAAGGAGCCAAATAGATTTTGTTGTATGATTTTGATACTCAAATTAATCAGAAGGTTTAAAACGATGAAAATGTCCTTTCAATTCAAGATAAAATATTTCGCTCAGCTTCAGGATAAAAGACATACTATAATAATAATAAATTTTATTTGTGCTAGTGATTTATTATATAAATAAATATCAAATATGACACCAGAATAACTCATGTTTAAACTGGTTATGTACCTTAATCCATTGTTTTGGTATAAATTCTATTTCTATGAAACGATCTTCATGGTCACTATCACCATCTTTGCTTTCTAATACATTAGAGGATCAAAGTTAAACAAAAGATTAGCTAAAATTCATATGAATCAAATCAGCCTTGAGCTATCGAAATATTTTAAAAATGTTGGTGATAAGGAATAGAACATCCTCTATGAATAGGATAATCCTCATACTTACAAACTATACGCTTCCAATCATCCGACATTGAAGTTTTGCTTAGTTGGATTATATGTATAAGTATGATTAACCCTCAGCTTCACAGAAGAGAAAACTTGTTCAATTATTATGGCTATTAATTTGTATTTCCCTCCAAAGAGAGATTGGTTATAGAAATAGGTGTGCAACCATAATTCAGATAGTATATTTGTTTTGGAATTGTGAAATAAAACCAGATCAAGAGAATCAAGCAGGAAGGATATGAGGATCTCAAGAATATCTGTCATGTATATTGATCAAATATATCTAGAGACTCTGACAATACCAGAATTAGATAATTCTCTTTAAATCCTCACAGAATACGATGAAATTGCACAATCAATTTGTACTCCTGAAATTATAAAACTACTTAATGCTAATGAAAAGTCTATTCATATCATTTATATCTCTGATGTTGACAGAGATCCAGCATGGTAATCTGAATCCATATATTTATATAAGCAAAATCTGTGTTAAGGTCATGACTAATCTATCCACAAGTCCTGATTATCAAAACCTAGTCTCATTGGTTGTTCAATTGTCATAACAAATTGCATCAATTAAAATGGATTTGAAAGTAATAATAGTATCTTATTCATCTTAGAAAATAACTAAAGCTGGATAGACACGTAGAAAATTCAATTCCAAATTTAAAGATTGATTTATTTCTGTATGTACAAAATTGTGATGTTAACATTCTCTAATATTTCATATAATTCTCAATTCATATATATATCCATTGATTAGACATAAAAGAAAATCAATCAATCTTCCTATATCATCATATTTTCATCTATTCTTATAATCAAATTGTAGTTTTAAGTTTACTTTACTACATTTTAATCTCCCTTCCCCTAAGTTATCTTTTGTACTATGCTCTACAAATTGTATTCTACATCGAAATACTCATAGTTCCACCATTTATCTATATTTAGATTCGTAAATTGATTATAAAATTCGTTGTTTAATACCGAAGTCACCTAGTAAAGATGACATGTGAATTATACTTATCCAGTTAATGATATAAATTAATGATGCTGCAGTGAGTTCTAATTCGTGGCTGACATCTGCTTAGATTTGTAGCTATTGAGATTGTTAATCATATTGCTTGAATCAAAATCCTCCAATTAAGGTTTGCTTTCTGAAATTACAAATTAATAGGGACATATATAATTGTCTTAACCATCGAAATTCAATGAGCCTACATTAACTTAGTTGTGCTCGAAATTCTAATCTAAATTAGTAAGTCCTTTGCTTTTCTTATGTGTATCATTCTAAAACTCTTATATTAAACGTTCACTATTAATAGAATTTAACTAATGCGATACCATCTACTGTTCTAGTATTTTCTCGCTTGTAAATTCCTTAGGAATATCACCTATTGAGATTTAATAAATATAAATACTATTAATTTCAATATTAAATGCTGAACTCTTCCATTCCACTATTTATGGATTCTTCTCCTTTCTTTATAAATTCTTCGAAATATCAGATGAAAAATTGCTTTTAGGCCACCTAAATTTTATCATATTATTCCTTTTCTTAATTTATTATCTTGTATCTAAATATATGAAAATAATACATTTTATTCTGTCTTGATTTTTTGGTGATAGAAATTGAGAAATTAGATCCTTTTTATCAATAGATATGTGTAACTAAGGACAACTTGTAAGAGTATGATCACTCGAATTACAACATTGGCAATACAATTTCAATAAAGAATAATTTTATTTATTAATGACTGAATTTATTATTATAGAGAGTATCTCCTTATCAGCTAGATTAGTTTCTAAATGAGTTAACATATTCTATCTTTTTAATTTGAATAACAGTGTATAATGATTACTTCTATAAGAAAGGCAATCCCTTTAACCTGTAAAAAATGTTAATTATCCAAAATGCAAACCTTATTCTAATTCCTAGATTTTTTCGAAATTATAATTTTATTTATTTTTTATTCCTACATCTAATGTTCCATGTACTAAAAAATTAATTGACTCTTCTTCATTCAGAGAATCACTCGAAATAATCTGTTGTGGGTTTATTAAATGCAATTCCATCATCTATATAAGTTACTCCTAAGTTTTATCAGAAAACTATTCAAATAATTATGATTATTAAAATAACAGTCGCTTCAATTACAAAATGAAGTGTTGATTTGATATTAGGTGATCAAACAGCTATAAATACTTGATTTCTTCTAATTCGTAACTCTTAGTTTATTTCAAAATCGTTTTGGATGTTTATTAATCAACATCTAAATCTCTCATCAATCTCTCATATTGTTTATATTTGTTAGCCAATAGAAATTCCAGACTAAAATAAGTGTTCCATAAATTTAAGAGGTAAATGAAGACTTATGAGATCAAAAGGTATTTAAAGATTATCTAAGCTATTTCCAATAAAGCCAGACTAACGTTATCTTCACTTTCCTGAAATGAATTCAATTATACTATAGTCAAAATATACTTCCTACAGAAGGTCTATAAGTTAAGAGATTAGAGATTAGTTATTCTAAGTTTATAACATTCTAAAAGATGGAAAAAAATCAAATTTCCTAATAATATCTTTAATCCTGCTTGCCTAGATTGATTTGATAATGAAATATTTTTAGCCAAACAAATAATACAAGCAATTGTTTAAATTATATTTAGTACATCCAGTTGACTTATTTGTAATAAATCGCTTAAAAATAAGATGATTGATAACAGTAATATAAATAGCTCATAACAGAGATTTTAAACTAAGTACATCAAGACATCTTTTGTTTTGACTTTGGTAGATACTATAGATTTACTCTTTAGAAATAGATGTAATAATATAAAAGATATAAGGAGAGTTATTTAAAATAAGCATCCATATGTTGTAAACGGTGTGTTCTCAAGTACCAACCAAGTTGGACTCATGATTCCGATTAGAAGCAGGATTAATACTTGAGTTAATTTATACAACGAATTTTCATCTAATTAAATCTTTTTCCTAATATTTCTTTATTTTGCAAATTACACATCGGATAACTTTTTATTCAAGAGTTATTACAAGATCTCAGAAGTGACATTGCCATTTTCCTAAAAAAATGTGCTGTCCAATTATTTAGATACCTCTTAAACAACGCTCTCCTTCACCTATTACACAATATCTGAATTATAACAATTTTTTCTGGTAGTATTAATGGAATGACAATTGATTTATGACTATTATATTTTTAATTGCTTTAAAGTATTCCTTGATGGTTTTTGTGATTCCAGTTCGCTTTAATCAAAAGACAAAGAGTTTATTTCAAAGCCAGAGCTGTTGTCATTTGGTTAAAATGGATAGTTTAATTTGCTTTTTTTAGATTTTTCTGAGATTGTTTTTCTTCATTATGATAAATACGTACAATGAAATTTATTCATTCCTTGGGGAGGAAATTTAGATCATAGACTCTGAACAATAAAAAAATAATTAAAATAAATGCCCAAATCTTTAATATTATCATATAAGTATATTTAAATACTGTACTGGGAATGAACCTAACTCATTAATTGATAACTTCTGATCATATTAATATTGAAGTCTTGTTTAAAGAAGTTAATTTATACTGTTAAATATTCTGACGTAGCTTAATGTATTTTTGTCTTGTCTCTCACTAATATATATAAAATAATAAATTAGAAATCAACATAGTTAGAGATTTTCAATCAATTTATATTACTTTTGGAAGAAATCATTTTTTACATAAAAAAATCAACAAAGAGTCCTGTTTGAAAATATTTATTTTCAACTTTTTTTGTTCTAAAAATAAAATTCTGTATAAATGAGATTCAATTAAATAATTATTCAATTTAAAAATAGGATTATATATAACTTGAACAAAATATTAAAAATAAAAACTCAAACTAAAACAAGCCATCGAAAATAGTGTCATTAGTACTTTTTATTGATTTATTTAGGACAACCATTACAATAATTTTACAAGAGGAATTTTGATTAGTACCACATCATACTCTTTAAATATACGAATAATATATTTTTAATTATTCAATATTAAACTTTAAAACTTAATTATAATTACATCTAAAAAAATAAAAACTATAAATTATCTTAATATACTAAGTTTAACAATGATTATATTATTCTTATATTTAATTCATGCATCAGTACTCTTGTGTAAGGTTTGCTTAATTAAAAATTATCCATTAATCGAACTCGTTATATCATATATATAAAAATATACTTATATATTGCCATATTTTGAAATACTAAGGCAAAGTATTATTTATTATTCTACTTAATCTGAATAAACTAATAAGTACTTTTTCTATCAGTAAACAACACATCATTACATTGACTTGCCTTATCCATTTAAATTTTATTTCATACAATTTCTTATTTTTTTCAGAAGATTTTTACTTCTATTTTAATTTGAAAGTCACTTTTATAATTGGAGGATTAAAGTAATTTTATAGATTGAATTTGTTTTAAAATTTATACAAAGTTCTGGTCATTTCAACAATAAAGAAATAAAAATTGTGCAATTTATCCAAAACTTATTTTATTCAGCCAACTAAAATCCTTGATATCGAATAAGGATCAACCAAAATCATTCTTTAAATAAACAATAATCTTTATAAAGCAATTAAAAAAAGGGTAAATATTTTTAAATATACACAATATAAATTTTTTTTTTACAAATAAGGTTAGATTAATAAAGGGACTAATATTTACAAAAAAGATTTAGAAATTTATTAGTTAGAGATTGAGATTTGTGAACTAAATTTAATAAACGAAGAATTCTATTTGAAAAAGATATTTTAATAATTTATATATCATCAATAATGGTCATATAATTTCAAATAATAGTTAATAGGCAGAATATTGCAAAAAGCCCTATTTGTAGATTGGTAGAAAAATCAGCATTTGAAATAGTTAAAGTTGATTTACATGTTCCTACCTATTAAGTCACATCTAAACAGGTCTAATTTTGATTACAATATTGAGACTTTTCTTATCCGCAATAACAATTTGATATTTTGCTAGTTGTACATTTCTCATAGCAACCACTTTATTTTGTTCCAAGATTTTAGCATTCAAAGCCAGATTAACAAATTAATTTTACATCTAAACCATTCTCCCTACTACCGCAAAAACAATTATTTTAACCATTTTCTTTGCAAGTTGGTACGCATTTTGCAGTAAGATCATTATAGATAGAATCAAGTTAATCAAGGCAAGCTTGGTTTTCAGATAATATCAAACAATTTTGATAATTAGTTGAAGAGCATTCTGACATACAAACACCTTTAGATTGCAATATACAATATGTTGAAGCATGGCATATATCTATAGAATCTATTCCACACAAACAGTTATTTTAATTTTACTTACATTTTTCATAACATACTCCAATGAGTGCTGTCTAATCTAAACAATGTTAATTCTTATTGCAATAGGCTTGATTACTTACACCACAAGTACAATTTGATTAAAATTATAATGTACAAGTTCCTTAATTACAAATTCCATTATCTGAATTTGGATCAACGCATTTTTCTTCATTTGAACATACCTATTTGACTTTGTTTCCACAAATACAATTGGAAGATTAGTAAGAACAGTAATCTAAACAAACTCCTTCTGATTTTGATGAACAATATGTGGTAGATGAACATTGTGAATAATATGATTTTCCACAAACACAATTGTTTTCAAATAAATTACATTATTTAACACAGTTACCTGTAGGTTATTAAACATCATGGCAATGTTCATTTGAACCACAAAAAGGAGTAACAGAGTTACCACATTAGCAATTTGTTTATAAATTCGTAACACATTTTTCTATACAATATCCATTCATATCATTAGGATTCTAACATACTTAAGTTTTAGAACAGATAAGTTTATTAACTGAACCACAAATACAATTAGACTTTAAATTTTGATTACAATTTTATATGCAAACTCCTGTTGAATCAGATACATTAATGCAATAAGTAGATTAAGAACACTAAGAAACCTAAGTTATACCACATAAACAAGAGTTATCAAAATTATTAATGCAATTTGGTATAGTAATACAATTGCCATCATTAGAAGTTGGATCTTGGCATTTTTGTTAGTTAGAACAAACTTATTTTGTTGCAATTCCACAAATGCAAGATGATCTAACACTATCTGTACAATTATCATAACATTACCCATTAGAAGCAGAAGCATTCACACAATATTTAGAATTATTACAATTACTAAATTGACTTTAACCACATGAACAATTACTTTAAAAATTAGTAGTACATATATCCAAACAATTACCTGAACTAGCCATATTATCTTCACATCTTTATGTTGAACTGCAATAAGATACTGTTGAAGATCCACAAATACAATTATTTACAGTTGATCCTTAACATTTATTAACACAAACTCCACTGGCTGCAGTTGGATCTTTGCAATAAGTAGTTGAACCACAATTTTGTTTTGATGAACTCCCACATGAACAGTTATTTTAGTTAATTGAAGAACAATTCGCAACAGATACACATGAATTACTCTAGCATTATTTAGTTGAATCACAATAGGATTTACTTGAGGTTCCACATATACAATCAGACACTGTTGATCCTGAACATGCCTATTTACATTATCCAGAGGATGCAGTCGGATCAACACAAAAGGTTGTTGAAGTACAACTTTACTTTGTTGAACTTCCACAAGAACAGCTTGCATCAAAAGCAGATGCACAATTTACTGTTAAAGTTACACAAGCACCACTCTAACATTATTTAGTAGAGTCACAATAGGATTTACTTGAAGTTCCACATATACAATCTGAAACCGTTGATACTGAACAAGCTTATTTACACGATCCAGATGATGCAGTTGGATCAACGCAAAAAGTAGTTGAAGTACAAGTTTATTTGGTTGAACTTCCGCAAGAACAGCTGGCATCAAAAGCAGATGCACAATTTACTGTTAAAGTTACACAAGCATCACTCTAGCATTATTTAGTTGAATCACAATAAGATTTACTTGAAGTTCCACATATACAATCTGAAACCGTTGATACTGAACAAGCCTATTTACATTATCCAGATGTAGCAGCAATATCCACACAGTATGTAGAGCTTAGGCATTCTACTTAGTCTGTTCCACACAAGCATGAATTTGAATTTAAATTTTAAGCACAATTTTATTTACACACTCCAGTAGAGGCTGCAATATCCTTACATCCTTCTGATGAGCCACAAACCACTAAGCTAGATGTTCCACATATGCAATTTGATTTTTTTGATGAAGAACAAGCTTAAATTTAACATTTTGAATCAACCCATTCATATGGTGAAACACAATCAGTTTAAGTCCTAAATAAACTTGCATAACAAAATCCACCTGATAAATAGCATCCAAAATAGTTAGAACAGGTTGAAGTGCTTAATCCTCCGCAATTTATACACTAATTGCTAGAGGAAAGACCACATCCTGTTGAAAGGCATGAAGCATTTGGTATGCTGGTGCATTTTGTGCAGGCTGAATTGTACCATCCGCACACATTTTAACAATTTGATTAATCCCAATCTGAACATTTGTAACAGCCTCCTTGTGACCACCAACCACAACCTGTCTCTGCCTCACAACTTGCTGAATCAGTGGTGGTACAATCAGCAGATGCCTATTGTAATGTCAAATAAAAAAGAACTAAAGAAATCATCAAAGGTTTTAAGTTATAAATTTTCTAATAGTGATTAATTGAAGAATTAATATTTAAAGCAAAGATTTTATAAGATCGTTAATTTTTTATTTATATTTAGAATTAACAAAGACATTTATATTACTAATTACCAATTTTACTAGCAATAAATATAAAAATTTTAGGCATAAAATATTTGGATGCTATTGAGCAATAAAATTATATGTCAGCAGATTAGGACTTATAAAGCATGGATTATATAGGTTAAAAATGAAAGAAATTATTAGAATTTCATTTCTTTTACTTTTCCATACAAATGTTTAAATTTTTTTTTTCTTCATAAAGATTCACTTAAATAATTACATTTCTATATATAAACAAAAAGGTTTTGAAACTGATAGATTTTAGTTTGATTTCTTATTAAAGTATTTTACAAATTAAAAATATAATTTATGAATTTGTAATTATTTTTGAGTGCAGTAAAGTTAAATATATAAATATTAATGAGATGATATGAATTAGATGAGTTGAAAAACTATTAGATCTTGTTTAAGTTTATTAAACACCTTCATCATTGTGGTTTTAGCTCCAATTCTCTTTCTTGAAAAATATTCATTTGATGTAACTTTCAATTTTTTTTACATTTAATTTTATCTGGCTATTTAAACTTACAAATCAAATATTTTATTTTAAAACATTTCTTTTTTAATATTCCTCTACATCCTCTACTGAAAGAATATACAATTCTCTTTACAAATGATATACCTCATAGATTTCAGGTTAAAAGGAGTAGAAGGAGCACCAAAAATATATAATTATGTAACTAACTTTACACAGCAATACCGACCTCCTCTTCTTTTTTAGAAAGCTACCCCATAATTTATAATTATAGTTTTTATTTAAAGAAATTTTATGATTGGGGAAAGAGCTCTAAAAATTTTAATATTCTAGCATTTTTTTATAATCATTCAATGAAATACATCATGATTTAATAATTTTTTATTTGAGAGCTACTGGTATTCAGGAGGAATGCTATTATAATTGTACGACTTATATTATTTCAACATTTGTTCTAGATTATGAAAGTAGGGTTATCCAAGATACTTGGTTTATTGGATAAGTTAATTTATTTATAATTTGATTATCACTTATTATCCGGCAAAATAAGCAAAGCTGTTAGGAGAGTTTACATTGGTTTTGAAAATATATCATCTTATGTGGGTTTTTATCAATTTTTATAAATTTAGCTTAGGATTATATCTTTATATTAAATTATATAAATTTTGTATTTGAACTTACTAAAATAATTAAATTTAGGGAAATGGAGAGTTACATAGGTCATTTACTCTGCAAACCAAAAATTAACATTTGCTAGCAATTTAAATTTTATACTCAAGATTTATTTATATAAAAATGACTTTGATATATTAATAATAGGCTATACTAAAGTTAACAATAATAATTCAGAAAACTTAAGGGAAGGTCCTCTCTAATGATTTTCGTGATTTAAAAAAGTTTTTCATTCATGAACTTTTATTAGGATAAGTGTTACAAAAGCATTTATTTATACTTAACTTTTTACCTAATGATTTGATTATATAATGTTTAATGTAAGTTGTAATAACATTTGGAATGATATTTCACTGTCTCTCGTATGTGGAATCGAAATCTCTAGTCAATAGAAATGTGATTAAGTGTTCTTAAAATGATTGCTATAGAGTTATCAATTACACGATATTCATTTCATTAATTTTTAATTAAATTGATAGATAATCTTGAGGCTATAAAAATATGAAAATTTTGCAATTTTACACAGTCATTTGATATTACCTAAATACCCAAAGTATTTTATAGATATATATTAGTACAAGAAGAAGTTGAAATATATTAAATGATATTCATATATTAATCTTATGGCAATAGTATTTCTGCATGTATAATATAATATTTCTGGGTTTATATAATTAAATGACAAAAGAAAAGTAGATAGTTCCTTAATAACAATTGTTTTAGCAAATAACAATAAAATTATATATAATCAATTCAAAATTTCAATTGTTTACTTTTCTGAACATAAATGAATTTTTCATCTTTAGTGAGGTTACGCCACATGTGTTTGAGTGTTTCCAATCTCTCCTTGAAGCCATATTCAGGATGTTATTTCTTGACTTCAACAATATGATCGAGTTTGAACAGTTTGAAAGCACTCTTGTTTTTTTGGTCTTTGGGTGTAAAGTGCAAGGGCGGCAATTCTTCAGGATTGAGACTAATGTGTGATAAAGGTTGAATTACATTTGTTGGTTCTCTGCCCATAGTTACCAATCCTTCATAGCTTTTTCACAATCTTGGAAAGTGTTTGGTTTAGTTCATTAATTTATGTAATAGTTATTTTGGAAGAAAAATTGAAATTGACAACAGTAAGTGATTAATTCAAATTTTATAGAGAAACATGGTCGTCCACCTAAGTTAGTAGGAGTGTGTTAATTTGGTGTATTTGATTGATCAGAATCGATATCTATACTTTGGAGGCAAGAACCCATTCAATATTAAGGATTTGTAATAGGAAGGTATGCAATTGAATTTATAGCTTAGAGAAGTAGCCATCTCCTCCAAAAAGCGACGGAATATCCTTTAAAATAGGTGCTCCAAAGTAGACAAGAGTGAGTAGTCCATTTAGTAATCAAGAATGCTAGGATTATGTGTACATATTGGATCCAGCTACTTATTCATGGAGTATCAAGAAATGTACAGGGAAACCCCCAACTAGAAGAACGAGTGCATAGGTTTGGTATGAAGCACCACTGTTGTATGTGTATGGAGGGATCACATATGAGAATAAAACTGTTAGTGATTTGTACATATTGAATACAGAGAAGTTTGTGTGGAAACGATTCTTTTATTTGGAAGGTCCTCCAGGTAGATTGCATTTTGGATTCTCAACTTAAGGAATGAAGAAATATTTGATGGGGGGAGCAAGTATGCCTGAAAATCTATTGATGGATGATGTATGGCAATTGTCTGTAAGCAAAATTTGTAAATAAATTAGTTTGAAAATGTGGCATGGGAAACTCAATCATTGGAGTTACCAGGAATTACTTGGGAGAAACTGCCATTTGATGATATGCCAGCTATCAAAGCACACACTATGATACAAGTATCAGATAAAGAGTTGTTGGTCTATGGAGGATTCAATAAATAAAAATAATGTTAGGATCGTTGTCTATTATTGGATATAGAGACTTACGATATAAGTTAATTGGAATTGAAAGGATAATCACCTGGTTAGAGAGCATTTCATGTAAATAGTGATCATATTTTAAGGAATTATTGGTCGTTAAGGAGAACTTATTGTGTTTGTATGGAGGATACAATGTGAATGAGAATTAGTTAAAGAATTCAGAGCCTTTGAATGATCTATATCTATTGAATTTGAATGAAGGGTATTGGTCTAAACCTGTTGCTGGTGGTTATATTCCAGCTCCTAGGTTTGGTTATGTGATGTCATGCAATCAAAATGAAGTTCATGGAGAAATCATGTTATTGGGAGGGAGATTGAATGATGGGACTGTAGAATTAATGCATATATGTGTTGCATGAGTTGGACATGGAGGCAAAGAGAGGGCTTGGGATGAGAAAGATGAGAAGGAGAAGAACAAATATGATACGTATAGAGAATTGAAGAAGGAGAACAAAACTGTCACTGTTCCAACTTTGACTTTAGTATTTGATGAGGCTGAAAAGATCATTTTGGAATAGAAGAGAACTATTGGTGAAAAAGAAAAGGACTTGAAACAATTGTAATAGAATTCCCAATTGCTTGAATAGAAGGCTGAGAAGTTGCAGGAATAAATTGATATTGGAAAATTGAAGATGGATTAGGATCTTGAGAATACAAGAATCGAAATAACCGAACTCAATCAAAAGGCTGATCAAAGTCAGTCTACAATAAATAGGATATTGCAATTGTTGGCATTTGAAAGGAAGAAAAGGAAACTTGTATACAGGAAGGCTTTGGCTTTGGAAGATCTTTACAGGAAAACATCCTTGTATATTTTTGAAATGGACAAAGTGTTTGTGAAGGGACAGAGTGAGAATCTCTTGGAGACATCTATCAATGAAGACATCCTCAATCTCATTGATTAGAGAAAGTAAGAATATAAAAATATTCTGATTTCATTTCACAAGTCTTTTGAAGAGAGATACAAATAAGAAATACAAGTGAGATAACAAATCAGGAGCAACAAAGACATCCTTAAGCAATTCCACAACATCAACGAAGTGTATCAAAAAGACACTGCTCAAAGAAGACAGAGAATACTTAGACAAGAAAATATGATGTATCATAATTTAATTCATAAATCATTGTGACTACTAAAATGTCTATTCCATCTTATATATTAAGCATATTCCATTACTCAATCCAAATGCCAAATAATTAACTCTCTCCTGCTCTTTCACAGCACAACTCAATGCCAATCTATCCACAAGAGTTTCAGGTTGCAATTCATCAACATAATTATACAAGCTGACTTTGCCAACTGATTTCTAACACATTATGATATGATGATACCTCCATGTATGAGATTACAAGCATCGGCCATGTCTTCAATAATTGCATAGAAAAGATTTATCCAAAGGTGACTTCTTTGGATAGATGATACTCTCCCAATCCAACTTTATCATAGATCTTAATTTTGAGCATCATACTCACAAACATCTTCTAGTCATTTGTCAATATTTTAGTGACCTTAGAATCCAACCCTTTCATATGAGTAACAACTCCCGTGGTTGGCTCCCAGATTTAAATGAAGTTGCTTCCTCCAACGAAGGCAATCTTGTAGTCTAAGTGAAAGGCAGTTGGTAGATCCTGTATTGCTACTCTTTTCAACTCCTTCATTGTCTTCATTGACCAAATCTTGATAGTCTTCTCATCACCTACACTGTATAAACACTTATCTACTGCACTCACCTAAAGAAACAAGTTTCCAGGCTTATCCAAACTGTGAGTCGAACTGTAAGTCTGTCTAAATGATATATTCTTAACTCCTTCTTTTATATATGTAAGCATATTGCCTTTCTTCGTAGCCAAATAGAGTTATCCATTCTCTTCATCCATTTCCAAATAGGCTATGTCAGTAAATTCTACATCATATTGGAGTGTTTGAATTCTTATCGGTCTTTCCTAATCCTTAGGTGAAACATCAAAGATCATGCACTTGGTTCCACCTATTCCTCCAATCAGATTCTTATTCAAATAGATCAACTTGGTAATCTCCTAGCCTTCAAACATAAATTGAAATTCCTTAGATTCCTAAACATTCAGGATAGTCTCACCCTCACCAATATTGTCATCTTAAGACAATGCTAGTGGTGTATTACTAAATGATTACCTTTATTGTTAGGTATTTCAGGTTATTTTGGTTGTATCACTTCCTACTATTATTACTTTTATTGTGGGATTGGATTAGTATTTTATTTGTTGCCTTATTCCTTTTTATTGGCGGTTGATTTGTCCAGATATTGCTTGAATTAACTTAGAGTGCATCCATCCTCTTCGGAGGGCAGAGAGACAACATCATTCTGTTTCTTTTTTTAACTTGGTTTCTATTCTTTGTTTGGTTTAGGAGGATCTATATCATCTTCGATTGAGATGATTGATTTAGGTTGTTGTTATTATTATTGATTGGGATGAGAGACTTGTGTAAAGATGTTGTCAGACTTGAATTTATCAAAGCGTTTGCCATCATTGTCTGGTTCTGTTACTCTGGTGGGAGCACTTGTAAAAAAGTTAGTGATATTCCTCTTTAGAACTTCATGGAGATTTAAGAATTATTCAGTAAATGTGTTGGCTGCACTTTAGTATTGTTAAGCATAGATCTTCCCATTTGCAACACTTTCAGTAGATTGAGGCAATTATTTGGATGCATTTTTCTTGAGTGTAAATGAGTACTTATCAGAATTGGGTTTGAAGGACTCAATTTCAATCAGGAGTTTACAGAAGTTTTCTTTGGATGGTTCTGATTCGAACTTTTGTAGGATGCAGCCTTGACTCTATGGTTAGGCATCAGAAGTAGTCATTTATTATATTGAGTTCTTGGCACTAAATCGATATGGATGAAAAAGTACTCATGAATGGCTGATTTTGTTTTATTGAATATTTCATTAATTAATTTCTGAGACTATTCTAATGTGGCTTCAATTTAATCAAAGTATAGTATCAGACTAAAATAATGAGAGAATCAAAGTACTCAGTGTATTTTACTTTGGAAGTCTCCTAGGTAAGTTGATTTAGTTGATCCTGAAATTGTTTGGTGAACTTTCTCAGAGGGATGGTCTTGCATTTTTGATGCTCCGATTAGCAATAGCAACACAACATTTGTCGCTTGTTGCATTTCTCATCTATGCACACCATATTGAGGTACTCAGCATCATGATCTGGCAGGTCACAAGATTGATACTTGTAGGGATTCATTTTTATTATTTATTTATTCTTTTATTTTAAACAATATTTTAGGTAATCACAAAATCAATAATTAACATGAAAAAAATGAAAATTTTAATTAAATTTTATCATACTTTAGTCTCAATCCTCCTCTTTCTATGTGAATCTGCACAATAAATACTATTCTTACACTTTTGCTTTAGAAAATTGATATCATTTGTATTGGTATAATTGCGAGCAGAAGAGATCAACTTGATTTCTGGAAGAGGACAAGCTGCTTTCAAAGATACTAATTTTCTCTAAGTCTAAGGAGAATTAGAATGAAATTAAGTGTTCATCTCTGTAAGACTTTGACAAGATGTATAACTTAGAAAGGGGTTGCTGCTTCCCAAATCTTTTTAAGATTGGTGCTTCTCTGTTTTTTGATTCACATAACTCTGAATCGAAGCAAAGGGTTTCTTGCATTTTCGAGATATATTTAAGACTACCTTCGGGAGTTCTGAGTCTATTACCAATTGTCGAAGCTTCGTCTTTTTCACTTCCTGAGATTGCAAAAGGACAGGTTCATCAATTGGCTATTGGGATTCTTGAAGCATGAATAATTGCAACTCACTGTTCCTTTGGTTATTAGTGCTGTTCTGATTGCCAATGGTACGAAGCGTTGTCTGATGTTTGATTAAGATACTCGACATGCGTTTGAAAATGGTTTTCTTTCGCTCCTTCGTCTTCTAAATCTCATTTAATAGTATTTGCTATTACGACACCTGAGTCTTCGGATACAAACAATCAAGATGCATCTAAGAACATAATCAATCGAGATGGATACTTGTTTCTCAGACAATGGCTCAATACCACTCTTGCGTCTCTGCTATTATCTTGTGTGACGAACAATTTTTAGATCGAAGCTTTTACTTACTCTATTTTATTAATCCTCTTGAGTTCGTATTCTCAGGCTTCTTAGAATCCTCATTCGACTGGTGGGAGAGTCGCTCTTACCAATTGAACCAAAGAGACAGAGCTAAGTTTGAGTTGAGAGCAGATCAATGACTAGCTCATTTGAAATTCTTACTTTTAGTGGCATAATTTTTTGAAAGTGCTTTATTCAAGGCTTTCTTGCTTCTGCTTGAGGTTTTTAATGAAGATTCCATAAATATAATACTTAAAATAATAATTGTTCTAATTAAGCAATCATTGCTATATGTTATTGATTTACATTCGGTATTATAATTTGCTAATTTATAATACAGAATCTTTGATTATTGGATTAATAATAATAAGAATAATGAGTGTTTAAGGACTAATAAAGACTGGAGTGGTACTAGCAAATGCTCTATTATTAACAGGAGGATATGTGATCTATAAAAGACTCTATACTAATTACTTAAAGTTCAAAAAGGAATCAAAAAGATTGGCAGATGGCGGAAAATCTGATTATTAATATTTGATTGATGCTTTGAATAAGGAGGGCAAAGAAGGACCCTTAGTCTAAGTCAATGACATCTCTTTCATTGGCACTTCTGAGTAAAATCTTAATCTATCCAAAGACAGTTAACCCCAACATCCTATGTGCATTCAAAAGTCAACAAAATATAGAAATTTATTTGCGTCAAAGGAACACTACACGAATACAACAAAGACATTATTCAGACTTAATGGGTCAAAGCATTTAATTTGAAGGATCAAAATAATCATAATGTTCTGATCCACGTAACTAACAAAGATTCCTTTGTGGCTTCATTATTCTAAAAAGTATTGCCACCCTCAGAAAATGATTCATAAATTGAAAATGTTAAGGAAGCATTTAGTGTGAAAGTTACAGAGGAAGGAATAGCAGTATAAGATTTTTTTATAGAAATAGTTTGGATCAAGCCTATATGTATTTGGGAATTTCATAAAAAATAAATTGGGATAAATCTAATGTGCGGAATCTAACTTGATTTGCAAGGCAGTCGATGCAAAAGATTAAACCTAAACTTATTCTTATGTGTATTTGTTTGGAGCTGCCTGCGTGGTAACTTGTTGCTTGTTGATTTCTGGGATTTCCCTCTATTTAACATTCGAATAATCAGAGGAGAAACAAAATAAAGTAGGTTCAAAAAGGAGGTGATTAGAATATCAAAAATTAGATAATAAATTTAATATTTATGATGAATACTATTCAATTTTTCAATCTTTTGATTCTGAATTTGTCGAATTAAAAAGAATTGACAAATCCAATTCTACTTTGGATCTCCCTTTTATGATAACAATCTTGTTTGACTCATTGAGTAGGATTTGCTTCGTTAGAGGGTGATAATAGAAGTTGTCAACCTCTCCTTTATTGATGTACATTTCTAATTGAGAAATCTTACAAAGTAATTTATTGATTTCCTTCTTGTCCCAATCGGAGGAAATTTAATAATTGGTTCTTCTGATTGAATTGGATTCTAGAATTGATAAAATTACAATAATACCAATGCAATTTGAATTGGATATCAATTTTTTAAATCTATGTTTTAAAGAAAATTCAGTTCTTTTTTTATTGTTGGTAAATGGTGATAATTGAATAGATAAATCAGCCCATCTTCGTCCAAGTTGCAAGAGAAGTTAGAGAAGATGTAGATCCTCGACGTCAGTCCATTCATCACTAAAATTATGAATTCAAAATCATACCGATTTATGGATGGATCTAACTTGTTCCCCCAACGTTCTCTACATTATTTGGGTGTGCGAATACACTTATTGAGACTCCGTTCATTTAGTTCTCGTGCAATTTTGCTCCATTTGTTTCCCTTCCTCATCCTCTGGTATTGTCTAAAATGAGTATAATTTCATTACAAAATAATCTCTAAAAGCAATTAATCTTCACTCTCAGACCATGGGTTGTTGTATGCGGATTGGTGAACAAACTTTTGGCAAATTTAAGCCCACTCTTTAGGAGATTTATGGGTTGGCATCAGTTCACTAATATGAATCCATTTATCTTCATTCTAAGACTAATTACGTTTAAATTACCAATTTCAAGTCGAAAGGAGCTTGCATATTCAACAAAATGAATTGCAATAAGATAACCTCTTTGCTCTCGCGGTCGTCAACAGATTGACCTTATATATCATAGTAAATAGATTCTATAATTTTGGCACTTGGAACATGATGAAAAAGTAGCCTCCATTTTTTCTTGTATGGTTTTAAATCTACGGCTTGAATTTGCGCAAAGTTTAATTTGGAATTTAAGGGGTGAGATGATTCATCAGTCGATAGTTAAGAAGATTGAATATGGAGGAAGTTCATATTCCAAATAATATTTCAATAATGTAATTTATCGCTATGCAATGCGAGAATATAAAACCCAGAAACTTGAATATCTTTCAAATTTTTTAATTCATTTTAAATAATAAATATGTTATTGCCCAGATATCACAATTACATCAGACTACCATTTTTTATGAAGACTAAGCACTACTCATGATCAAAACTCCAAAATTCACAAAAAGAATATTTTTGAGTCTGACCCTTTTTAGTGATCTCCTCAAGCAGCTCTATTTTGTATGAAATCATGTCAGCCTCCTAAATATTCCAATGTGGACTTACTTTTAAATCACACAACCTTTTGGCTCTCAAACCTTAAAAATATACTAATCATCTACCATAGTATTTCTTAAGTTGTTTGAATTTATGTTTCAAAGCAAATTCGGTTCTTCTTCTTTAATTAGTAATCATAGACAATTTCATTGATATTTCAGTCCATTTACGTCCATTCTGAAGGAGCAATTGTAGAAAGTTTAACTCTTCAGACTTCGACCATGGATCTCTGTAATGTTTTATGAATATGATTACCTATTAATTTGTGGATCCAACTTATTATTCCATCGTTCTCGACATTGTTTCGCATTTCTTTATATCTCAGACTTGCAAGTGCGATTGTATTAATATGCGATAGTACTCCATTTCATTTTGCAGCGACTAGAATTGTTTCTAATGTGAATGAGATTTATATACAAAATAATCTGTAAAAGCGTTCTTTCTTCGAAGGTTGACCATGGTTATCTTGGGAAAAGTGGTTTATAGAAAGATTAGAATTTAAAGTACAATTCTGGCAGACTCCAAAATTTAGGCATCATCCTTTGCACTCTCTCCCAATTGAATCGATTCTAAATTTTTAATTTCTACTACCTTCATACATTTTGGATTGAGACTCAAAACTATTAACTGTAATAACAGTTCCTCATTTTGATTCCAAAGATCTCCTGTGTCTATTTTACAACACTCATAAAGTTTAATAAAGTCATTAAAGTCGGGTAGATTTTTGAAAAGTAAATTGAGCTTTGAAGATAATTGTTCTGGTTGGATTTTTTAGAGATTCTAGTAAATTAAAGCCCAATCATTAAGATCTGTAAATGAGCTTTGCGAAGAGTTCATTTTGAATATTTTAAGATTAATATTGTTTATCTAAAATCTTGAATTGCATTTTAAAGTCATAAATTAATCAAAAATTAGGAGATATTATCAGCAATATCTAAAAAAAGACTCGCTATATAATCATAATATATGAATTAATAATTTCTATTATTCTTAAATCTTATAAATTTGGCACTAATTATACACACTAGAGGACATATCAAAATTTATATATCAACGTTAATATAGCCTATATCCTAATAATCTTTATTTGAATACTTATCTATATTAATTTATTTACAGTATAAATCCAATTGGTCTCTTATCATCTCCTCATTGTTGACTAATCAGTTGGTGAATCTCCTTTTCATAATATTTCTGTTTTTACTAAATAATTAATCGAATGAGGTCATCAGAGATGTATTTTAAATGAATTTATATTCATTTAATGAAAAATAACTTTAATAACCAGTCAATATTAAATATTTGCTGACGTATTTATTTAGAGATTGTCCAACTATCTGAAATAGAAGCATAGGGTTTATTATGTAATTATAAGTCAATAAATTGAAGATTAACCATTATTTTTAAATTTCAGTTTGAATAATATTATTGGCATTTAATTATTTAAAATAATATAAAAATATATATTATTATTATAATAATTATTATTTGAAAATTCAATTATAAATATGAATCCAAATAATATTACGCTATCTCTTAAACTCAAAATTAAAATAGTATATTTTATAATTAATTTTGATCAACTCTTGATGATTAAATGGTAGCACTCTAAATGGAGATTTCTCTTAAATTTCTATTTAATAATAGAGAATATTATAATATATAATATTGTTTCAAATTAAAATTTTTTATCTTTTATAAAATATGACTACATGCAGAGGTCCCAAAATTAAGTTTGAATTAATGCAATAAAAAATGGATTAGTTTAGTTTAACCGATGATGAAGATTAGATAGATTTAATGTAATAGCATGGAGAGAGAAAAGTAAGTTTTGCAGATTCCTCTATTATATTTTTACATTACTAAGATGAAGAAATATTCAATTTCAGGTCAAGACTAAAAGCTCAAATATAATAAAAGCATTTGGAGCCTTATTATTTAAATCCATCTTTATGTTACTCAAATTTGTAAAATAAAAGGAAATCATGCTTCAAGGAATTTGAGATTCAATCAGATTGATTACTTTTATATATATTTTATGATATAATATCAGAACTTCAGTAATTTATAATTTAATTAGTAAATGATCATCAAATTAACTTCTCTTTGATCAATTTAAATTTTGCAGACAGAAGATTGGACTTACTCAATACCTAATCTTAGAGAATCAATTCCCAACCATTCAGCCACCTAAATAATATAACTTAATATCATACTCCAAAATTGATTGATGAATTCCTGGATCTCTGCAACTCACATTTTCTTCCATTCTCAAACTTACATGTTATTTTATTTTCTCCATTAGAGGTTCAAATAGAGTCTCAGCGTAATCTTGAATGTGTTCAAAATGCTGAAGAATTCTCTTGATATCATCAAAATTAGTAGCATCTAAACTTGACATATAACTAATCATTTTTGGTATTACTTATTTTTCAAGAATCTGATTCCATTAGATATCACGAAGTTTAGACCATGGAGATAGAACACTTAATCCGAAATCAGGTTAATTGTCTAAATCAATAGATAGTAGTTTTTCAATCAATAGATCTGATAATTCTTAGTTATTAAATCGTGAAGACATCCATGGAAGTATAATTTTGTGAAGTTAAAAGGAGTCATTAATACTCCAATTAGAAATTGTTTATAGTAATTTTGGAACAAGTAGATTACTGATATTTTCAATAATTCTGGCATTAAATAATTTAAGTTGTTCCACTTTTTAACCTTGAAATTCTTCAATTTCTATTGATTAGATGTCAGTGGTCCACAACTTAAGCATTTCTAATAATAAATTATCTGAACATGGATCATATTTGGTATGTATATAATTGATCAATTTTTACTTTATAGGATTAACTAGTATATCAACAATAGTCTCTAAGTTTAGGAAATCGTTTTCTGAAATTACATTATCAATAATCAGAATTTTTTAATCTTTACTATTTGAAGTAGTAGCCATTTATTATTATTAAATAAAAACATCTTTTCCTAAATACACAATTTTATTGATGTATTTAAATTCATTTTCAAGTATGTCTGTATGTGGTCCTTCCCAATTTCTAGTATTTTCTGTGATATCCTCTACTCCTTGTTTAATCAACACATCAATCAGGTTGAATTAAATGAACATATCAGGATGTTTGATAAAGCATTCTAGAAATTTTTCATATAGTGGAAAAGGTTCATTAGATATTTAGACTTCATCATCTTAAAAAAAGAGAAGATATTTTTAAAATGATTCCTTTTTTCTTATGCTTTCTTTTTGCTTTTCCAAATTGCTGAGTATCTTTTCCTTTTCAATCTCTAATTTAATAGTTTAATCTCTTTTTTACTATATGATTTATTCAGTGATTTCATATTTACTTAATTTATTAAATAATAAATGTTAGACTGACTACGCCAATTCTTTAACTTCATCTAAATATTCTTGAATAATATTGTCTTTAGAATTTAATTAATATGATGATGAAGAATTTTGCTAATTGTCTGTCTAGTTTCTTTTTCTCCATATTTTATCTGCCTTTTTTGTATTTTTAGTCTCATAAGGTTGATCATACAACCAAACTTAATCTTCCTCATTTGCCTTATTTTGATTTGATTAGGTACCTGTAAATACTTATTTTTTTACAGGAATTACAGGTTCTAGAATGCCTTGTCTATTAATTCCTAAACCTTCACCATATTTGAATCCTAATTTTTAGAGTAATTCCAACCCTACACCATAATCATGTTCTTTAACTTTCTTCTCTAGGTTTCTTATTTCTTTAAAACTCAAGCCTTTGTTTTAATAATAATCTTCATCATCGTCTGTTTCATGTTTAAATTCCTTAGGCTATTTCTTCAAAATGCTCTTTGGTTGTTAGGTTAATTCTTTGACTACTATTTCAATCACAGAGTGTTAATCCTCGACATCATCATCTTCTTCTTCTGAAGTAGAATCAAATCTATTTTGCATTGCATATTGTTGAATACTTCTTTGTAAATTAAACTTCTCATTCAAAGTTAGATATTCACTAGGATGCTTTACAATTGAATGGAGATAATTATTTTGTAGGTTGAATTGCACAGTTTTCACTTTACCTAATTTATTAGCATCTGAATTTTATGCTTCAATGTTATGGTTGATCATTTTGACAGTTACTCCCTTCTCCACTTAAGAGAATAGTGGGACATGACATTTGATAAAGTTACTAAATGCTTGGTTTTTGCGATATTCTTTGTGAATGTCTTTCAATTTATTGGATGGATTCTCTTCTTAAGTTTGTATATTAGGTTCTTGTATAAGGTTCAATTTTTATTGGGTTTGAGTTTGATTCTATTTCATCTACTCTTATTATTTATTATCAACTTCCAATAATGAACGACGCTCGCAATTCATTTATATAATTAATTATAATAAATAATAATAATATTATTTTCTTATTGTGTTCTAAAGCAGATGTGTAGTTATGTTTCCTCATTCCAATATGGATATTTAAAATATGACTATTATTTTACATGAAATTGATAATAGTTAAAAAAATAATTTAAATGTTTTATTATTAATAAGTAGTTAATTAATTTAAATTATGAAGAGAAAACTTTACAAATTGTCATTGTTTAAGGAGATAGATGAGTTCAATCAAAAGGATAGTGATGGACATTAGAGTGATGATTCCTCTACATCTGATGACTTTCTGAATACCACGTTCGAAGCATATGGTAACAACTTTGATGATTAGACTTAGAGTCTCAAATATTTATAAGCAGCAATCAAACACCCATACATTCTGAATAATTGCAATTCATTCAAGGAGTATTTGATAAATCAGAGGAGAGTGAGCAATCTTTTGATTTCAACATCACTAATGTAAGTAATCAAACCAATAATAGATTGAAGGAGACAATAGAACAACCCTGATGATGAGAAACATTCCATAGAACTATACTAAAGAAATGCTGATTATGGAAATTGATTCAAAATTCAAAAATAAATTTGATTATATCAATTTACCATTTGATGGTACTGTTAATCCTGGTTATGCATTTATCAATCTCAAATCAAAGTCATACCTTAAAGACTTCTATAATTATTTCAATGGCAGAAAATGGAAGACCAATCCATAAAATAAAGTAACCTAATTTCATTATCTTATTTAGCCTTGCTATTTAAAATATGCCAAAATATAGCATAGGAAATTTAAGCAAATCAATCCATAGATATATTTACAACAAAGCAGTGTTATCAAACTTATTTAAAGTTAGAAATAATAATGCAGTTTTTGAATTATATATTAATACTCCTCTCATCAATATTAATTATATATCAACCTATTTTCAAGTAGAATCACATCTATTTATTTTTTAATATACCATTAAAATTTAAAATTATATTATTTAACATAATTATTAAATTCATGATAACAGAGAAATCTACACTTGTCTTTTCAGAGAAAAATAGTATTTTTGAATTTCATACCAGTTCACCAACAGCCAATCACAGGTATCAGTGCATCCAAACAAAACGATAACCTTTTCCTCACCATATCCGAAGATTCAACAATGAGATTATATGATCTAAGATTGTAATCATCTGTCAAATTATTCAATCTTGGTAAAGTAGAAGATTCTCAAACTGCCAATTGTTTACTATCAGACACTTAAGTCTATGGAGCTAGGAATAATGAAGTAATTTATTATATACTATTCAGATTCAATTGTTTGACATTAGATAAGACATTATTGTTAAAGCATGTACCTTAAAGTCTGAAAACGATAGTGAAATCAACTAAATAACCTTTGATTCTCAATAGCAATTAATTTCTGCCAACTTTGACTCGTATTATTATTATACTTCTCTATTATTAGTGGTTGTACATCCATTTTTGATAGGTAACTCAATGTTAAATCCACTCTCAAAGAAGGACATGAAAATGTATTTATCAAACTTCTAATATCCAGATTTGTTTTAGTGGAGATTTCATTCAAGATGAGGGAGAGTAACTCTATGTATCTACAGGATTCGACTATAAAATTATTCTATGGGATTATTAATATAAGCACTAAATTGAAGAACAACCAATACTCTAATAGGCATCTCAAGCAAAGATACTCTTCAAATTTGATTTAAGTATTATTTTTAATTTGATAAAAGGCACAATCCATTTGTAATATGCACCTTTAACTGTTTCACCTCCTGTCATATACTCTGCAACTTCTAAAGATAATTCAATTCTAATATCAACTGAAACTGGACAAGTCTATTGTTTCAAAGTACAACAACTGAAAAGAAAGAAAAATAAGAAACCACCAATTCCTGAATTTGTCATAGATGCTCATAAAAGTAAAGTGATGAGAACCACTTATTTAAATGATAAAATAGTTACAATTTCAAATGATCAGACATTTGCTATTTGGAATCAATCAGTTTAAGTGTTAAGAGCAAAAATAAAAGATAAGCCTAATTGGATAGAGAGTATTGGAAATAACACTGTTCTTGTCAGTGATATTTCTAATAAATTATCAATATTTGAAATTGTTTGAAAATGGGTTTTTATATTTTTGAATGATTAGATACTCAATTTAACTGAAGTCTTTCTCTTAAGTATTCTTTAAGAGTAACTATCTTATCTTAAATGTGATCTGATATTCTTGAAATTAAATCCTAACTCTAAACTCTTGATTAAGTTTCCATCTAATAAATGTCTTATTATTATCTACACCATTAATCTTATCCTTCTAAGTTGCTCTTATTATTTAAATTATTTTATTACCTAATTTCTTTCAACCTCAGCTGCATGATACTCAACCTTGCCTTCAGATTCCTCAATGATACTCTAATAATTTAAAATTGCTTATTCTAAATTCTATCTTTGATCTGATCTATTATAGATGTAAATATAAATAATTACAATGTGTTTTTCTCGTTTGTCAAATCTGATAAGAATTATTACCAATTGAGACTTTATTATTTCTCAATTGATTCGTCATTTCCTTTACTTTCAACAATTTGAACTCTCAAATTGGCCAATAACTATAAGACTTTCTTTGCAGTGTCTGAATCTGATTTTGATGATAATTAGGTCATCATTGTAAGAATTGGCTAGAATAATAATCCAGTTGATTAACTAAGAAATTGCAATAGAGCTTTACTTCTATAATCTCTATAAGACTTTATTGAATCTTCCCTTAACTTGAATGAAAGATGAACCACTAGATAAATGTTCAATTAGAGCATATGCTTCATCAATAGCAGCAATAGCTTCTGTATGATCTTTAATCTTTGATTAAAATTCAGCATATTGTAAATCTCTTTCGCTCTATCCTGCATTTGTTTTCTTGGTGTTCTCCTCAATTTCAACTGAGACTTCTGCAATCTTGTTTAGAGATCTTTAGAGATTATTTGTGTTTTCCTAATTTATATATAAAACATTAACCTCCACAATTTTCTAATGAGCTTTCAATTGGCTCTAATGATAGGCCAAATTAGTTGAAAAATCGTGCAACAATCTATTGCATGATGCTTGTGTGTTTTGGATATAAAGATCAGCATCCTTTTATTCTTATTCCAACATGAATCTACTATCAAGCCTATTATATACCTTATATTGTTTATATAGCTCTAAATCTCATGTACAGGTGAGCCTGTTGCCAAACTGATTTGGATTGCATTCAAGAATGTTTTCCCCATATGATGATCATCAATTTCTGCCAATACAATCTTTGGATCTGTGCCCATTTTGCATAATGCCTAACATCCTATATAAATACTACCATGCTCAATAGAACTAAAATCAATATTCTCATTTTTATATTATTATTAAAAACGAATACAAATTATAATTCTAATCTTTTATCTTATATGAATATACTTCAAAGTCAATGCCAAAATGCTCCTAAAACATCATTTTTATTTCAAATATCTTGTTAACGCAATACTAGTATGTCAATTCTACGTATTTAATATATTCTAGTTTTAATTTATTAAACTGCTATCTAAATAATAAATACAATTTGAGATTCAAATTTTAAAGATGTTAAATTAAATTGATATATTTAAATTCAAATTCATGTAAATAATAATAATAATAATGAATTTCAGGTGTTTTTGAGAATTTTTTTATTTTTTATTATCATTTTATACCATTTCCCTTTATATTAGTCTTGATAAAATTTGAAATAAAAATTAATATTATCTTCATTATGAGAACAAATATAATAAAATAAATTACTGAATTCAGATATTAACCTCATTAATAAATATAGATTCTATATTTATGCTTTTTAGTAATATTATTTATTCTTTTGGAAATGAATATATAAAATTAATTAATTACTCATAGATTTGAGCATCAATGAGTGATAATCATATAATTTTATGAATAACCACTCGGGTTTAGAATTTTGTCTATTTTAGGATTAGTTTATGAGTGTTTGATGAAAATTTACTGCATTTTTATTGAATAATAGAGATTGTATTTTTAATTTTTTTTGGAATATTAACAATATTATAATAATCCGTTTTAATGAGAACAGTGATTCTGATAGTTATTCTAATATGTATGGCTCAATCAGCTCAACATTTGAGACAAAAGAAGAGCCATATTTTGAATGGATAAAAATAAGCTTTGATTCAAAAATAGGTGCAATACATTGATGATGATGTTTCATTGAATCAGGAACAAGATGTTTAATAAGAAGGCTTTTAAGAAATCAATGTTCATGAGTAAAAGTAGGTTCAAATAGAAGAGGAAGCAGTAATATAAATTGATGAAGAACAAACATTGACTCCAGAATAAATGGAAGAGTTGGACAGAAAAGAATAAGAAGAATATGAGAGATTGAAGAGATAAACACTTGAGGAATAGCATTTAAATGACGAAGACTCTTATATGTCGAGTCAAGAGAATGAAAGAAAAGAAAATACTCAATATGATCCTGAAAGTGAAATGCCTGTTGATGTGGTTGAACATTAACTTACTCCAGTAATTTAAAAGGATCCAATTCCTGATTAAAAGGGAGTTGTTTCTCCATTTGCTCCAGCAGATAACAGTTTACCCTATTCATCATATGATAGCGAAAGTGGATTCGAGATTAAGGAAAGTGATATCAAAATGTAGGGATCAATCAGTCCAAGCGATTTGGATCAATATTTGCAAGAGTAATATAGAAAGGAGATGGAGTAATTTGCAAATTTCCACATTTGAAAATATAAAATAATTATAAAAATAATAATTCAATCTGAATCATCACTAAATGGATAATCTATATGATATACATGATTCGAATTTTAATCCTTTGTCACTTGTATTTCCTTTTTATATGTTGAAATATCAATAGATTTAAATTTCTTGAGATCCTCAGAAATTTTGGAAACTGATGAATTTTTCAAAGAGTGACGTTTCCAAATCTCTCCAGCTCCAAATAAGAAACAGATTTATTTAATCTTCTTGGCGCTTAATTCTGATTCATTATTTGTTTTTTGATTTAAGAATCGTGCCATGTTTTTTTCCAAAGTATCCCTTGGAATCTCTGATTTGTTTTGTACATTTTTAATCCATGGATGATCTAGAGCTTATTCAGGTGTTAATCTTTGAAGTGGATCTAATTATAGCAAATTTTATATTAAATCTTTGGCTTAAGGTGAAATTTAATCCCAAATTGGACCAACCATTTAGTATTTGCATTTTGAAATTTAATCAATAAGATCATTTAGATAATCTGAATTGAACGGTAATTCACCACTTAACATCACATACAATATTACTCCTGCACTCCACAGATCAACTTATTCACTGATTACAAAATATAATTTACTTGTACAATCCCCCTGAGAATATTTCAGGAGCAGAAAATGCAACAGTACCTGTGTATGTCCACATTTCGATTTTACCATGGTCGTTGAGATTAGTGAATTCTTTATAGCCGTCAGTAAATTTTGAAACCTTATGTATTAATTATTATTTACATTAAAGTCTGTAATCTTAATTGAAGTACCATCCTCTGCACATAGAATGTTATTTGGTTTCAAATCTCTATGACAACAATAATTATCATGCATATATTTTATCGCCACCAAGATTTACTCAAATAATATTCTTGCAGTCCACTCTAAAATTATATCATAATTTACCACTATAATTCTTTTACTTTTGTATTACCTCAAACATTTCTCTACCCTTCACCTTTTCCATTATTACTAAAACTGTTCCTGTGCTCTGGAAACCTTCATTCCATTGTATGAACAGTTCCTTCATAGCAACAATGTGAGGATGACTTAATTTTTTAAGATTCTTAAATTCTAAAATCATCTATCACATTAATATTCAAATATAACATTTTTCACAATCTCTTCAGCATCTGTCTTTACAATTTTACATGCAAATTCACACCCATCTTATTTTCTTGTAACACTTCTTACTAACCCAATACATCCTTCTCCCAATATTTCACCATCAATATAATTTTCATGATACAAGCTCATATCAAATTTTATATATTTGAGATCTTCCTCCTCTAATTCAACGTTTATTCGAATCAAAAACTCTTAAATTTACTTATCTTAATCCTTATTCTCATTTTTATTAATTAATTAGAGCATTTGTCCTAGAGATAGAAACTCATCTTACCTTTGAACCTATTTTTCAATTATTGCAAAGCACCAGAATTTTCATTAGTAGGAGCTCGAGAGAATGAAAATTTGCTCTTTCTTTTCTAATTTTATATATCCATTAATAAATTAGTTTGTTTGTTTTAAATTTTCTACAAGAGTAATTTATAAATCAAATCAGATTAGTTTCATTTTAATACTATAAATAACTAAGACAAGTACAAATCAGTAATACATTCATCAAAATGAGAAAGGTGTTCTAAAATATGAAACCCAAAATAACTATAGTTGAAGCTTTATATTGAGTTTTTAGTATCTTATTAAAGTGCAGAGAAGTCAGGAGAAGTCTTTATATAGTATTTCATTAAAGTTAGTGTATAATTTATATAGAATTGCTTTTATCAGAATTACAAACATTCGAAATTTAAATGAATTATTGAATACAAATTTTAATTAATTTCAACAAAATAAATTATGTCTGGGTACGACATTAATCGATTCTAGCCTCAACCTCAACAACATCTGATATGTTTGGTTTGCAATAAAGTAGTAAAAGACCCATATGAATGCAATTTTTGTGGTTAAATGTACTGCTCTGATTGTGTGGCAACAAAGCCTCCTTGCAAAAGCTCAGATTGTGGATATCCACCAAATTCTTCAGATAATACTCCTAAGTATATTAAAATTTAAGGAGCAATGCTTAAGGTTTATAAGAACTTGTAATTATTCTGCTCAAATCCTGAATGCAAAAAATTGTGTTCTATTATAGATATCGAATAACATCAAAATCAATGTATTAAAGTTAAATGTTTAAATCATGAAAATTGTAAAGAGTTTTTGTCTGCTGAAGAGAAATAGTAATCTTATTAATCAACTTTAGTTAAACATCATATTGCAGCATACTATGTGAGTTGACAGTGCAATTGTTTGAAAATGTGTCGGATCCTAAAAAATAATACGATATTATTAAGAAGCTTCAACAGAAGTTAACAGGATCTGGATAAGTATCAGGCTTTCTATCCTAAAATAAATAACCTGCAATACAACCCGTTCTCAGTGTTGATGGATGTCCAAGTTTTAGATGGGATAAAAACAAATGTGGCACAGGCATTTAATTGTTAAATGGTGATTCTAGTGTCTTCCTTAAAGAAAGTTCATACATTTTCAGAACAGTTTTGGGAGATCAGGTATTTAAACAATTTTTAACATTTTTAGGGATTTGAAACTGGTATTCATTATTGGGAAATTGAAGCAGATGCTAAAACTGAAAATGAATTAAAAATTGGAGTTTGTTAAGGAAATGCCATTAATTTGAATGCTGCTTTCTGCGACTTAAATCAAGGCTTCGCTTATTATGGATTAGCATAATTAAGAAATGGAAGCAATGCATCTGGATAAACTTATGGTAAAAGATTCAAAAAAGAAGGAATTCTTGGAGTTTGCTTAAACATGCTTAATGGTACTCTTAACTTTAATTACTTTAGGTACACTCTCCTTCGCATTAAATGGCGAATATATGGGTATAGCATTTAGATCAGATTTACTTAAAAAAGGACCAATCTATGCTGCTGTTGCATTATTGCATTGTGCTGGATGCACTCTTAGAACTGGAAAACAAAAACCTCAATATATGGAATGAAGTCTATTTAACTAAATTTTAATAAGACCTTTTTAATAGAATTAAAAAAATTATTTAAGTCATGATTTACAATTCAAACAGCCAGTCAAATTTTATTCTCGAGCCTATTCTATAGTTATCATTAAAGTTTAATATTTTTGCACATGCTCACAATTTCTAAGATGATATTTAGTACCATTTCTTGTTCTAAATACCATGCCTTCTGGTACTCCTTATTGAGTTTAAAATTAATAGTATTATTATTATAATTACTATTATTGTTATTGTTATTGCTATTATTATTGTTATTGCTGTTGTTATAATTATTGTTATTGCTGTTGTTATTATTATTGTTATTGTTATTGCTGTTGTTATTGCTATTATTGTTATTAACTTTTAATTAATTATGAAAATCCTGAATTTATTTATTGTTGTAAATTTTAATTTTTATATAACTCTTCCAATTTTTTCTGCTAATTCTTTTTAACTTTTTAAGTTTCCTATATTTTTCGCTCAGTCATTTCTACAACTTAGTTAGCTGCATCCTAAGCTGCTTATAATTGTTTGATCAACTCATTAAATTTCTTCCCCAAATGAAGAATTTAGCCATTCTAATTATTGGCATTTTTTTAAACATCACTTTGCTATTAAGTTAGTTATCTCTCATAAATTTAAAACCTTTCTTCAAGATTTGCTATTTTAGACCAAATTTAACCTAACTTATCTTTTAAGATAACTTCAACCACCTCTTTAATTTCTTCTTTAGTCATTTATTTTTGTTTATATATTATAATTAAAATTTCATTTGATAACCATTTATAACCTGAAATATTATTAAATTTAGTTATAGAAAGGGGATCTAAATTTTGCATAATAAATATATCCTTATATTATTCTAATAAAAAGTATCTTCTTAAATAATGTCTAAGTAATACATTTATTATGATTATACATAATTTTATTATTTCTAATAGAGATGGTTGAATTGAAATGAATTTCAACCTAACAACATTTAATTAATGACAAAGTTACACATTATACAATATGATGCTATTTCATATTATAAATAGCAATATGTATTTTTGCACGTAATAATTAAATGAATAAAATAATATTGTCAATAGTGTTTACTACTCTGTTGATTGCTTACATCGTGATAGACATAGCTTTTAATGATGAACTCTGGGATGTTAGCAAGTCGTTTGCGATATCAATGCAAAAAACTATTCCTCTTTTCGAGCAGCTATTTTATGAATTCTTCTCAGACATTGTCATCATTCCACCAATAGCAGCATTTTATTGTTTCGTATATGACGACAATAAATTAAATGCATTGCTTTATTTGGGTGTTGTAATAACAAGTGTAACAACAAATGAGATTTTAAAAAACATTTACCATTAAGCAAGACCATACATGATTGAACCTGAAATTAGGAGGTACCTAAAAATAATATTGTAGTTTAAAATGCAACTCAGACTACGGTAAACCATCGGGACACTCTCAAAACTCTATTGTTATGCTTATTCTTATGCCTGTGTTGCTTTTCCCATCAATTAGATAACTAAGAAGGCATAGAATTTAGGTTGATTTTTAAGATAGTAAGTATTCATTTAAATTACATTAGATAATGAGAAAGTAGAACCTCCTACAGGGTATACAATATATACTGAGAAAAATTCAGAGTTAGGAGTAACAATTATAAGAATATTTAGTTAAGAATAGTTAATACTAAGTAAATACCAATCTTTAATCTAAATTTAAAATTGCAATGAAAGTGATCCTAATATTATTCATCCTTTTAAGCATAGTGTTGACTGGAATATCTAGAGTATTTCTTGGAGTTCATTCTTTAGGATAAGTACTCCTTGGTTGGGTTTGGGGCCTATATATAACTTTAATGTATATTTTTGTAATTCATGCATCATTAAGAGAGTATTAATCAAAAAATATCAATTTAGATACATATTAAATTTGGTAAATCCCAAAAGGAGTAGATTAGAGGAAATGAATCATATTATTCCTATGGCATTTTTCCTATTGATAGTTTTATTGGGATTATCCTTGGGATTATTAAAAATGAATTCATTATACTATTATGATAAAAACGATATGAGTAAATGGATAGCAAGAATCAATGAATGCAAATCAACTCATTACACTAAGGAATCCCCTTAAATATTATATAATTCCTGTTTTTAGTTTACAGGAGTAGGAGCTCTAATTACTGGATTATTAGTTGGTGCTGTGTTAGTGTAGGGTTCTTATGAAGAAGGGCTCTTTAATAAGTGGAAGAAAAAGCTTTCAACATTATACCATCTTAAGAGATTCCTCCTATTATTACTTCCTTTTGTAATTTTAATACCCTTCTTATTCATTTCGTCTAATTCTGTGGTTTTACAGATGATATGCAAAGTATTATTATTATGATCTTTAGATACTTCCATTGTGCTTTGGAGCAGGATTTATTGTCAATGGAGCATTTCCATATCTTTTAAGAAGATTTAACTTACAAATCCCTGGAGATTTTCTATTTTTCTGCCAAAGAAAATAATTAGATGACGAATAAAGTTAAGATAGCTTGTATTAATAAATAAAAGAGTATAATGATTAATATTAAATTAAGCTTTGATTAATATAATTTAATTATAAATGGACGCTGAAGTCACAATCTTTGATAAAATCGTATCTGGATAGATAAAAGCAAACATCGTTTATTAGGATGATCTAGTAAAAATTAACTTTATTTAGTGCCTTGCTTTTCATGATGTCAATCCATAGGCTCCTGTGCATATTCTGTTGATTCCAAAATAACGAAATGGATTGACATAATTATCGAAGGCTTAAGAACACAATAAGGAAGTCTTAGGCCATCTATTGTTAACCGTCACTAAGATCGTTGAATTAGTTGATGAATTGAAGAAAGGATTCAGAGTCGTCATTAATGATGGAGAAAATGGAGGCCAGAGCGTTTGGCATCTTCATCTTCATATAATTGGAGGAGAATAGTTGACTTGGCCTCCAGGTTCCAGTGGAAGCTAAAACAAATGAGCAAATGGTTAAAATAATAATAACATTTTATATTTAATGGATCAGAATCTTAATACTCTGTCTTGAACATACAACATTTCATATCTTGTATTGTAATCCATATCTCCTGATGGTTTGCATGCTAAGTCCCAGTATGAAGTATTAAAAACCTATTCATTAGATACTAATATATACTTAACAAGGATCTCCCAATAAAAATGTATTCCAAATTAAAATGTAAGCAAATAATACCCAACCACTTCTATACATCAAGTTCATAGCCATAACATGCATCTTATATGTATAACTGTGATCTTCTTCCATTCCAATGCTATCACCTGCTTATCTCAAAACTAATGTTTTGAATAACCCTCTTTAACTTAAATAAGAAAATATACTGTCTGCCGATTCCATGATAATACCCAGTCTAGTATGTTGCTAACAATTTTGGATCATATCTATTAATATACTAATAATAAGCATGTTTTGAACAAGTTTTGTAAAATCTCTTATCCATTATTTATTATTTTATATTATTATATAAAATTTATTTAACATTTATATTATCGATTCAAGAGTTATAAATCTTAATGAAGAACTCATTTTTTTCTTTTTTCCATTTATTGCTTTAATATATCATTCTCTTTTGATTGAATTACTACTATTTCTTCCTATATTTTGGATAAATTTTCTATTCATCTATCTTAACTTTTCTTTTTCCCCATGATATCATATACAGAGTTCAGGTTATTTCAAAAAATAAAGAAATAGTATATAGTATCTTATATAGTGTTCTTGGTTAGAAGTACCTACTTATGTATAAATTATAATTAGATTCAAATTTGAAACAGTAAAAATCCGGATTATGCCAAAGCCTTGAACAATTATAGTACTATTAAATGAGAGTAGAATTTATTCAGCAAAATTATAACACAATTTCTGGCATAAAATTGCACTAAGTATTTTATAGTGCAATTCATAATGTAAATTATTACGAAATTATAAAATTGTCAAATTAATTTCATTGTAATTCCTAAAGAAATCCTTTTCTTGAACAATTTCGATTATAATCATCTAAGACAATTAATAATTTTTTAATAGTTTATATACTTAATGGATTTATATAAATTCAAATAATAGTTAATAGGCAGAATATTGCAAAAAGCCCTATTTGTAAATTGGTAGAAAAATCAGCATTTGAAATAGTTAAAGTTATTTACATGTTCCTACCTATTAAGTCACATCTAAACAGGTCTAATTTTGATTACAATATTGAGACTTTTCTTATCCGCAATAACAATTTGATGTTTTGCTAGTTGTACATTTCTCTTAACAACCACTTTATTTTGTTCCAAGATTTTAGCATTCAAAGCCAGATTAACAAATTAATTTTACATCTAAACCATTCTCCCTACTACCGCAAAAACAATTATTTTAACCATTTTCTTTGCAAGTTGGTACGCATTTTGCAGTAAGATCATTATAGATAGTATCAAGTTAATCAAGACAAGCTTTGGTTTTCAGATAATATCAAACAATTTTGATAATTAGTTGAAGAGCATTCTGACATACAAACACCTTTAGATTGCAATATACAATATGTTGAAGCATGGCATATATCTATAGAATCTATTCCACATAAACAGTTATTTTAATTTTACTTACATTTTTCATAACATACTCCAATGAGTGCTGTCTAATCTAAACAATATTAATTCTTATTGCAATAAGCTTGATTACTTAAACCACAAGTACAATTTGATTAAAATTGTAATGTACAAGTTCCTTAATTACAAATTCCATTATCTGAATTTGGATCAACGCATTTTTCTTCATTTGAACATACCTATTTGACTTTGTTTCCACAAATACAATTGGAAGATTAGTAAGAACAGTAATCTAAACAAATTCCTTCTGATTTTGATGAACAATATGTGGTAGATGAACATTGTGAATAATATGATGTTCCACAAACACAATTGTTTTCAAATAAATTACATTATTTAACACAGTTACCTGTAAGTTATTAAACATCATGGCAATGTTCATTTGAACCACAAAAAGGAGTAACAGAGTTACCACATTAGCAATTTGTTTATAAATTCGTAACGCATTTTTCTATACAATATCCATTCATATCATTAGGATTCTAACATACTTAAGTTTTAGAACAGATAAGTTTATTAACTGAACCACAAATACAATTAGACTTTAAATTTTGATTACAATTTTATATGCAAACTCCTGTTGAATCAGATACATTAGTGCAATAAGTAGATTAAGAACACTAAGAAACCTAAGTTATACCACATAAACAAGAGTTATCAAAATTATTAATGCAATTTGGTATAGTAATACAATTGCCATCATTAGAAGTTGGATCTTGGCATTTTTGTTAGTTAGAACAAACTTATTTTGTTGCAATTCCACAAATGCAAGATGATCTAACACTATCTGTACAATTATCATAACATTACCCATTAGAAGCAGAAGCATTCACACAATATTTAGAATTATTACAATTACTAAATTGACTTTAACCACATGAACAATTACTTTAAAAATTAGTAGTACATATATCCAAACAATTACCTGAACTAGCCATATTATCTTCACATCTTTATGTTGAACTGCAATATGATACTGTTGAAGATCCACAAATACAATTATTTACAGTTGATCCTTAACATTTATTAACACAAACTCCACTGGCTGCAGTTGGATCTTTGCAATAAGTAGTTGAACCACAATTTTGTTTTGATGAACTACCACATGAACAGTTATTTTAGTTAATTGAAGAACAATTCGCAACAGATACACATGAATTACTCTAGCATTATTTAGTTGAATCACAATAGGATTTACTTGAGGTTCCACATATACAATCAGACACTGTTGATCCTGAACATGCCTATTTACATTGTCCTGATGTAGCATTGATGTCCACACAGTATGTAGAGAGCTTAGGCATTCTACTTAGTCTGTTCCACACTAGCATGAATTTGAGTTTAAATTTTAAGCACAATATTATTTACACACTCCAGTTGAGGCTGCAATATCCTTACATCCTTCTGATGAGCCACAAACCACTAAGCTAGATGTTCCACATATGCAATTTGATTTTTTTGATGAAGAACAAGCTTAAATTTAACATTTTGAATCAACCCATTCATATGGTGAAACACAATCAGTTTAAGTCCTAAATAAACTTGCATAACAAGCCCCACCTGATAAATAGCATCCAAAATAGTTAGAACAGGTTGAAGTGCTTAATCCTCCGCAATTTATACACTAATTGCTAAAGGAAAGACCACATCCTGTTGAAAGGCATGAAGTATTTGGTATGCTGGTGCATTTTGTACAGGCTAAATTGTACCATCCGCACACATTTTAACAATTTGATTAATCCCAATCTGAACATTTGTAACAGCCTTCTTCTGACCACCAACCACAACCTGTCTCTGCCTCACAACTTGCTGAATCAGTGGTGGTACAATCAGCAGATGCTTATTGTAATGTCAAACAATAAAGAACAAAGGAAATCATAAAAAGCTAATCAAATTTGATATAATTGTAATTTAAATGCTAACTGAAGATTTAAGATATGATCTCATATGTTTATATATTAATACCAAAATTGAGAATATTTAAATTCTTAAATATTGTACTTAAATAGGAAGCTTGAGAAAAAAAAATATCATGATTTAAATATTGAATAAGCAAATTTATAATAAAATAAATTTCATTAGTAATATATATGCAATAAAGTGAATTAATATAATTCTTAATATTAAATAGTTAGTAAAACTATATTGAAGAAAGTAACTCTTCAATCATGAATAAGTTTGAGTAAAATATTTTTTATTTCATGAATAAAGGTTTAATTTGTTTGATGTAGGAACTATTTTTCATATAATGAGAAAATATGAAGGATAGATTTACTCTTTTATAGCATTTATCAATGAAGTAGCTTAATTTTATCCTAGATTAATTAATGAGAATATATCAGAATTAGATTAATGTGATGAGAGTAGGAAGTTGATTCAAAAAAATAAGAATAATATTATAATTTTCAATACTATTTGGCAGCAGCCTTGCTTTATTTTGTATTAGTTTATTAAACAGTAGTAGTTTTTTCAGTAGTAGTAAAAGTTTTTTGTTTTTTCAAAGAATCTAATTCAGCTTAAGCCATCATCCATTATTCTTGGGCAGTGTGAAAATCTTGATTGGCTTTCATAAATCTCTCCTTCCAAATTTCAGCTTCATTAGAATAATATTTCATTTTTTCAGTAGTTTATTAATACTCACTCATTTCCTATTCTAATTGATGGATCATTTATTTATACTATGCAATTTCTTAGTCTTTATTTCTAATATATTAAAATTTAAATGTTACTGAATTAATCTCATGTAATTTTGCATTTCCACATTTTAAGAATTTACTGCATTCTCTAATTTCAAAATTTGCCTTTCTTTTTCGGCTAAAGCATCTCTTAACTATCTGACTTCTTCACCTCCTTATAACAATTATTAAAACTCTAATTGCAATTTGGAATATCTCTATCTCCAAGAATCAATTTCACTTTATTAGCTTTCTATTTCTTTTCTTAAGGCGTCCTCAATATCCTTCATCATTTTGATTTTAGCTTCCAATTCTCTTACTTGGAATTCCTCATTTGATGTAACTTTCAATTCTTATCCTTAATTTTTAAATCTGCCTAATTCAGTTTACAAATCAAATATTTTAATTTCTAATTCAACACATTTCTTTTTCCAAGGTTCCTCTACATCTTCTACAGAAAGAACTTATAACTCTCTTTCAACATGAAACATCTCATTAATTTCAGGTTATTAAGGAGGAGGAGGAGCAGCAACAATGGATTATTACGGAGCAGAAACAATTGCTTACTAATATTGAGGGATTTTATATTCATGAGTATGATGCCTAAAATACTTGATTTGTTTTTTACATATGGTGTTATTAGATAGTTTTAACATGTTGATTTGATTATGTATATAGTTGACTCTAAGCTGCTTATTGCTAAAATATCATTGATGGTTGAGGTTATATTAACTTCATTTAGACAGGTTATTAAAGTTGCTAAAGAGGAAGTCGCTGATTAGTTTAAAGCTATTATTAGTATAGAACAGATTGAACTGGATGTTAGGTATATTAGTTGTTCGTTAACATTAATTAAATAAAATTATCAAGATTAGAATTTTTGATCCAACAATCCATTCATTTTATCAATACCTTCCCAGATTCCTTCACCTGATTTCGCACTGCATTTTTGGATTATCACATCTGATTTTGAGTATGGAATATCTCCAAATTCCATGGTCTAAGAATTTTGTAAATCTGATTTATTCAGATACATTAATAACACTATCTAGATTAGTTGGTTAATTACCTTTGTTTTTATATCCTCGCTTAACTTTTTTAATTCTTTTTAGATCTCTTATTATTTCTCCTGATTTGTACTGTCAACAACAAAAACCAACCCATCCAAATTATCATAATAATGAGACCACAATGTTCGCACTTTCCCTCCAACATCAAAAATCAAATAGAATCTCTGTTTATATTAAATTGTCTCAACATTCAAACCTATAGTAGGTTAAGTTTCGGTAAATTTTCCATTTCTCAAATATTATAATATTGCTGTCTTTCCACTCCCTTCTAATCCTATGAATACAATCTTTAACTTCTTCTAACTCTACAAAGCAATGCTAACATCCTCTTCTTTTTAAGATGAAGAAAGACACCCCATATTTTTATAATTTATAATTATTATTGTTTACTAAAGAAAATATTAATTATTTTGGAAGAGCTTGAAAATTTTAAACATCTACCATTTATTCTTATTTATTCACTGATATATACATCATGATTGAATTCTTAAAATGCACTTTAATTCTAAATATTGTTTGAATCCTACTGGTAGTCAGAAGGAATGCTATTATAATTGAACAAATAACATTAAGACTTCTTTTATTTTAGAATTATTGAAAAATAGGTTTTTTCTAGTTAATTGACTCTGCAAAGATCCAACTGCTTATAGAAATATAATTATAATACAAAATCGAACCATAATTTTGATAATGCTTATAATGTGGTTTAATAATTAATAGAAGAGAAATTCTACAGCAATTTTGATTAAATAAATTAAGTTTAGATGGGCTTTGAAATGAAACTCAGAATTTAATTTCTTTTTCTAAAATATAAGTTCTTTATGTCGATTATTATTTATAAGGAATCTATTGAAAACAAAATTGAGAAAAAATATTTTATATATACTAAATTAATAATTTTTTTGTAATATTATAGTGATAAAAATTAACAAAGATATTAATCAACTGAAAACGATTTTCTACAAAGCAAAAGATTGATTTTAAAACACTAATTTCATGCACTAAAAAATTAAAAATAAAATGCAAATCATTTTCATTTTTTAAATAATTCATCAACTCTAGCTTTGGATAAAATTAGATGACTTCATTATTATTACTCAAAAAAATAAAGTAAACTAACTTAAATTAAATTAATCTATAACCCTAAAGATGTAAAACCTGCATTGATTATCTTGGAGTAAATTAATTCTTGTTTTTAAATAAGAGAAAAACTACACTTATTTTTATCTGAGTCAAAATGAAATTAATTGCTTAATAGTGAATAACGACGAAGTTGTAAGTATATTAAGAATCTGCTGATTCAAATGGAATCTAAATTTAAATTATATAGAGATAAGGACCATAGAATGAAGTTATTAATAAGTATAATATTCTTGTATAATCCAGCCTAAAATTTGAAAGTATATAAATTGAATGAAAATAATGGCTAATAGTAAAAGGATAGCAATGGCAAAGAGCAAAACTGATATGATTTTGATTGCTGTTTTCATAATGTAATACAAATCTTATTAATAAAAAGATCAGATGCTGAGCCAACTTATTTCAAGTTAATGAGAATTATGAACTTGAAATTTAACAAAAAATTAATTTTCACTCTCTCTATATATAGGGCGAAATAAGTTGGGATTGAAAATACTCTCCACTTTAGATTCAGGCAAAAAATAAGTCTTAATTTGGAATTTTATTAATTATGATTGATTAAAAAATAATAAATATTATGATTGAGGCAATCAATGAGAATTTAATATTAGATTTTTTATTTGGAAATATTTGAATCAGAATCCAATTGAAATTTGATTTTTTTATAATTAAGTAAAAATGAAAAATCTTTTTCATATTAATTTACTTTATGAATAATATTAAGGATTACTTTTCAACTCCCTTAAGCCAAATGAGCAAAAATCACTTAATTTCCGAGATAGATGATGAAAACTTAGAAAATAATTAATATATCTCTGCCCAGGCTTTCACAATAATTTAATCATGTCTTAGTAAAACCATTATTGAGGATTATCCCATGAATAAATTAAAAAGAAGCTAAGAAAACTAATAAAGTAACTGGAAAGATTCTTTTAAATGGCTGTGAAGATAAAGATTGATTTTCTGTGAATTTATATGTAATAATAAGTCTTATTTTGGTTCGTCTTAGATTTTTGATCATTCAATAATATTGTAAATTTAAGGGAGATAAATGAAAATTAAATATTATATTTTCATAAACAAACTAGCTTTCATAATTTTTTCACCTCTTCAGCTGAAAATTTCATTTTTTCCCTTTGCAATTCATATAAGGCTAATTATTTTTAATTTAATATTTGAATGCAGTGTCGTTAATCATCAGTATTAAGACATAATTTATATTCGTTTAAGTTTGATTGGAATGCCACTTCATAATAATAGAAAGTGAAAAATGACTTTTTAATTAACAACATTATTTTTGGACTTTAGAATATCCAATTGGCATTAATAACTTTGCCTAGATCTACAAACACTTGATTTTCTGCTTTTTTGTGTAGAATGTAATTTTGAAAGTCAAATGATGCGTAGAATTGATCAATTTTGGTTTTGCTTTTAGAATATTTCTAAATTTTACTCAAATGTTTTCAAATATTATTCATTGAAATCTTTGATTGTGAAATATTCATTATGATGATATAGATTCTTAAATGATGGATCTGAAAGTGTTTCTATAAAATTTCCCATATTTAAATTTAATATAATTATCTTAGTATTGTTAATAGCTTAGTTATTTATATCTAATTAAAAGCAGAAGTGATATGTCAATTCATATAAAAATATAAATTAATAAAAATGAATGAAAAAAAAAATGATTTCTTTTCGTTCTTCAATGGATCTCAGAAGAAAAAGGAAACTAAAAAAATCATCTTCGATGAAAATTTCTTTAATCTACAGGTTAATGGAGGAAAGATTCATAGCGATAGGATTGTAATAGAAGCCATCTCTGTTGTTGGTAACTGTATTTTAGTAAAAGAAGATAATGAGAAGTTGGAAACTGACATCAAGTGGTTTTAGATCTCACCAAGCAATGATTTCAATACTTTGGGAATAACAGGAAACTCTTATCAACCTAGTATAGAGGATGTTGGTTCTAAGTTCATGATCCAAGTTGTGCCTATCAAAGAGGGTAGACAATATGAAGGAATGCCTAAGTCATTAGAAATAGGGCCATTGCTTAAGGATGAGACTATTCAAGAAGAAATCGACGAATTATTGGACAATGAGAAAATGACTGTATTTGTCACTTTAGAATAAATATTAAGCAAAGATTTTGAAATTGTACTAAAATATTAATTAAAAAGGAAGCAGAATTGCCAATCAATTGCATACTCAAAATAACCCTTAAAAATATGGAATTAGAACTAAAAAAGAATGATCAAACTATTCATCATATTCAAGTTCCCTTGCAAGCACAATATCCATCATGCTCGTCTAAGCAAGGGACTAGCGAGAGTTTCATCCTAAGAGTAGATTAAACAAATCAATTTTAAATGAAAGCCGCAGATAATTCATAAAGAGATATAATTCTGACTGTCATTAAAGGATTTTATGGCAAAGGTATATGGAAGGATTAGGAAACGTAATAAATTGGAGAAAGTGAGGATGAGGATGAATCAGATGAGGCTGAAGAATAGGAATTAGAATAGTAAGGGGATGAAAATCCTAAAGATGAACAATAGGAGCAAATTCTACAATAGGTGCAATAGGATGAAATTTTAAAAGAGGAAGGAAAAGACAATATAAAAGACATAGCATAAGAGCAATTAAATGATAAATCAGTTGAATCTTAAATAATAAAATAGGATAGAGAATAAGAAGAAATCAAAATTCTCTAAAATTAATAATTAATTGAATAATAGGAATTGCAAAAAGCAACAGAATCTATTGAGTAATCGCAATCCAAAGAGTAGGATGAATAAGTAGATGAACACAAATCAGAACTTGAATAATAATAACATTAAATTATAGAATAAAAGGTAAATATTGAAGATTAATAAAATGTTCAAGCCATAGAGGAGCAGAAAAAACCTATCGAATCAACAGCTATAATAACTCGGACTAAATCTGATGAAATAATTTAATAGGTTGATGAAACTAAAATCTAAGAATAAGAAAACGATTAAAATAATGAGGAAAAATAATAAAACGACACAATTTAAGAATAATAATAAAAAGAAATAATTTAAGAATCATAATAATAAGATAAAGAAGAATAAGATTAGTAATAGTAAAAATAATAATAATAACAAAAACAAGAATAATAACAATAAGAATAATAAGAATAATTATAATTGTAAGAATAATAATAATAGTAAGAATAATAATAATAATAGTAATAGCAATAATAATATGAATAATAGCAATAATAATAACAATAACAATAATAGCAACAATAATTATAGTAATAATAAATAGATGCTTAGTAACCAAAAATTGATGCAGCATCGAATTAATCATAGTAGATTGAATAATAAGAATAGTAAACAAAAGATATAGAAAATAAATAATAAGTAGAGAATGTTAATAGTAAATAAAATGAATAAACTAATTAACTTAATAAGGAAGAATAATAAGGCAAGTAGAGAGCCGATCATAAGTTTTAATCAGTTATAGTTAGTTCAGAAAATAATAAGGAGGAGAAAGCCAGTCCTATTAAAAAAAAAGAAAAGAAAAATAATATGGACTTGTACATTTAAATAAATGAGAACGTGAAATTAAAATAAGATATTGAGTAATATAAAGTTAACTAATAAAAGGACAATGAAACAATCCAAAAATAAAAGAAATAAGTATGAATTTTACAAATATAATAGATTTAAACGCTAACTGAGTAATTAAATAATTGCACTAAGAATTATTATTTACTTGAAGAAGAATGTACAAATCAAAAGAAGATCATGCATAATTTAAATGATTAAAAAGTATTTTTATAACAGGATATCAACATGTACAAAACTTAATTATTGGAACTAACAGAATCCAGTTCAAATTAGAAAGAGGAGATCTCCTAATTGCAAAAAAGATTGAAGCGATAATAACAATCATAAGATTTGAATGAAGCAAAGAAATAGATTGAGTAATTAAAGGAAGATATTACTAAGAAGGATTTAATGTTAGAGGCAGCAAATAAGGACCATATTTTAGCCTAATAAAAAATAGATGACTTGGAGAAGGTTATTGAAGGATTTTAGAATCAATTAATTCATGAAAAAAAGAAATATGAGAGTTTGGCTTTGGAGAAAGGAATGAAATAGCCATAAATAATTCAAAAAGATTTTTAGAGATTATAATTTGAGAGACCTATTTCAAAGGATATTAAACCTGTAGCTTAATCTATGATCCAATTAGATGATGCGGAGAAATATTCAATTGATATAAGTTAGAGTATGTCAAAGTAAATAAAATATTCTATAAAATAGTTTAGATGGTGATGGTGAAGTGAATCGATTGAAGAATCAGATAATGCATTTGGAAGCTACATTGAGAAGGTAATTAAATAATTTTATATGTATAGTTTGAAGATTGCATATGAACAAGATGTCAGATACACAAAAGGGAAGTCAGGAAAATCAATGACGGGAAGTAGTAAGGATATTAAGTATTTATAACACATTGCGAATAATATGGCAGAAATCATAACGGAGAAGGACTCTTAATTGGAGAATTAGAAGAAAATAAATAAGGAATTGCTCACTAAATTATAGATTTTATAATAATAGTAATAATGAGGACATGCATATTTAATTATACTAATATTTGATTGTTAATTTATTTAAATTTAAACCGGTTAATTGATCAAATGTCTGATTTGGCTGACAAGATTGTTGTAGTTATCAGAAAGAGACCACTAGGAAAAAAGGAGCTTGCAAAAAAGGATGAAGACATTGTAGATGTTCAAAGTGATTAAAGTGTGATTGTTAAAGAAGTGAAGTAATACACAATAGTAAACTTAGATAAAAGGTAGATCTTACAAAATATGTCGAAGAACATATGTTTAACTTCGATTTGGCATTTGATTAGAACGCCTCCAATTAATAAGTTTATTTGAATGCAGTTCGACCAATAATAGAGGCAGCCTTTAATAAGGCTCGTGTCACATGTTTTGCTTATGGACAAACAGGGAGTGGCAAAACACACACCATGTTGGGGGATGTGGAAAAATAAATACCTGGAATGTACATTTTAGCTGCAAATGATATATTTTAACTGCTACAATAAGTAATTTAAATCCAATAATATTATTAGCCTGAATTCCAACATTTGATGGTAGGAGTGTCATTTTTTGAAATCTATTGTGGCAAATTATTCGATCTTTTAAATTAGAGAGGGTAAATCTAAATCAGAGAAGATGCTAAAGGCAATGTCAATTTAATCAATCTAATGGAAAAGAAGGTCAACTCAGTCTAATCCCTTATGTAAATCATAACATAGGGTTAAACTGTCAGAGTGACAGGTTAAATTAATTTTTTATTTTTATAGCTTAAAATGGAGCCAATAATGAATCATCTAGGTCTCATGCCATTTTGCAAATCAACTTGAGAGCTGGTAAAAATGTTTTCGGCAAACTGTCATTTATTGATTTGGCAGGAAGTGAAAGAGGAGCAGATGTTTAAGATTCTAACAAACAAACTAGAATAGATGGTGCTGAAATTAATAAGTCTCTCTTAGCTTTGAAGGAATGTATAAGAGCATTGGATCTCAATAAAAATCACACTCCCTTTCGAGGATCCAAACTGACATTAGTAATTAAAATTCAAAATGTTTTTAGGTGTTAAAAGATAGTTTAACAGGAAATTGCAAAACAGTAATGATTGGTAACATCTCTCCAAGTTCTTCAAGCAGTGAGCATACTTTAAATACATTGAGATATGCTGATAGAGTAAAGGAGCTTAAGAAACCTTAAGATAAATAGTTTTAGGGAGACTACATCTAAAGGGAATTAATGTTGGCTAGACAAAATAGTAATATTATTTTTTATTCTAAAATAGCAAATGTTGTAAGGAAAGCCTATAAGAATCCAGATGATGAGGATGATGAAGATATCTCATGTAATTCCATGAGTAATTCATTTTTTCCTTAATAATAATAATAACAGTAGTTTATGTTTTAATAATAATAATAATAACAATAATAATAATAGTAGTAATAATAACAATAATAATAGTATATGATATAATAATAATATTAATAGGCAAATTCATATGTATTTTAATAACAATAATAATAATAATTTATCCCTTAATAATAGCCTTAGTTACAATAACAATAAAATCAACCTAAATTATCTTAATTACCTAAAACTTCTTCATAATAGAATTAAAATAATAACATTCTTAATAGATTTAATTTAGGTTCATTGCCTACTATTAATGGTGGAAGTTCTTCTAATATTATGCCAAATAATACTAAATAATATACTTAATAAGCCTTTTTATAATAATAATCATCATGCAATTCCATTATGACAGAAATTCCCCAATAACAACCCTAATTATTCCAGTAACAACCATACTAATAAAATAAGACAAACTTATTTCCATAGTAATAACTATAATTCAATTAAAATAACAACAATCTTTTTTAAGAAAATAATTTTGATTAAGGATATTAATAATAGCAATCAAATCAATAATCAATAGATATTCGTCAAGATTCAATGGTTGAGGAAGAACTATGCATCAATAATCCAAACTATTTTAGTGTCACCGGAAGATACTCCTAAGAATCCCAATCCTCAAGACAGAGTTCTACAAGACCCTTGCAAGAGATCAACAATTATGAAGGGACAAAATACTTTAATAATAGATCATTCACAAATAATGATTATTAATACTAGCAACACATTTTAAATGAGCACAAGCAGGCTATTGACAAAATCGTTGAAATCACTAAAGATGTACTGTTTGATTATATCAAAGGAAATGATCAATTTATAATAAGTCTAATCTCCATAAGATATGTCACAATATGTCTCTAAAGTGATGTTTTAGCTACAAAACAAGATGGACTTGATAGGCAACTTATATTAAAAGATGAAATAATATTAGAAAGATTTTGAGACAAGGGGAATGCCTTTCCAACCAAATTCCCATACTTTTAGTTTGTTTTAATAAGATGATAATTTATTAAACATAGACGATAATGTAGTTTGAATTATTAAAAATATATTTAACAATTATATTGAAATCAAAATTAGCTGAAATCATTATTAATAAATGACCATCCATTAATGTAATTTATAGAACTTGATTTGTCAGCCGATAAAATAAAATCGAATGGGATGTCAAATTTTTAATTTAAAATCTCCTAATTAATAATTGGTTAAGGAGGTTTATATTTTCTATTTTTATAGTTTAAATATGTTTACTTTTTTAGCAAATCATCCCAATTAATTTACTTAAAAAAGGGATGATCCTTTATTTCATCAGCATCTCTTGATGATGCACCCAACCTTGTCATAGGATTCTTTTCTAAAAGCAATTGTATGATTGATTTGCATTCTTTTGAAATATTATCAGGGAATGAAATCTTATTGCATTCTATATTATTCAGCATTTCATCCCTATTGGGTGAGAAATAAGGAGGCTTACCACTAATCATTTCATATAATAATATCCCTATATATAAATCATTAAAAACAATACCTAAATGATACCAATCAACAGCTCTACCATGTCCTACTCGTTTTAACATTTCAGGAGCTAAATATGCCATTGATCCACAAAAGCTTTTGGCTCCATAATTATCTCTGACTCCTTCTTTTGATAACCCAAAATCTGTCAACATAGCATGACCCTAAGCATCAATAACGATGTTTTCTGGTTTTAAATCTCTATAGATAATATCATTTTTATGAAGATGTTCTAAAGCAGTCAGAATTTCTGCAATATATAGTTTAGCTGCTTATTCAGGAATTCTTTTCTAATTTTAAATAATCTTAGATAAATCTCCTCCAGGACAGAAATCCATCAATAAACATAAATGAGTGTTTGTTTAAAAAGCATATCTTAACTTAACAATATAGGGATGATTTAAATAAGATAAGATATTCCTTTCAGCCATAGCATATCTAATTAGATTGTGTCCCAAGAATTTACTTTTTGGTAGTACTTTCATGGCGTACTTTTACCCTTATGTAGTTTTACTCTAATTTCTTTTCTCAACTAAATAAACATCTCCAAATGATCCTTTACCAATTTACAATATAATTCTAATATTGGAGGGTCCAATCATTTCACTATCATTTAATTAAGACTAATATTGTATATACAATTACAACTTGATTGAGGGTTGATCGATTGGATGTAGAAAACTAATTATCAGTTTAATAAGGTGAGTAACATTTGGATGTTTACTGATATTAGTTTGTTAGATAATATTATTGTTTACTTGTTGGGGAATTCACTTTCTATTGTTCTTTGGAATCATCATAGATTTAGACTTTATGACATTAATTGAATGATTCCTTTTTCATCTGAAAATATCTTTAAAAGAATAATTACCCTATAATGTTTTTCAATAAGATTTTTGAGTGCATTGTTATTTTATATTAATTCTACAGGAGATTCATTATCTAGATCTTTTAAATTTAGTTGCAAAGAAGGTCTGGCCAAAAGTATTTCTGCTATTCTAATATGTTCTAAAAATAGATGAATCAATAATTAGATACAAAATAAACAAGCATAATGCAATGCAGTATTTTAATGATTATCAATATGATTGATATCAGATCCTATTGTTAATAATAGAGTAGCGATAGAATCACATCCATTTTAAGCACATATGATTAATGGTGTTTAACCTTGGGCATTGACAGAATCACAATCGGCTTCGTTTTTGAGAAGTAAAAGGGATAAGTCATAGTTCTAATTTAAACAACTATAATGAATTGAGGCAAATCCTAATGTCATCATGTATGATATACCATTATCATCCTTAATATTGATTTCTGGCTTTAAATCTTTTGTAGGGATTTCCAATAATTTTTCAACCTCCTTGATGTTGTTTTATTTGGCATTTAGGATTAGATAGTGATTGTTTTCTCTTTTTTATTGCCACCAACCTTACCATGCCGATTTATGTCTTTTTTTCAACTTGGCCATGTAATCTTTATTAACTTGAATCTTCTCGACTTATCTAATGTCATAGACAGTTCCTGTAGTAATAAGTAGAATTTGAAACCTGTGTCTTGATCTTTGAGAAGGAACATTTCGTCATTGAATTTCTATTCATACAAATTAACTGGAGCAGTGTTTGTATGGAAATGGGAGATACGTATGTTAGATGATTGATTCTACTATGCTGCTTCACTAAATATGTTTGCAACTTACTCAAAGCCTGTGGAGTTTTTAGAACTCCTGGATTTATTGCTGTTACAATTAGAAAGACTGCCCTATGAACTTTATTTTTAATGACTACTTTAATTGAGGTTAATTACTATTAATCAAGTTAATATTGTTTAGTTCTCATCATAGTTTATTCTGCATATAATTTATTATTCATAGCCGATGGCGCTCTTGGAATTTCAGTTTTCTTGCTCATTGCATTTAAAGTTGGAGTTACAGCATCCTGCTATTTCCTGAAAGTAGGCTAATATTGAATGGGATAAGTGGCATCTCTGGGAGTATTGATAGGTAAGATGGGATGTTTTTGCATAAAATAATATTAATTTAAATTTCCTACATTTATATATAAAATCGATCACAATAACTTCATAACATTTCAATAATATCAGATATCATTTATTATTTGTTCAACCTTTAAGAATATTTCTTTATTGCCATAAAGTACTAATAAGTCAATCTCCTTCTTCTCAATAATACTTTCTATTTTATCCCATCGAATTCCTTGCCTCTCTTTATGTCCTTATTTCTCTCCTCTAAATCCTTCTTGTTGGCATTTAGACTCTATTACAGTTGATCAAAGTCAACATTTTGATCTCCAGGAATTGGATTGCCATTCAAAATCCTTTGAACTTAGGCCTCTTATTAGTTAATTTGTCCTTCCAACTCTTTTATTTGATTTCCTAAATGATATTGTAAAGTAATGGGAAACACTGCCTTTTCGCTAAAACTAATTTATATATTCAAACTTCTTACTAATCATAATCTGTGAGATATTTATTCTCCATAAATACCTTCAACAAATTTTAATGGAGTGATTTATAATCTCGACAATGACCCTCATTGTTAGATAGATTCTTCAAATTCAAATCTAGTTTTTGTAATTATTCAAAGTGTACCAAAGCACTACTTAATTAATTCCAATCTTAACTGAAATTTGTTATTGGAAATTCTATTTTTAGAAATCTAACTTCAAAGTAAGAAATCAAAAATAGCAATTCACAAAACTCTGAAAAACCTTCTTAATTTAGTTCCATAGGGTCCTTACTAAAAGTAATTGTTTAAAATATTACGCTTTTATTTCTAAGGAACTATTTTGTAAAATGATGCTAATATTCTTCGAAATAAATTTAAATTCTGGAATTTCCGCTGTTCTTTACCTTCTGATGAACTCAAGGAGTAATTAGCTGATTCCTTACCATAGAAAATCTTCTTCCTAACTGCAAAATTATTATATTTTTTATACATTTTAATTTCAGTTATTTGTCTTTAAGTAAATGCTACAAATTAGACTAGATAATTAAGTGAGTCTGCTTTCATCACGGAAACTCCATTTTAATATTTGATAAGCAATTAAGATATTTGAATATCTATGTAGTCCTATTATTTAATCAAGGAATAAATTTATTTCAATTATTAATTATCTACTCTTTATACATCCCTTATCTAAAGTACCAATTAATTTGAAGGAATAGGCATTAATGTATCTCTTGAAATCACTTGCAGATTTCCAATCAATTATAATCTATCGAAATTATATTAATAACTTATTTGATCATTTAAGTGACTAAAATATATAATTATTGGTGTTCCAAAGAGGCAAATCCTTTTTAATAGAAGTGCATTTGAATTCATTTCTTCTTATCTATACTCACTAGATTTCTAAGATCCTGTTTTAATTGATAGTAAGTTAAGAGTCTTATTAGATTTTACTAATTATAAGAATTACTGTAATTTTGGATACTCTATATTATTATTACCCTTCAAATGTATCTTGAAAACACTCAGATACTCTAATTCTTTAAGTCTTTGACCTAATTCAAATAAATCAGGTAAACCTTATTGTCCACCTATGCTCAGATCTAAATTAACTAGATTTCTCTTCTGCCCAAGAGTGTAAAATAAATTGGTAAAATCTAAATTTTATTATTGTTTTGCAAAATTTAAAGAAAGACTATTTAAATTGCTGCTTTTATTGATAAGCTTCTCTAATTATTCTAAGCACAATTTATTAACACAGATATTCCTTCTATTTAATATTATAATCAAATTACTCAAATTCTAATTCCAATATATTTACTGTTCTTAACTTTTAAAGTAATATAAAGATCGATAAGGCTTATAGATCTGTCATTTAATTAGAATCTCCGATATTGATTTTTACCATCTATAGTTGTGGTGAGTCTAATAATAAGGCTAAGAATTTGGCTCCACCATTTTGAAAGTCATTGTTCTTACCAATTTTAAAATTCAATTATTCTAATTTATTAAATTAAGATTGATTCATAGTCACTTCATTATACTACGATTGTAACTAAAATTGTTTAAATATTTTGGTTGAACTACTAAAATAGTATATTTAAAGAATTTACCCAACTTAAAGTTTGAGAAATCTCAATTAATTCTGAATCAATTACAAAATTGTTAATAAGGCTTGATTTCCAATTTCGTTCGAATTGCCAATTTTTATTTTAAAGGTCTTAATTGGTTGTAAATTCAAACATTAGAGGAATTAGGTTGAATTTAATTAGCATGATTATCTTATTGTTAATAGAATAAATCAATTACCCAATTGTTAATGAGAAATAATTCAAATTATTGCAATTCAGAAGAATTGGACCAAAATGATCTAGACTATTTTTAATAACGTTATCTTCATCTATTTTTAATCGGAATTTATTAAATTGCAATTTGGAACCAAGTTATGCCAATTATTCAATACTAGTGCCATCATTAGTAATGCCGCATCTAATTTAAATGTAAGGTTTACTTAAGTTTGATTTAAAGGTAACCTTTATTCAAGATAATTGTAACAAATTTGTGAATCTAGATATATAATTATTCTAATTGAACACAAGATTAGATTATCAAAGATAATTGCTTTAGCCATTCTACTATAGAAAGACCTGCATTATCCATAATATTAAGGGACAACATCTTGAGATTTGAAGTAAAGGGTTGTAATATCTTGTAATAAGTTTTAGGAGATAAATAATTAGCATTTCTATTAGCTTATAATTAATTTTTTACTCTGAATTAATTAGGATGTGACTCATAGAGTTCGAAGTAACTTTTTAACCATCAAATAGAAAGATTATCTTATCAAAATCCACATCATCGATCTGTTCATTTGCACTATTTAAAAGAATAATAAAAATAATCTTTTACGCCAATCTGATTTTAAATCCCTTAAGTACACTAAATTAGATATTCGATAAAATTTGATGGACTTGTGATTGATCCTTGAAGGCTGAAACAAAGCTCTTTTTACTAATAGTGTTAAGACATAAACGTACAGCAAAGTCATATTCAAAAAATATCCTTACTCTTCTTCTTGATCCATTATATATATATTTATATTAATTATTATTGCATTTAAGCAGTTAATGAAGACTTCGATGTAACAGAGCTATTAAAATATTCTTAAAATATCATAGCATATCAAACAATCAAGAACTACCACCCCTCCTTTGAGCACGAAAAAGAGAGTTAAATCTGCTACTCTTTTAAAGTAGTAACCTTTTGATAAACTTGTAAACTCTACTACAAGAGATGAAGAAACAACCAGAGGCATACTTGACAGTATAAGATTTGATAATGATTGCAAATAATAGAATGAAGATGATTAACTCAAAAAAATTGAAAACTATAAATATTAACATGAGAAGGATCAATGTTACATAACACATCTCTAATTATAGGTGACGGATTTGGAACAACAATTGGTTGAAATCGAAACCAAACAAAAAAAAATCATGTAACCAATCAAAGCTCATGCCAAAGTCTTAATGGATAAAATCTCCTTCTTAGAAATTGCTAAAACTTAATATTCCTTAGAAGAGTAGAAATTATCTTAATGTTTATAAAAGGTTCTTGATCATAATCATCAAATTTAATCAGCTTATGAAAAGAAGTGCTAGGAAATTCAAAAACTCAAATCATTGAAATAAATTCCTTGAGAAACAATACAATTTTGAAATATCTTTTAATACTTATATTAATATTATATTTTATTAAAGCAGTACAATATTTTTTCCTAATTCATCAATTATTACAAAGTCCTTAATAATTATTTAAATATTTACCACATCCTAAACATTATTCCTATCCATTTATTGCATGATTCCCACCTATTGGACATTTACCCTTTCCTTAGCATTACGGCAATTCCTCCTTCTTCAATTAAGTCAAATATTTCCCTCCCGACTATTTTGTATGACAAGTTTAACAAAAATGAGTAGTCCCCCTATTCTTATGTCTATTTATAATACCAACAAAAATATGTTGCAATGTTACAACAATATCTGCATTTATACTCAAGATACTCAGTTCCATGAGTCTTACAACCATTTATTTATTGTCCACAGCATGAAGGGCAAATTAAATCCTATTGACTTTGTCTATTCGATTCAGCCTCTAATTCTAATTAACAATCTTTCTTTCCTCCAAAATATGGTTTCTTGCATTTATAACATTGATAAAAGGCAAAAATATCCAAAGCATCTTCAACTTTTAATATTTAACTATCTCCCATTTTTCCCATTCTCAAAGAGGCTTATTTACGAACTAATTGTTGTAATTCCTAATATTCAATCATTTTCTACTATGAAATTGAATCGTTGGGAAATTCCTTTATTATTTATATATATAAATACCATCCATCTTTTACAAATTGAACAACAACAAAAACCAAAAGATATATACATACTTGTCCATTTCTTGTCTAATTTCTTATTTAAACAGTAGAAGTGAAATAGCTGATTTAATATTATCAAATATTATTTACATGACCGCAAGCTGCCTATATACAAGGACCTTCATATAAAGATTCTGTAAAACATATTGTACAATATTCTTCAGATAACTTTTAGTTGGTACATCCAAGACAACCCAAACATTTTTTCTCATCCTTATATCCAGAACAAAAATGTTTGCAACTAATTAGTTTTTAACACGCTTATAAATTTTTTTATTAGCATTCTTATTAATTACAAACTGGCCTTTGACCAGATTTAATATCTTTGTTGTTTATGTATCTATAACAAAATGAACATTATAATTTTTATTAAGCAGGCGATTCACCTGTTCTTAACTTTTTTTATAAGTATAACAATCTCTCTGAACCTACATACTTTTCAATTTCTTATTAACTCAATTACTTTTAACAATATGAACATTACACACACCCTGATTTTAGAATATATTGTTAATTTATTAATTTCCTAATGCAACCAAGACAATGAGCATGTTGGCAAATTTAAAAATTATAAACTGTTTCCATCTCATCCTCATTATTATCTAATTTTCCACAAACAGAGCATTTCTACTTGATTTCTTATTCTCGACTCTTCGTTGGGAAGTATTTTTTGTGAATATTATTGAACGACTGAAATTTCAATAAAATAACATTACTTATTTTTATGAGAATTGGGATTATGGTGGTATTTATTATTTTAATTATCTATTAGCACTTCTAGGTGAATTAACTTAACTAATTTCTTCTACTAAAATGAATATATTTTTACTTTTATTGATAATTTCATCAATTTGATTTATGATAAACAGAAATTCTGCTTTCAATGTATAAAGTTAGGGTAGCTTAAAGATATTCAATCGAAGCTTTTCAAATTCTTTATAAAACATTGATTCACTAAGAAATTTTTTGCAATTAGAAATGTGATTGTATAAGTCATCAAACGGGTCACACCTGATCTATTAACCACAAAAGCATTTATAATTATCATCATAATTAGGTTCCTCATGATTAGATTGCATCAATGACTTAACCTAATTATAAAACCCTTGCATTAATAAATTACTATTCATTATTATATATATATTAATTTTAATTTATGTTTAAATTGGATTAAAATTATAATTATATATATATTAACTAGATAGATAGAAGATAACACTCTAATACCTAATCAATTTGTTTTAATTATCAAGAAATAACTCCTTTTTTGTCTCCGTAAATAATAGTAAATATCACAATAGAAAATTATACTCTCTATATTATATAACTCCTGAATATTTTATTGATAAAATATGATTTCCTACTGTAGTTGCGCTTTGTTGTTATTTCATCAAGTGTGAATAAATATATGATATGATATAATTATTGCATTATCCCACCCCATCAATCCCGATATATTGGTATCAAAATTTTTAATTGTCCTCTTTTGTTTGATAAAGGTTATCAGCTTTTTTATTACAATTATTAATGGAGCCCTTGCAATTCTAAATTAGAATTCAAATCTCTTAGTTCTTTTGTATAATATTGACATAATCTATCTGTAAATTTAATAGCTATGAGATTTTGATATAAGGTTAGATTCACCTAAAGAAACTAAACAATTAATTTCCTAGATTATCAGAAGACAGTGATTTATTCTAATATATACCGATATATGAATAATTAATAGAAATAAACTCGTTAAAATTGAGATCGATATTTTGATTTCTATTAATTATTATGGATTAAAAAGAATAAAAACCTTATATATTCACAGAAATCTGTCTCTAGTCGATATATTGCAAAGATAACTCTTGCTAACTAAATCATTCGAGAGTATTTGTTGGAGTTTGCGTAGAATATTTAAGGAATGAGCAATAATTTTATGATGAAGGAGGTGAAGAGTATGAATAAACAAAATGCAATAAAAAAGACTGTAATTTGTGGCACTTTTAAAATGACAAATTTAGCGATTAATTGTCTAAATAAACGATAAATGGGATATTTCCTCACAATCTATGTCCCAAGAGTTGTGGATTCGAAAATTGCGGATATCTACATAGAAAATGGGCTGAAAAAGTGTGTTTTAATCAAATTCTAAAAGGCAGTTGTAGAAATAAACAATGTGAGTTAGAACATGTGCGTTGGGAGTTGGACATATTAAAAGAAAGAGCTAGATCTTGTTCATTGAATCAGGACACTACGCCAGAAGATTTATGCGAGAAAGAAAAATGTAATTGCGGTAAACATCCTCCTTGGTTAAATGATTATTGCATACTCTATCTGAAGGGTTTGTGTCCAAATAAAAAGTGCATTAAAAATCATACCGATTGGGAAAAAATTAACACAAAAATAAATTAAAAAAAATGCTTTAAAGTCTTGTATCACCATCGCTCAAGAAAGAAAAAAAAAAATTCATTCAACACCTGATTTCAATGAAATTTAATTATTATGCGAAAAATCAGAGTTTGAACATTATAAAAAGTGGTTTTAAGAATAAAATATGATTGACGTTGTTATTGTTATGGATTTAACCGGATCTATGAGGCCTTGGAAAGAGACTATGCAGTAGACAATAGCTAAAATAATAGATTAATTTTTAAATTCTGTCAATGGATATCAAGTTAGAGTGGCTTTCATAGGATACAGAGATATATGGGATAATGAGGAAAAGCTTGTTTATTGGAGTTTTACTAAAAAAATTGATGAAATTTAGGATTATATTTCAAAATTAGAGGCTAAGGGAGGAGACGATGAAGCAGAGGATATAGTTTCTGCTTTCGAGCTAGCTTTAAAACTTGATTTTTCTCATAATCCAGATAGCATACTATGTACATTTTTAATTGCAGATGCTCCTTGCCATGGTGGAGACTATCATAACATTGAATCAGACAATTTAATTGATAAGATGCCAAAGAATTATTTTGAAGATGTTTTGGAAAAATATAAACAAATTAAAAAGAATAATTTTTTATGTTGTGTTAAAATCAACAATCGAACAGACATTATGTTTCAAAAAATGAAAGCAGTTATGCCTTTGATGATAATAACATCAGAAAAGAAACCTGAAGACTTAATTGAAGTAGTTGGGTTTACGTTGCGAATGTCTGTAACAGAATCGAAGAAGCTAAAATCATAAATTAATAATAAAAATCTAATATTTTAAAGCAGAATTTGAAAAACTGAAATTAGATACTTTTTCTGAAGGTAAAGATGAAGAATATTGGAAAAGCTATTTTAATATGATTAATTCCATAAAAAGAACAGGCGTCACAGGTCTAAAAGTAATAGTAGACAAAAATGAATTAAATAAAGAAAATGATAATTCATCTACATATATATTTAAGGCCTTTGATGCCATAAATAATAGGGAAATTATTATTAAAATTCCAAAAAAACTTGTTGATAACCAAGGCAAAATCAGTGTTTAAGAAATCTCAGAAGCTGAAGAACTTGCATAAACAAGATTTTACTCATCTTGTTACGCTTGTCAAATGGCATATTTGTTCAATCAGAAGTTAAATGAAAGTAATTTGCTTAATGAAATGCAACCTCTTTTTTATGCTCACCCAATTTTGTATACTTTAGATAAGCCATTTTTCGGAATGACAAAAGTTTATGGCGAAACTTTCTTGCAAATTCAATTTAAATTTGAAAAGTATACAACCAACAGTGCTTATATCGAATAAAATAAATATTTTTATTCAGCATTTAGTCATTTTACATACTAAATTAGTAATAAACTTTTAGTAATTATGGATTTACAAGGGTGTAATAATATCCTTTCAGATCCATCTATCTAAACCGATCAGTATTGGGAATCAGATTTAGATAAAGATGAGACGAATAGAAAAAATAAAGGAATTGAAGAATTCAAAAAGACATAGCATAAGGATTGTAGTTATTTATGTAAAAAATTAAATCTCCCAGAAATTAATTAACAATCCAAGATTAATGAAAATAAATGTCCAAAAGAATTAATTAGCAATATAAATGGAATTTGTTATGATTGCGATGAATTTGTTAAAGGTGATATGGATTAGCTTAACAATTTGAAAGACAAGAAATTTAAATTTAATTGCAATTTTTGTTTAACTGAGTAGAGTAATAAAATAAATTAAGAATGCAAATGTTGTAACTATATATTTCAAACTCCTCTAAATAGCTAGATAAAATAATTAACAAATTTGGGTGAATGTGCAGATTGTAAATCTAAATGCTTAAAAGAAAAGTAAAAGAATGCCTGCTATTATTGTAAGAGAGTTTGTCAAAAAATTATGAAGCAGTTAAATATTAATGATTAAGCGTTTTATATTTGCGAAAATGCTCTAGAATACCTCTCAGCTTTTAGATGTAAAAAATGTAATAAACCATATAACAGAAACTCCATTATTTCACTGGAGGATTATAATGGGAAATCATTTTCCTGTTGCTGATAGTGTAACATTATGTGTTAAACATATCATATTACAATATTTTGATTCGTAACCTAAATAGCTTATTGAAATCTAATTTCATCTAATTATTCAATTCTTACGTGCCTTAAGTAACTGCTTCTTTTCGATAGTCATTGTTTATTTAATTAATCTTGAATATTATTAAATAAATAAGAGACCAAATTTCATTAAATATGAAAGATTCTAATCCTCTAACTTTATTTCAGATGGCATAAGCCTGATACTTAAAAGATTCCTTTTTGACTCATCTATTTGACTTCTAATAAATACTATAATTTCAAATTAAATTTGTAATAGTATTTCAATTTACTTTAACTATTCTATTCTATTTTTTTTTATATGAAAATATATTTTAGATATTTAAGTAATTATTTCTAAAAAAAAATTTTTATGCAAACAAGTAATTTCCTAGATTATAAATTAAAGCTGCAGATGTTCATTAATTTAAGAATCACTTTATAACTCAATGTATAAATTTTTTAAATACACGGCAAAGAAATATTGTCAAACACAAATAATATAAAATTTAGCAATTTATGATATATTAATAGTATCTTACATAAATTTAAACATAAAAATATAAGTTCATTTTTTTAGATGTTTATAAGCAACATATCCTCCTCCAACTGCTGCTCCCACTCCAACAGCTGGTAATGCAATGACTCCTAATCCTGACATTGCTACTCCTTAAGCTATAGCAAATGCACTTCCTGCTGCTACACTTCCAATGCTAGCTTATGTGGCAGCAGCAATACTTCCTGCAACTGGTCCAATCGAAGAGAAACCATAAATTGCCAATCCAGCCTTAGTTAAAACAGTGCCTGTGCCTGCCACAATTCCACCTAAATAGGTTCCTTTCTTAACATTTTGCCAAAAGCCAGGTTTCTCGGCTTATACTTCCTATTATTATTAGTTCATTATATGATGAATATTATTATTATTCAATTAATAAAATGACATTTTATAGTGCAATAATTTCACAAAATTTCGGTTGGATTCCAGAATGAAACTTAATCCGCCTAACATTCGAAATAGTCTTTAATTCAAACTGACTAATTAAAGTTCGAAACCTAACATATGAATTTTTTTTCAGCAAAAAAAACTAATATTTTTAATCGTAAATCACAAATAGAAATGAAAGTTTACGGTCAAATTTAAGTTACTAAGTTATTAATTCACTAATCTTTAGGCTATTTTCGATTTTATTTTATAAATTGATTATCATAGCTGATATTATAATTATAGATATAGAATTATACTCAATTCCAATAGTCTATTCTAATCATGATACTTAATATTGATCAAGAAATAAGGAATTTCAGGAATTTTATGATATGGTTTTTGAATAATTAATTAGCATTTTTTTGAAACAAAGGCAAATGTGTCTACCAAAGTAAATTAATTTTAATATACAGAATAATATAGATTCAATTCCTTTGGAACTACTAATTTGGAAATGAATGAAATAGATGCTTAACAATAATATTCTATAACTAAGAAATCAATTCATCCTTAATATTGTAGTTGTAGTGTAAATCCATTATTGAATTTATTTCCTGCTATCAACATCCAAAAATCATTAGTAATTTGCAAATGCAATTGTTAATTTCTTATCATCTTATATTATACAAAAGCGATAGATTTTGAATCTTCTAAAAACCAGGAATCTTTTTCTACCAAGAAAATTGATTGAAAAATCACAATAATATTTTTTTAAACTCCTTAGGGGACATAAATACATATAAGCATTAAATTAATAGTCTTTTAAATTTGAAAGTGTAATTTTCCATATAATGCAAAAATTGATATTATATCAATATTATGGTTCTTTAAAATTTTGATTAAAATTGGAAATGGTTGTTTTATATTTCGTAAACATTCCAAAAATACTAGTTTGTCGACATTTTCATAAACTAATATTATTTGAATAATAAACATAGATTTTAAGCAAATCATTTAATGGATTTAAAAAAAAATTATTTTAATGCTGCTTACAAAATAAAAAGTAAATCAAAAAACATTCCGAAATTGAAATTTTAATATCAAGTACATATCATCCTGAAAAATAAGGGTTTGATATCTAACTGGAAAAAGAATATGAAACAGGGAGATTAATTAATTTTGATATCCCCTCTTGGAATTCTTAGGATAAAATCAGAAATATTTATTTACAGAAAAGCAAGAAATTATAGAAAAAATGAGTTTTTAAATAAATTCAAGGGCATTTCAAATTATAAAATATAAACTACTAATAAAAACTTTATAAATAAATATAAATCAATACATTCACAAATTTAATCAAATTATATAGAAATATCTTCACTATTAATATTATTCTAAGGCTAATGTAGTCACATAAAATTATTATAAAAATGAATTTAGTTACTTGTATCATATTTGTTGCCTTATTGTTTACCCTAGTTTAATGTGAGTAATGTAGTCCACTATGCGATATCTGTGATTCTCTTTCAACTTGTTCAAGATGTATTTAGGATCTTAAAAGAATACTTCAACTAGTTTAATGTATATGTTAGGAAGGATATTATGATGATTTTCATAATCCTATATGCCTACCAATATGCGGAGATGGAATGATTGTTGATGGCGAAGATTGTGATGATGGAAATTTTGATCCTTTTGATGGTTGTGATTAATGCAAATTTGGATGTTAAGACAGTTGCCAGGATTGTTAAGATGGGTGGTGTTATGAATGCAAAACAAATTATATATTGGATGCTAGTATAAATATATGCCAAATAAATTGCCTTGATTATTTGATGATTGGGAATCCATTATGTTAAAATTAAGATTGTTTTGATCATTGTGTATTATGCGAAAATGGAATATGTAAGGAGTGTGATGAAACAAATGGATGGTATTTGATTGGGATAAAATGTGAACCTAATTGTGGGGATGGGATAATTGCTTAAGGTTAAGAATAATGTGATGATAAAAATAGAAATCCATTTAAATTTTGTGATTAATGTCAATTAAGTTGTACAGAATATTGTGAATTGTGTTAGAATGGATTATGTCTTTAATGCAAGTTTGGATTTAAATTTATTTCCAAAATTATTAAATGTGTACCTTATTGTGATTATAATAACATGATCCTTAATTATGATGAATGTGTAGATAATTAGACAAACTAGTTAATTCATTTAAATAAAAATTGCAATCTTAATTGTTCATAATGTTTCAATGGAATTTTGTGTATCAAGTGTCAAATTGGATTTTTATTAATTAATAACTAATGTAGAGAAACTTATAGTATATAAGTTTACTAAGAATAGTAAAACAATGATGTAGAATTAATTTATTCAAAATGTTAACCTTCTCAATTTATCTGTAATCTTGGATGTCTATCGTGTTTAGAGGGACGTTGTGGATTATGTGATACAGGATACCATTTAGAAAACTATTAATGTTCAACTATATGTGGAGATGGTGTTATTGTTGGTGAAGAACAATGTGAGGATGGTAACTAGATTCAATTTGATGGCTGTTACAATTGCTTATTTTAATGTTAATAGGAATGCTTAAATTGTCAATTTGGGAAATGTATTGAATGTCAAATTGGTTATGAGAATATTGAATTTAGTTGCCATGAATCATGTAGTAATTCTATTATTACATTTAATGAATTTTGTGATGACGGAAATTTAGAACCATTTGATGGTTGTTTTAATTGTAATTATTCTTGTGATCAAAAATGCGAGATATGCAATTAAGGAATTTGCTCTAAGTGTTTCGATTAAGGATGGGAACTTAATCTATCAATTAACAAATGTATAACTATATGTGGAGATTAAATTGTTGCTGGTGATGAGTAATGCGATGATGGCAATGATCTTAAAAATGATGGGTGTTATGAGTGTTAAAATGAGTGTTAAAAGGAATGTCTCAAATGTATGTAAGGCATTTGTTATGAATGCATTGCTCCTCATTGGATACTAAATAATAATGTATGTTTTTGTGAAACATGCCAAATTGTATGTTAAAATGAATGCTCATCATGCATTTAAGGAGTATGTTATGAATGCTAATCTCCAGGTTGGGTCTTAGATAACAATAATTTATGTATTTAAGAATGTGGTGAACAATGTACCTAAAACATTTGCGGAGATGGAATATTAAATCCGTTAATTGAGGAATGTGATGATGGAAATAATGAAATAAGAGATGGGTGTGATAAATGCCTTTTAGAAAAAGGGTTTTTTTGCAATCACGATTAGAATTTGATATCTCAAGGGTGTTCTCGATGTAAAGATTTGAATTGCCTTTAATGTAATGTAATGTATGAATTATAAATTTGTTTAGAATGTGAATCAGGTTATTATATAGACTAATTTCAGGAATGCTCTTAATGTGATCTGAGTTGTATTGAATGCAGTCAAAATTACAAGAATTGTACTACTTTTAATTCTCAATTTCAAAATTAATAAAATTAACATAAATGCAATTTCATTTTAGGAAGCTTTAATGATTTTGATTTTTATGAATGCATTTCAAAATGCGGAAATGGATTTTTAGATGCGCATGAATAATGTGATGATAGTAATAGAGATATTTTAGATGGATGCAACGAATTTTGTCAATTAGAAGAAGGGTATATATTCAATCTTGCTACCCATTCCTTACAAGTAGACCCATATATTAAGGTAGAGAGATTATAATCCAATAATAATTATTATTCACTTTTCATAAACTAGAGTTAAGAATCACTTAATTTATCTAGTTTAGTAGTCGATATTGAGGGATTTTCAATTTAAGATTACAATTATAGTGTCATTGAAAACAATAGTGAATTAGATTTGAGATTTTTGTTTTTTAAAACTATAGAAGCTAATAATTTAATACATGTTTCAATCTAGTATAGAAGATACTATAAAATAAGATAATTGGAAGAAACATTTATAAAAGAAATAATAGTAGTTCCATAAAGATAAGTTTATGTGAGTAAAGAACAAAGACTTTAAGGTGAGAATATGGCTGAAGGGTATTAAACTTTATTTTCAGTCTAAATATACTTAGCACCTCTGGCAGTTATATTTGGAGGATTTCAATTGTTTTTGGCTATCCTTGATATAATGAGTTGGATGAATAACTTTTATTTTTTAAATGTAAATTATCCAGAGAATGTTATGATCTTATTTTTATAGGCTGAATGGAGTAATATTATCAATATCCCTTCTTTGAAATTATTAAATAAGCCAAATGATGATTACTACTTCTTAGCCCCCATAAAATTTACGGAAAAAGAAATAGATCCGTTATTATTTAACAATATTTAAACTCCAATCATATTTGCATTCCAAGTGTTATTTACCTATCTCCTTAGTGTGATAGTTATTAAATTGGCTTAGCTAAATTACAGGAAAAATAGAAAATAATAGACTAAGTTTTCTATCTTTTAATTAGGCGATATCGTTAAACCTGAAAAGTCCAGAATTTCTGAAGTAGAATAAAACTTTGAAATACCAATATGGTTTTAACCGTTCTTTTAAAAATGCGTTTACTTAAAGAGCAATCTAATGTCTAATTTAATGAGATCGTTTTCTTTAAGCTATTTAGATATTACTTTAGCAGTGATGCTTTAAATCACTAATTAATAAACTGCTCATAACTTCATAGTTAAAATTAATGTGATTGCTGCTTATGGATTTTTCTTATTAATATTATATCTTATTTATATCTCATATCAAATATCATAAGCACATTAAGTAAAATTAGAGAATAAACAGTTTTTTTAAAGGTATTGTTGTTTTTATGAAGAAATGAAAACTTAATCCTCAAATTCAATGGCATACTCATGTATAAATTTAATACGGAAAACTTCTTTTATTGTTTCCACTGTTACTTTATATTCCTATCCTATATTTTAGACATTATTCTGCTTTCTATCATCTCTTTTAAATTTACTATTATTGTTGACAAATAATCCATTTAAAGGCAAAAAATAATATATCCTAAATTTAGTTCCTGATTTTTGCATATTTATAATCGTAGGTTGTTCAATTATTTTTGCTTTTTAAGATAGATTTAAAATATTAAAGGATGAATAAATTTATCAAATCGGATGGATTGTTGGAGTAAGTATCTATATATCAATTGGGTTGTAACTTATATTCTTAATATAAGAAATATTGTTTTCATTTTGGAAATAGCTGAAAACCTTAGGTGAATATCTCAAAAGAAAATGCATTAAGAATTAATGAATTAATATTTTTTATCATCTACAATAAAACAATATTTTTGTAATTTATAATTATCGATAATTTGTATTTATTTAATATCTTATAATAACCAACATTTATGTTTGAAAAGTAAACTAAATAGATCATCTAAATCTATAACTTAAAATAAGAATTTCTTATGAATATTTTAATGAATAATTGAAGTTAGAAGATGGATAAACAAAAACCAAACTATGGATTTATTTGGACAGAAAATCTTGAATTGAATGATGAAAAAGTTACCTACGAAATTAAAGAAATTATTTTAAACTGGTAAAAAACTGTCGATTTTGATTTTTACAGAAGATTCTTATCAATGAACAATTTAAGGAGAAAATTACGATGATATATATAAATGATCCAAACGATTGTACTTTTATCTTAATTTATGATTAAGCCTTTATTGGACATGAAAAGAAGGCATAGATGAGATTTAAATTTTCTAAAGTAATACTTTATTAGGAAACTTGTCATCTTAAGTTCCTTAAATCTTTGATCCATCAAACAGAAGACAATAGAAAGTTATAAGAAATAAAATTATATTTTGAATTTATTC